TATAAGAAACCTGGATGTGCCTGTCGAGGGTTGCGCCTCTTTATTATGACAAGTATCACGTGAGCACGTGATTCGTGACATGAAGGTTCTATATAAGACTGGCACGTCTGCCATTAGATAGGAGCTTCGTGCTCAACTTAGCTATCAATCTTATCATATTAGTTTGACATCTTTGATACAAGTAACGAGTTCACTTCCAAGTGAACAACCCAATAGTCTTCTTCTTATCATAGCATACCAACCAGCGAACACCCAGCCAAGTTTAGTTAGCCAGTTTGAGTATTCGTTACATAAAGGTTAAAAGGTTAATATTATATATTAGTTAAATTATATTCTACTAATATATCGTACTAATTAACCTTTATTCTAAACCTTTATTAAGCCTTAAATATATAAGTAATATTCTTATTTTATTTAATTAAATATTATTTATATATAAAAGATTAATTAAGCTTTTGATTATTTAAGAAAACTATATCTTAAATTATTCTCTTTTTATAGTTCTTTTTCTATAAAGGGGAGGGGTAGGGGGGCTTAGGGGGTAGAAGGGCTAGGGAATATAAGCTGTCTAGACTCTTATATACTAATTAGAGTAGGTAGACAGGCTAGTCACCTGACCCGGAGTTTTAACCCTCCGTCTTGCTAAGTCGAAAAGTTAGTACCTCGTATTAGTAAGGCAGCAAAAACCCTACCAAAATCTATAGTCGCAACCGCAAATCGCTATTAAATACTACTTTTAAATCTAATTATAGGTAAACAACGGGATAAAAAGGTAGGATTTTAATATAGGTACTAATATAACCTAATACAAAGTGCTAAACAATTTAGACACGATTTGCGCTCGATACGGGCTGTTCTTTCGTACTACGCGTGCCCACCAAAAGTCCCGATCACCTGACCAGTTTTTTTCGGGTCCATTCCGGGAACGCTGAGAGCTAATCAACCCGAACGCTGAGAGCCAATCAACCCCTGTCTCGCTTCGTACAAAGACAATGTATATAAGATACAGAATATCCCGGCAGACCTCCAACTCGAATGCCGTCGTGCAGACAGATGCTCAGACCACCGCTTAAAGCTCGACCCTGCCCTGCCACCAGGGGGACAGAAAATTCAATTCTGAGACGAACGACCCATCTGATAGCCTTCCCCGCTTCATGCGTGATGGAGGAACCGAGGACGATCCTGGGAGTTAATCCTGACCCGGCCTCGATGGGATGACATCGTGGTTAGTGCGACAGTGACAGATGTCAAGTTTTGTGCATAGGCGGAGAGAAGTTGGGGAGGAAATGGAAGTTTTGATATATAGAAAAATTGGTATGCAGAGAAAGTGAAAAAAGGAAGCTAGAGATATAATAGAAAATACTTGGAATGGGTATCAAATCATATCTGTAAATTTCCTGGCTATAAATTGAAAGAGATGAAAAATGCCACACGTCAAACCCAGCCAAATTCCCTCCTTGACATGGTACTCATGCCGCGGCTCTGCCGTCGACAATGGGTATTTCCCTCTTCCACAATTTCATCCGTCTACTCCAGGATATCTCCCTGTCCACAACCACCTCTCTATCTGTTATCATTATACGTTATATATATTACATGCCCCGTTTCGTGTATTCAACAAAATCCATTCACAATCACCCAAATCAGCTCCATCTATCGGGCAACGAACAATTGTTGGTTTTGGAGAACAATGGCTGCTGGGTCCTGCGATAGGATCCCGAAGCTGAGTTGTGGCTGTACGACACCAGCGGGTATAAGGTTGTTTTTGGCCTGAAAGGCGCTGAGGATACTTGGTTGGTAATCTTGAACCGGGATCGATCGGCGAGGTAACAATGTGTTGGGAGGAGCATCAGGAGCTGTAGTATTGCTGAGGATGGCGCTTTTGTTGACGTTGTTTGAATTGCCCATGTTGGCCAAATTGTTAACATTGTTTCCAACAAATTGACCATTTTGGAAGAGAGACTGGCCATTGACGACGATTGGCAGATTCTCTTGTAGAATCACAACGTTTTGTTGGTCGGATGCAATGCCGCTGTCGATTTGTCTAGTAACAAGACGTCTTTGATTGATTCCTGGTCGGTTGTCGATGACTTCTTGGAGAATGACTATGACGGTATTTACATTTTGGCCAGCCAAGGCATTTTGGGCGTTGAAGTGATTCCTTCGGACGTTGTCGCACATTAAAGACTGTACCTGTCGAAAGAAAAGCTGCTCTTGGAGGAGTTGAGTGAGCTGCTGTTCTTGCAATAGTTGCTGTTGATTTAATCTCTGATTTGGATTTTGGTTAATAACGATGACTGTGTTTTGAGCGAACGAGTTAAGGTTGTTCTGGAAAAAATTGTTGTTATTCGAGAGACCGTTGGCATTGTTGAATTGGAGAATGAGTTCTGTCTGTTGTTGTTGACTGACTGAGATTACAGTCTCACGTTTTCGTGGTGCCCAAGTAGAACGTTCCTCCACTGGAGCATCTCCTTTGGACGCTGAGGTAGGAGCTGGAAGGCAAACGTCAATAAGTTGATATTCAGTAGTTTCCATAAATCGACTAACCAGAAAAGGCAGTAGAAGCAAAGCCCAGCACAGACAGAGACAGCGTAGAGAAAAGCATAATGGATTTGTTGACTTGATGAAGGGGATGAGTTATTAGACGATTGATTGATGAAAGGAGAATATAAAAATTAAAGGAGTGTTTATGAACGGAAACTGTGGCGGCCACTAGGGCGCTCGGTAGAAAGAATGAGGAAGATGGTTGGGTAGATGAAAATAGCGATGAGTAAAGAATACCAAGAATAGGAGATTCTCGACATATTATACTACTTGCTCTACCATGAGGGTATCGTCAAGAGCTGGGTCCGCTGCGTTCGGAACCAAGGTTTTCCGCTCACAACCTATCCCAGTCATTGAGCATACGAAGTATGAGTTTAATCGAATTAGACTCATAACCCCCTGTGAATACCTCCTCGATTTTCCAACCTTGATGCAATCCAAACCTTTTCAAAGTCCCGACTCCCGTGAGAGCAGCAGTTTAGTGGATAACTTGTGGCTGGGCGAGGTCGTAAGTACCGGCATCAAGTCTCCCGACGCATCTGATATCCAGGGGTGCACAGACAAAAATAATAGCAAACTGTCAAAGTAATAAACACTTAGCATGGCCAATTGTCAGGTTGTGGGGTTTGTGAGGTGCACTACTTGGTGGGGTAATTCCCCTGTCGAAAAGAAATTCGGTTGACACCAACGCAAAACCCATCCAGTTTAATCGACGAAGCTGTGCCCACTTACGCAACGCTTCAGCCAATGTCAGCAGTATGTGAACAATACTCCTGGGCGCAAAGAGAAAGTTCGGGATATTCTCTTTTTTCCCCACATGGATTGACACAATGGTCATCAGAGTTTCCTGCACATCGAATTAGCTGATGTGCAGCTGCTTCAACTTCCAAAGTGAAAAACAACTTGGAAGAAGCAATGGAGAAAACAAAAAAGCGCTGAAAGATTCCGAATTAAAGTATTCGCCTGTGATAGAAGCTGTTGTAGCTAGCGATAAGAGTATGCTTCATGATGAAAAAATCCGTGTATCCATCCCATGATGTTCATATCTGACGGCGTTAAGTAAAACGGGCCCTATCAATTAGAAGACAAATGCCAGGATAAGATCGGATGGGTTTCAAAATATCTCCGTATCAGAGCCTGGCCAGGGGTCGAAAGAAGAGGAGTTTTTCGCCCATAATCATTCGCTGTGATTCTTGGGTTGAATCAATCGGGTGCAGTTGACTTTGAGACCATAAGGGGAGGAAGAATGCGGCTCTCAGATGGTGGAGACTGGGGTCGGCCCAAGATTCAGCCGTTCGATTCCCCAGCACAGTATTGTGCACCACATCAATCACCGCAGGGTAGCTCGGCAACAGCACAAGCCGTGTACGTTGTCTCTCTGTTTTGGGCTGAACAACAACAGAGATTTGCTGTTTTGAGTCGAGGTGCTGAAGATCCTTAATGCCATGACAGCCGACATATGAGCTCAACAAGACACCACCATGGGGTATGAGTGAAAGTCTCCGAGGACAATGACTTGACACACATAGCACATCCGGCACTCAAAGAGAGCTCGAAGAGAAAACAAAGCGCATACTCAAGATGACAAACAATTGCTGTGAGGCTCACGATCCTCGGGGTTTCGTATACAATTTGGCGTTGAACGTCGATGAAGTTGTGGGAAAATGCCCCCAACCTTGGAAAAGTCCGTAGATGAACTTGGAAGTACATTAACGTATTCCTTATAACTCATATACGGAGTAGCTATTGTTGCTGTGTCTACTTCCCCTTGAATTTGGTAACTTCTCCTCAGTCTCGGCTTTGCTCTAATCAGTTGCGTCTGCTCACTAATCTTTACTCTCCTTCTAATTCGGCTTGAAGCTTCTACTTCTGCCCCGTTTAATATCTCCATTAACTGGTATTTCTGACCACCCAAACTGCTTGAACCATAAATCTCATGGATATCTCTTCTTTTTGCTTAAAGGTTTCACGCATAAAGAGCATATTTGATAGCTATTTCCTCAACGGGTGGAAACGTCGCAATGTGCAGGTTTGTTTACTTTCCTCTTGGCTTCAGAGATAGCGCAAGCAGTGGCGCTTACTCAGGGTTCAATCAGGTTGGCATTTCTAAAGTCTGATTTGATTTTGATTTGATTTATTCATACTCGGTTCCAGCCGCCCGCCGTAGGGCGGCTATGCCGGAGTGGTCCAGCTTCGGCGCAGCTGCCGAAGTACGCTTACCGCATTTGGTAAGCGCACTTCACTTCATCACTATACAGTGACCAGCAGCCTCCTCCCCTGGACGGTCTGGCTTCTATCTACAACTATATAAACTATATACATAGCGTAAAAGAAGTGCTTTACTTGATCTTTTGACATATATCAGGTTCCTTGGCTGCCGCTTCTGCTAGCCATCTCATGTCCTAATACCTTCAGTCTCCCCCCAGCGTTCCACTTCGTCTCTTTGTACTGTACTACAACTCCTAAATTGCCCAAGGAGTTGCGTCTGTTCCATAAATCTTATTACCTTTGTGGCTGTTTTTGACTCTTTCAAGATTGCCTTCAGGTCTAACCACCTCCTCCCTCCAACTTCCCTGTCAGGACGCCGCCTGGTCTTCACTCGTCACATGCTAACACGTGATTCGTGACAGCTTAAACTCTAGATCTTAGATTAAGGGATCTTAATACGCGTTTATAAGGTTAAAATATTATATAATAGAGCTATACTTACGCCTATCTGTAACTGTGTGGAGTGAACCACTGCTTGCTGTGATGAATACGGAGTCAAACGGAAACTGCTGTATTGAGCGAACAACTAAGTGAGGAGAGAAGAGAGTTCCAGAGGAATGGAAGCTTAAATACAGGATGCCAGCGGCACGCACGTGCCGTGCTACACGTGACCAGACCCCAGTCCCTCCAACTCCGTAACACTATCTTCGCGTTTTTAGCTATACGAGTATTTAAGGTTCTTACGATACGATCTACTTTAGTTTAATATAGTATTGTAATAGTATTATAGTATTATATTATAGTAGCCTAGTGTCACGAATCACGTGTCCACGTGATACATGTCATTATAGGAGGCGCAACCCTCGACAGTGCACACCCAGGTTTCTTATAATAGGGATCGCTTAGAGTAGCTAAGCGATCCAGGGATTTTCATTGATTGGAAAGGTCACGTGCCCTGGATCTTTTGGATCGTAATGATCCACGATCCAGGAGCGTAGATCTGCATGATCCAGTACGATCCACGAACATGAAAGGATCTATATAAGACTGGCACGTCTGCCATTAGATAGGAGCTTCGTGCTCAACTTAGTTATCAACTTAGTTATCAATCTTATCATATTAGTTTGACATCTTTGATACAAGTAACGAGTTCACTTCCAAGTGAACAACCCGATAGTCTTCTTCTTATCATAGCATACCAACCAGCGAACACCCAGCCAAGTTTAGTTAGCCAGTTTGAGTATTCGTTACAAGGAGCTTCGTGCTCAACTTAGTTTAGCAATCTAGTTATTAAGTTATTACTTCTTTGTTAACAAGTGACGAGTTTAGCTCCGAGTAAACAACCTGGCGCATCTGTACTTCTTACGCGCATACCAACAGTCGAAACGATTACCTTTGTCAGATAGTTTGAGTTTCGTCACACCTAGAGGTTAAAAAAGTAAAGACTAAAGATAGTATATATTCTAGCGTACCTAAGGGGTATATTACGTGGTATATTACGTATAGTACTCTACTACTGGTATAGTAGAGCTTATCTAGTCATTAGCCGAGGGGTATACGCGCTAGTCTATATAAACCTATACTCCCTCCTACTTAGTTCTATAAGCTTTTAACTTAATAGAACTACTTCTTTTATAATCTTGCCACTCCTGCTCTTTACCCTCTAAACCCGTTATAATTCCCGCTACAATCGGCTAACTGTAAGGCAACTCATAAAATTGCATTTAGATGTTATTAAGAGCGGAAGAAATTAGAAGGTGGTAAAGGTGGTTCTGGTGGATATAAAAGCGATTAGTTAATAAGTGTTTTACCTCACCTGTCTTTTGCCTCTCAGGATATTCTTGAGTAAATCGAATCTGCAGCGGATGATTTCTTCGACCGATTTCATAATACTGGACGTTCACAACGAAGTCTTCTAAAAAGGGAAACTGTTTGTACTAAATTTACTATCACGAGCTGCCAGTAAAAGTGGCGTATTGTAGCGATAACCTTGATACAACATCTGGGAACAAATTTGAAATTATCTATTTTGGCATGGGCATACCACTCTTCTTAACCTTCAGCTTGTTAGCATTAACCATCCCAAATTTCTTAGAAGACTGATACAATAGAAGTAAGTAAATACAAATCTGATTCACTGCCGCTTTATCGGGGTGGTTATCATCACGTGCGCTTTAGCTCCATGCGCTATCTGCGCTATCATTGGTCGATTAGTTTATGCTTGAGCTTTTGAGTCCGCAAAAAAAATTCAACCTGGAACTCCAAGCTTCATCGCAAAGCAAAATCATCACCACCATTTTCACCCCGCATTCAATCGGGAAAACTAGCTCCCAAAGGTCAATTAACACTTAAAAGATGGCATATACACCTAGAGGAGGACGTGGCGGTGGTGACCGCGGAGGTCGTGGAGGTTTCTCCAGAGGTGGTGGAGGTGATCGTGGAGGCCGCGGTGGATTCTCAAGAGGTGGCGGAAGAGGTCAGTTTTTACAACTCCCCCGAGCTCTATGTAGCGATTGGAAGGCCCTGAATAGCTTCATGGTCTTTGGCTCTCTACCAGGCTTGAATTATTATGAAAACAAAAGTAGCTGACCGGAGGGTAAGGAGGTCGAGGTGATAGCAGAGGCGGTCGTGGAGGCGGCAGAGGAGCACCAAGAGGTCGTGGAGGACCCAGAGGAGGAGCAGGGGCAAAAGGAGGCGCAAAGACCATAATTGTAAGTTTGCGCGAAAAGATATTCGTTGCGATGGCATTGTCTAACTGGCGCAGGAACCCCATCGTCACGCCGGTATCTTCGTCGCCCGTGGAAAGGAAGACATGTTGGTCACCAAGAACTTCTGCCCCGGCGAGTCGGTCTACGGAGAGAAGCGCGTCAGTGTTGAGAACTCTGGTGGAACCAACGAGGATGGCACTCCAAAAGTCACCAAAACCGAGTACCGAGTCTGGAATCCTTTCCGAAGCAAGTTGGCTGCAGGTGTTCTGGGAGGTCTGGATGAAATTTTCATCAAGCCTGGCGCAAAAGTCTTGTACCTCGGTGCCGCTTCTGGAACCTCTGTTTCCCACGTCGCGGATATTGTTGGACCTACTGGTACGGTTTTCGCTGTCGAGTTTTCGCATCGTTCTGGTCGTGATCTGATTAATATGGCAACCCACCGCACAAACGTTATCCCAATTATTGAGGACGCCAGACACCCATTGAGATACAGAATGTTGGTATCTATGGTCGATGTTATCTTCGCAGATGTTGCACAGCCAGATCAAGCTCGAATTGTTGGAATGAACGCCCATTTATTCTTGAAGGTTGGTGGAGGTATCGTTATTTCTATCAAGGCAAACTGTATCGACAGTACTGCGCCAGCAGAGCAGGTTTTCGCCAGAGAAGTTCAGAAAATGAGAGAGGAAAGAATGAAGCCTTTGGAGCAGCTGACTCTTGGTAAGTTCCTCTGGCCATGCATTTCATGCACGCTTTCTATTTCCCGCCTCTTATCATATTTGCCCCCCTTCTGCGTACATTATCTAACGGACCACCATAGAACCTTTCGAGAGAGATCACTGCGTTGTCGTAGCCCGTTACGTCCGATCCGTCTCATAGACGTCCTCTTTTATCATCATCCCCCCTACAACAACTTCCCGGGGCAATATAAATCCACGATGAACGCCATTTTTGGTGAACGATGTCCTATATTCATGTGCTTCGAATCCTGCAGTTGTGGATTATTTATTTCGCAAGTCAGGATAGGAATGGTTGTCTTGTCTATTGCTCTCTCGGCGGTGTAACTTAAGGTCCTTGGCGTTATCAGGTTTCTTTCAATTAGGTTGTGCTGCGAAAATCGAAAAAATGATGTCTAAACATGCAAGTTGGTTCTGTTTGAAGTTTGAATATTAAGTTGTCAGGCAGTCTGTTTACCCTGTGTTTCGCACATGTGCTCCCTAGGCGGAGAGTTGTGGCACTGGCATGCGTTTGTTTCTGTCCTGCCTTTTTCTGTTCAAGAAAATTGACATAAATCCATGAAAGAACTGCTCCTTTTCCAATTTTTTTTATCTAACATAGAAAGGTTCAAGGGTGCCGAAGGCAGGAACAAGTCTTTGGAAAGTTTCCGGAGTAGTACTCTATGAAATCTCCCTTCTATACCCAAGGAATACGGGCCTATCAAAATTACAATGCGTCTCTTGTTTCATTATACTTGCAAAATGGTGCGGGGTTTGCAATGAGAATAGGAAGGGGTGCTTTGATTGATGCGCTTCTGATGTTTCCCAATTCCTGTTTCAACAATACAGCTAGCCAAAGTTGTCACCTCGAAGGGTCCCGGTTGTGGATTTGAACGTTGGATTGTGATGGTGATATCGCGCAGGAAATCGTACTGGCGCAGATTACTTCTACTCAACCTTGGATTTCGAAAAGATTTCAGAAAGTAGCAGGAGAAGGTGTGTAGAAACCGCAGTGATGAATTCCTATGACGGACACATGTCAATGACTGGCTCTTTTTTTCTTTCTTCTCATTCACTTCGAATGGAAAATCAGTTTTATTGAGAGATGAGTTGTGTTGTATGCATTCGATGCCTCGAAATTATTGATATAAAACTGGGCTTACATTTGTGGTAGGAGTACTCGAGTACGGCGTTTGTCCGTCTCGCATCAGACCCAAGTGACCCTGCCCATGGCCAACTTCTACAGGCACTCCTCCACATCGCTATCATCAAACGGCCGTCTTCTCTTTCGTGGTGGCGACGCGTCAGCTTCGGTCTTATTGTTGGTTTTGTTTTCGTTCCTCGCACCGAGTTCGTCGCTGAATTGGTACTTTCGCTTGAGTTCAGAAATCGCGGCCTGGAAAAGGTGTTGGTTTCTTCTAAGCTGGGATTTGGGACACATACATTGTGACTTGCCTTGAGCTCCGATAATATTGGTAAAGCTTTATCGTAATGCCGCTTGAGCTAGAAAACTTAGCATTCGTTTACATGGATATTGCAACCTACAGTTTCTACGCTTCTGCGGATTTGGTCTCGTTGCAGAAGCTCCTTCTGTCGTTGGGCTGCAGCCTCGAGCTGCTTCAATTCTGCTTTGGCCTCTATGACCGGCACGACCAGTTCCTCCCATTTCGCAAGCTGGATTCGTAATTCGTTCGAAAGCTCATACAAACGGTCGAACTCCTCCTGTGACTTGACCGGGTACAACCTTCTGGGGTACATTAGGTTGTAGGCTTTTCCGACAACGAGAAAACTTTCCTCGGGACTGGGATCGATCCAGTCCCTCTCAGCGATAAGCCATTTGTCGTCAAGTTCATGTTCTCCATTCTGTTCAAGATCACTGTCCATAATGGTAAATGTTGGGATACTCTCGATGTTCTTGCCTTGCATAAGGAATGCACAAGAGCAGTGTCGACCATATACGCCATCGTGAACAACAATAATGAAGTCAAGAGCATCCAGGAGCGAAAGGTGTGGTATATCAATCTTCGGAGGTCAAGGGTAATTGATTGGGTCACGTTGTTTCCGCCATTCGAATTCTTTTGGCCAATACCCTCCTTTTTGGAATGGCTTCGCGCAGCGCGTACTGTCGTCTCAACGGCTGCGCGCATAGCATACTGCATATGTCAAGTGGTAAAACCCACTGGATCAGTTCAGCTCGAGGCAACTCTGTCGCTGCCTGCCAGTACGACTGTGTTTATGTATCCTGCCAATAAGATACTTCCTGAGTCGGGTCAGCATCCGAACCAGGACCCTGGAAAACACAGCACAGAATACGATACATCATCTAAAAGTGCAAACAGATTGTGAGTATGGACTCTGAAGGATGGCACTTTCTCTCTTTTTCTCGTTCTTTCTCATTATTGAGGACTTCCAAGTTCCAACAAGTGGCTTCTCAATTCCCAAAAACCTGTTTATTAATTGCTGTGAAATTGGTCGGTGAGAGTCCGGCAAGCCGAACAGATGTTAATGCCAGTTCCTCCCGTCTGTTTCGTTGCTACTCTCGGTCCGAAAGCCAATTGACTTATTTGTATGTCGGGATCTTTACTTCGAGTGCAGTATTGCAACCGAGTTTCTCGATCATCCTTGGCAATCTGCAATACTGACTCCTTACAGAAGTACGTTTAAGCTCGTTTAAGCTGAAGGCGCGATTTCCCACAAATCAGGCGTGGTGGCCGACGCAATGCAAAGGCATTTTTCAGGAAATGTTTGCTTTAAGGGCAGGCATGAGGTTGTTGACCCCTATTTTCCCGCGATTTTTTCCCTGTGCGTTTATTCTTTTGCTGGTGACATTGCGCCATTCCGCTTCAGAGGTACATGTAGGGATCTTGCGGTGGAGTTACATTGAGGCTCGCATGGCGGGGCATGGTCGCGCGAGCAAACAACCGAATTCATCTTTTCCATACCATCACAAACACACAAATGCATGCTGAACGGGTGAACAGTCGCCAAACCCCTTGTCAAGACCTCGATGAGTGGTATCTGGGGCTTATCGAAGATCTCCCCGCTTTTGAAAAGTGCATCGCGGCTTTCCCCATGTCTTATTCGTCGTTTCTTCTAGTGCAGATCCTTCCTTTTTAAAGCATTCATGCAGCTTCGAATCTCCCCCGGATCAACCTGATTTTATACCGTTATCAAAACAAGCAAAGACGATATCATGTCACACAAGGGCCTCTCCTTGTATGCTCATATTTTCTCGCTCGAGTCTTTTGAGTCTGGAAGCACATCCGTTACATACGTTATTTCGAGGGTTGCATTGCTTTCTCATGGTGTTCCAATGATTATGTATCCAAGACTCGACTCGCTCTCAGCATTCCAAAAACCCGGTTTTGGTGTTTGTCGAGTCGTCTAAAGACGCCATGTTCTATACATTCGTGGGGGAACAAACAATCTGGAACCCCTCGACTCCTCGAGCCGCAGCTACAAGCGTCAGCCGAGGTCTGAGACATTTTGACAAGTCACTACTTCCCTCGAGATCTCCACTTCGAGCGGGCTTTGCTCATCGATACGCTAGGACGGACGGCATATCCGTCCATCGACCTTGATAATCCCAATGATCTGATTTGAAGGCTTAGCTGCAGTAAACCCACAAGTCACCCCTTGTGTAACGTGGGCAATGGGCGCTATGCAAGTGATAGCCCTCCCGTAGACCAAGTCGAAAGTCTGCCTAGCTCTACTGACCCACATTGGAGGAGAAGCCTCCGTTGCTACACAAACAATTTGACAGGGTATTTTATAAGTAGTGTAGTGGCTACCTCTTTACAAGTGATATTGATGTAGTGTCCAGACCAACATTCTGTTTTTACCAGCCGCCTCTTGCTATATCCAACATCCAACATCCAACGACTAATTAGCATTTTCTTATTTTTTTCAGATTTCATTATGGCACCCGGGCCGGAACATCCCGTCTTTGCAGAACCAGGAGACAGCACAGGTATTTACTATATAATCGTTGCGGGATTGCCTTGGAACTGCTCCTGGCAAGAATTGAAAGACTTTGCAAGACACCTTCCTGGTGGCTCTAAGATCAACGTCGATCATGTTGTTGTGTACAAAGGACTAACGAACGGCTGGGTTCGGGTGAAGGACAAGAAAAGTTTCAAGAAGGCACTCGGTATGTGATGATCACTACACAACATGGGGTCTTATGTCGCTGATGAAGAACTTTAGAACATTTGGATGGGGGAGTCTTAAATGGACATGCTCTCCTCGCGGATGGACGCAATGAAACCGAGAGAACTATGCTTCGCTCAATCGGTTCTCCACCCTCAAACACTCAGAAATGTCGAGCATCAAATCACATACAGGCAAAAACAGAAATCTCGCCAAAGGTTACAAAGACCTTCCCATCTACTGAGACTGAACTATTCAGTCTCTTTAAATCCTACTTTCCTCAACATACGCCCCCAGGAACCTTTGCCAGCGATCCTTACTACTATACACCCGAACAATCTCCTTTCATGACACCCGTCTCCCCCACTCAACCCGTGATATCTTATATACCTCTGGGGCCAACCTATCCTCACTGCCCACCCACGCCTGCAGCAATCTACTACCCACTCTGCCCTCCTACTCCGGCAACCATGTACTACTCCTGGTCTCCTCCAAGTCTCCAATCCGAAGCATTGCCACAAAAAGTCGTCATCAAAAAACTCCCTGCCGGAACTGACGAGGCCTCCCTTCAACGGCTTCTCTACTGCGTTCTACCACATCAATGCGGAACCCCACAATCCATCGAAATTCCACGAAGCTGTCGAGAAGCAAGCAGGGTCCACGCCTTCATCACATTCAGCGATCAAGCCGCCGCTCAATATGCCATTGATGCGCTGAACGGCCTTCAATACTCGAACCGAATCCTACAAGTCTCTTTTGCGAAACCAGACCCTCCCCGTCAAAATTCCTACAAAAGACAGAGTGGCAACGATGCTGTGAAAATAACATCTGACTTGAGCTCCACCCCCAGAAGTAGGGTGGATGTGGGTGGGGCCTTGGACCTCAGTGAGGATAATGAGAAGCTGGAGAAGTCTATCAAGAGGGATGTAGGGAGTGCGACGCCGATGATCGTTAATGGGTCAACGGCATCTTGTAAAAAGAGGAGAAAGGTTTGAACCTTTGGAGTCGGGTTGTTTGTTTTGATGATGTCTTTTGAATAGATACCCGTTGGTTGCGGATTTGCTGTTACTCTTTCAAGAATTTGGATTGAAAAGTTCATGGGTGGTTGATTTTGTTGGAAGTTTGCGTTTTGGACTTTTGCTGAGGAATGGGGGGTTGGGCTGGGACTGGATAATTGAGGTTGAGAGCGAAAACAATTTTTTTAGATAGAACATAGATAGCTAATGATAATGAGGAATGAGTAACGATAAATGCACTTCATTACTACCTGTCTTTCTCGGGCACTTGAATATTTGGAAATGTAACTTTTATCTCCACCTCGGCTAGATATTGTTCTTCTGCTTTCTTCGAGCTCAACATGGTTGCCTGTGTCTCTTTTGGATGCGGTTCATTTTCAAAGGAAAGCATTACGTTGGTCAACTCGACTGGCTGTGTGTGGTTGAATTGTGTACATGGGCACATTCGGAGATAAGTTCTGCTCTCAAGTCATCTCACCCTTACCTGATTTAGTCCTGTCGATGAGCGATATCAAGGTCGAGAAGGAACCGCCGCGGAGCTCCCACAGGAAAGATCTAACCTGACCTTGGCCCACCTCAAATCTGGAATGGTCAAGGTCGACTTCGCTCCTTCCCTTACACTTTTGCTTTGCCTCAACCTACCTTGATCTTGTCACACTAGTGTGGCCAAAACAGGGCCCGAATTTAAATGGGAAGGCACGACTGTCAAGAAGTAGTTGGAAGGATGAAGTGAAACAACAGATGTGTTTCCTTCATTTGCCACATTTCCATAAGTCAAGCTAGACACATTAGGATTCATGGCTACTAGGGTAGGATGCAAGAACCTCGCAGTCAACTATTTTATAAATTGTTTAGTGGTATAAAACAGCAACATCACGCCTCTTTTGTTGAGGAAGTTGTGGGTTTTCGAACCGCCTCCGCATTATAAAATTCAGAATAATCAAAAATACTCAAACCCGTCTTTACGAAGAGTCAGAAAACAATTCTCCGCCCCAGATTTAAAAATCTCAAAGGAACTTCCTCTCCCTTACTCAACTTTGACATAGTTTCTAGGTCGAAATCATACGTAAAACTAGAATCCAAGGCAAACACAGCTGGGAACTTGTGTTACGAAACAAAGTCCTGTCCAGCGAATAACGATTCACTCCAGATTCATAAAAGCAAAGCCAGTTGAAGCGCTCAAAGAAGCGCTCAAAGATGCGCTCAAAGAAGGGTTAGAATCATTTATCTTAGCAGCTTATTCCCCAAGGAGAAAGCTCAATCTAAAGTTGCTAGTTTTACCTAGATTCCGGTACAGTAAATCTCGGCAGGAATACTTCCTGCTTTCTTTCCTATTGACACCCATGCCATTTACATGCTACCACTCTTTTCCGTCGCACATACACGATCGTTTCAAAGGAGTGAAAAGAAAAGTAGAACACTTAAGGCTTCCACATACAGCCTCTATTAAAAAAGGCAAGCCACAAAGTCGGTAACACGTACCCAGTCAGTCGTCCAGGGTTTAAGTTTTAAAAGCGAGGAAGAAGGTATGACGTCTAACCCAAAGGCTATTTAGATTTTCTCTGAACATTACCTAGCTACCATATTCTTCCGAAACTTCCATACTTTATGGACGCCGCTTCATATGGCTTTCAAGTACTGAATACAATCCTACCGACAGTCACTGTTGATTGGATGTTTATTAACAAGTCCACAGAATCCTCCGGACAGGTCTGCATTAGCTGCAGCAAATGAAGATGTGAACCATTTCGTCAAAGTTCATACTCTGTACCGGGTATCCCAATAGCCCGCCACGGAACTTGCAAATTTCGCCTTCCTTCTCAGATGATATCCGCCAGTGGTGCCTAGGTCAAACACTGTCTCATTATCAAACTCTCGCTTACTTTCCGTAGACGCAGGGGGGGCCGTACAAGTCTCGCTTACACCTTGGCGAAAGGGAAACAGCTCAAGACCAAAGTGCTGTCGTCACCCCCACTCTCAAATTCTCTCTCCTCAAGAAGACTACGACTATCAATTCGTAATCTGTGGAGAGTGAGCGTCGGAAGAAATCCTCCTCATTACGCCCGCACATCTGAGAGTATCGTTACAAATCCCGCTATTATTGTTTTACAGTACGACCAAAGTTCACACATATACTCATACTTTGAGGCCATCTCGCCATGCTTCAAACTGATCACCCTTGAATTTGGTTGTATTTCCGTATCCCCATTCCCATTATAGTATGAAAACGTGTTTGAACTTCTCTACTTTAGGAAGAAAACCCCTCAACTCAATATGCTGTTGTTTCTATCTCTAAAATTAGATTGCGACGCTGTTTTTAAGTCATTGGTTCAAAACGATATTTCTATGTGTCGCTCTACGTACGCTTCAACTAGAATCAGTACCAGCAATCCAGATATTACCAATGTGAATTACCCCATCCCCGTGGTTCAACTGAATACCATAAGTCTCACTCACTGAGTCGCCCAGCCAATCGTCCCTTTTGTTCAAACATTTCCAGTATAACATACTCATCATGTCTACGTACAAAACAACTACCTACAACAGTACAACACAAACACCATACTCACTCAGCCACCCCCAATTAAGGAACTTTCCAGAAAACTGATGCAAGCATAAGGAGACGTCAGAGGAGAGATGCATGAATGTTGTACCATACTGTAGAACACAACACATCACGTACCTCATCTGCAGAGTCCCATTGGTATGGTACTACGGTAGTACAGCAACGTGCGGATGGAGCGGAACACAAGGCGGGTGTTTAGGCGCCGAGGAAGCGAGGGATTTTGAGGGTACCTTTTTGGTTTGGTAGAAAGGATAGGAGTTGGGAAGTGGAAAGGACAATATTGTGATACTGAGCGGAATATGTGGAGATCCTCTAAAATATATAGAGCACTAAGAGGATACTTGTACGACAAAGTTTTCGTAGCTTTTCCGTCTGGATTATACTTTGACAAAATCTCACACCAGCAAACTCATTCTGCTGGGCTCGTAATTATTATCTCCTGCAAGATAAATTCATTGTGCATTTGTCTATACCTCATAGAGGGCAGTAATGATATAGAAGAATCTTGGTCAAGGCTCTGCGAACACCCGAGTCAAGTCAAGATTATCCTAAGCAATCTCGCCTCATTAAGTTAAGTATACAAATATTTCAGGATACTGAAATCCTGTATCTTTTGTTAAGGTATACGCGGAGCATTGTCACAATGTAAAAATGGAGGTAAGATTACAGCGGGGTGATTCTTTCAAAATCAGATGCCCAAACTGACTAAAAATCGCACAATCCAATTTCATTGAGAATTTCATCATACGTCGCAAATGCGGATAGAGGCAGAAAAATTAAAACGACATAGACTGCTGTCCGTAGTAGTTGCTCCACCTTGAATGCTGTCAGGATGCAAGCGGGCAGTCTGTGCTACTGACACCTCAAAACCACGAGACAGACACGAGAGCGGCAGTGAACCGAATTGTGCTCGAAGACTAATAGGGCAAATTATCCACTCTCCAAAAAATGAATCGTTTCCATGGAAATGAAGCACTGGTTGATTCGAATTTTTGTCATAGTTCCAAGTTTTTCACCGTATCGACCCCTATTCTACGCTAAGTGCCAACTCATCAGATCGTGTGTCTTGGATTTTTTTCTCAACAGCCAAATCTTCTCTAGTATGACAACAACCCTCGAATAACGGTCTCCGACGTTCGTGATGCAAAATGAAACCGGGTGGATCGAGGTTATATTCTTTTCGTGGTGTTGTTGATTGTTTGCGTGATACGGCTGATCTCGAGAAAAAGTAATGGTAAGTCTTACAAGTAGATTGTCTCCATGGCCAAGATGTCGTCCAATCAAGGACAGCTGATCCGCCACGATATTCCTTCGATCCAATAATCCTACAGGGAAAAATCTGGTAGCGAGTGGTGGTGCCTGGGATGAGCTGCACTGAGGATGAGGTTTATGCGAATAATAAACAAACCAAGAATGGAGGCAGTAAGTCTTACGTAGCAAAGATCTTACGATGTAAAGTAAACAAAGCTTCGGGTACGTGGATATTGTACTGGAATACCTGGGACAACCAAATCAATTGTGTTATAGAAGAGGCACAAAAATCAACTTTCCCAAAATATATGTATATATAGTATACTCTTTATTATTACACCAGTCTTTTTGGTATAACATTGTTTTCAATGAGGTGTACATGTCACTTGCTCACACATCGGAAACCTGCTTTAAAGTGACAACACCAAGCAGTTTTTCTTCAACTTTGAAGACCTTTCTATTGTCTTTATTGTTGTTTTTGTTGGTCAAAGACAAGATACAATAAGTGAAACAAGCCCAAGCTTCTTTTCCTTAGCTGGGTTGTGGGTGCAGTGTGTGGTCCGTTGCTGTTCCAACGCCTGAGCTCATCCCAGTGCAGCGACCATCCCATCCAACAAATTGGTCTTCTTCACCAAGACGCTGCAGATCCCGTCGTACTTGTGCAAACCATATATTCGCCATTCTCAGAATAACCTCATGTCCCTCAAATCAACTCAGCTGTTTTTCGCTGGCGGAAAGAGAGAGGATCTTGGTCATTGAGACTGAGACTGAGAATTTTTTGCTGTGGTCTCCACGGTCGTGGTACCTGTAAGTAAGCCTAGCTTGATCATCCCATTCTCATTCGCTGGGACCTCAGCGACAACACATGTTTCTGAGATAGCTTCCAGTCGCACCTGCACAGCACATCACATTCCAGAGACTCCCAACTTGCACCTGCTAATCGATGGAATGTATTCGCTTCATAGACCATGGCCCCTATCAAAGCCGAGACCCCAAACGACAATGACAGCGAAACTTTTCCATCCTCGTCAGAGAAACCCATGAGCACAACACCAACGCCTGCGAATAATACCCGGCGACGTGGTTCTACCGCTGTCAAACGTCCTCCCAATGGCAACGGCAATGCCAAACCCTCCAATAATACCAGTACACCCGCACGAAAGGCCGCTACACAGAATAAAATGAAGACGCCCACCTCTGCTCCTGCACGCACAAGAACTGGAGCGAAAAAGGCTGAGCCAACATTGCTAGCGGACTTTCTGCTGGGAAGACCAAGTCCTGCGAGGGTAAGAAGCAAAAGTGTCCATGTCTTGAAGGCCGATATGCGAGCAGATCTGGTGGGAAAAGTACAGCGCCCGGCGGGAACCAATGATCGAGTCAAGAATTGGCAGAAGACGAGCGCGGCAGCAATAGTCATTGATCCTCTGGCAGATGTTGCGAGTCTACCAGATGATCTCGGAGGATGGGAAAACGAGGATGATGGGAGTGTCGACGAGGAGGCACGGCTGAGGATTAAATTTCGGGGGGATAAGAGGAGTCATATTAGAGGGAGGAGTAGCGTTTCTCATCCAGCCAACGAAGCCCCGAAAAAGAGAGTTATAAGTGATTCGCAGTGGATGAAGAACAAGAAAAAGACACCCCCGAAAACCTCGGCAATCCCCAAGAACTTTCTACAGGCAACAGCGACGAATCCTCCCCTAGAAAAGAAGATATCAGATTGGGTGAAGAGGACAGAGGCGGATGCGGAGGCCGCAAGCAAACCCAAAGAGAGGCCACGGAGTCGAAAGGTTTCCAAGCATGACCTATTGGAGAAGACACGATCAGAATCGTCGAGGCCAGGAACCCCAGATGATGGCATTCGCATAAAACCGTCACCGGCGCATTCATTCGACGATGGAATTAGAGTAAAGCCTGGGGGAAGCAGCTTGGTAGATGATGGGATCCGGGTAACGCCACTGGAGAAGAAATCAAAGTCTAGAGATGCGCTTCATGACAGCGAAAGGGAGGATGGACCTCGTACCTCCATGTCTAGCTCTCTCCCCAAAACTCGAAAGTCCGATGTTAAAGAGGAAATACCTCGGACCAAGCTGGTAGATCACAAAGCAGAAGAAGAAAAACGGGCAGGTCGTTCCAAGGATGGACCAGTCGATGATGGCATCAGGATTAAACCTGTTCGGAAGAAGGAGAGCAAGATGCAGAATGACAATAGCGACGTTAAGGATCTCCTTACGCCTAGGAAGAAGAGTGAGAAGCAATTGAGAGTTCCCTCGGATGCTGGCAGTGCACGGAAGACCAGCTCTCAAACTCCAACGCAAAAGGATGAACTTGATGACGATGACAAATTTTCGACGATGACACCAAGCCCACCTGAGGGTCGCAAACGCCGCAAGCAAAAGGCCCAGACTCCTCCAGAATCTCTTGCAGATGTTCCTTTTGGAAATTCTGCTTTCAGTACTCTTGACCTACCTCTAGGCGCTGAAGCTGGTAACACGGTCAAGAGACCTCCGCCTAAGCGAAACCCAAGTTTTGCAGGAGTACCCAAAGTTTTGAAGAAAGTCTTCAATGAAGGCATGAAATTGGCTCACGACACCGCTGAGCCACCTCGGGGTGGAACAAATCACCCACCAAGTATTGAATCCTGGCTCAAGGGAACATCAGATCCATTTGTGGATAAACCAACACCACCCGCTTCTATACTTGACGTCCCAGAAACAGAACCTTCGGATTCGAGGAAACCAAGCTACAAGAAGGACGACCAGTTAGAAAAGGCCCTGACTGCTGAACGCGAACGAAGCGAGAACAAACCCAAACGACACGAGCGAAGCACCCCTGAACTGCCTGAAAACAAAGCTCCTTTGGAAGTCCGAAAATCCCGTGAGGCTCTTCCTAGCATGACCACCCCTCCCCCCATGTCGCCTGGTAGTCTCAAACGAACTGGGGCAACTCGCAATACCTCTTCACCTAAAATAGCTAAAAAGCTACCTCTAAAGGATGTTCTTATGGATGCTTTTCGAGGCGAATCCACTACGTCACGCCCGAGAAGCATGTCCAACCCATTTGTTGAAATTACTGGACTACGGGAACGGGATATCAACTCTAGTCCGCGCCCTATAGATCATAGAATAAGCCGTGATTTTGGAGATGATGCTTCTTCTATTAATGACACACCACGCAAAGCAACCCCACGAGCGCTCGAAAAACACCACCATGATGAACCGGAAAAGAAGAAGTACGAGGTACCTCACAGGGAAAAGAATCTTGCGCCTAGGAAAAAAATGTCTCCAGTCAATGGCGGACATCGACTATCAACTATTGCTTCAGCCGAAACATTTAGCACATCATCCTCAGCAATGGGAATATCTTTGCTGTCAGAATTATCACAAACTACAGTTACTCAACTCACAGCTACGACTGTGCCAACAGCCTCAGGCCTATCACGAAATAGCCAAAAGGGCAATAAATCAGGCTTGAAACGGCGCTTGACAAAACACTCTGATCTGGTATCTGTACTATCGCTGCCAGATGTCGTTCAACCTGCACGGGGAAGTAGTGTGAAGTCGATGCGAAGTATTCGCTCGAACAGAAATCGCTTAGAAACAGCGACTTTAAAGGATCACATGAAGCAACTTGGCAACGACGAAGTCAAGTACGCAATGGAGCTTAAGACACTTGTGGATGGAGTGATCCCGGTTCTGCTGACTTGCGTTTTGTCAAAATCCGAATCTGCCATTGCCGCGGGGCTATTCAATCCCAACCATGATGCATCATGCGATCCCGCAATAACCAAGCCTATTGTTGACATGGGGATTGCCCTTGAACGATTAAGGAGCCTACACAAACAGATTCCCCTTGTTGATGCTGATGCATTCATAACATGGGCACAAAGAGCACACAAAACCTATGAAGATTACCTAGTGGCATGGCGTGCTGGATTTCAGGATGTGGTGGTCAATTTGGAGCCCAGCAAAGCTAAAACTGACGAAAAGCTCGCAATAGATGGTATTGCACGAGACAAGAATGGTGATGCAGTTGCAGCCAATGGAGAACGAGCTGATGTCGCTTATTTCCTGAAGAGGCCCTTGGTCCGTGTGAAGCTTCTTGCACGAACTACGAAGGTAAAAAACAATTTTCGAGAAGAGAGTACCAGATGAAGACTAACACGCAAATAGGGATTGAATAGGGTAATAGCATCAGAGAAAAGTAAGTTATTAGAAGAAAAGTACCAAGCTCTGAACGAGACTGTTCGTCGCCGATACCAAGAAGAAAGCGCGAGGATTGAAGACGAAAATGCAAATAATACAGATCCTACGCGAGCCCGAGATCCCAGAACGTTGGACTTGGTGGAAGGTGTAAAGATTGACCGTACAAGACAAGTTTGTGCCAGAGATGTTTTCTACTTGGATTTACAGCATTCAGGCGGCCAGCGTCTAGATTGTAGGATCGAACTGATTTTGCGTGATAAGCCTAATGATGAGGGAGATGTTCTCATCTGCGATGTGGACGATCTGAGGCGCTATCTCCTCTTTCCGCCTATAGCCAAAGGTCTTATTTCAGCTCGTTTGGGCGAAAATCAGGGTCAGGTTGTCATCATGATCAGAGGCAACCAAGGGCCCATGGAATGGAGCGAAGTGATGCTACTAGATTCTGGAGATGCTGAGGCTGCAAGCGAATGGGTTGAACTTCTCGGTACATACCCGATGCCGCCTCACACGGAAACCATTGTGGATAACACAATTGAGCTCGATTCTTTAGTAGTCAATCTTCCCGGTTATAAGGAGAAGAGCGAGTTCTTCATGGCAGGGGGTCTCGGCATAGATGAGGTTCAGGTGCCCATCGGAGAGAGAATAAGACGAGAAGCGAAAGAAAGTACAAGCCCAAAGGAGCTTCGACGATATCCAACTCACAGGACTACATCGTCTATTGGAACGATCCCAGAATCAATCGCTGAGGAATCCGTCATCAGCGAGTCCGTCAAAGATCTCAACGACGCAATGAACAAAGCAGGAACCCTTGTGACTCCAAAACGATCTAACGCATCAAGATATCATGAACGAAGCAAATCTCAACCAACTACCCCTATCCGTGATCGTGACAGCGAATCACTTTCCAACCATTCTACTACTACGCAATCTAAGGAGGATGAGAAGTATGCAGCAACGTCAGCTACCAAAAATCTGGATAGGTTCGGACCAAGAGAACTGAACCACAAAATGCCAAAATCTCGTTCTTCTAGTACTTCATCGAATCCAGAACTCGTCGAGGCGATGGCGATGGTTCCTATGAGAGAACCCGTAAGACCGAAATCAGCGGGCTCGCAACACAGCAGCATTTCAAGCACGTCAAGTCGCGATGAGGCTCCTCCTCCACCTCCTGTCCATAAAGTGCCAACAACCCCAAGTCTGCACAAGAAAACACCCAGTATGGAGGCTCCGGTACCACGCTCGAACAACCGACGAACTTCCTCCCCGTTGAAGCATGAATACCAGCCTTCAGAGGATACGTCGTCCTCCGAATATTCCAGTTCAGAAGATAGTGGCTCGTACTCGGACTCCTCTTCAGACGATGAGATTGACGATGATGAGATCCCTGACGCTATACCATTATACGCAAGAAAAGTGTCACCATCTGGATCCATCTACAGCCTTCCAAACGCCAATTTTCCGCCCTCGAGCTCTACACTCGCCCCATCCAACTCAGCTTCTCAGGGTCCTTACCGAAGTACGCCTGTACAATGCCCGCCAGAGCAGATGGTCAAAAATGTAGTGATGAACCTGTCATACTGGAATGATAAAGGTCAGTGGATTGATATCCATCCTGGACCCGTCTCTGTTGTTGTTGGGCCTGGATGGCTTCGTGCATACAAACTAGATGAATCTCACTTCTCTTCTGGATCTGACGGAGAGCGAATTGATAGCGACAATTTTGAAGCGGAACTTCCACTTCCTCTCATAGCACAAGAGCTTACACCAAACGTGGTCTTATCAAGACATACGATTGATATCCACGTTCGATCACCACTAATGTCCGAGTCCACTCTCAAGATCAAAGGACATACCATTCGTTACCATATGCTCACACCTGGTGCATGTATCCGTTATTATCAAGCACTTTATGAATCTTGCAAGAGCAACATGACCTACAACAGACTCGAAGAGGAGAGAAGAGTTAACGCATATGGTACTTATGGAGCGGCAGCACCAACCAATCGTCGCAAGAGTTGGTTTGGCAGAAGAAACAGCTATCGAGCATCAGCACGCGCCCCATCTGAACAAGCATCTGAACAAAGTGGCAAATCCTCACAGTCAAGACTTTCCGCCCTACGAAGTCGTCTCAGTGGTGGTGGAGGAACCTTCAACATTGCCAAATCATTCATTGATGTTTCCCAAGGAGGTCGACCTGGCTCAGCAAGTCTCGGGTCCTCGGAGTACTCTGGTATCACACCTCCCCGCACACCAACAAGCATGTTTTCGGGCACCACCAACACGGCACAATTAACGGATTTGGGCTCCTCGAACATCAAGATCCGACTCCATCAACAAATCCGTAATCGCTGGTGTGACCAGAAATACGCTTACCTTACCGTCACACCGCCTCCTCCTGGCAGAAGATCCAACTCCACGCTCCCCCAAGGGTTGGAGAAACATATCATTGTTACGAGGAGGGAACACGATCATGCTGATGGGCCGGGACAGGTGCTTATCGATGAGGTTGTTGGCGCCCATTGCTTTGTGATGCTGGGGAATAAGGGGGTGATGGTTTGCATCTGGGATGACATCAAGGGCCCCAATGGGGAGGTTGGGATGGTTGGTAAAGAGGGAGGTGTTAGTGGAAGCCAGAGAAAGTATTGTTTCCAGAGTCGGTTTAGTCCACATGCAAATTGGATTTTTGCTTTGGTTTCTGCGGGGGCTTAGAGTCTCTGGTGGAGAGGGTTTCGAGAGAGGTCGAAGGGGATGTGGATGAGAAGGGGAGTGGAGGTAATGAGGATATGAGTTATGAATTTCCTTTTGGATCTTGGGTGAGAGATGAGTGGAGGTTTGGAGGGGGTATCTGAGTTGAGCGTTGTGGTGAGAAGAGCTTGTTGAGTGGGGAGAAGGGAACGACGAGAGAAAAAAGGCATAGAAGGGAGAAGGAGCATGGAAGGGAGAAGGAGCATGGAAGGGAGAGGTGGCATAGGAAGGACAAGTGAAAGGGCGTATTCAGGCGTTTTATCGATGGGTTGGCATGGATTTGGATTTGGGTTGGGTTGGATTGATGATATCAAGGGCATTCATTCACACATTTTGTTGATGTTTGCCATGCACTTAACCTTTTTTTGTTTTGTATACTAAACTACATTTTTGTTTTTTATCGTGGGATAGGAGGTGGGTGGATTTTTGAGATGGGATTGCATTTAGATGGATGGGAGCGATGGGAGGGGTGGATGGTTCTTGTTCTTTTCTTTTTTTGTGATTTAGTGCGGTTTAGTTTTAGCGTCGTTTAATTAGGAGTTGTGTACAGTGATTTGTCTTTGTATCGTTCTCGGTTTTATTGTATTGGTTGTGAATAGAAAATAGAGGATCCATACTCGCTCGCGAGCTTTTTGAAGATGGGGTTTTTGTAATGTGATGTTTGATGTTGATTTTTAATAAACGTCTTAGATAGCTTACTTATAATAAGCTATTTTTATACTATAATTAGTAGTCGCTCGCTAACTAGAACCCGAGTTTATTCGATAGAATTTCTATATTATATTTTATTCGAAAGTAGGTAGTATATTAAAGAGGTTCTAAATTTCCTATTCCCTTTCTAGGGGAAAGAACCTTAGTAGCGTTAGAAATGATTTGATTTGATTTGATTAATAGTACTTAATTAAATTAAATCAGATTAATATATCGACTGATTAAATCAAATTGCTAAGTAATTAGATTAATTTAGATTAATATAGAGTCCGATCGGTCCGAGACTCGGGGTAGAGTCCCGGGCCCGGAGGTAGAGTCCGGGATAGAGTCCCGCGTGTCCGGGTAGTCCGACCTCCCTATATAACGTATAAGTAGAGCTTATAAAACATTTATATAATAAGACTCTTCCCTTACTTCAGTAAAAGGCTTATAGTACTAATTATTTGTTACAACTAGTATAGAGCCACGTGAAATCATATAACCTACTTTAAATTATCTTAGGTATAGTATAGAACCGGAATATAATAACAAAAGAGACTCTAAAGGCTATACTAGTATAAGCCTAAAAAGCTAGGGGTGTTTCGTAAACAAGGACGAGGATATACTACTAAAAAACGCGTTATTTAAGGATAATTACTCTATAATTTAGTTACTATTTATAGTAACTTATAACTTATATTAATTAATTAATAATCTAATTAACAAATCGGTTAATTAAATTAAATTAACTAGACCTATTAATTAAATCAAATCAAATCAAATCTAAATAATTCAGAGTATTAATCAATTAGTTGATTATTTTTTCCAAACGCTAAACCTTAGGTAGTACCGAGTAATAGAATAAAATAACGTAGTCCACAAGCGAGTTGGATTCCCAAGCGAAATGGATTTTTTTTTCTTGGCACTCCACAAACTTATTCAGAGCGCGTTTTTTCTTAACAAATAAAATGCTTAAGCATTGGACAGAGTCTGATATGATTCTTGCGTTAAATACGCTTCGTACGAACCCACATTTAAAAGTTAAGAAGGTTGCGCGGATCTATAAAGTACCTTATACGACATTGCTTAATCGAACTCATGGAATATTATCACGACAAGATTCTATCGCTAAATCTCGAAAACTTACAGAGATTGAAGAAATAGTTATCGTACGACATATTCTCGACCTAGATTCTCGATCATTTCCCCCACGAGTACGTTGTGTTGAAGATATGGCGAATCGTATCCTCTCGGAGCGGGGTGCAGGACGCGTTGGCAAGAACTGGACTTCGAACTTCGTACGACGACAACCTGAACTTAAGACGCGTTTTAATCGAAGGATTGATTATCAAAGAGTCCAATGCGAAAATCCAGACGCGTATAACGCGTGGTTTCGCCTCGTACGAAATATAATTGACAAATATGGGATTCAGGAGGAGGATATTTATAACTTTGACGAGACTGGGTTTTGTATGGGCCAAATTACATCAGAAATGGTTGTTACAAGTACCGAAAGGCTTTCTCGGCCTCGTACAGTACAGCAAGGAAACCGGGAATGGGCAACAGTAATTCAAGGTGTTGGGTCGTACGGCTTTGTAGTGCCTCCATATATCATTTTGGCGGGGAAGAACCACCTCTCCTCCTGGTACGAAAACAGCCAATTACCACGCGACTGGGTAATTGCTGTAACTACAAATGGCTGGACAACAAATGAGCGAGCCCTAGATTGGATTTTTCATTTCGATCGGCATACAAAGCTTCGTACGAAGGGCATTCACCGGCTGCTTGTGCTTGATGGCCATGAAAGCCACCACTCAGTCGATTTTGAGCTTTTTTGTAAGAGTAATAACATTATTACTCTTTGCATGCCAGCTCATTCCTCTCATAGACTCCAGCCACTCGATGTAGGATGTTTTCGAGCGTTAAAAAGGTCGTACGGTGCTGAACTTGAGAAATTAATGCGACTCCACATGACATATGTTTCTAAGGAGGATTTCTTATCAACATTCTATACTGCCTTTCGTACGACAATGACTGAATCAAACATTCGAGGAGGATTTCGAGGATCTGGCTTAGTGCCGTACGACCCAGATTCTGTGATTTCACAGCTTGATATACGTCCAAGGACTCCGTCACGTCCATCTACCTCAACAAGCCTCCTAGCTATTTGGGAACCAAAGACCCCAAATAACATAACAGAGGCATATTCCCAGACGTCATATATACAAAACAAGGTCGTACGACACCAAGATAGTTCTCCGACCCAGATTCTATATGGCCTAGACCAGCTTGCAAAGGGTGCACAGCGTGCAATCACTGAGGTAGCTTTATTACGAGCTGAGAATGCTACACTTCGTACAGCAAATGATCAACTTAGTCGGCGTCGTCGTACGAAAAAGCGCCGATTACAGGAAGGAGGATCACTTACTCTCCAAGATGCGCAAGATTTAGGGGTCCTTAGTAATGTTGATTCGCAAGAACAAGTGGTTTTAGTAGACAATAGTAATTGTACGAGCCCGAGTCTAGTACCTCGCCGGCGCTGTGGACTATGTGGGAAACATGGCCATAACATACGAACTTGTCAAAAAGGAGAAGAAATATGTGAGGATTCCGATTCTGAATACTGTAATTAATTTAATTAATTGTGTCGTGAGATATTTAAGAATTTATAAAATGCCAAGAAAAAAATCCATTTCGCTTGGGAATCCAACCCGCTTGTGGACTACGTTAGTATAAAAGGAAGTTATTATTAAGGTCATATTATGCTCGAGTACTCGGTACTATAGTTTATAGAGTAGTAAGAGAAATACTCGGTTCGAAGAAATATATCTTTTCTTTTCCCTTTCTTTTATAGGATTACTATATAAGTACTTGTAGATATATATTAGACTAGATCTATAACTAAAATCTAACTTATGTGACGGAGCTGGATTTCATTTGACAGGATTTCATTCGCTTGGCCAAGCACGTGACGAGACTTGGCATTGGAACAACTTAAATAACTTCGCTCCTTTCAGATTCTCTTCTCTCTTTAGTTTGATTTCTTCGTACCTACGGTTTTAGTTCTAGCAATTGATTCAAAAGCTGTATACACTTTATCCTTTGTTGGCATCCGTGACAACTTATATTTTTTAAAAGGTAGGAAGAAGGCTCCCGGTAGACAAGGATAAGAAAAGTAGTAGAGACCTCTTTTATCTTATTCTAACTTAACTAGAAACTATTATATTATATTAGTTATTTCGAATAATTAAAGTGATTTATCGAAAACGATAGGATAATAAAAGGTAATTATTCGAGATATTTTGAACATTTTAGTACTTGGAATTAACTTACGCTAATAGTTTAAAAAATGAATCTCTGCTACTTTTCTTGTCCACCGGGAGGTAGGGTAGGGTAGGGATAAGCTTTATGTACTGTACCTCGGTTCAAGATAGTAGGCAGGTGTTTAAATAGAACCGTTTTAAGGCATACCTTCGACCGAGAAGGGAAGGTCGTCGGCATTTGTTAAGCGTGCTTTTGGTTCAGCCTTGCCTATCGTGGTTCAAGGGGCAACGAATGAGCTGACCTGGGCGTGGATCTCCGTCAAAGTAAAGTCTAAAAGTGGTGTATTTCGGTAGGTAGGGACTGCTGAGTCTTGCACATTTTGGATGATTTGTACTCGAGTATGGAGTAGATGGATAGGAGAATTCCGGCCAATGAGTCTCGTGATCGTCACCCTTCAGGACCGATCTTGAGCTCTTTCTCCTCATTGCACATATTACCGGGTTGATACTAATAATGCTGTTACCATCTTTTCCCAATCATGATTGCTGGGTTGAAGAATGTCGTTGTATGGGTACACCTGCACTGTACCACGGAATATCAACCGGGCCACGAGTCCTTTCTTGGTGCGAGAAAGAAAACAAAGTTAGAAGTAAGACTGGTCACTGGTTACTGTGACACTACCTGGGTACTGGAGTGAGTGGGAGTCGGTCCATGTGTTTACACATCCACATCCGGAGCAAGGCCGGTCCGGGTCCAGAGAGGACCTGAGAAGCGAAATCCTCGGGGATGTGTCTCGTTCCGACCAGACCATGGATGCCATTTGCTCGTCAACTCAGACACGATTGATTGGCAGCAAACGAACGGGCTCTAGAAATTAGGCGCGACCTCGAGGGGTTCTCTTAGGGGGCCCAAGGGGGCGGCTACCAGGTTGGGATGTAATGGGGGCAATTCGGTTCATTCGGAATACCCTCACAGGCTCGCCCTCGCTTCTGTCTGTACTTACGAATAAGCGCGAGAGTTTGGATGTTAGTCGCCTGTGACGCTGGAGTTTGGAAGTGTGTACGTAGTAGGAAGTGGACATAGTTGTTGCACGTCGCAGGTACAGGGCATAGGGCGTAAGGCAAACTTTTTTTTTAATTTCGGGGCTAAATGACAGTGCTGAAGAGCTCAGTAGCAGCACTTGTTTTCAAACGAGTCAAAGATAGCGGTTAAAAAGAATGATAAGGTTCAAGAGGGAAACGATGGTGATAGGTACGCTTCCAAGAACGAGCAGTATGGTAGAGGACGGCCGGCATGTTGTTGATGGCCACATCGTGGTGGACGTGGTGGAGTTGTTGATTTCAAGAAGCGACTTCCGCGGACATGAGCCCTGAGAGCCCCGCCTGGAGCTGAACGCTGGTCAAGTGACTTTGGACCCACATTTACCTACCCAACCTGTTATCGAAGGTCTTTTGCAAAGCTCTCTGTACCAGTACCTGCAACTTTAACCTGGGAATTAATGGATCACTCCACTTCGGTTTAAAGGCTTGTCTGGGAAGGAAGGAAGCGCGTCCTTGACGATAAACGACTTCCGACAAACATGGATCGACAACTTGAACCTTCAGCGTATTCGTATTGAAAAGTTCAATACAAGCCTGCGATTTCGGCCAGTTTCACTTTTTCGACTTCAAAATCGTAGAACGATAAGAGGGATTGGTAATAATTGCCATGCAGCACGAACGCGTGGACAATGCAGTCTCCTCCGTCCCTGGAAACACTTGCGACCGGAGGTTGAATGGGGTGGAGTTTGCGACAACCACGGAAGAATCAAGACTGCAAACGATACCGCAATAATGGGAGGCGATGAGTGCTGGCATGGATAGCAGCAATCAGCAATGAGATCCGCGAGGTCCTGCAAAAGAATCCGTGTTGATCGTCGCGCCACAGATGCATGGGAATCTCTCGAGGGCATGGACTCGTTGTCCTCGATGACATCCAGAGCTGCTCTTGCTCTGATCTCTCTCTTTGACTAATAGCCATTTTTAGCAGACGCAGAGGGTTTGATACACGGATAATCGAGACAAACCTCAATACGCATGTTCAAAGAAAACCAATATCGATTCAAGACAGTCGCATTCTCACAGTATTCAGTGACAAACGGCTGATTGTCCGGACGAATCAAGGGAAAGCCATCATATTCCCTTCGCTAGAGAATGTTCTCTGCCGTCTTTGCTCTTGCAGACTTTGGCATCGATTCCTTTCCGGTATTTAGGACAAATCGACGTAGGGAATATTGGACAGACCATTGATTTTGTTTGCGCCGTCATAGCAGTGGCTTGGGCAATTCCGTTGGATGCGGTCATCAGATGTCCTCTAGAAGCTGAAGTAGCGAGATCTTGTCTGAGCTGAGATGCTTCTGGCGCACACCAAGCTATTGGATCAGTTGACTCGTACTAAGTGGCCATCGAGCGTAGCTTCCAAGATCAAGCGATTCATATCATAAGAGGACCTCTTGTTTGCAGGAAAGGGAATGGTTCGCTTCCACCGTTGTAGTCGAATCAAGCATCGCATGGCCTAACATCGCAGCACCTCCAGACGCAGATTTCGATAGCCGGTGAGAGTTCAGTCAACCGACGTAGCGGATATGCAGTCAGCCTTTATTTCCATCCCTTCTTCTGTTGGCTTGCAGCAGGAATCCATTGGAGTGGTTTTAGGTTTAGGTTTATGTGTGCACTGTGCACTGTGCACTGTGCAGGTCGATGTGGATGAAATGCGGGGAATGGTGATGGGGAGCCAATGAGTGCGTAGGCGAATGCTTCCGCACCGAGGTTGGTTGGCAATGATGGTTTCTTACATAAATCATAAAAGTAATCATCATTCTGATGACGAAGGCTTTTGTGAGAACGGAGAAATATCGATCGCACTGAACCGATCTTAGTGAGCGATGTAAGTGAGTGTGAGTATGGTACTCTGATTTCTGTGGTGATCTGGTACTCGACTTCAGTCTTCACTCTTTCGACTTCAGTCTTGCCGGGCAGGCTGACGCGACGCTCTCCTGCATCCCTGGATTCATCGGTCTGGGCTGTCAGCAGAAGAAGCGGATTCCTTCTAGAAGGCGGCGAAGGAATGGAAGGAGGAAGGAAGGAAGAAGGAAGAACAGCAGCAGCAGCCTCCTCACTGCCGCATGCCACTCATCGCAATTTATCTCATATCGCCCGCGCAAGGGACCCCGCTCGGCTGCAGGGTCAGGGCCTATCAGCTGCGATTGCGGTCTTCCCCACCAGCCTTTGGTCCTTGGAAGCCTGTAAAAACCTGCTGTCTGCTGGAGGAAGTGCCCTGCAGAGCGCACGAGTTTGGTGAATCCATTCCCGAAGACGCCCATCATACAGTATCTGCCCTGTGGAACACTCGTAGCGGTTCAGTGAGCACGGCGACTCGACTCGATTGCCTTCTCCTCACCTTTTCCTGACAGTATTCACCTACCTGTACCTCAGTACCCATACACGGCGACTGCCCACTAATTACTGCCCACTCCCCACGACCTACCAGGTGCCTCCATCGCTCCTGCCCTCCCTGACACCACCACCACACAAGCCCTCTCGCTCTAACCCAAACCTAAGCCAAACCTAACTGCGTGACCCCCAAACACCACTCAAAGTCCACCTGCACCGAACCATCAACCATCCAGCATCAACCACCATACCTCCCCATCACACCCCTCCTCCACTCACATCTCCCATCTCCCATCCTCATCTCCTCCACTCACATCTCCCATCCTCATCTCCTCCCCAACCCTCATTCCCTGGTCTTGCATTGCGCCTCCGAGGCCGTAATGTGGTAGTGCAGACGTTGCACCCTTGACACGATTTAGTCCGCAGTGGCAGTGGTGGTGTGCGTTGCGTTGCGCTGCGCTGCGTTGCGTGAGGCCTGGAACTGGAACTGGAACTGGATTCGGTTGACGGACTTGACGGTCTGCGCCGCTGCCTGTGCCTGTGCCTGTGCCTGTGCTCCTCTTTCTCGCCTGAGCCGACTCGAGTTCCATGTTACCTCGACCAAACTTCCTCGTCGTACCAACCTAATTGATCTCTCCCACAACCTCCTCAACACCTCGAATTGAGGAGAGTGTGAATTTCCCTTCCGAAACACTCGTGCGCGATCATTCGGGTCCCGTCAACTCATCATCGTTGGCCTCAATTCCTATTCCACCATCCTCCATCTCTTCACCACAGCCGATGCATCGCGGCTTCGCACACCTGCAATCCTCGACCTCGACGATCCTTTCCCCATCCCCTCAAAAAGAAATATCCACATTCCAGACCCCCGTGAATTCCACGATTGCGATAGCATTCCCTCGACCCGTTTGCGATTTGGAATTTCTAGAAATCCCTCCCTCAGACACCACTGCATTTCCGTGACGGCATTGTGACTCGTCTGAAAAACTTGCGCTCCACACCCCAGTGCGACGAGGGACTTTTTTCATCCGGATCGCATCGTGGTCCTTTGTTGGGAAGGAATTGTTGACGAAAGAGATTGGCCGATCTGGGACCTTGGGCGGCGAGAGGGCGATAGGCATCCTGCGCCGCCGTGCGCGAAGCGATAATGGAATATGCTGCGTGTAATGTGGTGTACGTGGATCGCACAGCTCAGGAAGAGAGGCTGGTGAAGAGACACGATACGCCAACAACAAATCCGGCCATCAGCGTGCAAGATCACGACGAAGGGAATGCGACGGTGCCTAACCTCGTAGACGGCGATTTAAAAACACTGTTAGGGACATTTAGCGAAGGTACTACTGCCATTTTCCGCGTTGACGCATCTTAACCACTAACAAAACGTAGTCCATGTATGTACGACGGGCAAGTCCTGTATGTCAAAATTGTCCGAATTAAACCAGTCTTCGATTGTCGAATTAATACCCACGCTTGTCTTGATTGATATCCCATACGAAGATCAATCAGGAAGCAAGAGACCATCGAGAGAGGTTCGAACACCTTCGCCCAATTCGAGGGATCAATCAGAGCCACGATATGAGGCACACGTGGATGCGGACGATGAGGAGTACGGGCTGGGCTTGTTACAATGGATAGCCTCAGAAATACAATATCAAAGCCTTTCGAAGCTTATTGTTCCAGTGGCGTTAGTTACAGTTCCGGACCATGAAGAAGAAAGAGGGCGAACTGGTTCGCGAGATTCAAGATCAGGTGAGCATCTCAGTCTGGATCCTTTCGCGTCGGTCCCGAAGAAGCGCAAGCCAACCGCCACTCTGGACCAAGGGCGAACGATGAAGTATCTTGATGCTGGAGCCGTAGATGTATTAACGAGTCCTCTATTACCGGACCGGTTGCCTAGTCTTGCTATCCATGCTTATCGAGCTCATAAGGATGCTTCCAAAGAACACAGGGCGCTGTTGGAATTGAAGAGGGGAAGAAAAAGATCATGGGTCGGTGTAGATGACCAAAAACCATATGCATATTTAAGAGAAGCCATGGTTTCGGGCCTCATGGATGGAATATGCAAACTTGGAGGAGAGGATGAACCATTTAGCTACAACAGAATAACGGTAGCCTTGGATCGACGGGAGAAGATTGCTTCAGCTATTGGGACTTGGTCTTTTTCTGCACACGACTTTACCGACGATGAGCTACTTCATGCCGCTTTACTAATGCTACAACATGCCCTTACGATGCCAGAATTAGAGAGGTGGCGGATATCGACGGGTAAGTGAGCTCCTTTTGGTGGTTGTGTTTCGGATAATATGTGCGATGCATATGCTGACACCCGACGCAGAAAATCTCACTGCTTTCCTAGTGGCAAGTCGATCGGCGTACAATGCCTTTGTCCCGTATCACAATTTCCGCCATGTCGTTGATGTCTTACAAGCCATCTTCTACTTTCTGGTAGCGCTGGGGAGGTTACCACCATTCCCAGATTACAACGCTCACGACCAAGAAGAACCTTCGCCTATTGCGGCTCTCATCAGACCGTTTGACGCGCTCACATTGTTGATTACTGCTATCGGTCACGATGTTGGGCATCCCGGTGTCAACAACGCCTTCCTCGTTACTCTTAATGCGCCTCTGGCTCAACTTTACAATGATAGGTCGGTCTTGGAGTCGTTTCATTGTGCTGCGTATTCGCAGATTTTGAGACGTCACTGGCCCATAGCTTTCCAAGGAACCGAGATGAGACAACTGATGATTAACTCGATCCTAGCTACCGACATGGGACTGCACTTTGACTACATGAAAAAGATGGGCTGGATGCAAGAGAAACTTCATGAAAACGGCGGGACTGATGGATGGGATGGTAGGCTCATCGATGATCAACGAACACTAGCATGTTCCCTCCTGATCAAGTGTGCTGATATTAGCAATGTGGTATGTTTTACAGCAATCTCATAATGATAATTATCACTCACATTTATAGGCTCGGCGGTACGATGTCGCGGCTCAATGGACGAGGATATTGACCGACGAATTTGCTCGACAAGCTACCATGGAATCAGATCTCGGTATTCCGTCTGCCCTTTTTGCGGCACCCGTTCGGGAAATTGTGGAACTTGGAAAATCCCAAATCGGCTTCATGAACATGTTTGCTATTCCATTGTTTCAGGGTGTCACCGATGTTATGCCAGCAATGACATTTTGTATGGAGGAACTACATAACAATCAAGCCATGTGGAGCAGAAAGATTTCGGAAGAGCAAGCAAGAATAAGGAAGGATAGCGAAGATTCGGTCATGACTGACGGTGTATTTTCTCCACGATCAATGAGCGTGGCGCAGCCCTCAGATTCTTCTCTTCACAGAAGATCAATAGGTAACGCCACGCTCTTACCATCGGACGCCGATTTCAGAAAGGGGCTCTCGAAGAATCTCTTTGCTCCAACAAATGGCGTTTTGAGCGAATCTCCTGATTCTGAGGAAGCGCCTCACTACTTGATACCGAACTTTTCAAGACCTGGGAGCATGTCGAATAGGGATTCTGGCGCGGGCTCACAGGACACCATCGAACCGCCACCCTCACAAGTACAGCTAAGCTATGTCACCGCCAGTACTTCTGGGTTCGTTGACTACTCGAGCCATGGACCAGATGTCCTACGGAATGGTACACACGTCAATGGTGTAACACCATCACTGATAACAGACCCGGTGGTGATAGATCCTCCTACGCCTGAAGAAGCCAAGCATATATCTTTACAAGAACACGAAAAACAACGTAGTATGGATGGAACGGAAGCAGGTAGCTCTGCTGCAGGGGATTGGGCGAGCCAAGCAACAAGTGCAACCACCAGCAAAATGCCTTTATCACCAAGTACGCAAGGTACGAGCATCACAAGTCAGGATTCCGTTGAAAAGGCGTCGCTTAGTCAAACGCCTACAGGAAGTCCAGTAAGGTATCGAAGGAATGAAAGTTCCGTTTCTGATCTTGACGGCGTCGCTCCCGAAACGCCAGAAGGCAAGAGTGGTCTGGTCATGGAAAAGGTGAAAAGTTTGAAGAAGAAACCGAGTCGATTTCGAATGGACAAACTCAATTTTTGGAGACGAAGCAAGAGTGCGAGTCCACCTGTACCAGTACCCGACCCACCACGAAATCATCGACGGACTGGTAGCCAGGAAGAAAATGCCCCTCGAGCCTCCGATCACTGTTGAAACTCGCGCATCTTCACGATACATGGGTGATCTTATCACCACATAGGAAGTATTTATTCAAGTTTTCCCACTGAAAAAGTGGTCAAACGATGGATATTGTAGGATTATTTTGCTTGCTTGCCAGGGATATTCTTGGATGGTTCTTCTAGATCATACCAACTTTCTGCCTTGGCTTGCATTTGTATATTGTACACAACATACGAAAGAAAGGAAACACAAACATTTTGGTTGGCAAGAAAATGAGAGGATGTGCGATACCCCCCTTCGGATTTCTTTTACCGGTTTGGCTTGGCTAGGCTCATTTTGTTATTATTTTGGCTGGACCCCTTGCGTGGCATGCTACATTGGCGTTTTTTTTACATCTTGGGAACACACTTTGATCCTTTTTGGGAACATTCTACTTTCTCTCGGGTTTCCTAAGGGAGGAGCCTGCGTGGCATAGGGAGGGACCGACGGAAAATCTTTTTTTCCCTGGCTATTATTGTTTAATTCGTTCCGACATACGCCTGGAGGAGCAGGATGCTGGGTTTGGCGTTGATCTTTTGGGTTGATATCAGGGTGGGTGGGAAATATTTTTCTTGGGNCCGACATACGCCTGGAGGAGCAGGATGCTGGGTTTGGCGTTGATCTTTTGGGTTGATATCAGGGTGGGTGGGAAATATTTTTCTTGGGGGTGGGGGGTTGGGGATTGGATGGATGTGTGAAGTAGGGGTGATACCAACCTGATTAGGGTGAGGTGGATTTTCGTAGGGGCATTCGTGTGTCGGGATGAATGGATAGATGGGGTGGGTGGATGGATGGTATACCAAATGGAAATGGGGACACCTGGAATGGGTATAGATTGGAGAAGGGGAATTTTGGGAGGGCCGGGATGGACGGGATGGATGGGAATTGAATGATTTGATGAATGAACACCCCTTCTTCTTTTTTTTTGGTTGCTCTCTCTCTTCCTTCCTCTGTGATGGTGGGGAGTGTAGTTGAGTGATAGATATCCTGGATATAAAAGTGAGGGGATGAGTAAGTAACCATCTTCCATCTTCTTTGAAATATAAATATAATTATAAATATTTAAATACACCTCTCTCTCTCTCGTATACTGCTTGTAATGCATACCATATTATTTTCTTTACGACTTATTATTACCTTGTTATACCTTGTTATTTTTGTTGCCTTACGTCGTCTTTACCTAGTGATCCTGTGTTAAACTCGTGATATACTTGTATTTGCCTGCGAAGGTTTTTTATTAGATTTTCCTTCAAGTTTTCACTTCAAGTTTTCACTTTCCTGGCTATTCACTTTCCTTAAGTTTTCACCTCTACTAATACTTTACATCTATTACGTCTTTACTTTTATTACTCGCCTTATATCTTAGACCCTGTTTGGTAACCCAGATTATATAGCCAGATTATTTCAATAAGCGCGGATTTCGTATAAAAAAATAAACTATCGATTATTTATATAGATTTTATACCGGAATTTACTTTACCCGAGTTCCGACAGCGCGTAATTCACCCCCCTATTCTAAGCGGATATTCACCTCTCTATTCTAAGCGGATATACGAGCTATTATTAGGATATACTACTTTTTATTATAATAATACTACGTCGCTACTACCGCTAGCTATTACAATAGCGGCAAGAGGGTTGGAATATAGCGATTCTCTCTTACCGTTAATATATTATACTCTAAGTGTAGCCGCTACAATGGTAATACGCTCTCTTTCGTCCTTAAATTCGTCGTCCGAATCGAAATCTAGATAATTAGGATCTATTGTAATAGTAAGCGAAGTAGTATTTGTAGTTATAGGCGTTGTACTATAAGTAGGATTAAATATTAGTAAAGGGTATAAAAGGGCTCGATATATACTGTCTATAAAAAAGTAAATTGATCTATTAAATAACCTTGTAAAAGTCAATTATCTTATTTTAGTAGAGCTAGCTTATTTTTTATCGAAAAAAAAGTAAATAATCTAAAAGTGTTTAGCAAATCGTACTTTTTAATAGATTATTTTTAAAAGTCATATAATCTAGTTGAATAATCCGTCACTAAACGGGGCCTTAACTTTTATCCCTACTTTACTTCTATTACTTCTACTATAGCTTTAGTTCTATTACTAGTTTCGTTCTATTACTACTCTACTATAGCTACTATCTTACTACTATAGTACTACTACTTTACTTGTTTTAGGCTTTTACTTCTCTCTACTTCACGTCTACTATAACTTTACTTCTACTACTACTTCACTTCTATTATAATTTTACTTCTATTATAGCTTTACTTCTATCTCTACTTTACTTTTATTACTACTATTTTACGTCTTACCTTTTCAGGCCTTCACTTCTATCACTGGTTTCACTTCCGTCTACTTCACTTTTATTACTGGTTCACTTCCGTCTACTTCACTTCTATCTCTATAGTACTTTACTTCCCCTCTTCTTTAATTTTGTTACTACTTTACTATTTTTATTACTTAACTACTATCTCTACTTTACTTTTATTACTTTCCTAAAATCTTTACTTCCCTTGAAATTTTACTTCCTTAATAATTCACTTCTATTACTCGTTCACTTCTGTCGCTCCTTTAATTCTGTCACGTCTTCACTTCTCTTACTGGTTCACTTCTGTCTACTTCACTTCTATTACTTCCCCTACCTACGCCTTTCTTTACTTCCCTTATACCTTCACTTTATTTATATATTCACTTCCCTAAATTCTCTACGTCCCTCACGCATTCACTTTCCTCACGTATTCACTCCCCTTACGTATTCATTCCCCTCACGTATTCACTTCATTTACGTATTCACTTCCCTCACGTATTCACTTCATTTACGTATTCACTTCATTTACGTATTCACTATCCTTGCTATCTTTACGCCTATTACTACCTCACTTCTGTCACTACTTTACTTCCCCTCTTCTTCACTTCCCCTCTTCTTCACTTCCCCCACTCTTTCACTTCTTTCACTCCTTCACTTTCCCCACCCCTTAATTTTCCTTACCTCTTCACTTCTTTTGCTCCTTTACTTCCCCTACCCCTTAACTTTCCTTATACCTATCCCTCCCTTTCTACCTTATTCTAATATAACTTTATAAAATAACGGTAATTAACCGAAATACCCCCTAATTTATTATAAATCACTAAAATACCCCCTAAATAAATACCCCTCGAAAAGGTCGAAAAAAGGGGTAGTTTTATTACTATATTAGAACTATGTTAGAAATAAGAGGTAGTTCTATTAGTACCGCTTAGAAAGAGGGGTATTTCTATTAAAATAAGAATTATAAGATTCTATTTCTTTATAGTTTTTATAGCGTATTATACTAAAAAGTCGATAAACAAAGTAGATTAGTTTATTTATACTTACTTTCTACCTTATAGTCTACTTCTAGTAGATTTTAGGGTAATTAAGCCTAGTAGTCTTTACCCTTATACTTACGCTTATTGTTAGCTCCTTGTTCCTAAGTAATATCCGTAATTCCTGCCCCTAGGCCTTAATTACGTTACCCTAGTCTTCTTATACTTAAGTACTCTCCTTATGAAACAGGTAGTTTAAACTAAGTGGCTTTTTACGAGAGTTCTCCTCCTTTTCCTTATACTAATTTACTCGTCGTTCTTCGTCTATATTACCTAGTATGCTAATAAGATCCTAAGCCTCTTTAGATACTAGCTAGTAGTAGTAGTAGTAGTAGAGATAGTAGTAGATAGAAGTTATTATTATATAAGGAAAATAGTATTAGCGGTATAGCGCTATAGCTTTAATTTACTAGAGAATAGATATAGTACTACATAAAAAAAGTAAATGTTAACTAATAGAACTACTCTACTTTTTAAGTAATAGTAATAGAACTAACTACCTGTGAGGGTTGGAACCCATGATGGAGGCTCGTGTGACGGTTATGGTCACGAGGGCTGGATGTCACATGCTCGCTTAGCGAGGCGCTAGCGCGCACGACCTGTATTTAGTTCCCAGCTCTCTCGAGCTCTCCTTCTTTCGTCTTTTGTCCTAAGAATAGAGTGTTAATTGTTCTGAGTTCTACCTGAAGCACGTCTGTCACAGCTCGGGCCATGCCCTCGCTAAGCACTGACCAAAGTCCTCGTTGAGCACTGACCAAAGTCCCTGCTTAGCACTGGCCATTACCCCACTGCAAAACAGGTTTCTACTTTTCCACACTTTCTTGTTTTGTTCATCTGACATCATGTATTCGTCATTCAAGTTTTTTGCAAGTTTCTTGGAATATTCAGGAAGCTCTTCCTCTCTATATATAGAGGAAGAGCTCCCATGTATGTAGTCTTCACATACTTCTTAATTGAATATTCGAAACCACACCTTTGAGCTATTCGAGGTCTGGCCTCTCACACTACCCCTTTTTTCGATCTTTTCGAGGGGTATTAATTTAGGGGGTATTTCAGTCAAAATCCATTTACGCAGGGGGTATTTTAGTAATTTATAATAAATTAGGGGGTATTTTGGTTAATGGTTAATTACCGATAAAATAAAGATAAGATAAGAAAGATACTACAGAAAAGGAGAATATGCTAGCATTCTTTATAATTCATGAATATATTTTAAATATATATCTTTAATTAGCTTTATACATTTCCCTTTCCTTCTCGTCCCTTTCCTTCTCGTCCCTTTCCCTAAATATATATACATAAAAATCCCCCTATCTCATCCACATACACAACATCTCAACTCCCATAAATCCCCAAAACCCCCGTCATATTCCCGCCATCCGCACAGCTCTCCCCATACCCCCCCACAACCCCCGCCCGTCCCTGCAGAAACTGCCCCATCTCCCGACAACTCTCCCCCGGTCCATCCGCACAGCCATCCAAACTCTGGGGCGCATCGTTAACCAGGACGCGATAGTACGATCCGGCCTCGAAGCCGAAACAATTACATTCCATCTTCTCCATCGCGACGTTCGTCAGGAATTGCAGGATATTGCTACTTTTCCATGCGCGGCGGTGGTTGATCCTATCCGTGGGCATGGTCCCGTTGATGTTATTCGCGCCCGAGAAGGCGGAGTTGTTGAATAGTCCTAGGGCGACCATGACGGTGGGTGGGAGCTCGCGGTGGGTGAAGGAGATGTAGAGGTCTTGGTCGGTGCTCGCGTTGGATTGGGTGTTGGAAGGGGGGGAGAGGGTATTGAAGGTAGCGTTTACCCATGGGAATCCGATGGCTCCTGAGGCGGGGTTGCCGTATCCGGTGTTGTAGTGGTATTGGATGTCGTTTGCGTATTCGAAACCTAGCCATTCGTTGGGCGTGAGGAGATCGAGGTTGCAGAAGGGAGAGGAACCGCGGATTACGGTCTCGTAGCCGCAGAGGAGGGAGATGCCGTAGATGTCTTTGGTTGTGAAGTTGAATGTTGGGGCGTAGCTGTTTAAGCGGGCGGTTACTGGTTTGGTGTAGACTTTTTGGAAGGCCTGCTTATGGGTTAGTACTTGGTAGGAAGGGGAAGGGAGAAGGGAGGCGAGGGGAACAAACAGATGATTGGTCACTTCCAGCACTGGAACTATACGCATTACACCCTTTATATGGCGTCAAACTATCCGCACCCTCATCTGCCTCCTCGGGTATCTCCACGACCTCCACATCCGACGCATCATCCGCCAGTCCTTGACTCAAAGACTTCGCACTCTTCACCGTCCTCTCCGCCGTACTCGTCCAAATCTTCTTCGGCGTCCGCAAACTCTGATATCGCTGCGCAATATCAACACCCAACCGTGTAGCCTCCAGTTTCCCAGACCGGGTCAACATCTCCTGCTCCGCATCCGTAATGGGATTCTTCCATGTTGCGAGGAAGGATAAGGTGGGAATTTTACTCCAGTCTACGGATGTGTTGTCCAGCTTTTGAATGAAGGGCTCGATGTACTCTTCATAGTCGAAGTCGTTGGCGAAGATGGCGGCGTGACGGACGAGGTAGGCGGCTCGGGTTACGTTGCAACCTTGAGGGGGAGCTGGATCTAGAGGGGGGTCGAGGGGGTCGAAGGGAGGTGCTACTCCTGCTAGGTGTTTGAGGGGGTCGAAAGAATAATCATTAGGTGTATGGGCGAGGACTTGTGTTGAAGCAACAAGGGAGAGTGAGAGGATGGGGAGTGAGGAGTACATTTTGAGATTAGAACGAGTGAAGTCTCGTTAAAAACAACAACAACAACAGATGGATGAGAAAAGAGAGGGAACAAAAAGTGACCTACTGTTTACTTAAGAGTCTACCAACCGATACACCGTAAATGACGATGACCGGTAAGACGGGCAAGACTAGGAACCAAGTCCAAGAACTTTGCCCATCCCATCGCCACAATGATGCATTTCCCTAGCTCTGGACTCCTGCAAGCCAGCTGGCTGGCAAGCGAGGCGAGAGAAGATCAAAGCAAGGCATTGCCGTGTTCTTCATCAACCAGACATGCAGCTCCAGCTCCTCCACTCGGTACCACAAAAGAAAACTGTTCCTGACGTCGGCCAAGTCCTTACACGTGACCGATCTTCAGGAACCACTCAACTCGATACTTTAGACGGGATGCCTTTGCTTTTTTTTGATGCGAAAGCTTGAGTTCGGGGGTTAAACTCTGCTTGTTTTTGGTCTTCTAGATATTTTTGGATCGTTGGATCTTCCATCCTTTTTTCTACGAAAGGCTTCAGACTTACGAAGTAGTTTAGAGGTTGGGATCCGGGCGTGGTGGTCGGATACTCCTCGAGAGAGTTGAAAGTGAGAGTATTAGTCCAATTCAGCTCAGGTACAGGGCCACTAAGAAGATGACCAAACCAGTATCCAGGTCTCCTAGGTAACGAACGAACGATGAGACAACCGAGAGACAGAGTAAATTTGAATTTACACACCTGTGACTTGTCAACTCAGCGAGGAAACTCATAAAATGTCACTTGATAGACAGGACAAAAACTCTTTCTTTAATAGAATTTCTTGAATGTTCCTTTCTGGAGCCCCCGTAGTCTTGATCAAAGGTGTCATTATGTCAAGCAAAATTAGCGCTTCAACGCCGCGCTCCATTGCGGAAAAAAAAGGAACCAAGTCTCGGTCATGCACGTGAAAAGAAAATTATATAATAAGGATTTTGAAAAAGAAAAATAAATAAATAATACAAATCTTTTTATACATGATATATATGGAAATACCTGGATATACGCTTTCTAGTTTAGTAATATAAACCACTTGTCTCCTCTTTAACAAATATCTATTACAACAATTTCACCGCAATAGCCAGCCTCTCATCATCATCTACCTCTTCCCACCCACTCAAAAATTTACCCCAACAAGTTCCCTATTCTTCATTATTTTCCACTACCCATTGAACCCCTACGTCCTAGTAAACAAGTGCTGAGCTTTTGTGTTGACACCTAGCTCGCAGTACCTAGTCCCGCCGCTACCATCGTGGCTTGGGGTTTAACTTTCACTACCAAGTATACCCCGCGTTACCTTTGCCTAGGTAAAAGCTTATTCAAGCTTATTTGTACATAACCTTCTTGTATGCATGTCTAGCGGGAGCGATCGATGTCTTAGCTACGCTTGACATGACACCCAGCAAGACAACAAACAGCACTAGGACCCAATCTTGAGAAGCAGCGCTAGCCGCAACACACCGTAGATTTTGCAAAGATGACTTCCCGAAGAGAATCACAAGAAAGTGAAAGATGGCAATATATAAACAAGAAAAGCTCGCAGCAACTGATCTAGCCTCTCTAGATTCATCTACCACCTTCTCTCTATCTATCCTCTATTATATCTCTATATCTAACAAAATATATATCCATAATTGAAAACAAACACCCTCATCTCATCTACTTCCCCAAAACCTCTAGTATCTCTCAGTGGCATCAAACAAGCTCGCTCGCTTGCTCAAAAGAGAATCGAAAACTGAATTCGGATTCCGACAACCAGAATCACCTGTGTATCCTAATCCCATCTACGCCAAAACGGCCATATCCAAAAGTGTAGTTTGTAGATGCTCAATATCCAACATAAAATCCCGTGCCATATGGATTCGAGGCTCCTCTCATCGGTGTTTCGAATCCTGGGTTTGTGTCTTAATTGCTCTTCTTTGCATTGTTCTTCTTCGATTTCCCCTCCAACTCGTCGAGTTTGGCAAAAGCCTTGGCGATCGTTCGAACACTGCTGACCAGCAAAACTATTCCCACAAGTCAGTACAGCTCCAATGCTCACCGTTTTATGCGGGTCGTGAAAGTGGGAAGTTGGGTACACTAACTGCCAGGGAAAACCATCCAAATGAAATTCATGAAAAAGTAGTAACCCCAGAAATACAGAAACTCGGGACGACTGTAGGTAGTAGACTTGTAATAGTGATCAAACATGCTGGTGGCATAGTACAGGATCAGTCCGTAGATCTGGCCGACGCAGACGATGATTTGGAGAGGGTGACGGAGGGGATGCGAGGTGGTGATGAAGGCTGCGATGAAGAAGCAGCAGGGTCCCCATGTGAACTATCCAGCAAAAAAGGGAGAGTTAGTATGTGGTGATGAGGGGTTGCATTTGGGAATGGGAAGGTAATATATACAGCAGTGATAGTCTCCATACAAAGCACAAAAGGATCCGAAGTGAGATACCTCGAATCACTCAGTGCATACTCCTTCCACAACTGCCCAAACAAATCCTGTGCCGGTCCCATTCTCGTGTGGTTAATCGAAAAGTATCCCTCGAAGAACAAGTGAATACATCCCGACAGCACAAACCACCAAATTGCAGCTTTCTCCCTACCCGGGAGGCCTGGGTGCACATAGTTGACGGTAATGAGTGTACCTGTCAGGACGGCGGCGCAGATGGCGGAGAAGAGTGCCAGCAGTACTTGCATGGACCATTCATTTGCGAGGTAGTTGGCGATTGGGACTTGCAGAGGATAGTAGAGGTGATCGGTGATCATGATGGAGGGCACGGAGGCGTTTAGGGTCTCCATGATTGTGGTGTTGAGGCAGGTATGTCTTCAATGGAGGGTATATATATGGAGGAGGTGAGAATTGGGGGATAGGGGAGGAGAAGAGGAGGGACCCCGAGAGGCAGAGGAAATGAGGTAAAGATAAGGCACCGTCAGGGTCGTGGTGAATTGAGGGACTTCCCGTCGAGCTTGAGCTTGGAGGAAGATTCGAAGAAAGAACGAAAAAAAAAAAAACACTTCTAGAAAAGGGAGGAGATAATTGAATAGAAAGGAGACGCTTTCTATTGAAGCTAAAAGGATTGGCGGGCAAGGGCCGTTTTCTGCACTCGCTTGGGAGAGCCATACTTCCCCATCCAGACAGGAAGTGGAATTGGCATTGGCATTGTGGGGAAAGCAGTCGACATTCCGCTGGGAGTTTCTGAAAGTGAAGTGTGGCTGGTGAAAACCAAGGAAAACAATAAAAAAAGGAAGCAGACTGATAGGTCCGCATCATCCTGCAGCACGCCACAGACCCTGAAAACCCTTGTACTTCGGGATGTCTTCAGGGGCCCATGTCCGGGTTGCGTGTCAAGTGTGGCTATAGCTACGAAGTAACTAGGTTTTATAGCTCCGACGGGAGGATTTGCTTGAGTTTGATAAAATTTGGTAGCTACTTGAGCCCCGTCGTATACAGATTCAACATTCGTACACGTACCAACAAGTATCTACGCCTTCTACCTGTCATCTTCCAACTTGTATAAACGCCTTTCGTCAGTAAGGTGCTGACACTATCGACGCGGCCAGCCCACGCGGACCTTTTCTTCATCATTGTCCTATTCCGGTCTTCACAGCTCAGACTGGAAGATCAGTTGTCAACTTGCCCTGTCATCCAATCCCACCAATGAATCCAATAAGGATACGGTACGTAGTACTCGTAAGTGGGGGCTATTTCTCAACGACTCCACAGAACTTCAAGACACCACCAAGTGAACAATGCTTCTCCACAGCAAAAGCGGTGTGGCCTGGAGGGACGACAGAGGTGCCGTAGATAGGCTTGGTATTTGGGAGCTTAAAGAGGAAAGTCTTTCAGGTCCATGAATCTCCAACTTCGATTCCTCTTCTGAAATTGAAAGTATCGTCAATTTCCTCGCTGCCACTACTCATTCTGGTGAAGCTATCTTCATCCTGTAGAGCTTCCATCGTTCCTTTACTAGATTTCTTCTCGGTCATAGATCCCAAATTGATTGGGGATTCCATTCGCTGGCCATAAATATCAACGCCTTGTCCTTCAGAATCCTGCCATGGAATATCTCCATCCCCCTCTTCGGATAAAGAGGCGAGAAGACAATCTTGGGTATCACTGAACAACAAAGCCGGACCTGAACAATCGCTATTGAGCCACTGGGCAACAGTTTTGCCAATCACTTTACCCCCAGGTACTTGTTGTGCAAAGTTGATAATTCGAGGTTTCTCCCAGGAAGGATCCCAAAGATGTGCAATACCGCGACTCTCCTCACACCGAATCATGATCAGCTCATTGATCGTAGGATGCCAAGTAATTTTGGCAACAGGCGCATGAAATATCATGACCGCTCGAAGGAGTCTGGTTTTGATATCCCAGATCCATAAAGTCGTGGGCATGCTCTCTGTTCTTGTCGCGAGAAGCGTTCCTGAGTTATCGAATGTCAACATGTTTGTACCAGTTCTTGTCTCTGTATTGTTTATTGATGGTGTTTGCCCAGAAGTTGGTGGGCATATTGTACCATACTGAACAGCTGGAACGAATTCTCGTTGAAGTCGACCTTGTTGGGATGGAAGTATTTGTTCTTGCCAAACCTATAATCATTAGCCACGTTCTTTTTCTATGAACACAAAACTAACCTGAAGGGTGTCTGTTGGAGTGACACTTGCAGTATGCCGTACATTCAAAGATTCAGTGAAGGAAGGCGTTGAGAGAATTGTTACTCTTTTGCTATGATCGCCGATTGCAAAAACACCTCCATTGTGATTCCAATCGAACATCTTGATGCCCGGCCCTAGCTCAATATCTGTGTCTAGAATCGAAAAAGGACGAGGTCCATTCCAAGTCTTGAACAAATGCCCATCTGCTGTATAAACGAAGAATTTATGCCCATGCGCCGCAGACTCTAAAACGACAAGCCATCTTCCATCAGCACTCCAGACAAGTCCTTGTGCGTCAATGGTATCCGGATGCCATGATCTTGTAACTAAATGTGTTCCCTGTGCATGAATACTGACGATATCCTTACCTCCACTTCTTGTAAGAAGCGTCAAGTTATTTGTTCCGGGTCGGTATGCGAATCCTTTGCTCGCATTGACAGAGCGATATAATTTGGGCGAGGCAATGTCGACTGATTTCGAAGTGATGAAGTTCACAATGGACATCTTGATTCCAAAGTCTGAGAAGACGCATATTTCGTCCTCGGTGGCTCCAAAAGCCACACATGTAACCTTAGTTGCACCGGATGTGGGATTTGTAATGTTCGCGGAGAACTGAGGATTGGTCGCGGAGTACACTCGGATGTTATCTGTGGATGCTGCCAGTACTCGAGTTGACGACTGAGACCATAGAAACCAGGAGATAGAAGATGCGATCTCAGAGGGAAGTGTCACGACTCGTGCGACATCGAGTGAGCGGGTTGTTCGGATGGTGAGTTTTGAGGGGACAATGGTTGCGATGAATGCGCCGTCTGGGCTGGGAAGGCATTGCGTAGATGCTAGGAAAGAAAGGGTGTCAACTGCGATATCAATTAGGATGGGAAGTGGTATGCTCACACTTGAATGTCCTCGAGTAGCGCATGTTGGATGGTTTACTTCGAAACACTGGTGTTGATACCTATTCAGCTTTGTTTACTTTAGGTTGGTATCCAGGTCCCTAAGAGCTTAAATCAGCCACAGCCGATGAAACCCCGACCGAGTATCGAGGCCTCTCCTCCCACCAAGCGACCCCACCACCAAAGACCTCTGTCATCAACACACACAACTTCGTCATACCTATTCGCATCTGCAATCCACCTGCATGGTTGCTTATTCACAAGGTGCTCGTAGTAGCGTTGGATCGCCACAAGAATCCAGGTCACGTTCGTCCTTTCCAGCATGGGGCAACTGAAGATTTCTAATTGTTTACTGTCTTTCTCTTCTGCAGCAGAAGCCTCCATTTTCCAAGATGTCTCTCTTCAGGCGTTCCGCTTCTTTTCTGCAATGCAGCAAGCATAACTCACTTGTTGCTTCGTCCTACCGATGCCTTACATCCGCATCCGCTAGCCCAGCAGTTGCGACGGTTCCGGATGTAGAACCTTATGTTTCTCATAATTTACCACCGGACAAACCGCTTCAAAATCGTCGCAATGCAATAAAAAATGCCAGGCCCTTTTCCGATTTCCTCACTGATACCTACAATCGAGAACATAATTACCTTCGAATATCTTTGACAGAAAAATGCAACCTGCGATGCCTGTATTGTATGCCGGAAGAGGGTGTTCCCCAATCGCCACCTCGAGAGCTTCTCACTACCCCCGAGATATTCCTTTTATCATCGGTGTTTGTCTCTGAGGGCGTAACGAAGATTAGGTTGACTGGTGGTGAGCCTACAGTACGACGAGATATTCTCCCACTGATGCACCAAATTGGATCACTGCGGTCGCAGGGCCTACGGGAACTTTGCATAACAACCAATGGCATATCTTTACATCGAAAGTTGGACAGTATGGCAGAAGCTGGGTTGACTGGAGTAAATCTCAGCTTGGATACACTGGACCCATGGCAATTTCAAATCATGACGAGGAGGAAAGGATTCGAAGCGGTTATGAAAAGTATTGACAGAATTCTGGAAATGAATCGGCTCGGTGCTGGAATCAAGCTCAAGATCAATTGCGTGGTTATGCGAGGAATGAATGAACGCGAGATAGTTCCTTTTGTGGAACTGGGCCAGGAACAAGATATCGAAGTTAGATTTATTGAATATATGCCCTTTGATGGGAACAAATGGAGCAAGGGAAAGATGCTACCCTTCCAGGAGATGCTGGATATTATCCGGGCCAAATACCCGTCGTTGCGGAAAGTTCAAGATCAAAAGAATGATACCAGCAAGACGTATGAAATTCCGGGCTTCGTTGGGAGAATGGGTTTCATTACGAGTATGACGCACAATTTCTGCGGATCTTGTAACAGATTGCGGATCACCAGTGATGGAAATCTCAAAGTATGTTTATTTGGAAACGCTGAGGTTTCTCTTCGGGATATCATCCGTAAGGCGAATGATGGAAACCCTATTGAGGAAGAGGCTTATGAAGCCATGAAACAACTTGAGATGAATAGAAAAGAAGGCTTGGGATCTTCGGAGAGCCCTCTTGGTCGATCAACACACGAAAAGGAACTCCTCGATGTTATTGGTCTGGCTGTCAGTCGCAAGAAAGAGAAGCACGCCGGAATGGGAGAGTTGGAGAATATGAAGAATAGACCAATGATTTTAATAGGTGGGTAGGATTTTCTTTCTTTTTCACTCAGGGTAAAGTGCTTTTTACAATTTTTCGGATACCCAAATGTATGTATGTGTTAGATAGCAATCTGAAGATATGTAAGAGTAAGCGATGTGTTTGCGCGTTTTTCGATTTCTGTACTAATTTGATGCAGGAGGGAGAAACGCCCAAAAGCCAATTAGAACGTCCCCCCAAGTAATTCCTTCTTTACGACCATGGACCAGAATTCCAACTCACTTCCTTCTATCGCCCACAACCCTCACTAGCGCTCGTCATTACTCTACTAGAATCCCACCCTCACCCAGCACTACTGAAACAAAAACTGATAATAACACCTCGTCAAACCCCACACTTACTCACCTAACTCCTCAAGGAAATGTACACATGGTATCCATCTCCTCCAAAACCCCAACTGTTCGTACGGCTATTGCCAAATGCACTATCCATTTCTCAAACCCGACAGCTATCAAATTGATCCGCTCAAACGGTGTAAAGAAAGGAGACGTACTTGCCGTATCCAGAATCGCAGGAATCATGGCCGCAAAGAAGACGGGGGAGTTAATTCCGCTCTGTCATCCCGTTAGTATCACAGGTGTGGATATTGGATTGGAAGTTTGCGGTGGCGAAGACTTCGAATCGACAGGAGAAGTCAGTTCTAGATGGCAGGGTACGGGACAAGGCGATGCTTATCCTTGGCACCGTCAAGACTTTGGTCATGTAGAGGTTACTACGACCGTTACTTGTAAGGGAAAGACGGGCGTGGAGATGGAGGCTCTTACTGCGGCTGGTGTGGCTGCGCTGACGGTTTATGATATGTGTAAGTCTGTGGATAAGGGAATGAGAATTGGGGATTTAAGGGTTATTAGGAAGGAGGGAGGAAAGAGTGGGTTGTGGGTTGAGGGGAAGAAGGAGAATGTGGAAGGGAAGTTGTGAGGTACAGACTTCATATCTACAGATTCGGGCTGGTATTACGGCTGCGAGGCGGGGTACTGTGGTGGTTAAAAAATGCCGACGAAGTCGAGAATGAGGATTGCAAAAGATGATAATCACAAACAGGGAAGGTGCCATCGAGATTGTCCTTCGCTCTTTCCTCTTTCTGCCAAATCACTTTGCATCTGATGAACACCAACTTTACGATTCCTAATGGCAAGAGCGATGGTCTGTATCTTCGGCTCCATATTAAATCCAAGCCCTTCTTCTCCATCATGACAGATACGATACGTATTTCTATATCGATCAACGATAATCCTATGAGTCCCTACAAAAGTATATGCGCACCGTCCGCGCATTTCAATTCCTCAACTAGAATCATCAACCTCTCATTAACCTCCCACTACCCCATAGTCGCAACCGGCTACAACCACAGCTATCCCCATTCATCCAAACTATGCCAACCCCAACCACCTCTCGAAAACTCATTAAATTCCCTCCATTCGCACTGAAAAAGTCCCACCAACTCGGCTACCAAGAAATCCATGTCCTCTTCCTTTCCTGGCAGGCAGACGATATTGGCGTCTCGGCTCAACTTGATCTTCTATCGAGAGTCTTCAGTTCTGTGTATAACGCTACGTCTATAGCGAGTTGTCTTATTCCATCAGAGGATTCAGAGGAGTTTGTTAGGGGTGTTGTTGCGGGGTTTTTAGAGAGGTGGGATGGGGTTTGTGAGACGGGTTTTGAGGGGGTTTGTGTTGGTGATTTGGGTAGGGGTTTGGGGGTAGGAGGCGAAGGGGGAGAAAGGAAATTGCGGAAAAAACGGAGAAAGGATGGTAAGGTGAAAAGTGTTAAGGCAGCGGAAACGAAGAAGCTTCTTTTGATATACTACTCGGGACATGGAGAGGTGTCTAAAAAAGAAGGGGGTGGATTAGATTGGTGCGCTTATAAGTATATCTCACCTCCCTCTCCCCATTTGTGGAATCGAAATCGAGAACAGGCTAACACACAAACCTAGGAAGAAACCATTCGACGAATTAGATCCTCCATCCCTCCCCTGGACACCAATACAAAAAAGCCTCGAATTCACACAATCAGACATCCTCCTAATCCTAGACTCCTGCTCGTCCGCCTCGTCCATCTCTTTCTCGCCCTCCCCATTAACCTCCCAAATTCAACAATCCGACCACCGAAAACTCCCATCTCATCACCCCTCTCAACGCAGCACCTTCACACTCCTCACCTCATGTTGTTTCTCCACCCAAACACCGGGTTTAGGTCCAGATTCATTCTTCAATTTCTTCGTGCAGGAACTCTGTTCTCTTCCGCTTGTCAAGAAAAGTATGCGAGAAGGGGGATTTGAAATCGAGGAGTTGCATCGGAGATTAGTTGCTAGGGCTGGACGAGGTGGTGAGGGCGCGAGATGTCCGGTTCTTGTGAGGATTTCTAGTTCCTATGGAGAGAGGGGGGGTGGGAGTGCGAAGGGTATTGTACTTGGACGGTTGGAGGATGAGAAGACAGTCAGGGAGACTATGGTGGAGAATTATTTGGTTTCTGCGAGGGAAATTTTGGGGTTCTTGGAGGAGAGATTTTCTAAGGGGGATGAGGATGAGCTTGAGGGGCATGGCATGAAAGAGTTAGCGGAAAGTGCGAGAGATGGATGTGAGGGTGCCAGGAGAGATAGTGTTGATTGTTGTGAGGTAACAGATTGCCAGGTTGTTAACTGTGAGAGTGAGGCTACTAGTGTGGATCAGAGTGGGAGTAGAAGAGTCTCTGGGTCAGGGGTTATAAGATTGGATAGCAGTGAGTCTGAGGATACTCTGGGACCTTTGGTTCGTTGTTAGGGTCCTGTTGGTTAAGTTTACCTTGGTAGTTATTGGAACTTCAAGAAAAATGCAATGAACGGTTCTATTCTTGGTGTCCATCACTGTAATTATCTGCTTCTGAGATGTGTAGGAAGTGTGGTTTGAAATTATGGTACAGTCCTAGTTCAACCTCTTAGACAATTCCTGAAATTTGGGTGTCATCAACAGGGCCCATCGTTCGCTTAACCAGCGCAAAATAGTGATGGAGAATTACATAGAAATTCTCAACTCGCTTGACTATATACAAAAGTTAATCTCTGTCCAACTTCCAAGCTGTCATGAAATTGGTCTTCTCGCACGAGGAACGATTCACAGAATTATCACCTGGACCCCATATGTTCCGGCGGCATCCCCAGTGCGTTATCGCTCCCTTATAAACCCAAGGTTCAATGCGAACTCGCGCTCTCCCACCTCTTTCGCCAAGCTTTCTCTCTTAATTAACTAACCGCAAAAACTCAATTGACTTATACCTTCGTCTCATTTTTAGGCTCAGCAGCCGCTTTTCCCTCACACCCAATCTTCGTCCCCGAAACAACAATATCATCAAACCAAAACGTATTCACATCCCCTCCATAACTCTCCCACCCAAAGTTAACAGAAGTAATCTTCGGCGTTGTCTTACCCCTCTGCCACTGCCCCGCATTCGCATTCGCAACGCCAGGTTTGGATGTTAATCCCGCGACCGCGGTGCCATCGACGAAGGTCTCGACTGTCCCGTCGGTGCCGAGATGGTACTCCAAGCAGGTCCAGATGTTGGCGACTAGCGCTTTGCTGGCGGCGATGCCGTTAGGTGAGAGGTCGGGCAGCGTGGCATCGTCGGTTTCGCGGTTGTACATTAGGATTTTGGATTGGCCGCCTATGCGGATGTGTTTTTTTGCGCCTTGAGCGGAGTCGGGCATGGTTATGAAGGTGACGTGGGCGTCGGTTAGGGCTTTAGATGCCTTTCTGTATAACATTCAGCTTTCTATTTTTCTTTCACGGCATAATATGGATTTGGTTGTGTTTTGGACGTCAGGTGTTGGATGGAGAGGGACTTACAGCCATGTCCTCACAAATACATCTCCGCTGGGGACTTTCGAGGTCCCGAAAAACTTGTGACCGCAATAACCCCCTGCACCATCTACCCTCAAAGAATTTTTACCGCTTTTAGCGGTGGTGGTGTCGAGTGTTACTTTGCCGCCTTGGTCGCAGTCTACTGCGTAGGTGGGCCATGCCTTATCATCCCATCCGTTCTCGAAATCTTCCGAGATTTGGGCGAGAGAAAAGGGGAGGAGATTAGCGAGAGTCAGGAGAAGAATTGGTCGGTACATGTTTGTCTGTATATCGGTGTCTATGTCGTGGGGAAAAGTACGGAGAAGAAACGAGGAATTTCGACGTGGCGAGGGGTTTTATATAATGGGGCTTCTTGTAGCCTAAGCTCTCTGATGAGAGGAGGTTTCATCCATATTCAACTGGTAGATATTCCTTGGTCTTTGCCTATATACAGTACTGTGGAAAATTCATCTGGGCGACTGCCGACGGTAATGTCGGGTGTGGAATGTTGAGCCGCGTGCCTAAATTCAGGGGCTTCAGATGAAATTACTTGGATGCTACTTCGAAGTACTAGACTGTAAGAGATCTGGCAGCTTTACCCTGGATATTTCAATTGCTTATCCAAAGGAAAGTTAGGAAAGTTTGGAAAGTTCCAAGCTGGGACCATCTTGTAGGGAGGGGTACCGTGGAACCTTATAAAGAGCGTGACTTTTCACGTGACATTTCTCTGCAGTCCACTTGCATGTCTAGGAGAAGGAGGGATGAAGGAAAATCTGTCGCGAGTAGTGAACAGGTTCTACGATTTGAACCGGGAAAATGACAGCGGAGTTTAAAGTCCGCACTGTAATCCACCTAGCTCGCTTAATTTGACCCCAAATTGGTTGAACACCCTCAGTATCCCCCGAGAGGAATCCTACCAACTCTAGCTCCCCTCGTCTCAATACTATAGCTTATGGAGGTTGTTGAAATTGCTTTGTGGATGTTTTCGAGATCCCAAGGTCCGCTTTGGAATGAAACTTCCACTGGAACGTGTTCCAGAAGCCGTCTGAAGTCTAGGTCGTCTCAACATTAGCGCAAAGCTGGAAACTCGGACCTGGCTAAGGTGAAAATAAGCGTTCGGGCCGTTGACACCTCCTTACCTGTGCAAGGGGAGCAGTATTTTCTTTGGAAAACAATATTTCGTATTCTCGTCATTTAGCGACTCATCTTCTCTCACCCATTTGATTCGCCCTCAATCTCAATCGTCTTATTTTGCCTTTAGAACAAACAATCCATCTTTCCAACCATACCATCTACCCATTCTCTTACCAATAGCTCTCATCATGACACAATCAATTTTTCCAACGGGATGCGGCTTATGAAAGTTGATTCTGCCACTCCAACCTCTATCATTCTCCTCTGGTTGGAAGACAACTTCGGATCCTGTAGTTTGCCGAGATTTAAATCCGACATCTGACATTGCCATGACAAAATCATCCCAATTGATTAGTTTTGAAGCTGCTTCTGCGGTGCTCGAAAACATGGTGTTCAGAATCCGAAGAGTTGGTGCTTTGATTGGAAATGGCTTGGCTGTGGTAGTTTCTTTGACCTTGTGTGTCGCAATGGATAGTTTCTCGATGTTGGGAAGCTGCTCCGGGTTCTTTTGCGTCTTTGATTTCTTTGATCGCGAATTAGCCTTTGTAGAGGCAGATGGAGCACTTGGAGTTGAGCCCCATTCTCTCTGAGCTGGCTCCAAGTAATTTGGAGGAGGATGGTGTGATAGGCGCTGTATGCGATCGACAATCTTTTGTCGCTCTTCCGCAAATATGTCTTGGTAACTTGATTCGAGATCAGCTGAAATAAGCTTCAAGTCTTCGGCTATGTCCTCAGCAGACCAAACCTTTCCTCTCATCTTGAATGCTGACTGGCGTTTTCGACGGATCAGGGACCAGAAATTGGTTAACGCGGCTCTGGTAGAGTTGAATTGTTCTAATCTCATTTGATCATTTAGGTCTGCTTTGGTGAGATGGCTATCAAAAGCTTTTGTGAACCTGAGAAGCGCTTTGGACCCATTCTTGTCGTGAGGGCGCATATAATACTCCTCGGTGATTCTTTCGATTTGGTGCCGCAGCACTGTCGGACGACCTAGACTTTGAATATTTTCAGGCTCGAAAGAGTCGAGCTCCACAAGCAGCGGTGGCATTGGAAGATGCCGGTGGACGTTGGCGAAAAGTTCCTGTATGGCTGCATAATCTGCATATCTTTCATAGAGGATTTCATCAAGTCGGGCGGAATCTGCTTGTGTGGTATTGGTGAGATGGTCCTCCAGGAATGCCCATTTTGTAGCCAGATCAGAACTTTCAGGGGCAACGGCATCTGGATCGATCGGCAGAGTATGAAGGATGAAGAAGAGCGGATCTTCAGAGTGTACTTTTGGAATGTCTATTAAGCCTGTGATGGCAACTTGATCGGGATGAGAATGGTCGAACTTGAAATATTTGCGAAAACCCGGTCGCCACGATAACATCATAGGCAAAGGTTCCAGACGAAGCCGAAATTGACAATCCAGGAGCAATTCCAATTCCTGTAGGACCTGTTCGTACTTTGGGGGCAGTGGCCGTCCAGGATAGATGAAATCTCGAAACTTGAGCTGCATTGTTCTCACATTAACACAAGCTTCCACAATTGTTGCCCATGACCAATAACACCAAATGTTGTAGTAGATTTCAGCAACCGCAAAGTCATGAACCTCTTCTGTTGGATGACCTTCAGGGTATCCTTCAGCAGCCATTTGTATCACCCTTCGCAAGTATGCAGGGTCTGTTTGTATCAACCAAAGATGATCACCAACCATATTTTTTCTAGCAATAGCCTTTTCCATCATATCGTTGATGTCAAAGAACGGCGGTGGGGAAAATGGCTGGTTGACATATGTTGACCATAGATCGATTCGACCGCTGCGTTTCAACTCGACCCGGAATAGGGGAAGACTGGGTTGGTCCGAATCAGGCTTGATACCTTCTACAAGCTGTTCGACAACTTTGCGAATAAACTTGAGAAGAATCTCTTGGGCTTCAAGTACCATCCTCGCTCGAGGAAAACCGATGATTTCTTCAGCATGCGCTGCTCTTGCGTCCCATTCCACCAGTTCACCATATCGAGGGCCATGCATAAACATGCAGAGATTTGAAGCATCGATATCGAGAAAGCCTAGCTTCCAGCCCCAATTCAACCTCTGATTGTCGTGTATCGCCCATTCTTCTGGTCCATGGAGAGTTCGATTCTGGAGAAGGCCAAGCAACCTGGTAGGATCGCTTTTGAGTCCATCAATGGTCAAGTAATCAAGCAAGATTATCTGGCGATACTTTCTCGCGTCAAACTGGGTTGGGCGACCAAGCTCTTTATTCGTGAACATGGGTGCAAACCATTGCTTCTCGAAAAGGTTGGGGTCAGCAGTGGTCAAGTAACCCACGCGTTTGTCACGACTCTTCTTCTTCCAACGACTGGCAATTGTCTTTCCATTCGAAGACCATTGCTCACGCAAGTAAGTCAGATCCTGCTTGATATTTTGGAGATGTTCGGCAGCAATAGACTTCGATTGCGAATCTGTCAATTCCAGGGAATAGGACGCTCCGCTTGGAGGGACTTGCACGGCTGGATCGCGAAAAGAGTTGCAGCAAATTTTGCATGAACAAGGAGGTGCCAGGTAAGTGTAAGGCAAACCGCCTTGCAGAATTTCGGTCGGCATCTGGTTCAATAGTTCGCGAAACTTGATTTCCAAGATGGTGTTCTCCGTTCAAGTTGTGCTCTTGTCTTGGAACTTTGAATTGACAAACGGATATCTGACGGCAATTCACCGGCAAAATTACATTTTCCAAAACGTGACATCGTCAAACGACCTTCATCTACTCAAGTATATAGTATGCATTGACCATACCGGTTGCCACTGGAAGGAGGAAGCCATATTTTCAACCAGCGGAGTATATACGTATAGAACAACGGTCAAGTGGGAAGAAGAGTTAATTGACTGGAGAAGGTGGAGCATCGAGTTACGTGTATATTTCCTGTACCTCCATAGCAATGGTTACCATTCAGATGGATCCTTCAAGGTTCAGTAGGTACTAGCGAGAGATGGAGTTGAGTATAAATCATTTCTCTCATTACTCTATTGTCTACAATAACTGGCACTATAATACTAATAGGCGCAAACGGTTCTCTGGCCCTCCAAGCAACCGAGCGCTTACTGAAAACCCGAAAAGAGTGTACAACCATTTTTATGATAACAAATGCCGCCGATCTTGACCCCTATACCCAAAACCTGCGCTGAATTAAGCAAAAGCCTCAATCTCCGGCGACCTCACACATCTATCCCCCGTACATACTTTCGCTACCAAAACTTTCTCGGCTATCAAAGCTGGAGAGTGCCCGCCCTCGGAATCCATTATCTGCAATGCTGCCTACCGGGATCCCGTTGGTGACCCCAAACATACGGAAGACTGCCACGACAAGAGTCTACAACTGTACATCATATCAGCCATGTTGCTCTCTTGCTCCGCTTAATTGGCTGTTGTGCTAGTGAAATTCCAGGACGTGTTGTACTGCTTCCAAGTATTGGTTATTATTGCAAACCAAACGCCATGAAATCGCAGTTGCAAAAGATATCTGGGAATTTAGAGTAGCCAAATCATCCACCCTCTGATACAGATAAGAAAAGGTCGTGAATTTTAGAGGTACGCGAATTTTCAACTCGTTCTCATAACTCGGATGTTTTAGCTTGATCGCTACCTTCAGATGGTAAGTTTGAGACTGTCCATATTACAGAGCATTCATTCTTTCTGGATTAATCTGCGGATCGAGTTTATTTGACACTAGCCACTTGTGCGAATATACCTTGCACAAGTGTAGGATACCCTAACTTGCCCTCTGGAGGCTTTATTAAACCAAAAGCCCTTCTCTTACGCTACTAGGCTCTCCGAACTGATTCTTACCTCTCTATTACTCCCGGGTCTACTCTCATTCATCCCAACCTTCCCTTCATTTCTTTTATTCATCTCGATCCCTCTAACAAAACCATCAACACTATCCATCCCTTCACCTATGCCTTCTCTCCTTCCACTCTCCTTCTTCCTCTGAAACGGATGACTCCACCCACTACTCTCCTTCCCAGTCCCTTTACTCCTACTCCTGGCCAACAAAGAATACATCCGTGTCATAAAACCCGTTTGGCTGAATGAATTGAAAGCTTTCGCCAGGGAAGGAAGACAGGATGTTATAGTTCCGAAACTTAACTCCGTCATGCCGAAGAGTGCCATGAGGGAGGTATACCAGGTTGCGTCGTCGTTATGGGAGAGGATTATTGTGAAGGTGAGGCGTAGGATGCCTGCTACGCAGGCGCTGTGAGGGGTGTGAGTTAGGACTTTTTGAAGGGAACGGGGGGATGGAGATGTACAAAAGTCCGATTGCGAAAATGAGGGATACGCCGAGTTTTCGACGGAAACTCATGTGAAGCTTCCACTATATCAAGTTGTAAACATCGGCAGGGGAATTGTTGTAATCCCCTTCTCCCCAAAATCTATAATGACCCATCAAAAGCAACGGAATAGCAGAACTCGGGGTAGACGCACAATTATTCCCTGCGGCAATCCCACAATAATCAAATCACTCAGCACGTTAATAACTCCCGTAGTAATCCTTCCAATCCGATAATTCAAACACTTCCCCGGCAGGAACACATTCCAGATCTTGGCTCGCGGTATACAAGTAAAGATTTCGACAAAGACAAGGATGGTATAGACGACCAAGTTCAGAGCTATTAGACCTTGACACGAGCGAAAGAAGTAGCCGTTTTTGGAAGGCGCGAATATGGTCATGTATTGGAGGAGGATGGAGGATTTTATTAGGACATTTGCGATCCCGTAGATAATCGAGGCTATGTGGACAAGCTGAGAGTCCTATTATTAGCCTTTCAACCACAGGGGCAGCATTAGGTCTACGAATAATTGAAGAGTGGAAAATGCTTATCGTGAATGGAAGCAGACTCGAAAAGGAGGTGTTGGGCATACGTAGATGAACTTTGATATCTTCTTTAATTGAACGTTATACTGATGTGTACCGAGTGTGTTTTCTGGCGCGAAAGGAATCAAAAGCACAATAGCGAAACTCATAGCCTGTTTCAGAATATCTGTAAGCAAAATTTCCGTTTCTGTATATCCCCCATTATGAGGTATCGGAAGTCGTATACCCAACCGAGAAGTAAAACATCTAATTATAATTAGTTTCCGTGGTCGGCTTTCACTTTACTAAGGGTATCAATATCAACTTACAATCATTAAATGCCATTTTCCGGAGTATACGAAGCTTGGTATATATCCGTATAGCCACAATCAGAGTGGTCAAGATGTAAAGTGTCAATTCTCCAATGAACATCCCTTTGCCGAAGCTATATGGATTGACAAAATTGGATTTCACACCCTCGGGAGGGCTTAATGCAGGCCCTTCCATGAGAAAATTCAAAAATTCGGGAGAAATTTCCGAGGTGGACATGATTGCGATTGCGGTTAAGATATTCTCAAGTCGAAGCCTTTTGTTCTGGAGACCAAAGAACCAAGAAGGTTGAGCCTCACTTCAGAGTTCCGATGAGTTGATAGCACCGTGGCTCATGGAGGCTAAAATATTACGGGGTCAAAAAAAAAAGGGTGCCAGTAGAGATGCAAATATTTGAACCCCCCTTCATTGTTTGGCCACGTTCCTGGTCAAAACAATTAACAGAAGATTCTAGGACGATCAAAGTGGTTGGTCTAGAGTATATTAAGTGATCAAATATGTTAATTGACCTACGCTAATAATGGGAGAAGGAGTCTCCGCTACCTTTCTTGACCACCTGGAGCCACGGGCCAATCCTTCGATTGGTAGTTGTATCACGGTGTACTTCTGCCAAGATCGTAAGCTTACCAAACTTCAACGAACTTACACATCGAATTGAACGTTGATAGGAGGAAGAGAGAGCCTCGCAGACTTGCACAACATATATATGCTTCTGCATGCATGCGCTGAACAGAAAATCTTTTCAGCTTATACTCATTTGGCCCCCACGAGTCCGTTTCACTGACCTCGAACTTGCTAGCGATAACAGTTTCTCGCGATCGGGTGCTTCGTTTTACAACCCCGCCTCCGAAATGGAAGGTCACTATTGGGTGTTTTTCTCATATCGTCTGTTGTCGTGTCAATATGGTGTTACTTACGTCAGGCATGTATTTATCATCCAAGAGATTCTCATGATTTCCAGACAGTAACTTTGAGCCCAAAGATCTGTACTTTGAAAGATGGGGCGTGTATGTTCACCATGTGCGTGCGAATAATAAGCGCTATTCACCCGACAGATGCTGAAAAATGATGAAAAATGACCAGTTGTCTCATGAGATCTGAGAACCATTAATCTAACCACAAAAATTCGATCCGGTGTATTTCTACCTTGTATCTTTGGGGTGGAACCCGTGGTATTGAAAACCCTCTCCGCTAGAACTCACAGAGTAAACAAACCGAGACAAATCAATATTTTCACAAGGATTTTGACGAACAAAAACTCCTAGGAACCGATGCTGGAACCCAAGCAAGACGAACAATGCCGGTGATAATGGCTTTGTTGGGAACAAACCTATATTTCTTTGACTACAGTAACCTCAAAGACAGATTTCTTTTTCTGCTGACTTTGTGTTGTCTCTTACCCAAAGAAAACTGAAGAGATGCAAGAAATCTAAGCTTCAAACGAGCCAGTAAACAGACCAAATAAACACGTATTAAACCACCATAAAAACCTAAAATACAATCCCCATAGATATTATTTCTAACCACCGTTTCAGAGAAACCACATAGTAGAACTATCACATCTCTCTACAACAATCCTAGAAATAATGTGTCAATTCGAAGTAACTCGTTTCCACTTCAAATGTGGGCATATCTGTCACTACACCTTCCCCTCCCCCAACCCAGACTGCCACGAAACCAAGCACCAAAAGTACTTCCAGTACGAAAACCGCTGTCTGGGCTGTCTAGGAGGTGGCACTGGTACCGTTAAGGAAACCATCACTTGCGGAGCCCATACAGATCTCGTAGAAGCAAAGTTCACTATGGCGAAGAACCCTGCAAACTTCTCTTTGCCAGAGCTTTGCCAGCGAAGGTCTAATTTCCTCGCAGAAATCAACGTCCTAATCACGCTCAAGTGTAAGAAGGATTTTCAGAGCTTGGTCGTTGTAGAGGAAATGAAAGGTGTCCACCCCAAGGAGAGAATCTTCTTCATCAGCGAGAATGCCCGCTCATGTTTTCCTCCGTTCTTCAAGAAAGTCCCAGTCCCTGCGTATCTCTCCCCAGAGTACCTCGCCCCAGCGATACGCCACCGTAGCTGTGCGGCTTGCAAGAATTCCCGTCAAACTTCAGCCATGTCAGCGGAGTTGTGTCGACATGCTGGGGATGCACTGCACTCGCTTCCATGTGACTGCGGCGCTGTATTCTCGCTTGGATGTTTGGAGACTCATTTCTCAACTGGTTCGAATGCATGTCCTGCTTGTGATTGGGAGTTTAGAATCGTGAGAGATTCTGATATCCCGGTTATGACTGAGGAGGACGTACTTTCTGAGGCTCTTCAAGCTACGGTTTTTTGAGTTTCGCTAAGTGGGAAATGAGCCTACTTTGTGAGTAAATATAAACATTTCTTTTTTATTAAATCAAGGCAGAAGTAGTAATAAATGAGTTCCAAAGTGACAGAGACAAGTGACATGAATACCAGAGTAACCAGACCCGAGGTGATGCAAAATTAGGTACCCATAAAACCGAGATAACACTGCTACGAAATGCTTTAACACATCTAAAGATGGGATATAAACTTGACAACCTCGGGAAAAAGGTATCTCATTAAATGCACGTAACTTCGTCTCTCAACCAGCAGCAATCTCCTCCTCCGCATCTTCCCACTCCCCATTCTCGTCCATCTCCTCATTAAGCTCCATTTCTCCATCGCCCTCAAGACCCTCACTATCCCACTCATCAACATCCATTTCATCTTCGTCCTCATCATCGGCTTCTGCACCCTTCGCGCCTTGCCCTTTGGCAATCCGCTTCTTTTCAACATTTTCTCTTTGAATACGCTTTCTTAATTCCTTTTCTTGCGTCCTCTTCTCCCATACCTTGTCTAGCTCCTTGATTTCTTCTTTTGTCTTGTGGATGTATTCGTGCCACATGATTTTTCCAGAGCAAACGCCCTCCTCTACCTTGGTCATTCGCAATCTCATTCTCGGCCCCAATTCGACAAGCTTAACAGCTCTCTTTTCCACTCCCGCTCCAGAGTCTTTCCCTTTCCCATCTTCTCGGTCTTTTTGGCGCTTCGAGATAAGTTTCTTGGCGCGAGTCTCGACAACTTCTACTTCGGCATCTGTGTCGGCCTCGCTACCACTTGTCGCATCCGTCATATAACCTGCGCCATCTGCACCCCCGACCATATAATCGGCAATATCCTCCAAGTTTCCAAGATTTGGCAGACCGCCCTTTTTCTTTTCTTTTGGTTTTTGAGAGCTTAGAAGTTTCTCAGCTGCATTCAATCTGCGCAGAGGCTTCGATAATCCCGTGGCCTTCGTCGTGATCGCATAGTGTCGGAGATTGAGAATATATGAACCATCTTCTGGATCTTCAGAGACTTCTCGATTCAACAACATGACTCGGCGAATTGAAGTAAGTGGTGTGGCTTGGGGATTAATTGGAGGAAATAATGATTGAAAGACTGTCGTGGTAAGGGATTCGAGATGTTTGGGTACTTTATGTGGCGCATCGGAATCAGAGGGAGGAGATGTGAAGTTGTTCATGACGAGCTGCGATAGTTAGAGGCTATTTCCCTGCAATAGACTGATATACACACCAATGGAGCCGTAACAAATTCTTTTCCGCCGCCTTTGGGATGCTTCAACGCTTTTCGTACATCTTTACATAAGGAGTATTTCTCAACCTGGAAATGTAAAGTCGGTCCTCGAGGTGTGATCGCAAGTCGCATATTGGTATTTCCAGTTTCTGATCGCGAGAAGAGCATGAGATGTGTAACACCCAATGGCCCCGACATGGTGAGATAATCCCTCAGTTTGTTCGCCTTCCTCTCCTTCAGTCTTGAGGCGGTGTCCGGTTCCATCATCGAGCGCACGTCTTTCACCAACTGGCTCACACTTGGTCCAACCTCTCCAGCTCCAATGCGAATGACCATACTCTTCGGCGTCCGCGAGATGGAATTGGGGTTATTTTGATTCCGCGCTTTCCCAGTAGGGCCATTGCTGGCACCCAGATGGGTTTGCTTCTTGGCCTTTCTTCGCGCCATTGATGTTGTGTTAATTGAGGAGTTGAGGTATTGTGGTGTTGTACTTTGTACAGTAGCTTGGGGGAACGATAGCAGTACTTGAAAAAATGCGGGCGAAATTTAGTGCAGGGATCTTATCGCCCGATAAAGATTTTATTTCTCCGCCGCTCACCCTACGACTACACTGACCAACAACCTTGACATCCACCTCAAAATGTCTTCGTCCGTCAAAAGAAGAAAAGTCGATACAGATCTACCCTCGGGGCTGTCGAAGAAGAAACATGTCGTGAAGGAAAAGAGACCTGCAAAGGTGTCGCGCGAGGCCACCCCAGAGCCAGCGCCAGCCGCGGAAGAAGAGCTAGAGGCAGAGGAGGCAAAGGCAGAGGAGGCAAAGGCGGAAGAGGAAGTCGTAAAGTCTTTCAAGGACTTGGTATGTCGAATTATTCTCAATTGATCAAGTATCCAAATCGCAGACTAATCCCATTTTAAGGGCATCATCGATTCCCTATGCGACGCATGTACCGCCTTGGGATATAAAGCCCCAACCCCAATCCAAGCCCAATCAATACCACTCGCTTTAGAAGGCAGGGATATGATAGGATTGGCAGAGACCGGTAGTGGAAAGACTGCAGCTTTTGCATTGCCGATACTCCAGGCTCTCCTCGATAAACCTCAAGCTCTCTTCGGCCTGGTTCTTGCGCCAACCCGCGAACTGGCATATCAAATTTCTCAACAATTCGAAGCTCTAGGATCCTTAATATCCGTCCGATGCGTCGTCATAGTCGGAGGAATGGACATGGTTCCACAAGCAATCGCGTTGGGCAAGAAGCCCCATATTATTGTTGCGACGCCCGGACGATTACTAGATCATTTAGAGAACACAAAGGGATTTTCATTGCGAGCGCTGAAGTATCTTGTAATGGATGAGGCGGATCGCCTTCTGGATCTCGATTTTGGACCAATTCTTGACAAAATCCTCAAAGTCATTCCTCGCGAGCGCCGAACATACCTCTTTTCCGCCACAATGAGCTCCAGGATTGAGAGTTTACAGCGAGCGAGTTTGAAAGACCCCGTTCGAGTTAGTATCAGCAGTAACAAGTACCAGACAGTCTCGACGTTGATTCAGAGTTATCTGTTTATTCCACATCCACACAAGGATGTATATCTGGTCTACCTTGTAAACGAGTTCGCAGGCAAATCCGCTATTATTTTCACACGGACTGTTAATGAAACTCAACGTATTGCCATCCTTCTAAGAACCCTTGGGTTCGGAGCCATTCCGTTGCATGGCCAGCTTTCGCAATCAGCTCGTTTGGGAGCACTCAACAAATTCCGAGCTGGATCTAGAGAAATTCTTGTTGCGACTGATGTAGCAGCACGTGGTTTAGATATTCCCTCGGTGGATGTCGTCCTGAATTATGATTTGCCGCCAGACAGCAAAACCTATATACACAGAGTCGGGCGAACAGCAAGAGCAGGAAAATCTGGACATGCCATCAGTCTAGTAACACAGTACGATGTCGAAATCTGGCTGAGGATAGAAGCGGCACTGGGCGCGAAACAGAAGGAGTATGATACCGAAAAGGATGAAGTAATGGTATTCAAGGCGCGGGTGGAAGAGGCTCAACGTCATGCGAGAAATGAGATGAAAAATCTGCATGAGGATAGAGGGAATAAGGGCGCCGTACTGAAAGGTCGACGTCCAGCTAAGGGTGCTAAGAGGGGGCGAGATGGAATGGACAAGGAAGAGGGTTAAGCATGGATCTGTTTATTACCTTGTTCCTTCGTGGATCTTAATATACCCAAATACCACATTCCACACTCGAAATAGAGGAGTAGTTCCTCCATGTGTTATACAAACTTTTCTTTTCGTCTTCTTTGGAGTGTGTATATTCTATATAGTTTAATACTATATCCAAAAAGCGCGTGATAAGATATTCATTTCAGGAAGGTTCTTCGTCTTGTCCCCCGAAACTTGTTGCTCAAGGCCTCATTTGCGTCTAAGATACTCCGGTACTCGTATCAGCGTGAGACGGGATAGCTTCACGAAGTAGGGCGAACCTGAAATTACATTATCTTGTCACGAAAGCGGGCGGGGAATTGATCTGGGATAGCCTGCTGTGCCTCTTAGTGATGCTCGCATCATGGGTATCATCTACCGCCCAAGTCCTTCATTCAAGTTTACTGTCCAATACACCGCACTCTTTTACGAGGTCGAGGCAGAGTGTTTCAAGGCCTCTTCTTGTCCAATGGTAAAGCTATTGGGATACGGACAGAATAGTCAAATGGAGAAAATGTGGATATCACAGCAGCCAAAGTGGAGTTGTCCGGTGCTTACTTTCCCGATAAAGCATCTCAAGCGATACTTGAGTACAACAATAGGTAAATCTAACCTCATCACCCTCCTTTCTCAGCCTCATTGATAGTCAAGGCAAAGAGCCGCAATTGTGAGAGTTCATCGCCAAACACGAAAGCGTCCCTGTTACACATATGACACCTTGGTTTCCTCTCTTTTCAACACTTCTATATATTTGGCAGTTTCGGAAGCTGCCCGGAGGTTTCATTGGCCTTCTAATGATTGCAAGTGACATCTTTGCTATCTTGAAAAACTTCATTGTTAATAGTTACATCTACGACCAAAATACTCAGACTACTTGTGATTTCGAATATGTCCTGGTGGCAGATTTTGGAGACTCTGCGCCTTCGGTTCGCCTCGCACCAGTGGCCTTATGGTCGATAAGCTTTTTGGCTCTGAGAGCGCTAGAATCCGTGGGCCGTGGAGGTACACAGGGCGTTTATAGCAAAGTCAACTACAACTTCAACACTAATTCGACGACATTCTCGCCTACGAAAGATGACTTACTGGGGAAGTGGAACTGTGCGGAGAGCACCAATGTCACATTTACCCCCGATGATATCTTGAACCGAACAATAATCGAATCAGCCATTGTCCGACAAGGCCTCCACTATCCTCGAGTCTGGGTTAGCTCCGAATCTGTACTTCCCAATAGCACGGTCACCGATGTTTTGTACTGGAGTGCTGACCAGGGAAACAACAACACTAGCCCAGTCTGGCAGATGAATGCAACAGTGGGCGTCAACCTCTTGCAATCTCTTTCCGCCACCAACTTCCACTGCTCATATACGCCGATCAGAACACAATGGAAAGCGCCTATCATGCCATTGCAGAAGACTTTGGTTGATTGGAAAGATCTGATGCTAGGATATATTAAGGGTTTTACCATTCTGGACGCAAAACCCAATCTCGAACTCATACTCAATTCCATGACGATGGTTGCAGCCAGTCATAACACGATCCAATACGCAAAGGATCTCAGTCTACCGAATAAGTCTTACGGCTGCAAAGCAACGGGCCCTGAGATTAAATCTCCGGTCTTTGTTGTTCTGTTGATTTTGGTGGTGCTCATAATTGGCCTCTTAGTCATCGACTTATACAACTTGGTTATGAACTACTTTAGCAAGAGTCGAAACATTATTGACGAGATGCCTTTTGATATTGTGGAGTGGCAGTTAACTGCTATGCATCTTCTTACTGGTGAGGGGAGGCTGAAGTATAGAGGTGTTCAGGAGTATGAGTATCTTCATGATAAGGATACGGCGAAATACATGGCCAGAAAGATGAAACAGGTATGTTCCTAGTACTTTCTATTGGAGGTCTTTCTGGACATACTAACCCAAGCCCACTTCCATTAGACCGGGATATCTAGTTACGAAGCACTGAATACCAGTGAAGTTTCTACCGAGATGAAGATCAATCCAAAATCAACGGGACCGGTGGTATCTGTTGTGAGTGTTTAGGAACTAGAAAAACGTCTAATGTTTTCCAGAAAGGTCGAGATGGTTAGAAGGTTCGAGAAAAACAAAGTTTGACTTTCTCGCTTATAGGGAGAGGAGTCGCACGTTACATAAGGAGCCGGCGCCGAGAACCAAGAACGAAAGGCATTTCAGGCGCCAATCTCAAGAAGCCAAGTCTTTCAGAGTTTTATGGATGGTATTACTTATCGGTTAGGGATAACATACATGTGTCCCTGTAGCATAGTGCGAATATATTGTCGTTTGCGACCACGTGACTCACGCGTTTTAATATTTCCCCTTTTCGTAAGGAGATTATCCTAGGGGTTTCTTGCGCTTCTTAAGACTAAATCCGGGCGGACGAAAAAAGCTGCAAATGTCACTTGCTGCACAGAAAGGAACGCATTGACATGTACTATGGCTTTTTCAAGCATTCGAATCCCGGCTTGCGCCTTTAAATTTCCTCGTTCCAATCGTCTACTTTCAAAACAACACGCTTCTTGTTTAACAAAAAAACCTCAGTCTTTCTTGTTATAACCACTGTAGCCCTCGATTCCAAAATCCACTTTTCCACTGTTACATCCGCCCTCCAACACCACCCTCCTGAAATCCCTCTGTGTCCTGACGCTTGTTGTAACCACCGCGACCCTCTGTGCCGCTTTCTCCCTCTACTCTGTTATAGCCGCTACGGCCATCTGTGCCAATGACTTGACGTTCTCCCTCTGCAGCACCAACGACCGAAGTTGAGGCTAAGATTAAAGGTAAAATTATTAGTTCCATACGAACAGAGGAGAAAGATGTCATAGAGCGGGAATCTGATTGGTATGGACTTACTCAAGATTGGCATAGCGATTGACATAGTCGCGAATGCGATGGCGAGAATGAATGAGGACTTCATGATGGGAAGACGAATGGGTTTAGATTAAGCGAAGAGAATTTGAAGAATAGTCTGTGGAGTAAAGTTGTGGGGCAGTGCTGCACGATTTCACAGATTGGTGAGGAGGATGTGCGTATATATACATATTTTTCTGTATTTTGGTCGCCTTTTCTGCGACCTCCCCCCTCAATCTCATGTGTAACGTTGTGACCGTTCGCTCGTTTACCTGGATAAGCCCTCGCCGCAGCCTTGATAGCCACCAACAAGCGAACTTGAATATGAGCATACTTATTGGTTAGAAAAAGACAAGTCACAATCCCACATCACAGTCATGGCGTAAATACATGACCATTGAGCAGCCAGACACAAGCATTAATTGGATGGTTCTCATAGTAATACCGTTAATACCTGATGAATTGATTGCTGAGTTAACTTGGAATTTGCTTGGAGTCTATAAAGCATAATTAGAAGGGACGAAGAAACAATCTTGTGATAATTTACCGTGTGTTTTTGTGGGCGTCGAGATTTTCGCTTCAAGAGATAGAATAGATAAAAGTGAGAGGAGCTACAGTCGAAAGAACTGAAAGACTGTATTGGCTAATGGTTACAGCACTATATGGTTTTGCTTTGTAAATGATAATGCTTCTAGCGCTGAATGTCCTGGGGGGAGGCAAGTGTTCGCAAAACAATGACCACCATGAGAAATGGGCAGAAAGTGAAGTCTTCTTATTGGCCAACGGTGTGATGAGTCTTGCGCCCTTCAGGCAATATGGCTGAATATTCTACATCTTGGCTACCTACAATTCTGCATCAGGAAGTATGCGACCCGTACAACGCTCGTTTCACATAATCGGAGTATTAATTACTACTTGGTAGCTTGTGACCTTTGCCTGCCACCTCTCACCAGGGCTTACTATCAATCAACAGTTGACGTTGCCTACCTACAGGTTAAGTAGACACTAGATGTCTTGGGAGAACCAGGGTTCTCAATCTACCTTAAGCATCGATCAAGCGCTATTGCCAAGTTCACGAGGATAGTATTCTTTCCCTTTCAGATTCTCTGATGCCTTCGTCTTTTATTGATTCTCATGGCAAATTACATAATCTAAATAATTGAGGAAGATTAGGAGGGCATTACAGCAAAACAGAATACTTTACAGGGTTACACGACAAGCCGACGAAGATGATGAAGAAGGGAAACAGAGGGTCTTGCAGGAACTTAATTATAAAGAAGTGGAAAAACTGGGCAATGGTATACTCTACACTTGAGAAGAGCTTTGGGGGGGCGGGGGTTCCGAACCCATTGTGGTTGAAATTTGATGTAAAACATGGTACTTTATTCTTACCTTAGCTCGATAAAGAGGCCGTAGGGGCCCTTTTGACGTACTGGGTCGAAGATATAAACTATCGAGATGGTTTTAGAGGGAACTTCTGCGAGGGAAAAAAATAACAAATTTGTGAGTTTGGGAGAGCTTATAAGTATATTTCTGAAAAGCATATGTAGCTGTATGTTTTTGCTTGATGTTTTTGGTATGGTAAAGTATCCTCCGCGGCCTTCGAATTTCCAAATGCTCCCGTTCTCATCAAAATCCTGGTTCCATTGTGATAGTGCATCCTTGAAAGATCGGTGCCATCCTAACTTCCGCGCCATCGTCATCACTTCACATCGCTAGGTGGGAAGGAAAACCACTCCAGGATCCAATAGGTTCCAGACCGCCTGCGAAATGCAACAAAATGAATAACTTCATCCTTCATGGCCTAGCTGCGACAAACCGTCCGCTCCCTCTCCTCCCCACACACGATATCGTGAATTCACTCCCGACTTCTTCAGTTTCCTTCGTACTCCTCCCATTGTCTTCTAATATTATAAGCCATAAGCAACCATCGTAGAGGCATATAGAGAAAGATGTACGACCAGCAAAAAATGATGACTGTAATTGATAGCGCAAACATTGTAAGTTGTTGCGGTGTCTGCCATCTCAATTCTAGTGTGATACCGGAAGGGTTTCTTTCGCGGCGCTGGGCTTCCAGATCGACAGCCGAGACGAGCGACAGCGTGCGCAATGGGATTATATCGCTACGATCCGCTGGGAAACCGGAAAGTTCCTCTGGTGATGAATTAGGAGTAACGTCATGGCTTTTTTCGGATGCCATTTTGGAAGATTTGGTTAACGATATCGGATGGGCTTCAAATCGCTCGCTCTGTGCGGGTGCGCGATAGTTCAAGTGCGCACGTGAGTATTGGCGGAGGCCGTAGGAAGAAATCTTTGAATGATTTAGCTGTTGATTGAAGTCGAGATCACTTAGGGGAGGTGTTCAGATTTAAGTGCTCTGCTTTTCTTAGCTTGATATCTAAAACGTCTAGTCTCATCGTCAACTATTACCATGATTCGTCATGATATCCGTGCTAAAAGGGTTAGCGAGATTTTAGTCGCATCGCGGATGCCAACGTGGGGAAGCTTTTGTTTCAACACCATTTACGTGAAAAATTGATCAACTCCAAATTTGAGTGGGAAATTAAGGATTGATTCTACTCCGAAGAAACATATTTGGTGACATAAGGAAAATGTTGTCTTGTTTCCCAACTCCTTGCAAGTCCACTCCCTGGTGAATCGAGATACAATTGCCCGAATATGTCAAAAATCCTTCTTTCGCATTCGCGCAAAGATGCCCCCCTTTTTGAAATCAGAACCCCACCATAAGCGGCTACTTGTATCTCCTACCTCGCATCTCACCCATCTTGCTACTCTCCCCAACCTTTCTTCCATTCCAACCAACAATACCAGGATCCCTCAACCAACTCTCGAGCTCCTCCTCCATCTCTCTGAGAGTTTCAATAAGATATCCATCCCAGGGAGAAATACCCGAATCCAAATCCTCCATATCCTTGGTGTTCACAACTTCTCTTTCCTTTCCCTTTCCCTTGTCCTTTTCCTTCTCCTTTTCCTTTTCCTTTCCCTTTCCATTTCCATTTTCCTTTCGCTTTCCCTTGTTCATTGATGGCCAGATACGTTCAACTGCTTCTGAAGCGTCGTAGTTGTGCCAAGAAGGTCGCTCATTGGTGAGTTTCTTCTCTTTGCCTTCTTGCGTTTTGTCTGCGACTTGTTGGAGGACTGCCATTTTTTGTTTGTTTTTGGATCCATCGCAGCAGTGCCAGGAAGGTATCGTGACGGTAGAAGTACTATCTTGGCTTCCTTCGCTCCCGGTCTTTTGCTTCTTGGCTGGCGGAGTGAAAATTTGGTTTGACAACTCGGTGGAGATTTCGTTTCCCATTTTGTCCTGTGCTTGAGATTTGTCTGCTTGAAACTGCATAGGTGTGTTTGAGAGAGAGTCTGAAGAGAAGGGGGATTGAATAATTTGATAGATATATAATTTTCAATTTGTGGGAGATTTAAGTAGTAGTCTTTTACTAAATTAGATAGGCTAGATAAGATAGCTTCATTTTCGTCTAAGAAATTAACCATGACATATGTACCAGACTAAGCTCCGAGAACGAGTACTAGAATTAGACCTGTGCTAATTATGAAGTTAGTGTGTACTAATTCTCAAATTTGGTATGATCAAATGATCACACTTCGTTTGCATGGTGTTGTGAGTACTCGTAAGTTTTAGAAAATGAAAGAAATTGCACTGTGAGTAATTAAGTACGGTGCAAGCGTTTTAAAATAACGCCCTTTTGTGAAGACCTGTCACCCTAAGCGACAAGACCCATTAGTTTTCTTGTTCTAGGACATTTAGCATGGAAAACTCTTCTTCTCATTGAATTGTTATTGAGGACGTGAGTGCAAAGATCGGTGGAAAATATTCGTTATTATCTACTTATCGAGTAATTGTATCTGTTTCAACTAGCCATTACTCCGCCATCTCATCTTATTCCGTTTACGCCCCTCAGCGTACTTTCTGTATTATTGTAGAGACCTTTTCCGTGATTCTAGGTGTGATCCTACCTAGCGTCAATTGCTGTGTTTTACTTACACAAACCCCACATTCTATCTTTGAGGAAGGCACGCCTCGGCCACTGCTTAGAAACCAAAAACCCATCTTTGGGAAGATTTTTGCTGATGTACTGTTTGTTGTTTTAAGTAAGTGTATTTGCCCTCATATTTCTTCTAAAAGGAAAGCAGTATACGTAGAAGGAGTGATTCAGACTCAATGATCCAGTGCTTTACTGAATAAAATCAATTGCACATGAGAAAATTTAAGATTGTTAACTTTGATTCTATTTGGCAACCCAGATTATATGGCCAGATTATTTGACAGATTATTTATATAAGCGCGGATTTCGTACAAAAAATAAACTATAGATTATTTGTATGGATTTTGTACCGGAATTTACTTTGCCCGAGTTCCGACAGCGCGTAATTCACCCCCCTATTCTAAGCGGATATTCAACCCTCTATTCTAAGCGGATATACGAGCTATTATTAGGATATACTAATTTTTGTTATAATAATACCACGTTGCCACTACCGCTAGCTATTACAATAGCGGCAAGGGGGTTAGAATATAGCGATTCTCTCTTCTTACCGTTAATATATTATACTCTAAGTACAGCTGCTACGATAGTAATACGTTCTCTTTCCTCCTTAAATGCGTTGTCCGAATCGAAATCCAGATAATCAGGATCTATTATAATAGCAAGCGAAGTAGTATTTGTGGTTGTAGGCGTTGTGTTACAAGTGGGGTTGAATATTAGCAAAGGGCGTAAAAGGGCTCGATATATACCGTCTATATAAAAGTGAATTAATTTGTCAAATAACCTCGTAAAAGTCGATAATTTATTTTGGTGGAGCTAGCTTATTTTTTATCGAAAAAAAAGTAAATAATCTGAAAGTGTTTGGCAAATCGTACTTTTCAATAGATTATTTTTAAAAGTGATATAATCTAGTCAAATAATCTGTTGCCAAACAGGGCCAAAAGTTTATTTTTCTCCCTCGAGACCAGCTCTCCCTACACTTTCTACTAACAGTATTGTAACCTATGGAAAAAGAAGTATGTTTCGCCATCCCATTCAATAATTTTGAACAGAAAAACCACTCTCAACCCGCTGGGATTCGTGTTAATAGACCACCTCATCGTCTCGATTTGGGTTAGTGCGATGGCGAGGATGATGAGAATTAAAGTTAAAAATCGGAATATGTACAGGAGTCCTGGGGCCAGCCCGTTCGTCATTCTATCAACGATTTACCTGTTAATTGCTTTCTATGAACCAGTGACAGGTCTATATCGGCACGTACCTTAATAACAGATTCACGTTCATGAAGATCGTGATGAGTACCGTCAAAAGTAATGTGGATCTCTTCCAGTGTCAATCGCTTGGTTTCCGGAATTAGAAAGTAAACATACGCTGCGAGGCAAATGTTTACTGTGAAAAAAAAGTAGAAAGTCTTGCTACAGACAGCGGGTCAGAAAAGCCCCGAACGGTAGGTGGAGAGCCGTATACTAACAAACCGGAATTCTTCAAGAAGGTAGGGAAAAATTGCTGGAAAATAGCGTTGGCCACATTCTGCATCTGACTGCTCATACCAACTGCTTGAGCCCGTACACTCATACTAAATACCTCCGCTGTCCAGATCCAAGTCGTGGCACCCCAGCTCGGTTTGTAGAAAAATATAAAGAGAAAAAGCAAGAAGACGATGGATATCCCTACATTTTCGGACTTCGAGCCATCTGCAAGAGTAGGTGTTTGCGAAGAGACGAGTGCAACTCCCAGCATGCAGATGGCCATCCCCAGCGTACCACATATCAACAGTACCTTCCTGCCAAATCTGTCAACCGTCCACGTCGCGTTAAGGGTAAATATTATTCCAAAAGTGGCATTGAGTGCATTTATCAAGGCGATTTGGTCAGAGCTCTTAAAGACTTTCTTGTAGACAGCTGTGGAATATGTGTTCAAGGTCCCTTGACCTGTAAGTTGCTGTCCAATGTTGAGAATGAAGGCTAGTATAAGTCTTTTCCGAATCGATCGATCTTTCCAGAGTGCTGAGTAGGAAGTGGAGTTGGAAGCTTCAAATTGAAGTGTGTCATAGATGAGGTGGATTTCGACTTCGACTTCGGTGGCTGTTGATCGCACACGGAGGAGGGAAGATCGAGCATAAGATATTGGGTAGTCGTGCTGGATATACCAGCGAGGTGACTCGGGAATAAATGGCAGGAGGCATATGAGGGTAATCGGAACCAGCATTTGGCATGCGACAACTATCTGAGAAGTGTCAGAGTTATAGTCAATCAGAAAGAGCAGATATTCTACCTTCCAATCCCATTCTCCAAGCGATTCTATATGCAAAGAACAGATGTAGTTGATCCAATAAGCGATAAATGAGCCGACCGAATAGAACATTTGCCAAAACGACATTATTTTGCCTCGAATATTGGCTGGCGCCATCTCACCGATATAGACTGGACCAGATGCTTTCGGATACGTCAGCCACACTTCAAAAGACTAGCAAGTTCCCAGATACTTAATGCAATTCCTTGACCTATGCCGATCATGGCTCTTCCAGCAATGAAACATCCCAACTTTCCCCGAGAGGAGAATGTTTGCAGAACGGTAGCAACGATGGTTAAGAAACAACCGATACCCATACCCCATCTGCGACCAAAGTAGTCGGATAATGGACCACCTAAGAAAAAGCTATTTTTTATTAGTTTCACGGCGAAGGGCTGGATTGTTGAAAATCGCAATTGAGGGTTGAACCGACCCTGCAGTGATAGCGCCGACTGTGTAAGATGTATTGACAGCACCAGTCAACTGAGGGTTCTAAATCTTTCTTATTAGTCCACTAGAATATTCGTGGAAGATGACAGCTTCCAATCATGAAAAACACCCTCAGATAGTCGAAAGCAATATCCCAAATATTTGTAAGACTCTGCGAATTGAATTTCGAAGGCTTCCAAAACTCGCGAGACAATTCTTTCGATGGATTGAAGTCAGTTTTCATAAAGAAGAGAGACATACAGGATTGTCAAAGTAAGCGACCCAATGCTTTGATCCTTGAACGGAGTTGAAAACAGAAGCGTCATATCCGTACAGAACCATACATGATGCAGCGACGAGAGAAATGTACCTATTCTATTATTAGTAACACAATGGTTTCTTGAATTGTTTCGGAGATTGGGAGTTTACCAATTGTATGCTCTTGTTTTGTCCATCATTTTGAGATTTGTTGAACTCTTTTCTTTCGTAAATCTTAGAGAAACACTGCCTCACCATCGGTCATAGAGTCACAGCTTCCAAGAATCAGAAAATACCTCAAATTGAGCCGTTAAGTGGGATATCAGCTTCCTTAACAATTTAACTGCACGTTGGTCTGCAATGCCACTTCAACACTGTACATGAGTGGCAATGCAAAAGCTGTAGCTGGGATATGATGGTCATAACAGGGCGAAGACCAATTGGAAAGAACAACCACAATTCTGTACGCCTTTCCATTCTATCGGTATTGTCTGCCCTAAATCGTGCCTCGATCTGGAGATTGGTGGATATTCTGGGCCCCGTTGCTCGGTTAGCAGGAGATTCCAAGTAAAGCACGCAGAAGTTCCAACGCGCGTCAAAATAAAACGTCAATCGAAGCAGCTCCTTAAAGCATTCAAAAAGTCTTGCTTTTACGGAGTTTTTACAGGGACGGAAGAATTCGGGAGGCTTCCGGTGGTGCTTGTCAAATGCAGGATTTCAAGCCTCCGATAATTATTGATGCACCTTGCCGAGTATCGCTCGTTTTCTCTCGACGCCACTTCCAATGCAAGTCACACAACGTCAGAATTTTGTTTCAGTTATGGAGAAAAGACGCATAGATTGATGATTGACAGGCAATATGAGAAGGCGGCTACTGATTCCTCTCGGACAACTGCGTAGCAAAGGTTTGCAATTGTTCAGCCCTTGTATCCTGTATTTTCTCCCTCAAAAATGGGCCACTACCTTATGTTTTATTTTGTATTTTGCTGGCTAGCTTCAAACGCTTATAATTCGACCACATATGGACCAATCAGAAGGCTCCATTTTGTGGGATAATTGAAGGATAAGTGCTCTCGGCCTCGCGTCCCTGAAGGGGAGCAGTAAAACTATCTAGAAATAGGCACATAGCCCATGCGTAAGTACAACACTCAGTAGTAAAATAGGCACATAGCCAAACAAACCAAACCCATTCTGAAGCATGGCGAGCAATTCGCGAGGGGCAAGTGGGTGGGAAAAAGAGCTCGAATAGTGTGACTGACGATAATGTTGTAGTGTTGATGATCGAGGAGCTCCTGTACGAGGGGGAATATAATATACCCCCCGCACTTCCTCATTCACTATAAACCTCTGCTTATAAATCGTAGCCTTAATACTGCATCTGACGCCGTAATTCTTTATACAGGTTTCTCCTGCTTCTCCGCACATGTGAAGTGTCAAAGGTATGCGAGTGATGGTAAGAAGTTTCTCACAAGGCCAAGGATTGACGACATACCAGATATCAGATTTGCGGCCCACATGACAGACACATTTCCTAATCATAATATGCAACTCTTTGGGTAGGTAAGTGAATTTTAGAAACAAATTAGTGGTTGTGCATGCAAAATGTTCCTTCTAGGAGACTGAATCTAGACAACTTCTGTTCAACCCTAAAGAAGTTTGTTAGTCATTTGTTGTTAATACCATTACAGGTAAAAGTTCGCTTATGCAGACGCAGACATCGTCATTAACAATGAACTCTCAAAGGGAGAAGGTGGTTGTGGTGGTTGTATAGGTGTGGTCATAGTCGTAAACTAATTTCTATTTTACATAGTTAGAGATCAGATATTCAAGTCTGAAAATAAAGTTGCGGGTAATTGAACATTTATCGTTATAACTTCTCTATAATGTTTTAAGGTCCAAGTACTATCTATGTACGACGGGACAGGACGGGAGTAAGAGAGGTAGGCATTACTCTGTACAGTAAGACTACACACACACCTAAGTTACTAAAAATATTATCCTAAAGAGCTTATACAGCTAAATCAATTATACGAATATTCTAGAATAATTAAGACTTTTTATTCCTTATTAATCTAGGTGGACTGGACAATAGATTTACTTGTACTAGACTTTCAGTAATAAGGACTATTGATAGCGTGTATAGAGCAATGACAAGGGTTCTTACCTATCAGATACCAGTCACCTGATCTACCCTATTGGTCCGACAAGGTTGCCGTAGCATGCCTCCGACCGCATCTTCACCAATCAGAAATCAATCGCAACCTAATCCAGGCTCCAGTGCTACACAAAGATGCCCAGTTGCAAATAAAAGGCTACAAAAGTACAGTCGCCGGAGGTCTGTTCATGTTTGCCTAGCATGGTTGATTCTGGTTCTCTCAATCATCATGACCAAGAAGAAAATCAGTCTGGCAGTGGCCAGCAGATCGACGGTCACTTACAGGACGCTCTCACGAAAGAAGACTACTTTGACAAACTATATGCCTTGAATGACGATTCGGAAGAGGAGGAAATCTCAACAGGCATAAGGGACTTTATCCAGAAGTGTACCAAATCAGTAATGACTACCTCTGAACCTCCACTATCATTGCCAACGGAAGAACGAAGAATTCCACCAGAGTTTCCGACAAAGAAAGTACCTGGGATCCATCGGACACGATCTGCTCCAGCTTCTGGTACTAGTGTGGTAAAAGAAACACCATTGCCACGAAAGCATTCATTACTGCGGTACGACATTTCTACCCCTCCATCAGCAAATACTTCTTTCGAAAGTAAGCAGCCAACTCAGAACCCTGTTTTTCAAGAACGGCCAGCGGGTGCAGGGAGCGAAAGAAGAACTGTATCAGATCCTCTGTTCTTAAAAAATAGCGAAGGAATCGACAACATGCTTCGAAAGAACCAGAAACGAAAGCGTGAGTCAGAAATCAAACTCGTTCCAGAAAAGAATCGAATTTTCAACAAACTCACTTTCTTCTATATGCCCAATAACGATATAGCCAAGATTCGAAAAGTTCGAATACAAAAGGCACAAACCTATGGGGCTCAATGGGCACAAGTTTATGGCAACCACATTACCCACATGATCGTTGACAAGGGGATCACGTACCAAAGTTTGATGGATCATTTGAAAGCAAAATATGACGAAGATAAACTTCCAGATCGGTTGATTTTGGTCAATGAGAATTACCCGGTTGATTGTATTCACTTTCGTACTCTCTTGAATCCAAATCAAAAGCAGTATGAACTCCAAGGAATGAATACCACTTCTCAGAGCCAGGCACCAGTTGTGGGACCAGGGAGAAACGATGGAAAGCAAGAAAAACAACGGGAGCATACACCACCCAGGGACGAGTACAGCGACGAAGAAGAGTCCCACCCGGGCGTTGCTTCAGGCGCCTCTGGGAATCCCAACGAAGACCGCACAGATTCTTCACCTCCTCGAGAGGTCCCGAAGAACCTTGAAACCAACGATGAATTCGATAAAATTATCGAGGTGGCTCACAACACCAGATTTCTGCCTCTCGACGACTCCGATTCCGATACTCATACAACTCGCGACAATGCCTCGGAAGATGACGCCGATTCAGAGAGAGACCGTTCCCCAATCCGCAAACCTGTCAAAAGGCAACTTAGAAGCGGCTCCAAACCAACATTCAACCAAGCAAATTTTGCTTGTATGAAAGCAGGAACAGACTCCGAGTCAGGCCCCAATCCCAACGACGCTACCATCAAAGCCTTCCAAGAACTCGCCGCCTTCTATGAACGCACCAAGCAAAGTTGGCGGAACATGGCTTATCGAAAAGGCGTGAGTGCACTCCGTCGGCAGACTAGGCGTATAAAAAGCTACGATGAAGCCATTCAGATTCCCGGCATTGGAGATTCCCTCGCCACTAAAGTAGTCGAGATGTACCGACGCGGAAAACTCGAAAAACTGGAATACGCACGTTTGGAACCTCGTGATCTGATTCTCCAAAAGTTCACAAAAATCTATGGCGTGGGTATCAATATAGCTGAGAAATGGTATGATGCAGGCCATAGATCCCTCGCTGACCTCGTCGCAAATGTCAAATTGACTGAGAATCAACAAATCGGCATAGACCATTATGACGATTTCAACACCCGTATTCCACGTGCAGAAATGGACTCGCTAGCATCAATCGTCAAAGACGCTGCCTCGGAACTGGACCCAGAAATCGAGGTGACAGTTGGAGGCTCGTATCGTCGAGGAGCTCTCACATCAGGAGACATAGACTTCATGATCACCAAGCCCAACACAACGCATACCTCGCAACTCCTGCTTTTCCTCAAAGAGTTAGTCGAGCACCTTATCGAAATCGGGTTTCTCGTCGCTGCCCTCGCAGTCCCTTCTGGTAGACGCGATGATTCGGGCTCGAAATGGCATGGTGCCTGTGTCCATCCCGTGACGGCCGAAATTCCAACCCCTATATGGCGAAGAATCGATCTTCTCCTGGTTCCGGCTAGCGAATGGGGTGCAGCACTTATATATTTCACTGGAGATGACATTTTCAATCGAAGTCTGAGGTTGAAGGCTAGTACCATGTCGATGCGTCTCAATCAACGAGGACTTTATAAGGATGTCATGCGGGGACCAGGCCGTGTGAAGGTTACAGAGGGATCATTAGTGGAGGGAAGGGATGAGAGGAAGATTTTCGAGGCGTTAGGTGTTGCTTGGAGAACTCCCGAGCAGAGAATAGTTGGTTAATAGTTGCTTGGGAGGATGTGGTAAGGACTGATGATCATATGAAGGACATGTGGATTGGGATATGCATTATGAAACGGGTCATGAAAGTCATGGGGATTCAAAAGTTATGAGGATGGGAAAAGCAATTTTTGACTCGACTTGGTTTATCGATCGCGAAGGAGTTGTATAGTAATTAGGGTAGTATGGGATAGGATATCTGCGGTGTTATTTCATAGCGACAGGGTCCACGCGAAATTCATGGCTGAATCATAAACTATATTTCATCCATCCCAAAGATGAAAACATGCAGAGTTGATTCGAAGTAGCCTCCACGAACATATAATGTATTTCTCTTCTTCTAAGTGGCTAGGAATACTGCGACAATCACACATCCCGTCATCCTACTCCCCAGCTCATTTTGAATCATCTAATTGGTTGATCTTTCTTCGGATTCTTCGATTCTTCCAAAAAATGTCGTAAAGAGTCACATCCATGAGGCTGTTTACCGTTTCTTCTCCCGCCTATCGTAAGCTTAATAATGCACCTTTCCACCCTCCCGCAAGGTATTCAGATAATCAACACTCAACACACTTAAATGACATGTAAAGTAAACTCCAAAAATTCAAAAGTCACCCAAGAAAGAGAGTACACCAATTCCCTCTAAAAACTCATATATATCTTGGCCCTGACCTACCCATCACCACCCTCGTAGAATACTCTATAAAAGAAGAGCTTTCCCACCAAAATACGATACACACAAAAGATGGCAATCTTTGAAACTTTCAAGGATGCTTGTCTAGCAAGCAGAAACCAACGAGAAGCATGAGATATATACCACTACTTAAACCCGAGAGACGCAAATCTGAGTATGTGTTCTAGCTCTAGACTACTGGGAAAGTTTCGTTGAGTTTATTTTACAGTGTGTTTACTGTCGATTTTTGCTCTGTTGTCGAATCTGTTAGGACGTTCGTTGTATTGGTTATTTTGGTTGGATTGCTTTTATTTTTTTCTCTGTCCGTTTATTGAGAAGAACTTTAAGTTAACTGTAAGTAGTGGGAGTGTAAGATCTTTCGATACTTATGTATAAAGGGAGATCGTACGTGGGCAGTGTAGGAATCAAACGGAAAGACTGTTCAATTTGTAAGTAAGGTACAGGTGGACATTAAATACCCGTTGATGCTAGCTAGCTAGTACTAGTTTAGTACTAGTGCTAGTAGGAAGTGATAAAACCATCAAATGTTATGCGTCGTATAACAGGAAGCTGGTCTGAAATTGGGAATGGTCCTCCGATGCGCGAATTTGATTTCAGGACCTTCTTAAGCTTCGCCTAATTGAGAAAGGATTCCCATAGCTCAGTTTCAGTTTTGGCCGTTCTGGTGGAGCTGATTATTTCTTAAATAGAAGATAAAAGGCTTCCATGTCAAGACCTAGCGGCGAAGAGCATATGAAGAAAATATCATCAGGCCAAAACTTCAAACAGCGCACCCAATACCAGGTGATTCCACCGTCGTGCCACCCATAGCGACCCAACACTGACTCGATTCCCCATCTTTATGGTCCTCAGAATTCTCCGTGATATCCCATGTCGTCGTTTGTTTGATAACAATCCCATCCCCATCCCCCATCGAATTCCTCTCATAATTACTAATATCAGAGATCTCAGACCTCCGAATATGCGAACTAGAAAACACCTTTTCCGGTCTCACCACTCTCACCTCTCCCGCTTCCCCATCACCGCACCGAAACCCCGACAGCTGTAAGACACCATCCATCATCTCTCCTTCCAGACCCCCCTCCACTTCCCCAAGACCCTCACCCACCACATCCCAATCCTCAAAACTCTCCATCCTAATACCTCCCCTGGGGGGAACCTCCTCCCACTCCTCCCCCTCCCATACCCACTAAGATACCTCCCAATCCCACTGCCACTCCCCCTCCCCTTCTCCGAGCCTTCATTCCTCCGTTCTAGCTCTTTGATCGTTCCCGAGAGGCTGCCTGTGGACATACCCTGCAAAAAGGGTTTCAGGAAAGGGAAACTGGCCGCGAAGAGGGTGGTGTTGAGTTGGATCGTGGTGCTGAGGTAGATGTGGTAGGATGTGTATGTGTATGAGGGGGTTTGAGGAGGATGGGAGGGTCGGCTGTATGTGTTGAGGGTGTGGAGGCGCCAGGTGCTTAGGGGGATAATTCTTGGGTTGTTGGTGTTAGTGCTATGTTGGTGGGTGGATGATATGTATTGTTAGGGAGGGGAAACAAACAGGATTCGAACCCCGAAGAGGAATATTACGAGTAATTTCTTTCGTTTAGGCATTTTGAGGTGCCAGACTAGGTATACAGGCAAGAGGACAATGATGAAATCCGTGCTGATATCTAGAATCCCGATGGTGTTCCAGAATGTAAGCTGGGCCTGTTAGCGAAGTCCTCTACTCCCTGGTCTGAAGTATGTTTTCTCACACGATTGAAGCATGTTGAGGCTTTTAATATAGCCCATGGTCGAGGAAGAGAACATTGGAGCGCGGTTGCGAATTCGGCACTGATGGCTATCAAGATGATGAACACTTCCAGAATTAGATTGAAGGTTGCATATCGACCTCCTGGCGCTAGTTCGCCTAGATATAAAAGTGTGGATAGCTTTGCGAGGCACAGGGCTGGGATGTAGAGGAGTTCGGAGGAGTAGCCGAACTAAATGGTTTGCGGTATCAGTAATCGTCCATACTGAAAGAAACTCTTGAGACGTTGTCAAATCATTAACGTACCTTCTCGAATCTCTCAATCATCAATGAATCAAGCTTCTCTTGAGCTTGTCCCAGCCCGTTGGATACCATCAAAGATACCATAACAGTATACCCAATGGCAAAGATCTAAACCCAGAACATCAGACACACGGACCATCATTATAACCCTGAGGAATACCACCATACCATCGCAGCAAAAATCACACTATCATCACGAGTCCATCGCCGTAGCAAACTGAACTTCGACGCTACACGTGTAAACACACAGGCAATCATGACCACCATCCCAAACCATGCCGAGATATTAACGACAGGTCCTTGATTGTCGGTCGTAATGTTGACTCTTCGATCATATAACAACATAACTAACGATGGCATTTCAAAGAAAGGGTCGTTATCGTTCCCATGGGGTTGACTGAGTCATCGTCGTTACAAGAAAGATCTGAGAAGCGGAGGTATCTCCTTCCGTCGTCTTTCCTGGTGGGCCCGTGGGGTACTAAATGTCGATATCATAACGAGGATGACGATATCGACAATCCTCCATAAATAAAGAAAAAAACAATCATCAATGATCTATCTGATTCCAACCGTCCCCCAACAAGCCCAGTTATGCTTTGAACAAGCCCGAATACAGAGGGCATTGTATCAGTGAGACCCGAATAACTGTGGCTTTTGTGGGGGCTTGTCCTCGAATTTAGTAAAAAGGTTGTCATTGGCCTTTTGCCAGCCATATCACACCGCCGGTGCCATGGCATCGGGATGGAGTGATGGTGCGAGTATAATGGCGGGGTGGCTGAATGGCAAGGCATTACTGTGAAATAAGGAAAGCACATGGCATTCGATTTCAAGCCTTTGAATTTCTGTAAGTGAAGGGACGCAAGTGGCTAAGTTTCAAAGTGTGGTTCGTAGAGGAAGAAGAAACTTGGAAAAACAAATTTGGCTTGAAGATCTTTGGTTCGAGACTGGGGACAGGGAAGCCGTCGGGACCAAAATAGTTTGTAGAGATCTGATAGCATTGGTAGCGTGTTGGCAACGCAGGTCCTTTTTGCGAAGAGATATTGATGACAGGTACTTGGTGAAAAATAGTTGTAGGTGAGGAATCAGAAAATGGGGGTTCCCGTTCCGAAGATACATAGGTACTATGCAGGAGACACGTGCTTTGACAAACATGAGTATTCAAGTACAGTATTCCAAAAAATGAAGGCGAATTATTCGACATGTCAATTCTTGACGAAGATCAAAACTACAGTTATGGGTTCTCTCAATTGTCGCGAGGCGGAATCGCTTCCCCGGCAGCCTCCATCCCATCAAGACCAACCTGCGGGAGCGACCCGTGCCGTGTTTTCGGTATCCCAACCCGATATCAAGCACTTCAACGAATCAGCCATTTTGCGCAGCCGTCCAGGAGATAGTGTAACAATGCAGTAAAATGTGATCTTGAGCCTATCTTGACTGGTCTCCCTGACAGGTGGTACTTATCACGAACAACTTGGCGAACCGCGCAGTATCTGATTGGTAGGCTAAATCCCATGAACGATCTTCAAATATGCGCCTTCTATTTTTCCGTGAGACATCTGCCTATTTCCTTTTTTTCTACCCTCGCTTCATCTAGATTATTCTGCTTCGGCCTTGTATGAAATTTGTTCATCTGGAGACAAAGATACTGGCCGTTTCTCAGAATTTTCATTCTTCACCACCATAGCCGAGAAATCCGTGGATATGGAAGCAATCCCGATGGAAAAACAGGTCATCGAAAGTACCCGGCTTGAGGCTGGCCCTGGGGTGTTGGGCTCCCATGTACACAGCAGTTTGAACCGCGATGAGCAAGAAATGGCATTTTTCGGAAAGACGCAGCAATTGAAGGTTAATAACGCCAGAGAAGCTTACGGTGCATTTTCACTGATATATCTTAGCGAAATTTCGGATTCTTGTCCATCGCCGGGTTTGTTTGCAGTCTGCTCTCCACCTGGGAAGGGTTATTTGGGTATGTTTTCTTCTCGATTTCTTCTTGTGAGGTAATCTTACTGACGCTGGACGTAGCGTTGGGTCAATAGAATATTTTGTCAAGTAAGTAAAGAGATAAATATGTTGAAAATATTCAACATCGACATGCAACTCCCCCCATTCTCCACTTATGACATAGCACTCTGTACACCAACAGCCTCGGCTAAGTATCTACCAACCGAGACTCTACAATAACATCTTGCTGCACTATGTACAGGCATTTTCGCATGCAAAATATGTAACAAACCATGTAGAAAAAACAAAAATTCCACCAATCAAGCACCCAGAAGGGATTTAGGCTCATTATAACCAGCACAGCCACTTTTCTCTTTTTGGGGGGTTGAGTTGGTACATTGTTGGATCCTATCCTGAAGGGGATACGTACATACATGGGTCCTCACAAAAGTGGTGGAAAAGTGTCCAAAGTATATTTAAGTACATCCACCACCTTCCTCCCCTCCACGCAAAAATGAGCAAACTCATCCTCCTCCCCGCCGAGCCCTCAGACGCCGCAGAGATGCTAGCCATGCAAGCCGAAGCCTTTGGGGGCGCAAACCCTGATCCCTTTTGGGAACAGCTTTTTCCGGTTAAGGAGGAGAAGGAGAGGGCTGTGAAGAGGTTTTTGGAGGGGTGGTTGGGGGATGGGAAGGCGGATTATGTTAAGGTTGTGGATGGGGAGAGTGGTATGTTGGTTTGGTTTTGGTTTTTGTCATTTTTGGGGGGTAGGAGATGAAGAATAGGGAGATTTTGGGGAGGGGAGGGGTATGGGGGTATGGAGTTAAAGAGAAGATGGGATGAGGGATATAAGAGTCCTTGCTGCAGTTCTTCATCTAGCGATGGAGTTTCTCGGCTATTTGATATTGTACGACGTATACAACCCCCAGTTTCTAGTCAAAAGATTTTCGACTACCACACACAACCTCCTCATCAATATCCACAAACTCATGAAGCTCTCTTCAAAGAAGCACAACTAACACCCACCCAGGAAAAATAATCAGCACAGCAAAATGGACCATCTCCCCCCACCCGCAAACCGAATCCGAAATGCACTCTCAAATAACAATAGATTACCATCCAGAAGCCGACACAAACGAATGGTCCTCCCACGTCCTAACCTGGATCCGTCAACACCGCCTAACACGAACAAAAGGTGGTCCTTGTGCCGGTACATCCCTTCACATCCCTTTCCCATCCCCCTCTCCCTCCTTCAACTCCAACCCCCCCCTCACATCCCTCTGACAAAACACACCCCCAGCCCTCGAACTAATGGCCAGCCACCCCTTATACCAAAAGCGCGGTGCGGGAACGATGGCCGTCAAATGGGGGACGGATCGTGCGGACGCGTTGGGACTGGCGTGTGTGGTGGAGGCTACGGATGTGGGGAGGGCGTTGTATGAGAAGTGTGGGTTTGTGGAGAAGGCGGGGGGGAGGATTGTGGCCCCGGTGCCGGAGAGGTGGAGGGGGAGGCCGGTGTTGAGGTTTTGGTTTTATGAGAGGGAGGTTGGTGGGGAGAGGGAGGGGGAGAGGGATGGGGATGGGGGTGTAAAAGAAAGTCAATAAAACTTAATAGTATCCCTTACAAGAAACTAATCATCCCCCCAAACAACCCTCAAAAAATCCATATCACTATACTCTAAAAACCATCTACAACCAAAATACCAAACCAAGTCATCCACTCCACTTTAAACTCCATACCTCTCAACCCCAATAAACCTATCAATTTTTCCTCATTCCCCTTAGGCTTTTTAGAGGAAGTGGCAACGGGAAACGGGGGACATCCAAACCCAAAGCCCTCACGAACCCTTAATGAGCATGTGAAATCTTATCCAATACTCAGCAAGGGCTTGGGGTACTCTTACCGAGTATACACGTAGTATTATCATCGATATAAAGGAATGAGCCACGAAGCAGCGGCCAGCAGATGTCAATGGATTCTTGGAAGACTTTGGTTCGATTGGATGTTCCATGGAATCTATCTTAAGAAAGTACAGTAAGATTGCTTAATTAGATAGAGGCAGGGAGGGAACTTGCGTTATGGAGTTTGAAGTGATAGGAAAGATGCTTTGAAATGCCTAGTATGGGGGATGAGAATGTTGGGGTGATTGTAGGGTTTTGTTGGGGTGATGTGTATGAGGATGTGGTCTTATGTCCTTTACATTGCGGATGCGAAATACAACAATTTCACAACATACAAAACCAACCCCTTCTACCTACTTCCCAATTCTTTTCTAAGATTCCCCCACCCTACACCCCCCCACCGCACCACCGCACCTCAAACCCAAAAACCATCCTCCTCAACTCCTCATCCCCCGGATCCTCTTCAAACATAACCTTCTCCAACCTCTCCTCCAGCACCTTCTCAACACACAGACCCTTCTCCCTGACTAAATCAAAGAACGCCATATCCTTCTCATACAACCAGGGTCTGTAGGGAGTGAAGAATACCAAAGCCCTCGCGTCTTTACTTCTTGAGAGGGTATCGAGGATAGTCTGCACCAACTTTGCGTGTTCCGAGTGGTTGAAGAGGAGGTCCGCGAGGATGAGGAGGTCGAAGCCGGAGGAGGGTGTGGGGAGGTGGGCGAGTAGGGGTGTGGGTGAGGCGCCCCAGCAGTAGCCTTCTGCTACTATTTTTTTGGTGGTTGGGTCGGAGGAAGTGGAAGTTGCAATGTTGAGCTGTGCGGTGTCGATGTTGGCCCAGAGGTTGGAGATTAGATCTGGGTCCGGGTAGTCGGTTACTACTACTTTCTTTGCGCCGAGGAGGGTGCAGACGAGGCTGGGGAGACCTGCGCCGGCGCCGAGTTCGAGGACGGTTTTGGATGTGATGAGGTCCGGGTGGGTTTCGAGGTAGGTTGATATTAGGCGGCCTGCTTGCCACTAGGAGTAGAGTTAGTGGTTTGAGTTTGAAAGATAAACTAATGGAGATGGAATTCGAAGGATAATCCGAAGATAAACTATGGAACATAAAGTATGAGGATATCTTGTGATGAGAGGTAGATGATGAAATCGCAGTGTGATTATGAATGCTTGACAATTTCATCTTTTGTGGAATGAGAATTGTATTGGTTTGCCATAGCAAGTAATGAAGGATAAAGACACGGCAAAATAATTTAACCTCTTTTCGAGGCGTGCTGTTTGAAGACTAGGTTGATTGGAATATGAAAATATGGATTGCAGAAACATGGAAAAGAGAAGTTGAGAGTTTGAAAAGTTGTGATTTGTGACATAGATGTTCGGTTTGCTCATATTTGGTAGATGTAAAGAATTCATATCTTACTAGATGATGACCCCACAGCGGATTATGGCCCACAAGTCGTAATGACAGAACCCGACCAGAAAGAAGAGTATGCGTCTCAGTCGTAGGTTTTGGTGAAGGTGGATAGAAGCCCTCCGGATCGGCAAAGATATCGATACCCTCAGTATCCGACTCATCGTCTTTCCGATCATCTACCCTCACTTCTGTCATGTTGAGAAACCTCAGGACAAGGCGGAAAGAAAGGGGAGCAAATCACGTGGAGCGAGGGGTTTGGCGAAGGATGTCCACTTTCAAAAATTGTTCTAGAAATGGACGTTAGCGCATAGCCCTCAACTCGGATCGAATTAGAAGGGAATTCCAATTGGGATTCGCCGTCTTTCGTGGTATCTTGGTTGAAACGCGCTTGCGGTAGAATACCCAGGTATTTTTTTATACTGCCAGTATGGATCGTGGAACTCGGTATGACAAGACAAGAGACACCCCTACCTGGGTTTTCAGCGACGGGGCTGCAACTTGGATTTTGCTGATGGTTCTTGCCTCGGAGCGGTGACAACTTCCTTGCAGTGGTGGTATCCTGGAAGGTTGAGAGGCCTTGCAGTACTGTATTATTTTTGTAAGTTTTGATAGGATGGGATGAAAGCAGACGTGTGCGAAGCGATGGAAGATGCAAAGATCCAATTCTGGACCTGATCCGGATCCGGATCCGACGCTGCAACCGAGAGCCGATCAAGTGCATCTTCAGTGAACTCCTGCTTCTCCCAGGAGCTGGGGCCGACATTCACCTTCACCATATGTTCGTACCTAGGCGCGAGTATGACATCTTCTCATGACATTTGACAGAGCACGTCCCAGCCATATACACCTTTTTGAAACTTCTTCTGTCTTTGGATCTTGGAGGGACACTTTAAAGGCGACAAATACGATTGACACATGCGCACTCCAACAGCGCAAGAGCGTCTATTATATTCGCCCGTCTCAGCATAGTATCGGAGATATGAGTACGTAGGTATCATTGCTTGGGTGATACTCAGGCGTGCAGTGCAGCAGTGCTACACTTGCAGGTGGTGCGAACTGGGAGCCGACCTGCAGCCCAGTCTGCGAGCCCCACCTGAGCAAGTTGTCATTGGCCTCGGCTTGGGTGGCTTTTGGACATTGCAGCTGCAGATGCACAAAGATCAGGGTCTCCGTCACCAGCGAATATTTACTCGAGACTTGAGTACTCGGTATGGCAGTCAATATATGTAGGTACCTACTGTGAGTCGGAGACAGCAGAGTGTAACTACATTTCTGCAGCAAACAGCTTGGGCCCCCTCTCCCTCCTCAGGTACTCACGTTGCACCGACCCTCCACTATCCAGATTGCGGGGTGAATATTGACGATTGGATTGGGAAGGAGGCGGAAGCATTCACCTACCACCTACCACTTCCCACTTCTCACCACCTTCATACCTCTCCTCGCAGCTTCAGCCTTCACCACCTTACAATTCTACTACAGACAGTAGATCATAGAGATGCACCTCATAAATCACGTCCTAAATCACGTCCTCCCCCGGTATTGAATTTCGTCAGCGCATGGCCATTGACCGCAGCTTCAGAGTCAAGAGGTGCAGTGCAGGCTGAGAGGACCACCACTACCTACCAACACTACTCCCACTCCCCGTCCTGACTGTACCACTTACCTACCACCCACCACGACTAGCCTCCGTCCGTGGTACCTTGACACCTGGACCCCCTCCTCCGGCTCTTCGAAACTCTCTCTCCCGCCCTATCCACCCATCCCTCAAGGTTCCCGTTGCCGACCTACTTCTACAACTAGCCTCTAGGACCCCTCGAATTTGGGGAGTGAAGAAAATCTGCTCAAACCTGCTCATCCTGACCCAACGACTCTGACACCTCCAAACACAACACACATGGATCCCCAAGGATAGCATACCATCAATCCACCATCCAGAGCAAGATTGGCCCTAGGAAGAACGTCACCAACCCCAGTCCGAGTCTCAAGAGTCCCCTCACCCTTCCAGTGTAGCTGGTTGCGATCACCAATCCACCGGCTTGCCGCAGAGCTTGATGCGCCTGGCAGATCCGGAAGCACAGCGACGCTTATCTACAGATTGGCACAAGCACGGAGCACGTTTCGACAAGGTCCAAACGTGTGTTGAAGTCGCAAACTTTCCAGGCGCAACGAGGTTATTTCAACGACCCTCAAGTCTGCTGTCACCATAGCGGGTGCCACTTGTCCAACGTAGCAACCGCCAACCGACAATCTAAAGGGGCGAGTCCTAAACTGGCCCAAGATGCCTCTCATAAATGGAATGAAAATGGCCTGGTATGTTTCTTCCCTAGAATGTAGAGCACGTTGGCCAAGGTTGTCATGGGAGCCGCTGTCATTGTCAGCATCAAGAACCACCCCTCGGCTCCTCAATGGTCTTGGAAATCTTTGGTGACACCAACCAGCTAATCTGACCTTCACAGTGAGCCATGCATACGAGGCCATCGATCCACGAAATGTACTCACGCGAGCGAACGACTAATGGTTCCCGTACGAAAACCAGGCCGACCCCTTAGCCAATGCCCTCACCCGGGGGGACAAGCTTGTATGTGTGGGAGTGTAACAGCGGCTATTCCAAGAAAGCAGACATGCGGTTGTGGAGGAGAGAGTTCCATGGCCACAAACCCGGCGACGCCAGTGGTATCCCACACGAGCATATCAGAATTACCCTCGCCAACAAAATCCACTTTCAAAGTACAGAAGTTTACCAGACCACCACCGGGAAGTAGAAAGCAATCATATGATCCAGTGAACTTCGAAAGAATGGATATGAGTAGTGTCAATATTATCTCCTACAAACAACAAATCCCAAATATGCCACTGAGTATGTCTGCGCCAGGCGGATTTCCAATAGTTGGTCAGCCTCAAGTCTACGGATACCCGCCTCAATATGGAAACATACAGGCCCAGTTGAACCACGTTACTATGCAACCACTTCCAATGCCCTACAGCTCATCCCCGATAATGGGTATCAATGGATTTAGCAATGGATCTATACATGAAAAGGAAACTTATACAATCGAAAGTCCAATAAGCGCCCCAGTTATTTATAACAACGGAAACACAATTACGGTAACGAAGGCCGGCTCATGTTGTGCGCCACCACCGTCGCCTTTGACTCCTACCAATGGAAATCATATCAACAAAGTCCAGACCAACGGCAGGTCTTCGGTATCCTCAAACGGGGGTTCATGTTGCGCCCCGAAGCAGAAGACCCATCATCAAACGTCATCTACTGGCACAACTACATCAGAGCCAGAGGAGCTTCAAGTAAGCAGTTGCTGCTCTTCCAAGCCTACACAGGCGACGAAGCGGGAGACAACTTCTATTAATGGCACTCCGATCAACACAAACCCTCCAAGTCCAACCCACATTATGGCACAAGGTAATATGCCATTCACACAACCTTTCTATCCTCAATATCTACCAAATGATCCAACGGTATTTATATACCCACCGACGTATGGCTCATTTCAAAATCCGCTTCAACCATCTGCATGGAGAGAGAGCATGCGCACGAATAATTATTCGTCACATTCTCCGCTTCCAATGCCTGATACTACGGCTTATAATGGATCGCAGATTTCGGATGCCCCAGATACAGTTCATACATGCTGTTGTGGAGATTCCTGCGAATGTGTTGGTTGCGCAGCTCATCCTTATAATGATGCAAGTCAAAGCTATGTCCGTTCAGCCTATCAGTCCATGACTACCGATCATTCAGGAGGCGATCTGTATACAAATGGTCAATCCCACACAAACGGGGTTGAAAATGGGAACGGTAATAGTAAGATTTCGGAACCCGTAGCTTCACCTACTGCACATACCCCATCTAGTACGACATCAGGAAATGCAGAAGAGCAAAGTCTTTCTGCTTCGGATTTCTTCTTCGTTAATTATCCATTTTCGAGTGATGGATGTGGAGGAGATACCATGAATTGTCTTTGCGGTGATGATTGTGAGTGTTTAGGATGCACAATACATCGACAACCTATACCAGGAATGCCCTGTGGAGGCGAGGAAAATACCTGTCCATGTGGTGACAACTGCGAATGCATAGGATGCACAATACATCAAAGTATGCGGGCATCCGCGTGATGATTGACACGATGATATGAATATCTTCATGGGAGGCACATTTGAGCGTTTGGGAGTTCTTGGAGGCATCAATGGCACTTATTGGTCCCTTTTAGGTTGGGTCAGTTTGGGGTCAAAATGGAGGAAAGCGATCGATTTTGTTGGCAACTACTTGTAGACGGGCTCTTTTTCCTGGTGTCTATCTTTTTTGGGATTGGAAGAATGATACCCTGTGATTTCCTTTCTTGGGCCTAGAACTTGGGAGTGGTATCGAGAAGATGATTGGAAGTAGACATCTATGAAAGTAGATAGCCTATTGGATATAATGATTTATTTTTTGATGATGAAATATCTTCTCAAGTGAGTGGTCAGGGGAATTTTTGTAAGCATCTACAAGAGTGGCTATCGATAATCATACTTTTAGGATTCATCTAAACACTTTAATTGATGGGGGTTTTTACACTGCTTTCGAATACTGGTACGAGTACTGTACAGCTGCGCCATATCGTAATCCAGTTGGACTCGTCCCCTCTTAAAGTAGCTATACAAGGCTGGGAAAAAGCTGGGGTTATGTAGATCCTGGTGGTGCGGCGATGGGTATTTCCCGTTGCTGTATGTCATCCGGTAGATTGCAGGGTAATTGTTACCCGTAACCCGCTAAACATTTCAACCGGTAGGTGATTGATATGAAAATTGTGATGAGGGGAGGGAAGTAATGAGTACCCAGCTCAGGCAAGGTAGGTAGTGTTTATATTATTAGGGGCGGCGGAAAGTTCTTCACAACCATTGGTTCAAGCCACCCAACAATCCAGGGCCAGGCTCCCCACTTCCTTCCTCTTAACCCCAGCCCAGACCATATATTTCCCAACCCTCAGCAATGTCCAGGCCCCTCATCCGCACCCTCACAACCACAACACGACGCTCCAACTCCTCCCTACACAATGTCTCCCAATCACACTCCTCGGTTCTCCCACCGATTGAAAAACTCCTCTGGCGACACGGCGAGGATACCATGATCGAGGAGTTTCGACGACGAGCTTTTATCCCGGAAACGCCTGTTTTGATAACGAGTGAGGATCCTGCGAGGGGGGTTTGGGATGGTGTGGTGGGGGCGGGGAGGAAGTGGTTTGTGTCTGAGTCTGGTGGGGAGTCAAAGGTGGTTCTGGAGTACCTGGGCAGGTTTGGAGAAACGATATTACCTTATGAACTTGTTCTACCTGAGAATCTTGATGGGGATGTGAAGTGGGGGAAAGATGTTGAAGAGGAGAATATATCCAAGATCCTCGCGCTTGTCGCACAGAGAAAACCACAAACACAACATGAATCACCATTACTTAACGAAGCCATCTCCACCCTCTACAGCCAAACCACCCCCTCCCAAACCTTCCACCGCTTCCACGCGCCTCTCTCGCTCCTCCTCTATGCCTCCATCTTAACATCCACCTCCACCTCCACCTCCCAATCCTCTATCCCTCAACCTACATTACAAAACCTCTACATCGCCCAAGCCCAACTCCTCGACCTCCCCCCAGAGCTCCGCGCCGACCTCCCACTTCCCTCCCTCGTCCTCCACGCCGGCAAGGGCGATCTCTACGATGCGAATCTCTGGCTTGGTATCCCGCCTACCTACACGCCTTTGCATGCGGACCCGAATCCGAATTTGTTTGTGCAACTTGCGGGGCGGAAACGGGTGAGGCTTTTTCCTAAGGAGGTGGGGAGGGGGATGTTGGGGTTAGCTAGGGGGAATGGGGGTTTTGGGGGGATTGGGATTAGAGGTGAGGAGATGATGGAGGGTAAGGAGAGGAGGGTTTTGGATGGATTGGTTTGGGGGGGTGATGAGAGTGGAAAGGGACGAGAGGTGGTTGTAAGGGAGGGGGAGGGGTTGTTTGTTCCGAGGGGGTGGTGGCATTGTGTTGTTAGTGTGGGGGAGGGAGTTAATGGGAGTGTGAATTGGTGGTTTAGGTGAGGTTTTGGGTCTGGGTTGGGAGGATGTGATGGGATTTTGGGATGGGGATGTTGATACCTTAGTCTATGAGGTTTAAGTGATTTGTAGGAAAATGGGGAATGAGTAATTGGTGTTGTAGGGAGAGATATCCATAAGCCAGCTCTGGTGTCATTATCATGGCTAGTCACTTGTAGCTAGCTAGTAGCCCAGTACACTAAGTGGCCTCACCTGTCCCCGACCCATTTCATGCACACAAGAAGCGCAGTTAACTACATCACGCTTGAATCTTGAACCATTCACAAGTCCAGAAGTAAGAGCGCAACTAGAAAATAATATAAAAAAGTGAATTATAACTTCTACACACCTACACCACCAAACACAAGAGAGGAAAGAATATCTTAAAAGAAAAGTCTAAGTCTGATTCCGAGAACTATTACTCTATAATAGTCCAGGTAGATTAGTAAATAGAAGCATACTCCCTTAAGCTTACCAAATAAGTACAGTACAGTGTTAAGTAAAGTTTCCCACTCGTAAGTACATTAATATCATCCTCCCTCCCTACCATAAGAGTATATATAAATCATATCTGCAGTATACATAAAGATTCAATATAGCGCAGCACGCGCGCGCAACAGGACTCAAAAGAGCGGCTTACCTAGGTTCTTGAGCTCTGCACGTTCAGGTTTTTGGGGTTCTATATATGTACCCTTTGAGATTCATCGCTATCGCTGGTGTGACAGTTTTTGATTTAGTGAATAAGGGTTCGCTTAGCGAAGTTGCGGGTGTACCCTTCCGTAGATAGACAAATACCTAAGGAGTGCGAAGAGCGTCTCTCTTCCCTCCTTGCGAACAATCTATTCCTTGATCCCCACCATAACAGCTGGATTATACATAGGTATGACATTTTGTTGTGCTGGATCCACCATATCACCTGATGTGGAATCCACTTATTCATTATTGTATTATTATTTGTACAGCGTCCGTATTGAGATACGGCTCCACCTCTCATTTACCCCTTTCTTTCTCATTTGCCCCTTTTTCCTTCCCTTATAAATACTCTGTACAATAGCTTCTCAAACAATCAATCAATTCTCCATGACCTTCAGTACACCACACTCTTCAGCCCAACACATTTGTTTATATGGCTGTTTTTAATTAGATAGAATGTCTCTTCCTTAGTATATTGAGTTGTTATTATTTTAAGAGGGCTCTTATTAAGGTCTCTGGTCTGCGCACCTATACTTGTACTGCAATTCTCTGGACTGGCGAGTTATAGTGGGGAATGAAAAGTCCTATTGAGATAAGGTGTAAAACTGTAGCTGTGGGTATTCGTAGATGTGTGGAGATGGACTCATGTCCTGTTTACGCCTAGAGTATGTTAGTTGTTTAATTTCAGCGGTCTAGCGGAGATGGAGTTGGAGAAGCGTACCAACATGACTGCAGATTCGACCATGTGCGAACCTCTGCTTCTTTTTGGAAGCTTTAACACACTTTATAGCTTCTGGATTAAGTCGTTTTGAGTTGAAAGGCCATATGTTTTTGTATGTCTCTACCCCTAGTCTGGTCTTCTTTGCTTTATGGTAAATGAAGTTTTTGATCTGTGTGGTCATTGATGTGGGTGTCTGGATCCATTGTTGTATGGAAAAGGAGAAATCTACCGTGGGAGGGATATTGCAAAAGTTTTGAGGTGACGAATTGAAGAGTGATGCTGTTGCCACGAATTTTGAGGTTCTGGTTCTCAGAGGGGTTGGAAGTTGGAAGTGTGTCTTCTTAGTATGAGCTCGAGAAGAATAGTACGAACTCATCATTATCATCGCAGGAGAATCGATTTAGTCTACCATTTTTGGCCCCTGCTATATCACTTGTCGTCTCTATCTTTTTTCTACGGATCAACGGTTAAGATTATATACCTTCAAGAACAGTGAAGATGGAATCTTACTATAGACGGTCTTCTGGAACATTGAGTCGATGTTGATTGGAAGAATAGCGACATGATAGCTTTGGAAGTGAAGCCTGACGATGCGTAGATAACCGACGCTATGGAAACATGGTTGCGAGCAGTTCAATAGACGAGTTTGAATCGCCGAGAAAAAATATTCGTAGAAAAAGCAACCGAGATCTGAATCTTTATCTTACTTATGGAGGAAAAGATGACAATGCTCTGCAGGATTTCAGACATGATCGAGGAGTGCCATACATGTACTCAAATACTGAAATTCTACGTTTATTGGGCCTGGGACAAAGCAAACTGGTATTATGGATGCTTTGAATAATCGATATTTTCCATTACTTACCACCCAAATGTTGTGGGACAATAAAGGCAATCATGTACAACTTTTAGCAGAAATGATGTTGTAGTATGTGTAGAGTAATGACCAAGTCTCTTGTATAACGGTCACGGCCAGTGGAGATTCGATTTCGCATCAACCCCCTACCTGCTCTTGGGCCTACTCGATTTCCAATACACAGCATTCATTTCACCACGAACAGCTTGGGTTTAAAATTAGTCCCTCTTCTTACAACCTTGCCTGCAAAACTCAGACTTAATAACAGGTACTCGACAGAAGTACTGCTCCCATCCAATTGGCCAACGCCGGAGATAAGAATATCGCTAGTGGTTGAGAAACAACATACTGTCTCCGTTCTACCGCTTTGACTCTTTTTCAGTAGTCACATTATGCCCAACATCATGGGACCGAGAGCTTTTTAGTATGATTCGTTGCAGTGCAGTGTTTAAATAGACAGATAGTAATAACGTGGAGCATAAAATTGGTTGATTTCAGACTCAAGGTTATGTTACCATGGTGAAAGTGGGAGAGCCATTATGGAAATCCTCTGTGTTATTCAGCTCTAAGTCAATATTTCCATTTCTCTTAGTTTCCTTGCTAGTCTACTTTCCTCCTTCTTCCCACGAATCAAGTTTCACATACATACAGAGCAATAAAGACAACATCAACACGTCAACCCCGTACAAAGTCTTCTTCCCTGGGTCAGCCCATCTCATCGATAATACAGGTGACGTGACTTCTCGTCATCTCGAAGGAAGCAAAAAAGACATCGTCCACATGTCCAAACCAAGTTCCTCCCAGAAAATCCGCCAAACTGAAATCGAAAAGCGAAAATTGCTAGCTATCTGGGTGAGCAATACCTATAGGAATACAGTGCTTAACCACTACTATTACATAAACTCCAACACACTACCCAAAGTTATGGTAAACACTTCATGTTATTTCCACTCCGCCATTCTCTAGTTTTTAGATACGTTAGTATAATTAAAAACTACATGATTGTAATTAATTTTACTTACCTAAATTGTTTAGTATATTTATCGCTGTTAGGAACTCAAGTAGGGAAGTTAAATAAAACAGTAAACTCACAAAGTATACTTTTTATACAAAAAAAAGAACCTACCTACTCTATATTCGCCTACACATATGACGACCTCACTTGTACTAGTCTTGTAGAGCTATTTCTACTTTTCAATAAGGCGGGTTTAATCTAGACTTAGATAAGGAAACTATTAATTAAGGTGGAACTCGTGGAACGCTCTACTCAGAGTAGGATTATGATTAAGGGGAGTTTTTCCGACTTTTTCGCTTAGCGTGTATTTATTCGCGTTGGTACAGAGGAACAAATGAGTACCTACCTAGTAATTTGCTTGTAAATAAGGGCGCTTGTCATATCCTAGCTACACCTACCAGCCTGGTTTTACGATATACAGCTTCCCGTTGTCTCCCAATAACACTGAATTGAGCCCCTCCTACACCTATACCATTACGAGTTTCAACATCCTTTAGACTAAGAAATTCACAACATCAACAAGCCAATTTCCAATCAGAATTCTATGGTAAAATACGAGGCAGGACATGATAGAAGCATATTTATATATTGTCCGCTTTCTGCCCCGGTCAAATGCTCAAGAAGACTTTGGTAATAGAATCGACTCAATGTATTCTGAAGTAAAATAGCACTTGCGGGTTCTTTTCCTCCCGCTGGGAAAGGTTTACAGTACAGTTCTTCAATGGTAAGGGATTCCGTGACTTCGGTTTGTAGGATGGATTACAGAACATGATGGACCTAACCAATTTGAGATGGATGCGCCGTTTCTGGGAGTTTGATGGGATGGAATCGTCGGGGAGGACGGCAGGAACCGAAGAGCAAAGTGGTCTGGTAATAGGTAGAATCTATTTGTTCATCGTCCTATCATTCAACCCCGTGATTCGATTTACGATTATCCCGACTTGACCACTGGGCTTTCACAACTTGCTCACACCACCTCATCTCCCATTGGTCTCCATTTCGAGTTTAGGAACCGCTCTCTCAAACTTAGACGGTAAATCCTAGTAAAAGCGCGGCTTCCGTATAGTCATCATAAGAATGAAATGACATATTTTCATCAATCAGATATCAGGCGTTTGTAAAGTAACTACCTTATTGCATGCAAATCCATTCAACCCCTACCCACGAAAACTCCTTCCAAATGCATGTACAAAATGACAGGACCGCTTCATGATCTACGCAGATCAATCGCTGTCTTCTCCATTATCGAGAGCCTCATCTTCAGCCTCCATTGCCTGGGTATCATCGGGTTGTTCTTCTGTTTCAATTCGCTCCTTGGCCTCCTCCTCCTCATCCTCCTCATCGTCTTCTGCTGGATCTTCGTCATCGCCAGCATCTTCATCTGCCGTGCCCTCTCCAGTATTAGTTCGCGCCGGCAAGCCACTTTTCTCGACCCCACATCCGGTTTTTTGACTCGAATCTAATCTTGCCTTCTTCGCGGCTGGTGGACCAGATTTGCTCGCATCCTCGTTTTCGCCTTGGGTATCTACCTCTCCCTCGTCGCCTTTTTCTGCAGCCTTCTTTTTACTCGCATTCTTCTTGTCGGCTTGAATCTCGTGCCACTCTGATAACCCGTCAGCATAACGTCCGAGCTGCAGGTTTGAACCACCTACTAGCCAATTCGCCCTCGAGTTTCTCCTTCCAGTCGGGAAATTCAAGTTCTTCCAAGGCTGCGAAAACGTCTGCCGCAGAGAGCGTTTTTTGGTTGCGTGATATGGCATGCTCGTTCGCGCTGTAATCGCTACATTAGGACGTTGAAATGTATATCCTACCAAGCAGAAGTGCAGGAGATGCTTTCGCAGGAGGATTGAACGCACTGTGAAGCCAAGTAATTGACAAATACCGTGGCACTTTTCGTCATCGCCAACATCGCATTCCCTTGAATCTGCGTATTGGGCGGTAAAACACCCTTGGCCAATTTCGTGACGATACTTTTTGGGAGGGCAAAATCCTATGGTAATTGTTAGTAGACATCTTACACATCCCCAACATCTTGTCTCAATCATCGCAGCTTGTATATCTCAATAAACGCGCCGAGTTGTCGCAAAAGTAACCTACATCGATATTGATCCCGTCTCTTACGGACTGCTCTTTTGCGAGCGCCGCTTCGTCGTTGGGGGCCATTGTTGGCACTTCCTTTTTGGGAGGCATGAGGGAGGTTGTTAGTGGATGGTCCTGTACCGAAAGTCTGGAGCTTAAGATGAGGTAGGTTGAACTTGTCAAGGTGCACTGACGTGGGGTTAACGCGGGCGGTGAGCCCTCGAGCGCGTTTGGAGTAAGACGCGTTCACCACTACTGGTAGCACCAGGTAGTCTTTGACCATCCTTGTAGGAGTTAGGTGAATGTGCCAAATTAGTATCCTTAGAGTGAAAATTAATTAACATCGTCTTCTATACCGCTAAGAGGGGTTTTAGAGTAGGTCAACAAGTATAATTCGAGTTATAGAAAAGAAAATAATTTTATATAGGACAGTTAGGCGAAGCTCTATATACACTAGAAAAAGATATTATTCTAAAGGTCTCGTGTGACTAAAATTAGTATACGAGTTATTTAGGATAATTCGGATTAATGTATATTTATTAATCTACGTGATTTAGAATAATTGAGTTAATTGTTTTAGGAGTTCTATTATAAAAGGGTTTTATATACGTGTCTAGAGTTTTGCCTAATTGTCTTGCAATTCAATAGCCCAATATTACTAAGGTGTAAGAAACCGTCTCTGCGCTTTAGCGATAGAAAAGGGGGTATCAAATCATCAAAAATCCATCCGAACCATACGCCTGAACCATCCTCTCCAGCTCCACCAAAACAAAAACCCACTACTTCCTCCCATTCTTCCTTCCACTCCAAGACCTCAACCCCTCCCTCCCACTCTCCTTAGCCCTCTTCACCGTCTTCCCACTCCTCTCACCAACACGATGTCTATCCGCCTCATCCCTCACATCATCCACAACATCCGCCCCAACACTCGTCCCATGAATCCAATCCAAGATTCCCAGCGGTGCAAAATTCCCCTTCCCGCGCCCTCGACTATGGAGGTCATGTCTTCGAGTCATTCCACCGAGCATGATGCCTGGGATGATGCTATAGCCGGACGAGGTACAGGTTTCCTCAAAGGTGATGATGGAGAGGGTCATGAGGTAGGTGAGGAGATGTGTTCGGAAGAGGATGGAGGGGAGGTATGTGGGGAGGAAGCGGAAGAGGAGGTAGGATGCGGGATGGTCGTAGTGTGCTGTGAATGAGTATGGGGAGGTGATGGAGTGGAAGTAAGTTTTGTGGAGGCGGCTGAGATGGTTTGGGTTGCTGGGATGGAGGATGAAGCGGTGGATGTAATATTGTAGGACCTGTTTATTGTTAGATATGGACTACGATAAGAAAACAATTCCTTACTTCTCGCATCACAAGTCCGCGTAAAACATGTTTGGCGATGGACCAGGGCATAGGGAGGGTAGTCGTGACTTGCAAAGCGCTTCTCCAATCCAAGACCTCCGTAAGTATCGATTCCACAATAGCTTGGACCGCAACCCCCAGGAGAGTGTTGAAGAGGCTTAGAGCAATAACACGATACCAAACCGGACTTTCTCTTTTTAATCTTCGCGAGCCCGTTGCGCGAGTGGGCAAGGCTGCTTCCCCTTGAGTTTTGATGCTCACTGCGATACTTGGTAGAAGGCTGTCAAATATGAGGAAGACGGTTGAGGGCAAGAGGAAGAATAATATTCGGATTCCTAATGTTCCCACTACCTCGACTTTCAGAGGCGGTTGGGAGAGAACTAAGGTGCTCCCTGTTCATTTTGTTACTTGCTGAACAGATTTTTTGGTATTTGAGGTGTTGGACATACATGTCTGAGATCTTTATTAGTACTTGAAGCTAGTAATCAGACGTGTTTACTTACCATATAAAAGAACAGAAGGTTGAGACTGGTAGAAAACGTCGAGGGTCCTAGAAAGTAGCCGAGTACCGGGAGAGAAAGTAATGCGTCCATAGCGACGGCCTGATAAAAATAGGCCACTGAGCAAGTAAGTTTGGCTAGGAAAATGTCTATTTGATTTTTGAAATAGACGCATTTATCTATATTTCAAGGAAGCTTAGTCATTTAATCATTGAATAAGTTAGAATCAACTTTCACGGAGAGGAGTTATGACATCATCGGCGAAGTCCGACCCGGATTTTCTAGCGACAGGGAGCCGAGGGGGTTTATCTGTTCAAGCGAGACCATTCAGGGGTGAATAATGCTATTTCCTTATCTCGAGGGTGGTGAAGCCTATCCTTCGCTTATGTTTTCAAATTGATAATTGAAACATGTTTTGGAGTATTCTAGAAAACAATCCATTTCCACATGTTCAATATGTGCAGATTGGTGAAAAAATGCATCCGGAACTGTTGTATGGCAAAATTAACCTTTTTCCACCTGCAGCTAGAGATGCAGTATGAAGACCAATAACAACCCCACCAGAACAAATACAGATCGCAAGAATAGACACTAGCCCGGTTGGGTTAGAGGTGGAGGCTTACTCATGGATTTCTCAGATTGAAATTAATCTTTCCTAAACCGTCGCATGATTTGCTGATGAAAGTTTTACCCAAGATTTTTCTGCTCCGCGTGCACGGCCATGGATGTATTCAGCACTCCGTATGCGAATTCGTCTGTCAACAGCACCTGAACCTCCTGAAGCGGTCAGGAGTTAATTGTTTCTAGAGGTTTGTTTGGATCTGCAGATCTGAGATGACATAGTTGAGATGTAGATCTACACAGGCTTATGGTGAGAAAAGCTTCGACGGTTGTAGGAGCTGCATTCCATACCGGTACTTGATGGCATTCGTAGCGAATATATTTTCTGATACAAGTACTTAGCTTCCTTTGCAGGCTCGACGATAAATTCTAAATTTGCCCCATACTGGTCGGTACGCTCCGCATGCGAGCCTTATCCCTACTGTAAATACAACGTCCCCATGCAAATAGCTACACCCAGGCCTCTCGGTGCTCCTATCAAAACAGCACAGGCTGCAAAGTGTTAGTTGCGTGAAGGGTCAAACGGAAGTGCTACTTATTTCATACTTGAGTAAATTTACCTGCCACTCCGCCAACTCTCCATTGCCTCTTCAACTCTCAACTCTCAACTTTCAACGCTTAGCATTGCATTGTTGCTCGCCAACCCGAGTAATCGGTTCCAGCCCTGCGGTCTACTCGGCTTCACGGTCGGCACCCGCACGTAGTGTAGGCACTCGCAGCATCGACGTGAGACCAAACAGCCGCATCTTTTTTGGTATTTGATACGGATACGGAGCACAAGGTGACGGGAGCTTCCTCCAGCGTCGCGCCTAGGAAACTCAACGTGGTTGAAAGAGCTCTTCAGAAACATCCCCAGTACTGTTACCGGTAAGCTTCACATTACATACAGTACACGCCCATTGTATGTTGACAGCGGAAGCGACGTCGGCATCGGCCCCTATCTCGAGCCACGCGTCGGTGGTGGTGGAGTCGACGGGAAGCTGGAGCTGGAGCTGGAGCTGGAGCTGGAGCTGGAGCTGCTGGGTGTGGAGCAAAGTTTATTACTCGTAGCTGACTGCATTTAGGGCACTCCACTGCCTCTCCTCTCCCCTCCCTCAACCCTTCCATCATGGCGGCATAACGTACCCAAATCCAGCAGCAGCAGCAGTATCGCTACCGCATCGCTACTCCGTACCGCACCGCACAGCTGCGCATTTAGCGACCGCGAAAATCCTCAAACCGGCGTAGAGTCCAAGGTCGGCCGTATTGATTCGAGTGAAACCTTCCTTAGCCTATTCTGCTGTTTTGGGAGGGTCAATGCTGCAAGGACTTCTGTTTCTGGCTCTATCAGATTTTTACCGGCCACCACTTTTGTTTGGGGAACACCCACCATTGACCACTACCACCCGAACTGACAGGCATAGGCACACCAGCGCAACCCAGCGCTCAGTTGCTCTCTAGGTAACTCCTCGCGCACCTGCACCCGCACCTGCACCTGCGCCTCCTGCAGCGATGGATTCAAAACCTCCTCCCATCCCAACTCGCCATAAAGGACATGGCCGACGAAAGTCCCTTCAGGGCCCTTCCACTCTTCCCAATCGCATCCATATCCAGCCCGCATCCCCCGAAGTCATCTCATCTTTAATCACCTCGCTATCCATCATCTCCTCGCCGGCGAACCAGTTGTTCGAGAACCCTGGCGGGCAGCAATCTACTGCCGTATCACCTGCGCCGACAAGTCGCACATTCGGTGGACACGATGAGAATCGGTCAGTGGGTGGGAGTTTTGGTATAGACTACGGCGCATATAACCAACCTTCTTTGCGACAACTGGTACAGCAAGAATCGCTCGACGAGCTTGCCGCAAGCCCTCCCGTGATTCGAACAGCGAAACCACCCTCTGGATTCTCTCCTCTGACGGCACCGCAGTCGCCGCGATCTTCACGCGACCCCAGTCCGCTGAAGACGTTTTTAAGGGTTAGCTCTCGCCCCTCGTCAAAGGGATCAACCGGGTCGAGGGAGAGGGATGATGCGAGCAGCCTTGGCGGGATATCTGTTGAACCAGGCAAAGCACCTCCACCCGTTCCCGAATTACGGCGCAAGCCATCAAGTGATAGTTGGGGAAAGAAACAATCAAGACAGCGCAAGGGGTTGATGTATATGAGCTCCAAGGAAAGACTGAGGGACAAAGAAATCGATCGCCAGAAAGGAAGCAGCGGGACTGCAAGGGATCCGAATATAGACAACCATCTACCCATTCCAAGCTTTGATCCGGATACTTTTATGGTAGGGACAGCAATCGGTGAAGAGCCAGAAGAATTCCCCACTAAGCCAGCACGTACAAGCCCAATTGGGGATATCTTTGGACCGAACATCGCCAGCTCTGTTAGTCAGGGTGGAATAGGATCGGGTCGATTTATACCACCACGAGATTCATCCTTACACAAGCCGGCAGCCGCAGGGAAAAAGCGGTCGTCCCAGAGATCAAGTCGACAGAGTAGCAAACACCGCGGCACTGAGGATGGGCCAGAAAGAAGTATAAGGACAGCTGAATATTACCACCACAAACGTGAGCGAAGTCGGCGAGACACTCAATTCTCGCCAACAGAAGGAAATTCAAAAATGATGGAGCCACTGGAAGATTTTGACAACTCGCAAATGGCAAGGGCTTCAGCGCGAGCGAGCAAACAAGCGGCTGAAAATACCAATGAAGACGATGTTGACGAAGGAGCCCCATCCCCATCTGTAGCCCAAAGACGGTCGCGCGAAAGTCCTGAGAGATCTGAAAAGAAAGGCGGAAAAGGGCTCCCTGAGACACTTGATGTTCCTCATCCAAAGCGCTCCTCATCACGACTGAAAAGATTGTCTGCACCTCTAAGCCCCAAGGAAAAGGAGTCGAGCAGCTCGAGCAGCAACCAGAAGAAGAGAGTATCATCTCCGGATCCAGTGAAGCCAACTCCATTACACGCTGAGGATAGGCCGAACAGTGCAGATTCTATTGACGATGCAGTTGAAGCATATCTTTGCTCGCCCAGATTGTCACAAAAGATCCGACATCCACAGACGGGCCGGACGATTTCCTTTTCTGAAGTTGGTGATTCTGAAGGGTTTGCTGTTTTCTGTTGCGTTGGAATGGGCTTGACAAGATACATAACTGCATTTTATGATGAGCTAGCGCTAACTCTCAAACTTCGTTTAATCACACCGGATCGGCCTGGGGTAGGTGATAGCGAGCCATATACCGATGGCACGGCGACTCCTTTAAGTTGGCCAGGTATGTGATGCTCTATACGACAATCTTTCCCGTGACTAACCTCTTATAGATGATGTATATGCTATTTGTCAAGCATTGAAAATTACCAAGTTTTCTATCCTCGCTCACTCTGCCGGGGCAATTTATGCCCTTGCGACCGCCCTTCGTATGCCTCAACACATTCGCGGACGAATTCACCTCCTAGCACCTTGGATTCCACCTTCTCAATTGAGCGTGTTAAGTGGCCAAGCATCATCGCCTCCTTCAAATTCTATCCCGACTTCTCAGCGCATCCTCCGTGCTCTTCCTACCCCTATTCTGAAAGCTGCGAATTCTAGTTTCATGTCCGCTACAAGTAGCTCAATTACCAGCAGCCTTCCGAAAACTCCACGTCGTGGAAAACGCAAATCTACTCCTGCTCGTGATAGTCATCTTGCAACTGGCAGGAGGACGGTAACACCTGGTCCTGAGAAGAATGAAAAGGATGTCCATGGCAGAAACTCCACAGTTTATCCTGATCCATCGACCCCGAGTCCGCTGGAACAAGCATCAAATGATCCAAATGACCCCAATAATGAAGCTGCGCTTCTAGCGGCCGCAGCTATTTCACTAGCAGATAAGGAACGACAGGTGACCTATGATACCAGACTCACTCATGCTATCTGGGAGTTGGCTACGTCTGGTGCGAACCCGGCTGTTGATTTGCTAGTATGTCTGGAACGGCGACACACTATCGGATTTCGATATGTTGACATCACACGAGCTGTAGTCATACATCATGGTAGTAAGGATACCAGAGTACCCGTCGAGAATGTCAGATGGCTCGGCAAGACCATGAAGAAATGCGAAGTACGAGTTCTTGAGGGTGAAGGGCATGGACTTATGGCATCTGCGGCAGTCATGGGTGGTGTTCTCATGGAGATCGCGAGGGAGTGGGAGGATTGGGTCAAGATCACGGGGGTTGGCAGTCCTAAAACCGAAGGCATGAGAAGAACCCTTCGAGAGCGTGCCAGTGTTGGAGCTTTTCGATGACATGCATTGCTTTTTAGCAGGCATTTTAAATATGGGAAGTTGCCATTCTGGATTTTTCTTGGGCGTTGAAATGGTCTTGGGAAAAATGGGCATTGGAGAAGATTGTCTCTTTTTTTTTCTTCGTGTGTATGTTTTTTTGGGGTGCGTCTGGAGTTTGAATGCGATGACTTGTATGATACTTGTACCTAGCTTACTTTGTAATACCCCTACGATTCCACTTAATGTAATATCTCTTGCTTGAATCGGATCTTTGAAGATTGTTTCCGTTTGTATTTTGCCTTGGTCATTTTTCATGTTGGGAATTAGATCTGGCGGATGGAGTGAAATTGATATGCGCAGCACGAGTAATAGTCTGTGCCCTTCCTACGGCGCAAGCGATTAGGTTTGGACGGGATAAATCAATATGGCTACTCGGGATTTTTAGTTGATCTTTTTGGATGCAATACCGGTACTCGGAAGTGGGTTTTTTTTACAAAGCTACAACCATACCTTAAAGGAGAGCCCGGGGTTTTTAGGACGGTCGTATAACTATTAGTAATCGGACTCCGTTCCAGGAGCGTTATAGGAGCGTTCCCACTTAGTAATCGTTCCGAGATAGAACTATTTGTTAGCTAAATAGGTTTTAGTTAAACGTATTATACGATTATTATTATAAGTAAGTATTTAGATTCAGAGAACGGTTGTCCTTTATAACTAACTATCCTAGGATAATTCTAGGATAGTTTCCGAGAACCCTTTTAGATAACTAGAGGAGTAGGGGTTGCACAGACGAATATAAGTACTCGGTACTGCTCCTATAGGCTTAACCTTAACGCTATATAAATTCAAGTTTCAGATTCACTCGATTCGGACAAATTTCAGCCGCGTTCTGTGCAGGCGCAACCCTGCGCGCTGCTCGAGTACCTCGCTAACTGTAGGCGAGGGGACGGCTCGGGTGGGTATACGACGTAGTAGTAGGTATACGTGAAGGTATTCCTTGTCTTAGCGCACTACTTACTAAGCAGCTAGGGAACGGTCCTAGAACGCTCCTAGAACGCTCCTAGGACTATTATAAACGATTATCTAAAGTACTGTCTTAGCCCTAGGGTAACAATTACTACTATAAATAATTAAGAAATTCCTAATCCTACCTTACTATTACTAAACAAAATAGTTCTTATTAGGGAAGCGTGATATAACAATCAAGGGACGGTTATCTTTTACTAATACTTATCTTTTTATAATTATTATATAACGGTTATACGACCGTCCCAAAACCCCCGGGACCTCCTATAAGGTACGCACGGGGTAGGGACTTTATTATTGAACTGGAATTTGTAGTGATTGGCCCAATCAGGGGCAGCTTTCCTTTCTAGGAAGCAAGACAAGGTCACGCCGCTTCGGCCGCTAGTGTAGTTCGATCCATATTCTCCGCATTTTATGTAAGCTTAATTACTGCCCGGTACCTGTACATCACACATCACACGAGTAATCGTCCCACCTGTTCCAATGTGTTCATATGGGCAGTGTAAAGTATATCTCTTCTCTTCTGCTGTCCAATCCATTCCTTCCTCTTTATATCCTCCAAATAATTAGCCCGCTTTTTGGCCCAGGAAAAGGTACAAGCTTCCAAGGTTCCAGTTGTCTCTTTCATCGGGCGATTACATAAGTGCACAATAGACGAAGCTACGTATTGTTCCAGAAGCATTTTTAAGCCGCCGCCGCCCCGCCACGAGTTTCCCTGGACGGAAACTAACAACGCAGCGCCCAACTCATCACGGCAATCCATCATCCATCAACCTGGCGAGAATCTTACAGATCAAATACTGAAGCAACTCCAACTTGCCACTTGCACGCTGGAGAGGGATTTACCAGTACCCTAGCATCCCGTCAGCAGCAAGTTCGACCTTCCCGAGGCAAGCAAATGCCCAGGATTCGGCGTCCGTGTAAGAGCAACCTTCAGTAGCTTTGGTGAAGCGTGTCCAATTGAAAACCATCTGAACTCTCTCAGCCAGCAAATTTTCAGCACACCTTTTTTCCAATATAGAAGAAAAGAGAACCTCAAGAATGCCGTCCACGCGCAGGATCAAAGTCTTCGGCCTCCTGGTCTTCATCTCCGTCATCGCCGTCTTATTCTACAAGGATTCGCTGCGACAAGAGCGACCCCGGGATTTACGAACCGCTGGCGATTTCTACTCCAAGACGGTTAATGCGCTACAGAAGGATCTGAAGAAGGGGGCTGCGGAGGATGATACAGAGGTCAAGGCGAGATTACAAAGATTACAAGACGCAGCGAAGCAGGCGAAAGAAAGGGCCAATTCGAAATCCCCCAAACCAGATTCGCCTTCCGCGATTGAGGGCGTAGGAAGTGCGGCAGATGGGACGAGGGAACGGGGTTTTGCTGGTCGCAAGAAGATGACTGCTAGAGAAGCGCAGGCGCCATTGAAGGAGGAGACGAAGGAGGAACATGAGGTGGAGGTGGAACTTAATAGCATACTTAAAAAATCCCCTAGTGAGTTTCCATGCGCTGAGGTTAGAGCTAAAGATGGATTTTGGACCGGATCGCTAATTCGTGTCCGTCTCACAGTTATCATCTTCTCGAAATCCTACTGTCCACATTCGAAACAAGCGAAGGATATTCTGTTGGAGAAATACCTGTTTGATCCCGCGCCCTTCGTCGTCGAGTTGGATAAACACGAGTTAGGCGCACAGCTACAAGCTAAGCTCGCCGAGCTCACGAAGCGAAAGACCGTTCCCAACGTTCTGGTTAATGGCATCAGCATAGGCGGTGGCGACGACATGGTCGAGATGGACGAAAAAGGAACCCTGATCGAGCAGATCAAGAAGTTTGGACAGAAAAAGATCCTTGAGGCGCAGAAGCGAACAGAGGAGAAGAAGGAGGACGAGAAGAGAAAGAGTGTCAAGAAAGAGAAATCCGGGTCGCAAGCACCGATTCATGGATTGAGATGAGGTTTCTGTGTTGCGAAACTCTGATGTCTGTAGGATTTGGTGGGTAATGCGGTTGGGATATCGATGTCGTTATGGATATGGATAGGCTTGTAGGTTTATAGGGCGAGGCATATTTGGCGTTAGGGAATCGGGATTTGCGAAGTGGGAATACACTGCACTGCGAATGGCGTCTTTGTTGAGGGACTAAGACTTGGATTATTTCTCTTTTTGTGTGGGTAGGATTATGAAGCGCGGTAATATACTTTATGGACCTGAAAGAATGAAGATCCTTACTCTTTTCGTTGGTTGATGGGGTTTCGTCTATTATGAACCAAATGTCTTTATCAATTAAGCCTGGTCTTAAGACTTGGCGGGTATTGTATTGTAAACTCAAGATGGAGATGCTGATGTATATCCATGATGCCCTATGTCAGACTTAAGTGTTGGCCCAGTTATTGTTGCCGATGCAGATAATTCGAGTTCGTAGCAAACTTCTAAGTACGGCAAGGTAAGTAAAATCTATATATACTAAGTAAACAATCGAATTTCGCTTAACTTGATTTTCCTGTTACCGTAAAGTAAACCAAATTGAACGGAACTGAGGAACGATAGTCTTCCTCTCAATACTCTACCTAGAATAACACTGTATACTCTCGAATTCCCACGAATCAACAGTTAATATAAATACCTGTACCTGTAATCTTACCTGTAATCTTGCCTATAGGTGTATCTGTAGGTGTACCTGCAGGTGTACCTGTATAGTAAGATGAAGTCATCTCTGGATATCTTCACGTGGTACTGTATTGTATTGAATACTGTATACTGTATAATTCAGGAGCTCTAGTCTTATGGGTGATATGTGAGTTAGGATTGGATTGCGGATTGGGGATTAGGGAATGGTGGTATGTAGGTGGTGTGGAGAGTGAGTGGAGCTGGGTGAGTGAGTGAGTGAGTTGATGAGGTACTGTGGTGATTTGTGAAGGGAATGGAACTTGTTGACTTATTACTACAACGAATTCCTCGTTCTTGGTATTTATTGTATTTGGGTGATTTAGGTTATTTGGTTGTTTGGTTGTTTGAGTTGTCTGGTGGGTCGAGTTGGTTGAGTTAATTAAGTTGGGTTCCTGGGAATAGGGATAGGATAGTACCTTAGAGGGGAAAGCGGAGTTTTTTAGACTATCTAGAGACTCTTACTAGAGTATCTTATATAAAATCTAGTCCTAGGAAAAAAACCGCCGGGCGATAGGAGGAGGGCGGTCTAAGAATAGTCTCAGATATAAGATAGTTTAATAATTGGATAATTTAATAAATAAATAGTTTACTAAATAAAATAGTTCTATATCGCGTTCCGAGACCGTCTCGGAACCGTCCTAAACCCGTCCTAAATCCTACTCCTAGATATATATATAATTACGTAAGTAGGGTACGTAGCTGGGGTACGTAAGTGTAACGAATACTCAAACTGGCTAACTAAACTTGGCTGGGTGTTCGCTGGTTGGTATGCTATGATAAGAAGACTATCGGGTTGTTCACTTGGAAGTGAACTCGTTACTTGTATCAAAGATGTCAAACTAATATGATAAGATCGATAACTAAGTTGAGCACGAAGCTCCTATCTAATGGCAGACGTGCCAGTCTTATATAGAACCTTCGTTCTCCAAATGTCGTTCTACTCGATCGACGTGCTGCGACAGCTCGCTTGTGCACGCTGTCGCGCTTCCATCACGTAACTATGAATGCTATGAAATCCTTGGATACTCAACAACCCTGAGTAACCACTGCTATGGTATAACTACTCTGGATGTACCTGTCCTGTCAGAACGCCGTCTGGACTAACTCGTCGCATGCTAACACGTGATTCGTGACATTAACCTCCTCGGAAAACTTATAGTAGTCTACTATTCTAACTATAGTAGCTATATATATTTAAACAAGGTTTAAAAAGGTATTCTTAAGATAGCTAATCTTTATATTATCTTAGCTTTCTTTACTTATATAGTAAAAGTTTATCGAATTTAAGCTAGTATTTATACTAAGGTTAACCTAAGGAATATTTTAGGTTATTAAGCTTCTTTAAGGCTTTTACTTACTTATTACTATTTATAAAGGTTTTATTAAGTTATATAAAGAAAACTAGGGGGTCCTTACTTTGTATTGCGTCTCCATTCTCCTAGAAGTATTTTATTCGAGCTTACTTATATAGTAGAAGAGTATTATATATAACGTTCTCATAATAATTATAGGAGAGCGCCGGTTTTACTATAGATCGTACTATATATAAGCTCTTAAGTCTTAGAAGGTAATCCTAGAAGGTATTTATATAGCTATCCTAGGTCGGTAGTTTCTAGTTTCTAGGACCTAAGGGTTAGTTATTAGGGTCTAACCGATTTATTATTAAGAGTAACGAAATTAGAGCTTTTAGAAGATCGTTTATAGCTATAAAGCTTTCTAATAAACTTAGCTAGGTCTTCGTTCTCTTTCCTCTAGTATAAACCCTTATTAGTTTAGTATCTAGTTATTATTAGCGCTAGTAGATCTATGTTTAATATCCCTTCTTAGTAATTTTCGTTCCTTACTAGACTTAGTGTGACGGTTCTAACCGCCACTACACCTCAGACCAGCCCCTGGCTGGAACCCAGCGGATACCGTGCTTCCTGAGCCCGGCTCAGTTAGCCATAGCTTGGCACAACCTCCTGTATATAAGAACCTCTGGCTCCCGAGCTCTGCTCTCTTCTCTTCTCTCCTTAGCTTAGAATCCTCGAATAGACAGTTCCACAGTGTCAATCTCACCACTCGTGATACCTGACGTAGTCGTGCTCTTGCGCGGTCCATCAGCTGTGCGTGTCGTCACACTTAGCCTACTATCTACTTCCTTGTTAAAAAGAATATTTATAATTTAATCGAACTTAATATTATAAGAGAATAACGTATATATAAGAGGTTTAATATAGTATTTAATAAGTTCGATAAAGAAGAGAGAAGGAATCTTCTCGGGCTCTACTATAAAGGAGAAGTAGCCCTCTTAGTAAGGCTTAGAAAGTACTAGTATAGCTAGTACTATACCTAGGGGCTAACCCCTTATACCCTCTAAGATAAAATTAATTTATATATTAAATATTAGATAGAGAATAAAGGATATTAGGTATATTAGAGTTTTTTTAGTACTACTATATATTAGTAAAGGGGGTTCTAGGGTAGGGAGTTTATAGGTACTAGGGAATAAAGTATAAAGGGAAGGTAATAATAAGAGTAGAATTCAAATAATATATTATAAAGATATATTAAATAAGAAGAAATATTATATACCTCTAGGGTATAGTTATACCTAGATAATTATAATAATAATACCTAAAAAAAAAGGCGTTTAAAAAGGTTTTAATATTATTTTAAAGGTAACGAAAGAGGGTATTTATTATATAATTTATTCTAAGTAAGAGTTAGATTAGTACCTTCTATTCCTATAAAGGCTCGGGAGGTAAGAAGTACCTAAGTCGGTAAAAAAGCATAACTATTTATAAATTAATAAAATACTAAGTTAGGCCGGGTCTCGCTATCTTTCTTAACACGCTTAATAATATAAGAGGAAACCTATATTTCTTACTTTATTATTATATAAACAGGAACAGTATGTGTAAATGTGTATAGGTAAATAAGTGTAAGGAGCGAAGATGGCCAGAATGGCCATATATGTACAGGATAGGTGGAACAGATGCTAACGTAATCTATGACGTCTATATAGCCGTCACATTTATCTTAGGAATTTATATTCTTAAATTATACTAAGTAGGTAAATACTCTACTAAAATCTATTATTATACTCGGGTATAACTTATATTTATATTATTCTAGCTACGAATATTATATAAGTATACTCGAAATACTATAATAGTGTAGAATAGTTATATATAGTACTTTATAGTCGAGATCTAGATACTTTAAATATAACTCTAGTTCTATATATATCGCTTTATAATAGTAAATAATTATTTACTAGCTCGGTTCCTTCGAGCCTAGCTCGCTTCGCTTTTTTAAGACTAGCGTATAATAGTATTTATAAGTATTTAGAAACTTGCTAACTTAGCTAGCTATACTTATTTCGGTATATAACCTTAGACTTAGTTATTATATAAATAATATAGATCTATTATATTACTTATTTAACTTAGATAAGTTAAACTAATAATATAGGTATAAAGGTATAGCTTATACTTATTCGTATACTATAGTACTTTTAGTTTTCCTAGATATAAACTAGTTATAATCTATAATAGTTCCTGTTATATTATAGAATATAATATACTTTTAATTTATATAGTTCCCTTAATGATTATTTATTATATAAATATTCTAGAAAATTAGAACTAGTAAAAATATAAGATAGTATATTCCCTTATAATAGTATATATATTTTTAGAGTTTTGGCTTAGCGAGATCTACTTCTAGGTATAAATAGTTATACTTAATAGTAAAATAAAGGGGGGGCTTTCTATTCGTCGAATAAAGCGAGATAACTATTTATAGATTATATAATAAATTCTAGAGTAGGGGTCTCTATCTTATAGTCTAGAATTAGAATATTCTAGACCTTATATAAAATAGAATATAAATAAACCTAGATATAAGGATATTTATAAAGGTAAGTTCCGTAAGAATATAATCGAGGTTATTCTTATAATAAGGGTCTTAGTATAGGTAATAATATAATTATTTATTTAAGTATTAAGAATATAATATAGTACTTACTAATTTATATATAAGGCTAGTAATCTACTAATTCTTATTACTAAGTACTAGTTTTATACTTAAAAATATAGAGAATTTATATAGAATTATTAAATTTCCGAGGATTAAAAAACTTCTAAGGATATAAGTAAGGGTATTTTAGGTACTAAAAAAAATTTAGAACCTAAAAAACTAAGGGTTATCCTTATATAGAGGTATCCTTAGTATATTTACCTAAAAAAATCGGGACCTAAAATTTAAGGATATAACCGAGGTTATCCTTATATCTAGTATTCTTATAGCTATTTTTATTTGTAGAATAGAATATAAATCTAGTTACTAACGCTAACTATAATTATAGTATTCTTTTCTTTTACTTCTAGCTATATTATTTCTACTTAAGCGATAGATAGCCTGATAGAACCTAAAACTCCTATCTGAAACATATAAATATATAGGGGGAACGGGTCAAAGGCCGAAACCTTCATAAGAGATATAATGATGTATGAATTAGAGTAAGTTAATTAGTTAAACTCGTAAGATATAATTAGTAGCCTGAGTTAGAATCTTCTTTCTTATTACAATATATCTTATACTGAGACCGTAAGTTATTACCCAATTATTACCATACATCTATACCTACAGATTTGGGGGACCTTTGTGATGTTCGTGGCCTGCATGGCTGCACGAAATTTGCGCGCCGTTCCATATCCATTAGTTCTGATATGTTTTGAAGTAGTTTTACTCCCCCCCAATGAAATGTCAATCGTGAACTTTTTTTTTGCGAGCGCACGGTAGTTTTGTCATCCATACAAATTATAGTGCATGAAGCCGTCAGAAGCAAAATATATACAGTTTAGCGAGGAGGAGAGGAGGTGAGGGCAGTGGGTGGATGGAACCTGGAACCAAGGGGTGTATTTGTAGTAGAAATAAGCAGTTTGCAAACGTCCTTCGGGACAAGTTGGGCCAATGTTTATCAATACAAGCTGTTATCCACATACCTTTCTAGGGCAGAGTGGTTTAGGACGGTCAGTGCCCCAGGCCAGCACTCCTACGCGCTTGAATTGAAAAGACAAGTTGTAAATTCAGTTGGGCCACTGAAACGTGGCAGACACGCATGACGTACGATCCTCTGAGCCACATTCACACTTAAGTTTTTTTGCGACATGTGTGTGGCGTAAATGTCTAACCACCTGCCCCTGAGCTGCCCGTTTTGGCTCAGAGTGTACACTTTTTGCGAATGCTTAGCGGCTCCTACATCAAATTCAAAGCAAAGAATACTCTGAATAACGTGAACTAGCTTTGTTTGGAATTCACTAGGCAGGATGGGACTGACGCAAAATCTGTGCTGGTTAATTTTGACTACAGAACTCGCTTATTCTACCCAACATAAACACTACTAATGTATCTACAACTATGTATATGTAGATACCTATATATCGATGTATATCTTGTAAATTCCCCCTTGAAAGATGTCGTATATAAAATAGGAGAGCAAAAACCGCAGCTAGTCTAGCTCTATCTAGTATATTCGCTACTATAGAAATTACTTCCTTTCTATTAGAATATAGTCCAGAAATATTCTTAATCTAAATAGATTAGAATATGTTATAAGTGTATACCCTAAGTTAGATCCAATTTAGCTTTCCTAAACATAACCTTACTAACATAGTAGTAAGTGCTACGCGTTTCGTTATCCCAACATAGTATGTTATATATTTAAAGGAGGTGTTTATGAATTTTATATAAATGTATACTTATGTAAACATTCGTGTTGGGTACAACAAACAGGCTTATTGAACACGTACCCTGAAGCCTAGTTTTGGTGCACGTATAAATTTGACATACTGTAACACACTCTGATATGCTACTGTAGACTACTATTTCCGGAGTGGTATTTGCTTTACACTCAACGTGCGAGCCAAGAGTTCATGTTACTCATTATGAATCAAAGTGGCAATTGAGATGTAGAATCTTAGTATGGTGCACCCTAGGCACGCATTCAGAGCCAAATAGGCTCTAACTTAGCCTGGGGCTCAGAGCGTATCGCAGACACTCTGAAGTCTATCTCATTCATATAATACAGTAGCTGGTTCGCCCGTTCTCTACTTAAACTTTTTTTGGTGTTCTGAAAAACCACGTTTTTGACAGAGCACACACTTCTTTGTAATATCAAAGGCTTAACTCAAAGGGAAATGAGACAGCTTATAGCCTGTGCTTGGCTATAGATACACGTTTTAACCCCTAAGAGACTTATTGCATTTAATTAGTATACCACTTATCAAAATTTAGAAGATTACTAACGCAAACCATAGAGGATTGAAAAGTAACTTAACTCCATACCAGAATCTCTTAGTAAGATCATAGGCTAATACCTTTTCTTCTTTAGTGAGAGTAGGCTCAATTGAACTTTATTAATAAACACTATCTGTAAACTGTCGCTTCTATACTTTACTTAGCAGCGCACTTCAAACCCCCACCCTGCGAGCGAACCTTATAACCGACAGTTACAATCAAAGCCCTTGAGCGCCATACCTCACCGTAATAGGAAAATGGTTAACTTACTCGAGATATAATAAGATGAGATGTATCGGGTAACAGGGGATCATCGTGAACCACCACTTTTAAGCTACGAAGCTATGACTAATTTTGCCAAACACGCTCCCCGGAACGTTGGTCCCCTTCCCCGTACGCATGAAGTAGGTTAGGCATGATTAGGAGCAATCCCTCAAGCCATATAGTTCGAAGTACCTTACTATGTATGCATGATGGATGGCAAACATGCTTGCGAACAAAGCCTTGGCATCGAACCTCATCATGAACGCATGATGTAGGACAGATATGCTTAGAAACGGAGGGATTTAGAAATGGAAGAAGACAGAAAAGGAAAGATTCTCGTAGACTTTTTCAAGAGCAAGATCCAAAGAAAGAACTGAAATCCTTTTTATGCCGCTTAGCGCAGCCGCATTTCACCGCCTTGGGACTAATACATTGTATTATCATGAAAACAGTACTGCGTGGACATGGATTTATCCCTTACTCCGTAACATGTGAGGCTACTGGACGCCGGTGGGAGCTTCCAAGCGAGAGTACTAATGGTAGTCCTAATTAGGATGTGCCAAGTATCAAAAATCGACGTCTTGTCAGAAGTACGAATGTGGTCAGGAATTAACATACTAGTATATTAAATATACAAACAATTCTAGTTCTAGGTAAGGTTCAACCTTATATTCCGACTCGTTACTGTCGGAATATATCGCGCTATAGACGAGGTCTTATATTAGAGGAGTATATAAAGTACTACGGATAGGGGCCTTTCTTTTAACCTTTAACTTCGTAGATTTAGGAGGGTTTTTATAGGTTAAAGGGTTGTCTTTACGCTATCCGAGTAGTATATTAGAAAAAAGAAATAAAGGTAGAAGATGTAGTTACAGTAGTAGTAGAAGTAGTTATTTATACTACAAAAAGGGGACGAAAAATACGCGGGAAAAACATATACTTATCGATTAAGTACGTACTTTTAGCCTAGGCAACGACATTCCATACATTGAATTATCGAAATTACATATTTTGGCTGGTTTTTATAGTTTTTTTATAACAAGCTGTATTCTGGGTGTGTAGGCTAAAAGTGCGAATCTGATGTCCTGACATTGATGCCAAGGCACTACTTTCCCCCACACTACCAGTAGCCTCACATGTTACGGAGTAAGGGATATGCTCATAAATGGCCATCCGACTTGTATTGAGGAATATGCTTATTTGGATATCAGACTACGAATTGAGCCAGTAGAGTATGACGTTAGAGTGGCATCTTTCGCCTTTTTGGTGATATTGACGAAGAGATGGACTGAGGGGTAGCTCGAGTGATAGCACAGTAGCAATTTCGACTCTTATCCCCTGATTGCATCATATTTACGTTTAGACTTTGAGGTTTGCGATGTTCCATTTGGGCAATAATTTCCGAAAACAAGTCTCTTTTGAAGTTAAAAATCCTAAATTACATATGATGTAACCAGGGGATAGCTTTCTTCTTATCTTTAGACGTTTCTCAGTTCAGCCTCATTTTTGACTTTTTGATACAGGTAGGCTTAAATATATGCTTATTCTCAGCAAGTTTCGCCTAGTCACGAACACCGCAAACCTAAAGATCCAAAGGTAAGATGTTACACATTGAGCAGCGAGGGCTCTCGGATAGTCCCGGCTCCCCTAGCCATTGTCGCATGGCGCTAGCATTCCCTTGTTCATTCTACAGTGCCCCGCACACAGCTATTCGCAGGCAGCCCAACAGGCCAGGAACCTCTAATAAAGATGCTCCTGTCTCCCTTGGTTAGCTTTTCTCGGCATGCTCACTGTTGTCTTGACATTGCGTCTCTGGCCTTCTCTAGCCCTTAGAGTAGGGAGTCAAGTAAGTCTCAAATTAAGAGCTTAAAGGAGGATCCCGATGACGGTTCCCATGGATATTCTGACAACATTGTTCTCCCACCACGGGTGACATTGTTCCTGATGTCTCTGACAGTGCTTAAGACTTGTCTGAACTAACAATAGAATAAACAAGCACTGTTAACCATAATATCTGAACTTATCGAACCATGATCTAAGATTCGAACAATCAAGATGTTCCTATTCCTGATAGGATTTTTCCCGATGTCCATGACGGTGCTTAAAACCTGGCCGATCTAACAATCGGACTAGCAGGTTCTGTTCCCAAGATCTCGATGTCCACGACAGTACTTAAGGGTTGATCGATCTAATACTCGAACACGAGGTTCCGTCTATAGCCTGAGGGCAATCAAGCCTCTGGGACTTGCAAATAATCAAAACCTCTCTATATGGCAAAAGTTGAGAAAACTAATAAGCGAGGAATGGTCTCTTTGCCCCCTCATTCATAAACGACACCAACAGGAACTTGACGAAAGTACACAGCCAGTAGATCCAGATCGGCCTTCGTCTTTTGCCCATTGCTAGTCAGTGCGGCCTCCCCTCTGCGCTGTCGCTTAAAATCTCTGTGGTTAAGCGAGGGCGAAGAGGGGAAGCCGCACTAACTCTTCAAGAAAATCAATTTTTCACGGCCATGATGGCTTTAGCGCCTGGTCATACAACTAGAATCCGACCAGTGAGCTAATCCCTTGTTTCCTACCATCTAGAATGTCACCGAATACGTGGAGTAAGGGTCAAAGTGGACTTGTACTACAGAGTGTGGCTCAAAGCAGCGCTCAGAGCGAAGCTCAAGATGTTCGCAAAACATCCTTATACGCATCTCGGTTCATATGAAAGCAAGTCTTTCAGATGAAGGCTACTAGGGAGTCCGTAGGTAGACAAAACAAGATACATAAGTATTTAGTTTCTCAAGTCTGTTTCCTATCCAAATTCCGCGATATATTGCCATCCGAACGTTATATTTCTAATTTACTATAATGAGGGACCTGTTTCGAGATTCTATGTATGGGAATATTGTTAGGTTTGTGACGCGAGGGAGGGTTTTCGCTTTTGATGAAAAGACAGATGCAGCGTTGTGGGAGAGGTTTATTGATAGGGAAAAGTCAGCCCGCATGGTACGCTGACTTGACAAAATATTAGGTTACTTATTGGAGAACCCATCACTTACGCCATTTTATAGGCACACCACGGCAATTTGGAGAGGATGAAAAGGGTGTGAAGGATGGTACGAACAGCATTGCTAGCGACGAAACCTATGATTACGAAGGTCAGAGATCACCAAGAAAAGCAAGAAGAAGCTATTCAGAGAATGATCGATATATCCCTCACGCTAGAACTTGGAAGGACGAGCATCAAAGAAACGCAGCCACTGGTGTACCTGTTGATCCTGACAAGGGAGAAGATGTTTCCGTCATTACGTGGTATGGAAAAGATGATCCTGATGTAAGTATGGTATATTCAAATGATTCCCCATCGCTTATAAATTTCAGAATCCCTTAAACTAGTCTACAGCAAAGAAGGCTTTTATAACTTTTCTGATTTGTCTTCTTACGTTCACTGTCAATCTTGGAAGCGGCATCTTCACTTCTGGTAGTGTGCAGTATGCAACTCACTTCGGCGTTAGCCAACTCGAGGCAACCCTTGCTTTGTGTGTATACACAGCTGGTGATGTTATTGGAACTATGGTAAGTCCAACTATTCTACTTGTTTCTAGAGACAGGCAACCCTGCCCTCCTAGAGCCTTCCCCAAATCAAAGCACTAAAATAAGGTCTGGTCGCCATTTAGTGAAAATTGCCATATTGGTCGAACTCTGGTCTATGCTTGGACGTGGATTTTCTTTGTGTTCTTACAATTTGGTGTTGTCTACGCCAAAAACTTTGGAATGCTCATCGCCTTCTGTGCTCTTACAGGCTTCTTCGGGTCTCCTGTTCTAGCCACAGGAGGTGCATCCTTGGGGAATATATATTGTTCCTCTAAACGAGTGTATGCCGCTACTATCTGGGTACTAGTATCTTTTTGTGCCCCAGTGATGGGTCCAGTGGTTGGAGGCTACGCTGCACAATATAAAGGCTGGCAATGTAAGCATTCGATTCATTCTCTCTCGCAGCCTTTCGCGTGAATTTGCCGGAAAATTGCGATGGATTACAAAGAGGCTTAGAAAAAGCAGGAAATCCAATTCCTGATTCTTTTAAGTGCTTTCTCCATGGTTTGGCTGTCCCACTTCTATTTCTTTTTTGAATCCTGCCACTGGCTGAATATCATCCTCGCTTCCTTCACGAATACGTTCTACCACGTAGTGCTGACATATCAAAGGGACCATCTATGAATTGCTCTGGATTTCTGGGTTTGCTCTCATCTTGCTATTTCTCATGCTCCCCGAAACCTCGGAAGCCGCTATCCTTTACAGACGCTCGCGGCGTCTCCGGGAACTTACCGGAAGAAGCGACATCAAATGCGCCGCGGAGATTGAATACGATAGAAAGACAAAAGAAAAGCTTGTCATGGAGTGTCTTGTACGTCCTTTTAGTCTTACGTTCAAAGAGCTAATACTCTTCGTACTTAACCTATACCTTGCCCTTATATATGGGCTTTTGTTTATCTGGTTTGAAAGCTTTTCTATCGTTTTTGGAGAGGTATACGGGTTCAAGCTTGGTGCAGAGGTTAGCAATCCTTCGCGCTTTTCTATTCTCCAAATCTGGGGTTTGGGTAGTTGAAATCCAACCTTGGCCGAATTTATGGGTCCTTTTATAAGAAGATGTGCTGACATTTGGTAAGGGTCTTTCATTTTTGGGTATCGTCGTTGGTGCTTTATTCGTCGTTTCCCCACTCCTCCTATTCCAGTACTATACCCCAAATACCCAGCTTAACGAAAACAGCGGGCTGAAACCTGAATTGCATCTTCCGCCAGCTATAGTTGGCGCATTCTGTGTCCCTATCTGTCTATTCTGGTTCGGCTGTTAGGTGGAACATCCTTTCTTCCCCCAGCCCCTCATTACACCGCTGCCTCTTCTGTACAAGATCCCATTGCTTATACAAACACAGGACATCACGGCCCCAAATCCACTGGATCGTCCCTATAGTCGGCTCCAGTTTCTTCGCTATAGGCGCCATGCTCCTCCAATGCAGCGTTGTTGGATACATTGGAGACGCGTATCCCCGCTACGCCGCGAGTGCTTTAGCAGGAAACAATTTCTGGAGAGCTCTTTTTGGGGCTGGGTTTCCGATGTTTGCCACCGCTATGTATAGAAAGTTGGGGGTCGCTGGGGCGAGCAGTCTTTTAGACGCATTAAGTGTTCTTTTTGTTCCAGTTCCGTTTTTCCTTTATTCCTATGAGGCGAGGATTAGGAAGGCTAGTAAGACGGCGAGACATGATTTGTAGAAGTTGCGGAGAGGGAGAGGGGGGGAGTCGGTACTGAAAAAAATATTTAGTAGTAAAGTGCTGGAGCTTTGTTTGGGAGATGGATATAACAGTAATTAGCGTAGTCGTAATGTATATTATTAGCATTTTAGAAAGAACATTCTGGTCATAATTTCCTTCAGCTTCCTTTCTGCACTACAGCAACTCCTGTTCTTCCTGTCGACGACAAACTTTTGGCGACTGAAATTGATATTTTGTAGCCCTTCCTTCAGGCACTTGAGGGGCGAGCTTCTTCGAATCCCCAAATATGCAGGCATATCAAAGAAACAAATTGAAAGCTCTTCATACCGAAATCACCCAGCCGATAGAGGCATTATTTGAGGGGATTGTTATTAAAACCACGCAGCTCATCTAGCAGGCTCTCTCATACATCCGTTGTAACAACACAAAGCTTTGACCATACCAATTTATACCTCTCTGGCTCGACGGCGCCACCGTCGATGATTAAGATTCTTCAATTCGTCGAGGTGAAAAACACAAGCCGTGATATGCCTGTTCATGCAATCAAGAATCCCCGTCATCCAAACTGGGATTCTGCCCGTCCGGCCCTGTAAGTTAGTGTGTGTCTTTCCAAAAAGCCCCAACACCACGAAGCAGTTTTATAACTAGGAAGAGGAAGATGAGGGTTAAAGTGATAAGGTGCTGTTGGTTTATCTTTCGGAGTTAGGGGAAGTGGCGCTTGGTGGCAAGACGTGCCGTATTAGGTAGCCTCACTGATCAAGTATGAGCAAATCTACCCGAAGAACTGATTGGAGAATCGGCGATGACTTTGGCTTTGAAATTCGATAGTTGAACTATGCCCTACAGTACAGTAGGACTCGGATAAACCTTGAAGTGCGACATGCAACAAAATCGCCCAGCTGCAGGGTGGAAACGTCAGTGGCAAAGCAGTGCTTGCGATATGCAACAGAAACAAAATGTCATGCTTTCTCCAAATTTCACGGGTATTTAAAAAGTCCTCGCCTAATATCGGTATTGAAACCTGGCGTTGTTGAGTTTGTCTACCCAAACCTGCACAAAGTCGATGGAAAGCGTGACAAGGTATTTTTACACTTTTTCCTTTCGAACAACCGGTAGAATTCGAAGCAATACTTGTTTCGCAAAAGCTATTACGATTAGCTGGTTCAACAAGAATACTGCTCGGGTTCATAAGTCTGAATCACCTAACGCCGAAATCGTTTCTACTACTACCTAAAATTTCTACAACCCTCAATATTAATTATACTTACGTACCTTAAACAAGCACCTAGTAGTTGTTAGAGGATGCGTATATAGTAGCTTCAGTTACATTTAGGGGTTGTGTTCTGTAAATTTTAGTTGTAGAAGCAACATCGGCGTTAGGTGATTCAGACTTATAAACCCGACGAGTATGGTGACTGGTGGTGAGGTCTTTGTGATTTCCAGCACTCGGGTTTGAAACTACCGTGATAAATCGATATTAACAAATACGCCAAGCTGGGTGGGTGGAGTAGCAGAAGTTGACAAGACTACTTTTGGGCCATGTAAAGAATAGCTTTCTAGTGGTCCCTACAGTAAGACAGTTGGGCGAAACTCTGTACACGCTTTAAGAACCTATTATACGAGATTTCCTAGAACAATTAACTTAATTGTCCTAAATCACTTAGGTTAATAAAGATATATTGATTTTGATTATCCTAAATCACTTAAGAGAACTATTTTAATTACACAAGACTTTTAGGATAATATCTTTTTCTAACCTAGGTGTATACAGAGTTTCGCCCGACTATCTTACAGCTCCTTCGCAAAAGTAACAAGATGTTTTACGACACTAGGAATGGTGGAAAATTGCAATCTGCATATAAAATACCTTGTAAAATCTCCTATAACACACTAGTAAGATGCCCTAGAATCTTGCTACTTTTGCGAAGGGGCTGTAGGTAGAAAGTCTGACTACGAAACGCAATCGTATAAGAAGAGGGATTCTAGCGAGTAGGAGCCTCTGATTCACACTATTCTATACTACGCCGTACTCCGCCCGCCCACGTTGGCGTATTCTTAACAGTAGCGTCGATTTACCACGGTATCCACATTACTGGGTCAATACGCCAGAATCAAGAATCGGGATATCAAAGCGAAAAATTCACTTTGATTCAGCTATGAGATATCAAAGCGAAGTGGATGGTAGAAATTTCTCTTTGGGCTCTTTATTCCGGTCATTAGGAATTGTTGGGAAGGAATCCGTTGACTCGGGATCAGGAAGTGATATATCATATACATAGTTTGAGTACCGTACCGCCACTTTGCAAAAGCAGCAGTAGGAAAGCCCAGCCCCACCATTCTACCCATCTGTGAAAATTTATAATTATTCGGGTTTATTGAAATACTTACAGGAATAATATGAACATGCACGCTGATTCTTTTGGGAATTTTGAAGTGGTGGTATATAAAGTGATAATTGTTTGACACGAATGAGGGAAATTCTTCGACATAAGCTCGAAGTAGCTTGACCACTCCCCCGGAGAAGGATATTTGGTTAGAGCCGCGCTCTGAGAGACTCCAATACTTCGTATCCTTATCAAAGACTTCTGTGCGCAGGTCCTGCTCTGGAGTTCTCAGTCCCTCCCTGACTCCCTGGGGGTGATCGTTACCGATCTTCTTCTCACAATGGTTTTCATTTTAGATAGGTGACCAAAGAAACCGGTTCTGACCACCGAAATGTTCCTGCCATTTGAACGACTGCCGCGATGCGATGCGAAAATAAAACGGCTGGGAGTCTGGGGCGCAAACATCATCGCGAACCATGGAATGGCTTTTTTTAAAATGAAGTACTGGTGGCTCCTGACCACATTTCGCGACCGAGCGTTGAGGAGATAGTGAGTGTGGTCGGTTAGGAGGTCGTCGGTTAATCAGAGTGGGGCTTGCGAAATTAGCAGAACTCCGTACTTGTAGGAAGTACCGTAGAAGGACTTGGAAATAACTGGGAGATCGATCTACGTGGAGTTGTAGGTGGATATTACTAAAACTCTCCGTTGGCTCCGAGTGGTTAGATGTCACTAGCGAAGGCCTTTGATTCCTACGTTAAGAACGTGGCCAAACTGTTATAGCAAGGGGCCCGTGGAAAGCTGATCTCTGAGTGGCCTAAAAACTGATGTTGCCAGCTTCTGCCGTAACCCACCTACCACTCCACACAAAAACTAGCGTAAGTGATAAGTTCGATTTACTATGGTACACCGTATGTCATTGTGGAGCATGCCGTCGGAGCAGAATTCGATCAACACCATGGTTGGTAGAGAGAGTAAGGGGAAAGATGAAAGACGGCGAAAACGTGACAAGAATGAATTTTGAATGTTTGAAATTTTGTATTTCTTTAGTTGATATGTTATATCGATTGAATATAAATATTCTAGAGTAGAATGGTAGTAGGTATAGATATCATGTATCGTATTGATATCATATATCTTCGTTGAGTAGAATTCATCCACTCCTATCATAACTCCTGTATCAGTGACAATGATACAGGTTCGCCCAAGCCCTTAGCAACACACAGGTATATCCCGAATATCAAAAATGCTCCATAATGGCTAGCAAGCCTAGCCCAAAACAAGAAGAGAACGCCTCCCTATGGGCTCCATCTTGGGAAACGCCATTTATTAAAGAAAGAAAAGAAAGAAAAGTATAGAACAGTCGGTGTTTCCGACATGTTCATAAAGATGCTTTCAAACTGACAAAGAAAATGTATGTATGATGATGATGATGGTTTCTTCGGCCCGCAAGATAACTCCAATTATTGGTAGACTGGCGGCTATGCAATAGCTCTTCCGATCTCCTTCTCTGTAGAGGTATTTGCCCAAAGTCTAGGTCGACTAGAAGGTCGAGGACTCAACCCTCCTGCTGCAAATCCGTCAAACGTTGATGTTCCTGGCGAGCTGGTGCTTTGATCGTATTCCCGATATTCTCGGCCGATGCTGTCGCTCTCAGGGTCATACCATGTTGTGGTAAGTGCAAGTCGTTCCTTGGGCTTCCCATCATTGGTGGTCGAAGTCCTTGGTCCATTGTAACTCCATATGCTTCTGTTGCTGACAGAGCTCGTTCGACTTTTCGTTCGCGTGTGTCCAGGTGGTGCTTTCGTGAGACGGGAACTTTGTCGTTTTATGGACGGAATATAGGCTTCATCCCCAGGAACAGACTGATCTGTAAGTCCTGCTCTGGAGTTTGGGGATCTTGCCATAGAGGAAGGACTTTCGGGTATTATTGCCGAAGGTCGTCGGGAATGTGTTGGGGTTGTCTGTGGTAGTTGTGCATTCCACATCCGACCTGGGAAATGTGACAATCCAATGGTATTTGCATCCACAACTGGTGCTGGTAATTCTGGGAGTTCTGGCAGCATTGGTGCTTTTTGCTCAGAGCTTGGGGCACGCCATGATGCTATCTCTTCGTCGTCAATGGGAGTGGCACCTCTGTGAGAAAATGGCCGTTGTCCTTTCTGATAGCGCCGCACAAGACAAAATGCAACAGCGAGGAATATCAAGCCAAGTACACCCAAGATTGCAGAGAGCACAATGATCAGGTTTCGGCGACCATCGTCCCTATTTGACTCAGGTCCGGGAGTGCCAGAGGCCATTGGATTGGAGTGAGTTCGAGTAGAAGTGGCGAATGGAGGGGTTGGAGGGAGACCAGTAGAGACTACTGTTGTTGTTGTTGAATCAGGTGAGCCAGAAGATATTGGCTCGGGAGAGTTGGAGGTTGTAGGTGGTGTTGGAATCACAGATAGAGTAGTGGTCTCTGTGATTGGTATCGAGGATGTCGATGAGGGCTCAAGTGAGGAGGCCACGGAGGTTCTTGGTAGTAGTATTGAAGTTTGTGATGGACTTTCCTCTGGAAGACGGGGGCCAGGCGGCGGTGGAGCATTGGAATCGCCTCCCTTCTTCGCCAGTCTCAATAATAGTTCCTCCTCGGCTAGTACCAGGCTGAAAAGACATGCTGTGAATGCCAATGGTATGCTCTTCATATCTAAATGGAAATCGAGAAATTTGTATCGAGTGAAAAGACCGAGTGAAGAAGGTCAATAAAACATAGCTGTAACTCTAAGAGGCCAACTACACTAACAAGAATCTCCAATATAAATAAAAAGGGTCAAGAAGAAGATGAGAAGAAGATAATGGCACGGTGGTTGTAAGCAAATGGCCCATCCATCAACACGGCTCATCACACTTTTGAAGATGAGTAAGGTCGAGGACGCACACTCGGTATCTAGCCATCCAAGAATGTGCAGATACCATAGCTATTATAGAACCGCGCTGCACCACGCAGGCACAGGCAGAACAGGGTTGGAGACCTTGCAGCTCGACCTGCAGATTTTAAGTGGGCCAGAGGTTGATGGGGAATCATGTACCAAGCTCGCCGCAACTTTGCGGTCTGTGGGATTGCAAGTGGACGTCTGGCCGATGTGCTGGTCTCTTGTCAGCGAAACGGCAAAGGGTGTGGCAGAAAATTGAAAGAGGGGGGAATGGAGTGGGAAAGGACCCTTGCCAACGCTAACAAGAAGATGTGCAGCTGCATGTTTCCTGTCAGGGGTAGAAAAGGACGCTACGCTTAGCTTGGCGAGGCAGAGGAGCTCGTCTCGTGAACAAGGAGAGCCACTCGCTTCGCAAGATCCACCGAGGGGTTCTGAAGAGAGCCTCTTGATCATGATCCAGCACTGCCAGCATCAACCTGGAGCTGATTCTGCTACCGATATCCTGCTAGAACTATTAGAGATGTTTCGACGGGCCGCAAAAGCATCGTCATGGCTCGTACCAGGTCGTGCCCAGGACCTTAGGAGTGGTTTGCCTTTTGGTTTGAATAGTTCTCTTGACTGCCAAGGGCACAAAAACTGCGGAAGGATTACCAGTACGAAGTCTTCGTAGAATCGTCTTTCGTACCGTGTAACATCTGGAAATATCTTGACGCCATCGCCGAACCGAAACGTGGTAGCCGTAGGTATTGCGTGGAGGGTTGGCGATGGCCAGTCTCTCGCTAGTGGGGAGACGAAGAGGGCTTGAGCGCTGACAGAAACCCCACCGTCCAGAGTGGATGATGTGAGATTGACGCTATTGTCGCTGCGGTCGCAACAAAAGGTTTACTTCGTAGATTTCTTGATACTTGCACTTCGTACTTGAGAGGTACGGAGTATCGGAATACCCAATATCCGCATAAACCTCTGTCATTCAGCAATTGGTAACCCAAAAAGCTAAACACTGCTGGACTCTGCAGTTGCTGACCCAATACTACACTTGTGTGACACCAAATATCCACAGGCAGGATTGAATGTTGGCTTGCCAGCATGGCAATCAGGTTCAGGTACTCCCGCCGTAGCCGTAGCGGTTTGGCCTGTCTTGCCTTGTGCAACGCTTCTTGAGTAAGCAGATGCCAGAAGCATTCAAGCCGTCAGCGGGGTTCTGAAACTCCAGAGTCATGTTGGCGGGTGATCATTGGATGGCAGCTTTGGCGGGGCCAGGACAGGATGCGATGCGACGGGATGCCACGATGCAAAGGGAAATAACTGGGGAGGATTTACAAGCGAAACTTTGGAGAACGCCAATCACCTCAACCAAACCATCATCTTCACTCCACTAAAAGATCGACCAATCGTATGTCAGAATGCGGACTTTGAGCCGCAGAGCATCCAAGATCGCTCCTGATCTGGGTTAAGTCACCTGCACACTCTAAATTGAGGTTTGGGTTCGCAAATTTGCTGCATCTCGAATGCCGATATCACATCACCGAAAGTCCATCTACGAAGTTGACTCGCTGCCGTGCTAATTAAAGTCATGTCAATCTTCTTGTGAACTGCCGCACGATGCCTAGTCACATCGGCTCTGGCTAGCGACGGACTATTTACGCAGTACAAGCACTTCGTGATCATGGCACCCTTGCTAGATAATGGATGTCCACCCACCCCGCCATCCCGAACCACCTAGATCTGACAACGATAGACAACGAGCCTTCTCAGCCTATGATGCAGACTTCAAACGTTCCGAGTTCACAACATACAGACAAGCTTCTCACCTCCGCTACCTTACTCTAGCGAAAGTAATGCAACCATACGATACCTCAACAAACCAAGTACTAACGAGCGCTTCAAGTTTCGTGATTTAGTCGGAGGGCGTTTGTTGCCGTTTACAGCTACGACAGCTTACAGATGACTGCATGAACGTCATTGGGAAGCAAGCCCATCTACGATAAGCAGTGCCAATATTATCAGGCTGGAAACTTACGCTCTTTGATTCACATCACTACTCCATGAATCCGAGGAATTCGTGTTGCTTCGTAACAACTTCTTCTATGTTTGATTCCAAGCCTTGGTGTCAATAGATTTATGAGTATCCTGACCTGATATGGAAACAACCAACGTCGTCGGGCGTCTTAATATATTTCGTGCCTTGTTCCTGGCAGTACGCCACAAAGCTGACCCGAATCAACCGATACTGGATAATACCCAGCAATCTAACCACATTAATAATGTGTACAGCCCGATTGCCAAACTTGGAACGGAATTACGGAGAGTTTTACTACACCCAGACAATAGCTATAGGCGACGACGATATTATTGTCCCCGGTTGGGCTCCAACACAAGAAGCTGAAATTGTGCGAAGTAACGTCGCAAAGGTTGGAAGTTCCCGCCCCCAAACCCCGCGTTGAAAACTCCGCTGGAAGCGTAATAAAAAAAACCTGGCAGCCTAATTGCCAATCCTTCTCCCATCACGTAGGGCAATCGAAACACAGGGCAGCCAATGGTACTGGATTCTATGGATTCTTCCATTAAACCCTCATGTACTTCTATACTTCGTAATTGCGTAAGAATGCTAGCTGAGGTAGTATTTACCCGCAATTTTACGATAGCTGGCCGTCTCCGCTTATCGTCGTGGGCTGTCGATCTTTGATTCACCTTGAAGTGAGATTCTAAACTCTACCTACTCTTTGTGGGACTTCGTGTCTTGGTATTCAGGTAAAATTACTGGTTCTGGGACTTCTTGTCTGGATATTAAGGTAAACTCGGGGTGTTTGAATTGTCAAACTGCCCCAGTTAATTACAGGGACTTATCAAACGTTGGGAATACTACTAATTAGCGAAAGGGTGCAGACTACGCCGCCTTTCTGTGCTTCCACTACAGCATGTACACATGGCAATTAAGTGGAATCGACGCCACCAGATTTTTCTGCTTTTTTCCAGCATGTTGTACCTGCATGCGAGGAAATAGGAGGAAAGCCACTCGCGACTCATCCACCAAAAAGCGGATTCTATCCCTTGCTTCTGACTGCACAGAAAACGATCGCCCCTCTCGATAAGAATCTGACCTCTTCGCTATTGGACAACCATGTGTGGTGGGAACCAATCAAATTCCGAAACTCCATTAGAGAAGCGAACGGCGGAGTCGAGCTCCATCTTCTTGACCGCTGCTTCCGCAATTTGATTTGCGCATATGCGTCTTCCAAAAACTCAAAAATTCTTCCCTCCGATTTCCCTCTGCACAGACTCTTTTTCTCCCAATCTCTGAAGGATCTTCCGGTAGAAAACTACCAACGCACGGCCGTAAACATGTACTTCGTACAACCCATCTGTAAATCCCAGCCTTCCTTCCCCTCTCCTCTGCATACCGGTATTGCCCACAGAGTTACGAGCTTAACAGTGCAGTAAATAACCATAATTGCGTCAGCCGAGCGCCTACACGCGCGATTAAAGGAGAGCCGTGTGCTGCAGGTCGTACGTCCTCTGGAGAAGGAATTATATCTTTCCGTATGACTCGCAGTTAGTGCGCGAAAAACTCCAGATGACGATAGTCAAAAGCAAAAGCAGAAAAAAAGAAAAAAAGGAAACAGGAAACTAATGTACGACTTGTCGACCGGCGCTGCACTCACAGTAGACCAATAAAGCCCATTTTGTCTTAGCAACAGTAGTCTAGACTCGAAACTCACCGACTATGCGGCACACCAGTTCCTGTCAAAAAAGGTAAAGTAGAGACTTGCCTATTAGAAAAAAAAGCCACCGATCGTCATATACTTTTCCACCACACCAATATTCCTCCTTCACCGAATATCTGTACAGTCAAACCACCACCCCAACACGGCGCAAGCACAAAACAAGCGCAAATGTGCCGAATATGCCGGGCCAGACTACTGTATGTACACGTACAGTACATAACCTGCACATGAAGAAAATCCCCGACGTCTTGATCATGACACAACACGGCAAAAGAAAAACCTCCCATTCGATCAGCGAGCCGCAAGTCCCCAATGGGACACAGAAGGCTCGACGTGAGCGAGAGAGAAAACCTTAAACCTAAATATATCGCGGCAGGTGACTTATCCGAGGTCGTACTCACAGACACCGCGCGCGCTCATCTCATAGAAGAAATAACCATAACCGGATTAGCCTCGAGCGTCGTGGCGCGCTATCAATCTACCCGACGGTACTTCACCGTACCACTGCCAGAGATCGACACGATCAAAATTAAGACGAACAGGAGAAGAATTTAGTTAAATGTAAAAGACAAAAACAGAACGGAAGCGACAACTTCCTTTCTCTAGAAGCTACAAACACTAACTCCCAAACACGCGAGTCCGGAATTCTCCATCTCTACGCCTCCAACATCCATACATGCATATACATATACATCATACATACCACCGAAAGACAAGAAAAGCATCCCGCCGTCATCGACGACCTTCCATTATTATTCCCACTTATTCCCACTACTGTACTCAAGTACTTAGTATCATACGTGAAAAAGATTCCCCTCACCAGCCCCCTCAACCCCACCTTTCAAAAGACCAAAGGGCATTAAATTTCCCCTCCTTTCGCCTCACTTCCTCACTCATCTCCCCCTCACTCTGCCCCTCAAAACTAGTACAGTACACTAGTACTGTACGATCCATCACCCCCACAAAACCCCTCGACAACACACACAACAAGTAAAGTGGAAGTATTCAGGAAGTATTCTCCGACCTACTAGCACCATCCATCCATCCATATCCCACCCACAGTGCCACACCACACCAACCCAACCCAGCCCACTATCAAATAACCGCAAATCAAATCACATCAAATCACATCAAATCAAGGAAGCAAGCACGCGAAAGCAAAAAACTTCTCCCCCCTCCCACTACCATGTACAGTATCGCTCGGTCCCCGTGATACGCACCGCACCCACCAAGCAAGCACCTTCTGCATTGCATCAAACTCTGACTCTGACTCTCCATGGTAATCTTACAGTGTAATCGTATATTGTACGATAAGATACATGTAACTTACATGTTCATGTACGGACATGTATGTATGTATCTAGAAATAATCCGGCTCCCAATATTGCCGGGCGGTTCATGCAGCACTACAGTACCTACTGTACTAGCACACTACACTACATTGCATCACAGACGATAGATAGATAGATTCTGCAGTTAAGCGCACGCATATACGAGGGAATGCATGTGTGCTGCGAGGTTTAGAGTGCAGATTGTGATCGATACATACATACATACATACATACAGATAGTACATAAAGTAATCAATTTTCGCCCACCCCAAAACAACCTATTAACCATTTCAAATAAAAATAAGAGTAAGAAATCCTCAAAGGGTAGGTAGATTGACCAAAAAGTTCTAGCTTTACAATCTATAAACCCAAAAAAAAGCAATTCCCCCAGACTCCGTAGCACGCGATATCCACGCAAAAAACCCAAGTCTAAATCCAAATCCAAATCACACCAATTCAAATTCCAACTCAAATTCCATCACCATCCCCAAAAGCTAATGAAATTCATTATACCCTCTACCCCATACCCCGCTCTCCCCAGAACCCCAGAACCCCCTAAACTTACCACAAGCACAAAGTAAAAAAAGAAAGGTTTCTTCAAAAGAAGAATCACAAGTCCATATAAAATAAGTCATTCCATCCATCCCTTCCATCATCGATTAACAACTAAAAAGAAGTACAACCTCCACAAACTCCTCAAGCTCCTCAAAGTAAATATAAGGGAGGTGGGTATGACTCTATACACGCCTGAGTTATAAAAACCTTATCCTAAAGACCGTATATAACTAAATCAATTATACGAATGGTTTAGAATCATTGATACTTTTCACTCCTTATTGACATAACCTACGTAAAATAGGACACTTAATTAAGTTGTGCCAGACTTTTAGTATAACGACTTTTGATAGTGTGAACAGAGTAACGCCCGCCTCTCTTAACATCAAGAGTCAAGACATGAATGAAATGAGTAAAATCACTAACTCCTGACTCCTAAGGAGTTTATATAGCTAGAGCATAGCCATAGCCACACAGTAGTATATCACAGCAACTCTACTCTACTCTCCTCCAATCAAACAACCACCTACCTACCTACCTACCACCCTACCCTCAACCACCAACCAATAAACCACAACCTCAACAACCTTACCAGTAGATAAATCAAAAACCCCCCAAAAGAGACCAAAAAAACACATCACCATAAAAAAAAAGAATTCCAAGATAAGACAAGAAAAGAGTAGAGAGAGCTTACATTAGAAAGACTCGGAATATATATACTAGCCGAGAAGTCATAGTACCTACTCGTCGAAATATCATGACTTCATTTTCTTTTCTTCTCATTCTTCCCTCATATGAGTCCCGAGGTAATGTATCTAATGTTTACTTCCTTATTTACATCTCCTCTTTTCCTCTACTCTTCTCTCCTCCCTTCAGATGCTCTACTCACTCTCTACCATCTCACATCCCCATGAAACAATCTCCCTCTACCCACTTCCCCTTCAATCCACACCCTATCTACAACCCCATCCATCCATCCATCCGTATTCACCTCGTTCTTTCATCTCACCGATCAGGAAAAAAAAAGTGGTCTGTAGCATCAAAGGATTTAGTTTCACCCACCCACCCACTTACTCAAAGCAAACGAGGTAATTCTTCCGAACAAAAATATCTCCATCGGCGACAACGAACATTACGCAACAACAACAAAAAAAAAGGACTCCATAAAAAATTGCTCAACTCCAAAACTCGTCGCTGAATGCCCATTCCCTAAAAAGTGGGGTTCCCCCAAACGCTCCGTATGCTGCGCCGATCAATGAGATTGATCATAAGAAACGGACCAAAGGAAAAAAACTCCCGCAAGTTTGTACAACAACAAAATTCGCCGATGCGCCTCGTATCATGAGACGTTTTGTTTTTCCTTCCAGTATTTCAAGCCAATTGGTTAAGAAGAGGAAAAAGTTGCGATTTGGTTTTGAAAAAAAGTTCAAGATATCACGGTCGGCGCGGTCGACATTGAAACACTTGTGTGTCCGAAGAGGGAGCCGATGGAGAATTCCTGAAACCCTTACAGCCTCATCTACCCCAGGCTGACTCTAGAACCCGAATGATTGCTGGAGCTTTCACTTGGGGTTCCCGGGTCGATGGAGACCTGGCTTTTGATGGCCATAATCCATTCATGCTGTAAAAGCTCCGCAGCGGATGCCCGAAGCTTAGGATCACGGACGAAACACCGATTGAGGAAATCGATCCCTTGTGGGCTGAGCTGTTCGCTCGAAGGGAGTTGTGGAGGATTGCCCTGGGCGATGTTGTACATGATCGCCCATTCGTTGTCCAAGGACGCCCATGGCCGACGACCAGTAGCCATTTCGAGAATTACACATCCGAGAGACCAAACGTCCACAGCACCTGCGCGACCAGGATTCTCTCCTTTGATAACTTCAGGGGACATATACATTGGCGTTCCAGTCATAGATTTGGCCTTTTCCGATTTGCCTTGAGCGCCCGCTATTAATGTTTTACCCTGACGGGCAATCACTTTTGCGGCGCCAAAATCGACGTATTTTATGACACCGTTATGATTGAGGAGAATATCTTGAAACTAGTCAGTACATGTCATACATTGCGGGTCGTTGAATGAAGAACTTACTTTCCGGCTTGATGTCACGATGCACGATGCCACTCTCGTGTAGATACCCAAGACCTTCCAACAATTGAAGCGCATACACCATGATGACCTGTTCGTCTTCGATGCGACCATGCTCGAGCAGTCCAGCCAAAGAACCACCAGAGCAAAACTCCATGAAGATATAGACCTTATCTCTATGAACTTCAATTCCGTGATAAGAGACAATATTGGGATGGTCCAATACCTCAAGGACATTCATCTCATCCCTGATCTGCCCAGCGATGGTTGGAATGAGGGTTGGATCTTGCAAACGAATTTCTTTGACGGCCATCAAGTGACCGGAGTCAAGATTGATGGCAGCATACACGGATCCAAAAGACCCACCGCCAACGAACTGGCCTTGTTGCCATCTCATGTTGACATTTGAGGCGGAAGAGGAAAGGTACGTAAGGGAACGGTCTGCGTCGTTTGTTTCTTCCATGACACGACCCAGAGCTTGTCTTTCGGCTTCTTTTTGCTTTCGAGCGTCATCGAGCATTGCAAGTTGTTCCAGTTTCCCCTCGAGCACATATCTTGCAGATTCTTCATCATTCATCATTCGATTCATATCCATCTTTCTAAATTGACCAGCAAGTGCCTCTACACGTTGTTTTTCAGCTTGAGCGGCAGCTAATGTAGACCTTGCCCCCATGATATCAAAATGCGATATCAATAAGGACATACAGCCGGCAACCTTTGCACGGAGTTTGGAGTATTCTTCCTCCCCGAGGGCGAGAATGTGTTGACCTGTGGTCATGACCATTGCGAACTCGAGAGCCTGCACTGCCCACCGAAAGGTCTTCCGGTCGGCTGCAATGCAATCATCGCAAACGAAGCTCACCCAGTCTAGAGCGAGCTTGGTGAGTTTCAAGTTGTTCATCTGCTTCCGATTACGGTCCATATGTAGGAGAGATCGCTGACCGAATTCTGTGGCGAAAACGAAGCAGGTTTGTATGAGTTCGTGGCAATCCAATCCTTGAGTTTGGCCACGAACAATTTCCACGCTATCCATTATCAACCCGGATAGCTTGTACACCACTTTTTTGATCTCGGTCAGTCTCAAGTTGACCTTCTTCAGATTCGATCTTTGCTCGACGACCATGTCCAAATGCATATCAATGGAATCCAAAAATAACATTCTAGCATTTGCTAGCCTAGCTTGAGAACCGTCTGCAATCAATCGAAGGTTGCCAAGTTTCACGTCGGTTGATACCTGAGGGAGATCGGCATCTACCTGTCTGCCATCCCAGGGCATTTGGACTTCCGGTCTTAAAACTAAGAGATATGGATTTGTCGGATCTTCCTCAACCTCCTCTGAGTGATAACACGTCCCTAGAATTGACTGAATATCCTGCGGTCGGTCGTAAAGTGAAGGAGACGCTATCAAAAAGCTTCCGTCGTGTTCAATGCTAGCGGTATAGACCAGGAAGTGACCCGTCTCAATAAGTCTTGAATACAGATGATGCAAATCCTCATTGCACAACGAGATACTGAAATCAGTCGCATTTTCAAATCGATCGCTCAGTACTCGTGAGAACCGCTGCAGCATGCGCTGCCGTACACGAACCGAATCTAGACCTTGTTTGTAACGTTTGGTCATCTCAGTTGCTTTTTCTTTAGGCCTTCTTTGAAGATCTCGCTCGAACGTTTGACTTAGACGGTTGAAAGCTTTAAATGTAAGAGAGCTGAACTGTTCAGCAACCTCAACATCACCACCTTGAAGATGTCGACCGATTTCGTTTGAGAATTCCCATTCCTGCTCCAAGACCTCGGCCTCCTTGAATGTATTTCTGTTGCTGCCAAGTTTCCAGTTCAACATTTTAAAGTAGAATTTTAGAGCATCTAACACAACCTGATCGAATGATTCGCCGATACATGGCGGTAGATCCCATCCAGGTTCCGGTTGTGAGATTGTCACATATTCCTGTTTGATTCGTACGGCGAGGTTCAGAAGGATCTGAAATTGTGCTATCATTTGCTCTTGCATCATCGCATTTTGCTGAGCCGAATCCTTCATCTTTCTTGCAAATTGAAGTCTAACGAGAATGATCTCTTCAATAAGTCGCGATGGGAAGTTGATAAGGGTGAGCATCTCTTCGATATACGGTGGAAGGTGTCGCCTGGCAAATCCTTCTGAATTGTCAATCAATGTACTCTTTGCTTTCATAATCACTTTCGCTACACCCAGAAGGATGCTCTTGTCGCCCTGCAACGACTTCAAGCCATCTTCCTTTAAGAGTCTATCAATAAAAGAAGATTCGTCAGATAACCCATGCCCGGAAGGTGAGCGGTCCTTGGCTTTGTTAAAGTCCAGTTCCACGTTCCCTACCCAGCTCTGCAGAATTCCGAGTTCGGTATTGATGAGCTCAGTGGTATTGTGCCACGAGATAATAGCATCATAGGTAGATCTATACTGGAGGGAAGCAGCAGCTTTGTTTGCTATCTCAAGAGCCATACACGTAGGGTAGAGACCTTCACATTTCTCAATCTTCTTGACAATATCCCGGACTTGCTCTATAGGTGGCTTTCCAGCTTCGGTGGTGCCTTGAACTTGAAATTTGATAATCTCGTCGATTGAATTATCCAGACTAGCTCGTGAATCCTCTATGAGGCGGCGTTGCGCTGCTAGAGTCCTACCACATATCTTGGAGCGTATGCCCAACCAAATTTCGACATGGAGATTTTCTCCCTGTTTATCTGAAGCACCTATCAAGCGCTTCTTCTCCTGCCTCACCACATCCCCCGTCAACACAGATGCTAGCATTCCATGCCATTCGAGGCGCTCCCGCTTCGAGGGATCCTGGAGATCTTCGGCTGTAGGCTGAATATCGTCATTCCCGTAAAACATCAGAGTCTCTTGATCGTACGCATCGTTATCAAATTGCGGCTCCATAGGTGACTCATCCTCTGTATCTGAACCCGTACCATATCCAAGGCTCGGCGTATGAGGCTCAAAGTATTCGAAAGGTGCATCTTGCCTAAGTCGCTGCACATACGCTTTCTCTTGTGCTCGGTATGATGCATTCGGCTCGGATCTGTTGAAGCCCCTCAGTGTGGAGCCGGAGCGATTTCGGTCAGATATTGTGATATATGGTGGTTGTGTTGGTCGACGCGGGGGAGCATATGTATTCGATGGTGTTCGGGCTGGACCCGTTGGTCTTTGCGGTCTCGATGATGCGCCATTAACGTTTGAACCGACATACGTGTTTGTACGCATGCTAGAGTTCATGCTGGTTATGGGCGGTCGAGTATCGATTGTGGATAAAGGTGAGGCGGAGTGCATACTCCCATGGACGCTGCCATGAAGACTACTTCCAGCAACACCATCAGCACCCAGGTGGGCAGAGTCCTGCGAGTCCCCCGAAGAGCCAGAATCGTTGGTCTGAGCATGAGGGCGTTCCATCACTCTGGGTGATTTGAGCGTGTCGAGATGATCGTCTTCGGTACCGTAGGCGAAAGCGGAAAAATGGACGCTACGCGGCGAGGTGTCAACGCTCATGGCGAAGAAATTAAAAAGTTTTAGTGTCGATGCGCGGCATGCTGGAGTCAACAACCTGGCGGACGGGACGACAAGAAAGGTTATTTTTCCTTTCTTAAGCTTGTTCCAGGATGTGGGCTGAATCAATGCGGTATGATACGATGCGATGCGACGATGGGGAGGGAGGAGTGAATGGTGGTCGTGGTATTTTCTCCTCTTCTATGGAGCTGGGGAGAGGGTGAGTTGAGGCGAGCTGGAGTGAAGTGGAAGTGACAGCTGCGGGCCCAGCTGGGAGCTGATTCAGGTAGCTCCAGAGCAGACGGGAGGGGTGATGCAGGTGTTGATGGAGAAGCTTCGGATTCAGTCCACGCAACGGGTAGAGCCGTGGGTAGAACGACGGCCGAGGAACAACAGGGTGATGAAGTCAGGGAAAGAGGAAATTTTGCAGGACCGCAATCTCCACAGAGTGCGGAAAGAGTTATAATCACTTTCGTATCAATTTAGAATTCCCCGGGGGATTTAATGTTGATATTGCTTCTGCATGTGCAGCAAAGGGTAGAGTGGGTAGGTAGCACGAAGTACAGCATTGCAGATGAGCCACACTTTTTCCCAAAAGGGTTTAGGAGGACGCGTTCTTTGCCGTTGCCACCGCCACACTTTGTCATTCACCAGTCACAAACGAGCATCAGTAGAAAGTTGAGTTTGGTCTGTACTGAGTTCCTTTCCGTACCGAGTACGGAGGTGAATGCGTAAAAGCTACTTAGACCTGCTCGGCGGTCTCACCAGGTCTTTCCCATCAATGCTCGAGTTAAAAGATACCCTCGATACCACACCATCCCAGCAAAGTTCCTTTTGCCTCTCTTAAGCTTAACAATACCTATTTCTTGCAGAATTTCGAAAGTCTATATCATTCCACTCCTCTCTTATAAGTCAGCAAGTAATTTCACACGCTTAGAAATCCAAAATCCATCTTTTCAAAACTTCCCGCCTCGTCTAGAAGAAACGCTATTACGTGACTAAAAATATTGATTAAATAGAACATATATGCTTTTTACTTTAATCTAATTGATTATTAATTGTTATATAATTACTCGCGTAAATTACTAACAAAGTGAAAAATATATATTAGTAAAAAAAGTATGAAGAGATTTCCAAGGTAAAACATAATAAAAATAGTAATCTAGGTAAACAAACATCCCTTCCCTCGCTTACTTGCTGAATGGAACATGTATATATGACTTATATGGAGAGGGAAAGATTAAAAGGGATTGTACTGTAAGACTCAGTAAAACATTTATTTCGGTATGTAAATTATTGGGTAGTGACTTTTCAACGCCAACACCAGTAATCAACCCACCGACCAGTCAACAGCGTGCAGGAAGGTACGTACGTACGTATTACCCACGACCCTCTCCCAGCAACCTACCAACCTACCATTGTATTCATTCCATTCCTGCCAAACACCAAAACCAAAACCACCACCCATCCAATCCAACCCAAAAACTCCAACACTTACTTATCCCATCAAAATCAAGTCACAAAAAACAACAATGAACACACCACAAAACATCAAACCCCCTACTTCCCCCCCCNACCAAAACCACCACCCATCCAATCCAACCCAAAAACTCCAACACTTACTTATCCCATCAAAATCAAGTCACAAAAAACAACAATGAACACACCACAAAACATCAAACCCCCTACTTCCCCCCCCTCAAAACCGGCGGCCTAAACCCCTTCCCTTTACTCCCCCTATTCTCCCACCCTCCATCCAATCCCCTCTTAACCCCCAAAGTCCTCTTAACACCCGACCCCGTAGCCCTATCCATACTAGTAACATGCAGACTAGCTCCTACCCCTCCTGCACCACCTCCTCCGGGTGGTCTGATAAGAGACATCAACGGTGGTCTAGCCATAAGCCCTTGCTTCGGGGGCTCGGCAGGTTTTTCTGGAATACTAGAGTTGGGATTAGGGTTGGATTTGGGAGCTCGAGGAGGAGAACTGGATAGGAAGACGTAGTTATTCCGTGGATGGGTATCGGGTTCTCTTTCTCTTGACATGGGGGGTTTGAGGCGTGCAGAGGGGCCGATGCGGTGGGATGCTAGGTCGGGTGGGATGGAGGCGGGGGTTGTTGAAGGTACTTGGGACTGTGGAGGTATATGTTTGTGATTGATGGACTTGTTTGTTTGTCGTTCTTGAAGGGAGACGGGGTGGTTCGACGATGGGCTCGGGTTTCCCGAGGAAGGCCATGAGGTTTCCTTGGTTGCCTGGTACTTTTGAGGGGTTCTTTCGAGATTTGGGTATCTCTTTCTCGACGGTTGGAGGTGCTTTGGCGGCTTGCTCATTAAGAACTTGGAGATGTGAACCCGCACTGACAAACCCATTCCTCGAGGTCATGGGTAGGGCGGTAAAACCCGAAGCTCGATCCATCGTAGTTGTGAAGGTTGGTTTCCAATTTCGTTCCGGTGCTTGCTCGATATTGCTCAACGAGCGATTAAGTTCAACCTTCCGCCGTTTCTGCGCTTGCCCCATGTGATAAGTTGAGAACTCGCTATTAGTTTCAAACCTCGATTTGGGATGATTGTCTTCTGTGCCATCTTCTGGGAACAAATTATCTTCAATGCTACGAAGTTGTGAACAACATTCCGTTATCGAATTCGCGGTTGGACATCCCCGGCGCAAAATTTGAGCTATTGATTGAACAGTTGAAGAGCCCAAAGCAGGGCCTTTCTTTTCAAGAAGCCTGTTCAGAGAAGATGGCGAGACAAAAGGACTTAAAGTTGTCTCCTCGCTCTGTGAATTTTTGATTGGAACACTCATGTAGAGCAAAGCCTTTGCCCTCGTCATTGCCACATACAACAACCTCCTCTCTTCGTTGGGATCGTCGGCTCTCGAATGTGGTATAGAACCCTCGTAAACAGCGGGAATGAAGACGACTGGCCATTCTAATCCTTTGGCGGCATGTATTGTTGAAATCGTTACTTGTGCTGTTCCTGGTCCTTCCGCGTCGTCTTTGTTTACTTCGGCGTTTAGTGCCACATTCGCCAGAAACCTTGATAAATGGTTATCATCTTCTTCTTGCTCAAGCCCTTCAATCTCGGGTAGAGCTTCATCTTCATAACCAGAAGAAAGAAGATCTTGAAAATCGCTGGCTTGAGTGATAAGCTCCTGAACGTTGTCCCATCGAGCCTTCGTAACATCACCATGATGGTCTTCCAGCCACTTTTCATAGCCCGTCTTTTCCATAATATACCGTATCAAGTCCACAGTAGAAGTGTCGTTGGAATCAGTAAGCTTCTTTCTGGCTGTCAAGATGATATTGACAAGTTTTGAAAGACTTTGCTCTGCTGGCTTCTGCAATTTTGTCGTTGTATTTTGCCTGCCTTGCACAGCTCCAAGAATCAATGCCCACATTGTTGTCTTTTTCTTGTCGGCTTCCTCTAACAATGACTTTATGGTGGCCTCTCCGATACGTCTTGATGGAGTATTAATAATTCTAGCAAGAGCATCGTTATTTTCTGGCTGGTTGATAACTCTCAAGTAATCCAAAATCGTCTTGATTTCAACTCGATCATAAAACTTCAAACCACCTAGTTTCATCTGTAAGTTACGATATAACCAAACAACTAGCAATACTCACCAACCATTCTATAAGCAATACCGGCTTTCCCTAACGAAGCCTCGATAAGACGCGATAAGGACGATGATCGAAGAAGAATAGCGTAATCATTTAAATCCATCAAGCCACCCGTCATACCCTGGCATCTTTTGATCTCTGTCACAATCCACTCGGCTTCCATATACGCATTGTAGAGTTTCCGGAGAACAGGTCGGGTTCCAACAGTGTGCGTGGGCATCAACGACTTATCAACCCTAGAACCATCCTGTTGAATCACACTCAATGCCGACATCAAGATTGCCCCTGAAGAACGATAGTTCTCCTCCAAAGCTATCGTGACGGTATCTGGATATTGTCGAAGCATGCGCTTATAATTCTTGATCTCAGCAGCCCGGAACCCATAAATGCTTTGATCTGGATCCCCCACAATAGTGATTCGTTTCCTCTCAGCAGCAAACAATCGCATGAGATCAAATTGGACCAAATTCGTGTCTTGGAACTCATCAATAAGCACCGCTTCGACATTCGAAGCACAGGACGGATGGTTACGAAGCAAATCAACGCATCGCAAAAGAAGATCATCATAATCCAACAGATTCGATATCTTGAGAGCCTCCTCGTACTGATCATAACACAAATCGAACTCCTGCACCTCCACCGATTTTGCGCCTGATTTACTCTTCTCTTTCCCGTGTCCCCCTCTTGATTTCCTCCCACTAATTCGAGACCGAGCCACTTTAGGGTCAATCGTAAAATTATTCCTCTTGCAGATCCGCTTTATAATCGCCAAAGAATCCGCACTATCCGCAATTCCAAAGTCTTTCTTGATCCCAATAAGATGTCCATAGCGCGCGAGGTATCGTCTCGAAATACTATGGAAGGTCCCAAGTACGAGTTTCGCTTCGAGTCCGTTGCCTAGTAGTTTCCCAATCCTCTCCTTCATCTCGCGCGCCGCCTTGACCGTGAATGTTGCCACGATAATATTCCATGGCTGTACTCCTTGTGCTAAGAGCCATGCTGTCCGAGAAGTGAGAGTATGTGTCTTGCCGCTACCGGGTCCCGCTAGAATTGCCACTGTATCTGCAAATGAGGAAACTGCCGCTTGTTGGGACTGGTTGAGGTTTGCGAGAAGGCTGTCAGAACTCATTGTTCGATACGCGTTAAAAGGCTCGAGAGTGAAGGATTCGGGAGTAAAGAAGTGGTTCTGGCAGTCCACCAAGGAAGCATAGCGATTGTGCCGATGTTGGAAGTCGTCGAACTAAAGAGTCGTGTGTAATCGAGGACGCGTTATCCAGTCGCGATTTTCACGCGAAATTCCCCCGCAATCACGTGAAAGCTTATTTTGCAAAAGCTCCCAGATAAAAACACTTCAAGTCATACCTACCTAGGTAGACTCCCAGTCCATAAGAGATTCACTTTTCAACTACTATCAACGTAACTTATCTCTCCATACCAAAATATCCAAACCATCTAAAACAATTCCCTCTATTATCCCTCGCTTTCGACTCATCATTGCAATAAGTCTAAAGAAACAACACAATACCTAGGCAGTTTTTCTTTAGGCTAGGCTAAAAAACAGAAGTATCTGCCATTTTCTTGTCCAGTTGGAGCTAGATAGCCTTGGCTACTCTCACTATCTATAACAATTCAAGTACCGTATTTATTAGTCCTCTTCTTCCTTACACTATATCTCCTCTTTCTACTGTTCTTTGGTCTTTGTCTTATATAGTTCTTCTCTTGTTCTCTACTCACTATCTTGTACACTGTTAACTTATTTTTACTCTGGTTCTTAAACTAACTCAGAATGAGAGCTGTTCCGGAAGTGGGGCTTCTCTTTAAACTATCTCTTGTAAATTAGCGCACTTTCATTTACACCCCCTGTAGCCTAGGGCACACCCCTAGCGTCATTTGCCCAACAATGGGACTTTTAGGACCTAGCCCACGCGAGTTAGATTCCGCCTGACGTTAAATAGTAATAAATAAATAAATAAATAAATTGGTTTACAAGATAACATATTGTATATAAAGAGTCTGTCCAGGGACCAATATGAACCTTATACGCTAAAAAAAGTAATATCTTAATTATTAATTTTGCCCCACTTTTTTCGGGGTTTATGTTCCCCGCCACTCCTAGCCTTTATGTTTTACCCCCAACCTTATCTAATCTTCTAATCATTTAAGCCTATTCTATCATGATTTAGGTACATTCTTGTAGGAAGAATAAGACGTGGAATGGGTCCTGAAATCGTTCCAAGAAGTGGCTATAGGGGGTTGGTCATAGATTAAGCGAGTAATGGTAAATGGGAATAGTTTTAAAGAAAAATATCCTACTTTTTTATATGCCGATTGTTGAATATACTTTTGCGAGTTTAGCTCTGAAATCCCGAGTCTTTTAGAGTATGTGGTGGTGCTAAAATAAGTGTAGAAAGCTTAATATAAAAGTCTCGATTTTAGATTCTAGCTCCTTAGTTGGTCAGAATTATAAGATACTAATCCTACGAACTTTTGGAACCATATACGATATACGCATGTTATCTTAACGAGGAATGTTATTTTGTAATCCAATTAATACGGTACCTACTCAACTTCAAGCCTCAATCAACATCACACATACAACATACCCAGATTCAAGAGCAACCAAACAGGTAAACGACTAAGAAATAACCCAACAAAGCTTGCGTAAACTACCCCTCTTTTTCATAGCAAGTTTACTATAAGCTAGGCATCAGCGGGGAAAACCCCCGGGGAGGCATTCCCAGCCATCCGTTCTTATTAATTAGAGTAGGTTCTCATCTGAACTCTTCAAAACTCTTCTTCTCTTATTAGTATCTTGGTACTCTTGGCCCAATCATTACGGCGCAAGAAAGTTAATTTTCCAATCAGTGAGTAAATTCAGTAGAGATTCAAACAATCATTTCAAATGTATTGTTGATGCTAATTAGCTTGTCCCTCTAAATGCTATGTGCAATGTCTAGAACATTCCTCTCTTGGACCATCGTTGTGTATGAGGCAATCGAACTGAGAGAGAAAAATTTCAACATGAAGAAATTCCAACGCGAACCCCAGGTATTAAATCGCGTCTTGACTCTGACCGCCCTTAAATCGTTTTATCTGATCAATGGTCTATGAAAGAAAACGAGTCAAAATGGCACATGCCATACGCGGGAGAAGCTTTACCCTAAACGCCTAAAATGCATTGAATCAGGCCTTGATCTCGTATTTTCGGCGGAACATCTCGTCAACGCTCTGGAGATAGTAAACGTTCTTTGCGATGGTCTCAGAACTTCCTGTAGGTGTGTAGCTCTTTTGCAAGTGAGCTGTTTTGCGCAGAGCGCACATCTAGAAAACGATATCAGCTGACCGCCACAACCTATAGATTTTTGGACATACCTCATCGTATACTTCTGGGGCCACGGTTCGTCGGGCATCGAGTCGCTCTTGCAAATTAAGGGACTTTTGAATGGCCTCTGTTGATCCAATGACCCTTAACGAGAATAAACTTGAGGCCAATCCACTACCATAACTGAAGACACCAATTCTCTTTCCTTGCAGGGTGGCACTGTCAATGTTGCTCAACAGACTGACGAGACCACCGTAAACGCTGGCGCAGTACATGTTTCCGCACATGGTTGGTACCTGGATACTAGGTTGCACACGCTCGTTGAAACGTTTCTTGGTTAAACCCATGAATGTTTTCTCAACAACCTTGTCAGAAAGCGACTTGGTGTAATCCATATCCCGAAGCTCAGCTGGAACCTCCGCAAATGCTGGGGAAGACGGGTCGGCGACGAAATCGTTGTAAAGCAATCTTGCGTACGACTTGGCGACTAATTTGCAAGTAGGTGCGTGGAAAGTCATATAGTCAAATCGATCGAGGGTTCCGGCGGCTACAGTACCATTTCCATTTCCATTTGCGTGGCCATTGGCATCTCCATTGGTAGTTGCTTGGAGGGTAACTTGGCGCTTGTTGTATGCCTTGTAACACGCATCTACGGCTTCTGTGTAGCACTTGATGGAAAACTGACCATCAACGATAGGGTATTCGCTGGTGAGGTCTGGCTTGTAGAAATCGTAGGCGTGTTGCATGTAGCTTCCTCGAAGACCAGACTCGACAGTAATGGGGGCATTTGGTCCAATTAGCATGGCTACGGCACCAGCTCCTCCAGTTGGGCGAGCATTTCCCTTAGCATAGAGGGCGATATCACCCGCAACAACTATAGCATCACGCCCATCCCAGGCAGACGATTCAACCCAGTTTATTGCGTTGAACACTGCATTGGTTCCTCCGTAACAGGCATTAACGGTATCTACACCCTCGATGTTTGTGTTGTCGCCAAACAATTGCATCAGAACTGATTTGACAGACTTCGATTTGTCGAGTATTGTCTCTGTGCCCACCTCCAGACGACCAATGGAGTTTGTGTCGATGTTGTATTTGCTCAGGAGGTTCGAGGTGACGGTGAGGGCGAAGGAGTAGATGTCTAGAAAGAGTTACCAGAGGGCCAAAAGTAGGCCGAATGGGAAGCAATTTTACCTTCTCGGTCATCGCAGAAGCTCATCTTGGTCTGCCCAAGACCAATGGTGTATTTTCCTTGAGAAACGCCATCGAATTTCTCCAGCTCGGCTTGGTCAACACACTGTCACACGAGCGGATGGTTAGCAAGCGCGCAACGGACCATGCGGGATCATTGGAGGGAACTCGGGTGAAATGTCCATCGTACCTGGCTAGGGAAATAAATCTCAATGGCCTTGATACCGATATTCTGAGGGCGCGACATGGTAGGTGGCGGTGAGGTTCTGTTTATTGCTTGGAAGAGGGGTTCAGACAGAGGGTTTTCGAAATTCTTCGAGGGATCGTGGAGGGGTAAAACGGGTCGGATTTGGAAAACTACAAGAGAAATTTTTGGTTAGTCATAATTTCTTCCGAATCCAAGGCTGGGAGACAATATGTAGCAGTCCTCTTCCCACAAAGAATCATTGGAAGCCACCACGACCACCTCCCGTCCTAAGCTAAGGGAAGGGTCCAAAGTGACATGACGCCAATGTGCGTCTATGAAGGGGCCTCGGCCTACACAGCTCTATATAAGAAATCGAGACTTACTAGAAGAATCACGATGAGCTGCAAAGGAGTGCTGGGAAGGGGGAGAGAAGGCGGTTTCCGGTGGGGGAAGGAAAAAGAAAAGAGGAAGAAGATGGGTGGGAGACAGGTAGATTTTGAGTGTATCTCGTTGGATTGCCTATGCTTGCATGGCTTGCTTGCGTCGGTGGTGCACCTGCAGCGATTCCCTTTCCCTACCAACGTCAACCAATCCCTCACCCTGCCTACCTGCCTGCCTGCCTGCCCCTCCCTACGGACCCTACCTCTTCGGTACCTTCCTTCACAAATGGCGGTCGAGAGCTCATTGGCTCCTCTTTCCTACTTTCCCCTATTTTCCCCTTCTTTCTCCTCCTGAGCTCCCTGTCAACTTGTCAATCCGATGGCAACCCACTAGCCTCGCCGACAACGGCCGTCAAACGTTGACAACCACACGTTTGACGGCTCGTGCTACGCGCCACCGAATTTAGTATCTGCCGCACAATCTATGCTATCATACACTCAACATGCAAGGAACTAACATGACAGCACTGGTACTCGGGGATAGCTTCATATTGTAGGTACAGTACAACACTGGCTACAGGACAACCAACACACTGGGAACTGAAGGCGTCGTGGTCCTCACCAGCTCATTGCCCTCATTGCCCTCATTGCGCCGCGACGAGACTTCAGCATCCACACCTCACCTGTCGCTTTTCTCCCATGATCAGCTGAGAGAGGACATTATGACGATCGCCATAAGCCCACAATCCATCGGGCCCACGAATCTACGCTGGCACAAATCTGCAGTATCTCACTCTTGTACATGTACTGTAATCATACAGCCACACTTTGACACCCCACCCCATCCCGAAATGGTAAATAACCAGCAAAAAGCCCTTGGTGTGTTGGTCGAGGTGCAGAGGGTGCAAAGGGTGCTGCCAATACCTGCCTCTGCTTGGGTTGATATGTAGGCAGACCGCCCTTTGCCATACAAATCGTCAAGGGCCTTGATAAGCCAAAGACACCTTCGGTCCCTCCGTCTGTTCTTCTCCACGAAATGTCGTTTTGGTGTGCTTTTACTTCTATAAGTAGAGAAAGTGTACGCATATCAAGGTACTAGGTACATGTCATTGCCCCGCTGGGAAGGGTTCCCCCACCGAATCTAATCTAATCAGATCAAATGTGGAGAGACCTCCAGATCTTCCTTATCCGCTTCTCGGAAGGTTGCCTTTGGCTTTGCTTGAGCGACAGGAAGAATGCCCACAACCCCGCCCGCGTCCTTATTTGCTGTTAAGGCTACTTCTGTGATATCCGTTGTTCTTCAAGAAGAAAAGATTTTGCATGTTGTAGCGGGCATGAAGCCGCAGCTAGCTAGTTTTTCGTCCCAGATGAGAAAGTCTATGTGCTAGTTCTGCTGTTTCCCGTCATATTGGTATCCCCTGCTTACTCTTATTTTTCAAGTTATATTGGGGGTTAGGGGGGATGTTTGGTGGTGGATGTTCACACTTGAATCTGTGCCGTTGAGGAATCTCAACGGCGAGATGAGCAGACTGACTACGTTCACTGGCCCAAGAACAATGATCGAGTCCCTTACTCCACTCTTCGAATTCTGTCCGCAAAGATGCAAACCTTGGTGATCAGCTAGGCATGAGAGCTCATGCAGTGAATTCAAAGTGTGGGTTTGTGACTCGCACCTGATATCAAAGTAGCTCCTACTGGTGTCGTTTTCTGCGAAGAACTGCTTACCAACGGCTTGGTTGGCCACAATCTGATCTCCTCGAAAGACTCCACTAGACTGATCATTTTTCAAGAAAAGTTTCTAAGCTTTGTACTCTTTCGATTACGAATTTTCATTGCGAAAACCCTTGCAAAAGCCGAAAATCCCTACACTCTACTTCTCTCACAAGTTATGTCACCAACCAGCGGCGGCGCTTTCATGAGCTCAGGAATCCAGATAAAGAAACAAACATGTACTCCGTACCACATATCAATTGATTCATCGAAATTGGAGAATCTCCTACGAGTTTCTGTTTGTTATATAAAGAGTGTTCGTCGCTCAAGAATGTCCAAGCTTTCTTAAAGCCACACCTGCCAAAAGATTTTCTTCTCAAACTTTAAACGTCTCCTGTCGAAGATCTTGGATCATCCTGATTCCTGTCACCACGAACGATTGGCTAGAGCTATGAGATTCTGGATTTTCAAAGAAAAGTGTTTCAAACATGCCGGATGCTCTGCCGCCGTGATTGGAAAAGTCGGCCGGTCTAGAGTAGCAGTACGATTGACCAGTGATGGTCGCCAAGTTCTTTTTTTACTTCGCCTACGCAAAGTAAACAACTGCGGCTCTCATGAAAAAGGGGACTTGCATTTACGAGTGGTTTATTTTTGAAAGAATACCGCGCTCAAGCCTCGGTGTCCATTCGAACTTGTTCAGATGAAGGGGATTCTGGCCTGCGGGTGATTTGAGAAAACTTGCCGGCATTTTTGGAAGAATTTCCGGAGAATCGGCCCTTTCTTATTGGGCCTGGACAGCAAGTTCTCCAAAATAAATTTTGAGTTCAGGCAAATGAAATTGTGCTGCAAATCCCCAAGGCTTCGACTCAAGCACAAGTGCGGAACTGAACGGAACTAGTTTCGTTTCGACTGCTTACTCAGTTGAGCTGGACTGGAGACGTATGAAATTTGAGGGCAATGGAACAGGCAGGATTTGATACAGCATCGAGGCTAAATCTCAAGAGTGGAATGTGACCGGATGGATGCTTCAATGAATTGAGGATATATGCCAAGCTTGTATCCTGTCACTTGCAGCAAATAGCGGATCTTGGCCTTCTCATCAGGTTGTATTCGCGAATGCAAGCGGCTCGATTGGGCGTAAACCTGTTTTTTTGCACGGAATATACCCTTACATCTACCGCTGGGTGCTTCGCAAGATGATTTCAAAATAGCATCTGCCCCGAGAAAAGACTTGTGTTGTTCTTATTCGATTCAATATAACAAGAGGCCAAATTGAGAAAGAAAAAAAGAGACAACCGAGCGAGGGGAAAATGAGGTCTCCTACTCATGTCTCCAACGGGGGTTTCCTGGTCGTCCACCATAGACCATTGGCACTTCTTTCTATGATGTTTACTTCACTCCGTACGAGTAGACTCTACCATTAGGTCCATTACCTCGTACTTCCACTTCAGCTGCTCTGGATCTGTCATGGGAGAGTAACCTCATCGTGTTTGCGTATTTCGACACGATCCGGGACGGGTATGCGAGGGGTTCACAATTTACTTCGTCCCAGGCATAACAAATGTTATTCTTTAGTGGGTATACAGGGGACTTTTCAGTGGAACACAGGGTCAGCACGCCCAATAACTTCAACATTTGTTAGGCCTGGGACGAAGTAAGCTCTTCGTGCCTTTACACCTAGCCTAGTTCGCTCGCTTCAGGGGCAGTGCAGTGCAGTGTAGCGGCGTGGAGTTGACGTTCTGGGTAAGATTGCTGGACTTTTTCGGCGAGGTTACGTTGCGACTCCATAAGAAGAACCATACACAGTGGTTGATCAATGCACCGGAGCGTCGTTAAAGTAGAAGTATTATGCTTCGTAACTATGAGTTTCTGTGGTACTCGCACGGAGTCGGCAACTGTTTTTGTTGTGCTGGGAAAATTCCGGTTATATGGTTAGTCGAAACCTGGGGATTCATGGGACGCTCTTGTTTGCTCGAGCTTGCAGCACCCGCACGCCTTGGTCCAAGAACGTGTCTCAGCCCATCCCCTCTCCCCCATTCCCCATCGCCTCTCTCGCTGTGAACACTTCCCTGATAATCACCACCACCGAATCCCCCAAACTAATACCCTCTGTCTCTAGCAATACACGATCGGCCATCACTACCAGAGAGCATTGTAATTGATGAAGGGACTTTGAGTTGATAAGGGAATCGAGGCGGACGGAAGTCCGAACCACTTGCGCCTGGGATCGAGACGATGGCTGGGCCCGACCGTCGTTCGTCCACAGGACTCGACCGAAGGGCATCAATACCACTACGCGAATCGATAGACCGGCAGCGCGATCACGATGATAATAATGAATACGATTTGGAGGCTATGGGGATTTCCGACGGCTTCAATCCATCCAATTCTGCCGTGGGCCAGGGAAACATGGGCATGGCTCCTCCTCCTCCACGACCATCAAGCACGGCAAAATTACCGCCTGGAGTCGACACATTTACTTTGCGGCACGACGGTGGAATGGGCGCAGATGTGAGGAGAATGTCGGACAATGCTGTAAACATGAATGCGACTCAATCGAGGCCTGTATCAACAACGGAATCAGAGGCACCATACATCAGACCCGAGAGTCCGTATAGAGGACCCACAGGACCTTCACATCCATACCAGATGTATCCTCAAGAATCACGATTATCAAGAGCGACGAGTTTAGCGACAACCTCAACATCTCCAGTGGTTGAGAGAGAAAGGGAAAGGTCGTATGCTGGACCTAGTGGACCGACTCATCCATACGGAATGTATCCTCAGAGCATTATCCCAGAAGCAGAGAGCAGTCAAGCCCATACCATACCACCCATCCCCGTGGGATTTCCCGGCTCAAATAATAATTATCAACGTCGAATTGGTCCTGAAGGAGAGGAAATTGGTGGTATCATTGGCCCTGATGGACACACGGAAGAATTACCACCATATACGCAATACCCCGACGAAACCATCGCTCGGAAAACCCGACCTAATGTAGCAGTTGAAATTCCAAATGTAGCGTCTGGTCCAATTGTTCAAGTTGCCCCGGCGGCTCAAGCTTCCACCTCACCACCAGCAATGTCCGGGGCAGGCGGGATTGGGTTAGCCACTCGAAATCCAGAATTTTCGTCTCAAGAGGATCTAAATTCGCCATCACGAAGGAGTATTCTTTCGGAAGTGAGCAGTCACCAAGTGAATACCGCCGCAGTTACGGAATCAGAAAAACCACCACTGAAGCGTTGGCAAAGGAAAGCAAAAAGACATGTATGGGGCATCATACCAGTATGGGTATTCGTCCTACTTGCAGTCATGTTCATACTATTCGGAATAATATTGGGCACCGTTCTAGCAATTCTCAAGCCCCCAAACAAACATTCAAAGGACAAAGATAAGGATGGTAACCCGTAAGTATCCTCAATCATTCATAATCTTTCATTGAAAAATGTGAAATGTTGGCGCTAATATAGACTATAGCGGCACGTCACTGACTACTACTTACGATGCTACTCCACTCACTTCCGTTCCTACGAATCTCCCAACTCTTCCTACTGGTACCTATGGTGTACCAGTTGGCCCCCCGTCACTCAATCAAGCTTCGTGTCTTGCGAATAGTGCGCAAAGCAACGTCTGGTCTTGCTTTGTCGGAATGGGCGCGGGACCAATCCAGATGAGAATTAAGACCATACTTGATAGTCCCAGTCTGGTAGATAACCACGAAATTCTTCTCAGCTACGCAAATCAAACAACAAGAACATGGGCCTATGGTGCGCAAGCTCCAACCTTTTCGAGTGAACAAGTACTTCATCTTGTCACCGATGCAGATGAGACTGCTAGGGGTCCTGCATGGTGGTTCCAGATGCCTTACAATAAGCTCGTCATCATTCGTGAACAGGAATTGGCAATGGTCCAGAATAGAGACAATGAGCCTGACAGAGATAGAGGAAGAGAATTCGGACGGAAAGGCGTCGCCGTCCCTGGAGACGATGTTTGGTTTTGTCACTGGAATGGTACCGTGCTTGAGGCATTTATTTACCCCAACCAGACAACTTCTTTTGGTGCAAACAACCCAGACACCATGACAACATCCTCCCCTTCCAAGCCAACTGCTGCACCCGGCGGCACTACTCCCTCGAGTTTCCCAACGGCAACTGGAGAACCGTCGAGGGCCACAGAGTCCAAGCTACCATTTGAGATGACTCCATTGTATGGGAAAGTCGTCAAGATCCAGGAACACCGAATATCGAAAGGCCCTCAGGTTGTGCCTCCCTATTGCGTGAAATATACCATCAACGAAGATAATAGCGCCACTCCGAAACTCAACGCCACCAACCAACCGGTCATGATATACTTGGACGAGTTGGAAGCATCGTTCTTCTCCAAACGCGAGTCGTTGTTTAATCATGAACCAGTGTCTGCGCGTGAAGCTGGTTCGGGGAATAAGTGTGGTTGCGTTTGGTTATATACATAATCGTTTGAAGATATCCCATTATTTTCGGCATTGGGCGGGCAGGGCATTTTTTTGGATGGAGAAAAGCGTTTTCTTTTTTTGGGGGAATTTGGGTTTATTCATTGTATCTACATTGAGACATCTTGTTTTACATACTTTTTTCCTTTTGTTTTTCTCTTTCTTGTTGGCACCATCGTTATTGGTTATCTCATCACGTTTCGGAGTTGTTATTGTTGGGATACCTGGGATTTGTTTTCCCCCTTTCTTCATATCAATATTGGGTGGAGCATTTGGCGTTTGGGATGGGATACGAGGGAGGAGCATTCTCCGGATATTGTTGAGAACGTATTTCTTAGTATTTATTGTCTGGGATGGGACACGGTGATGGATATTCTTTAGTGGGATTAGGTGGAAGGATATCTGGAATTCTTGAGGAAGGTTTTACGACGGAATGGGTGGGATTCACATGCCCCGAGTTGGATGCAGATCTGATTTGATGTTTTTTTCCGTTTTTGGTTATATCATGAGAACCTAGGCACAGACACATAGTACCTTGATTCTAATGTCTTTTTTTTTTTGGTCTCTTTGGTGGGTGTATGGATATCATGTTTGTTGCTGGTAAGCAGGTTGGGCGGGTTGAGTAAGGGGAGTAGATGCTGGATGGGTGGATGGGTGGATGGGTGGACTTGTGGGATACTTGGTATGTAGTTGATATGTAGCTATGAATAGAAGAAATATAAATACACCTTACAATACCTCTGTCTTTCTTTTGGGTGGCAAGTGGGGTGGAGGCAAGAATTGGTGGATACTTGTATAGTAGTAGTTCAAGAGTGTAGGTGTATCCAACTATACTCTTAAGAACAAATGGAAGTACATCGTTGTTAAACCAGTCCAAGTCGAGTATACTTCCAACAGCAAGAATCCTCAACCTACATCTCTCCTACCCCCCCAATTCAAGGTTCAAAACACGAAGCAAGTTGTTGGCTTGAGGTATGTATACACTAGTTCTTTCTTTTGGAAATGAGTGCTAGCCCAGTTCCTAATGTATATGTAGACTCGCGTCCATAGGACCATAGCCTCACGGACTGGGGACGAGAGGAGGTGAGGAACTCCGGATGGTAAGAGGGGAAAGAGGGAAATGGTTGAGGTGATAAGGATAAGTGCTTGTAGATGTGGAAGTAGGCAACGTCTAAACATGCCGACCGTTATATTTCTCCAGCGGCCCCTAATGACGACTAGGGCCGAAACAGGCATATCGATTTATGATATCCGCAGTAATTGTGTTCTGTGGGGTTTTTTGCCGACTAGAGGACTAAATATCTGCTCTAGTCAGTGAGTCAGTGACTATATTTCGACAAGAGAATCATCATACCGTTATTTTGGCAGCTGTAGAAGTTTCACATACTGGACGAGAGGGTAGTGTAACCAGAGGCTTTTACTCTGAAACCCGCTCCTTATATTCAGAGAATAGTGTATCTATATCTTGATATTTGAACTCAAAAGCGCTACCGAAACAAGAGAAGCCTAAATACTGAAGAGCTGTACTGTGTGTATATAAGGGCTTTTGAGGATTACCCTTCCTTTAGCCATATATCACTGCGCCAACCTGTCAATAGCTCTAATCAGTTCTCCTTTGCCCAAAGCTTATTTCAGGATCAAGGTTCCACAGCTCAAAAATGCATCCGCCTTCACAAAACTTGATACTACCCGCCTGATCAAACCAGCTGACGAGCGAAATTGTGAAAACAACATGTAACGTTTGACTGTCTCCATACCATACAGTTCGTGAGTTGGCCCTAGGCCCTGGGGGTTCCTCTAGCCTATAATAATATATAGGCTTGAGTCTTCTTGCTCTTCAGTATTTTAAACATAAAATCCGTACCTCTTTGTATGGCGAGTATGGGTGAGAACCATTTGTTAGGGGCTCGCTTAACGGAAGGGACGGTAAGTTAGGCTAAAGCGGCCCCCATGAATGCAAGTGTTCTTCACTGGCCAAGAAATCTGCAGCCTTACCTAATTTTATTAGAAGAGTTCTTTGTGTATAAACGTTCAATGTTTTTTTCAATGTCACTGGGAATGTTAGGATAATCATAGATTTGAAAGCGTCACAAAACTACTGGCACAAATTGTGGCATACTTTGGTGAATGATATTTTTATTTTTATGCTAAGAAAAGCAATTCCCTGCTTAGACAAAATTGGAAAATTGTGTTTATTCTCTAAAGATTACTGGCACTTTCTCAATCTATTTCAGTGCAAATGACTTCTACTCTTCAGCAATCTGGTACCTACGAAATTCCCCATCGACGTCTCAGCGATACAACACGCCCAACCACTATCATTTAGTCACCGAAATCCTGCTCCAGCAAGTCGTATCTGCTGGTCATTCGCTCAAAACAGGCAGCGAAATCGTCAACAAATCCTGGAATGTCTCTTTTCTGTTTCCAATACGGCTTGTTCACCTTCTTGGGAACTGGCGTACCGTACGAGTCTTTGCTGTAGTGGCTGAGACCGTCATCATCCGAATCCTCCTCCTCAAGATTAGAAACTTCGTCCTCTTCAACATTCGTATCTTCCTCCTCAGGATCAGGATCTTCGACCTCATCGACATGCGAATCTTCTTCCTCAAGAACTGCATGATTCTCGTTATCATCCGAATCACCTTCCTCGGGATCAAGATTGCCACTCTCAAGATTCAGAATAAAGATCTCGAGATCAAGAGTAAAGATCTCGTAATCAAGAAGAATGCTTTGAAGTTCAAAAGTGATATCTTCAATATCGAAACTGTCGTTTTGTACAACTGTGGTACCGGACGAGACTGTAAGGAACTGGCTATTCTCCTCATCCTCTTCATCGTCTTCCACGAGGTCAAGCCCGTCGTTTTCCAGTACTTGGGTACCGTACCAGTCTGCATGGGAGTGACTATCTTCCTCATCGTCCTCGTCTATATCAGCACCGGTATCATTAAGATCAAGAGTGCTAATTGAAAGTACTGTCATGCCGTATGAGTCCGCACGGGAGTGGTCATCATTCTCATCATCCGAGTCGTCCTCGGGGCCAGCACCAAAATTCTCATTATCTGGATCGTCATCACCATGCTCAGAATCATCATCATCGAGATCAGAGTCGTCGTCGTCGGACTCAGGAGCTTTATCAGACTCAACCGTAGCAAAGACTGCAGCCTGCGTGGCCATAGCTCGAAGTGGATGATCCTCTGGCGTTACGGCATAGATGGTTTCAATGTCCGTACCTCTAATCAGAACAACGCCATCTTCCAGTTTGAATTCGTGATCGTGAATTTCCTGCATCATTTTGAAAGTCTTCGTATCGTAGGCTACAGATGGGAATCCTCAAACGATGCTCAGACTAGGACAAACGATATCGCTTGCCATCTCTCCCAAATCGTACTTCTGGGCGTACAGGAGGAATTCCATGCAAGTGTCGATGTATCTTTCGTAACAACGAAGTGGTTCCTCGCTCCAGGTATCGTCGTCTGCTACTCTTCGGATCCTATCTTCCTTTGGTACCAGGAAGTAGTCGTTGATCTTTTTGTTGAGCATAAACTCAAACAAAGTGTCGAAGAAAAGGACTCTTTCGTCAGGGAGCTCGATTGTAGGTGTCTCGTCATCGTGAGCCTCGTTGTCCTCGGTAAGGAGGCGCTCAAAGTACTTAGAGTAGTGACAAAGGATGTATTTGGGAAGACAGTGGTATTTTCTGTCTTCGCCAGTACCCACAGCGAAGTTTACTGCAGGTCCTCTCACGTACCTGGATAGTACAGTCAGTATGTTTTGTTGAAGTGTTGGATGGAAAGGGAAATGAACTTACTCTAAGTACTGCTTGAAGGTAAGCTCTTTCGTCATGATGTCCTGCGTTGTTGAGTGTTGTCTGCTGTAAGTTTATAGAAACTATACACCAGCTATTCTAAGTAAGATAGGACTAAAAGTTGTAGTCTATGTCTACTGCAAGTTGGGAGTCTTGACAAGAGATAAACTTTTGATGTACAGCGGGATGTATGGTTGGAATTAGTTGTAGGAATCTGGGCTATGGAATGAGTATTATGTATAGCATTAGAGCGCTAGAGCTAGCGCTATGGCTGAGGCCTTTTTCTTTATAGAACCCCCTTCACTGCCTTATTGTTACCCTTACAGTAGTATGATTGTTAGTCACATCACGTATCTGAACTACTTGTCTGGTGCTTCATTGTATGGTGTAGCTTAACCTACTTTCTTAGAGTGAAGTAGGAAGGGTTATACAGAGATTGACTGTTAAGCGACTGTTGAATACATAGCATTACATTAGTGCATTCACTAAAATAAGGTAGTAAATCAAGGCTGAGAAGGAGGTGATATAAGAGAAACAAAGAGTGTTAGTGGAAGGGGAAGAAAAGTGCTATAGGAAGAACTACATGCCAGATCTTGAGAATAGGAACTTTTAAATACCATGCGGGTTGTTTTCACCTCAGATGATATTCAGGCTTTGATCTTCTGAATTTCTCTCGATTCGAAGATAGAATAGCGATACTTTCCTCTTATGTTTCTGTTTACTTTCTATATCCTTTTCTCCAAGATTTCGTAACTATAAAACTTTATCATGTTCTATTGCGTGTAGAAGTGAGCTCATATGAGGATCCCTGAGTGTACCATATGAGAGAGTTAAAAGCTAAAAATGGGGGCTCAAATAAGCTTGCTAAGGAGAAGAGAACGCAGAGATGTTTATCAAGGGGCCGCTCGGCTAATCAGCCAAACAGCGCTTTACCAGCTGACCACGTGTCGTGTAACGTGATAAGATCACAGGCGACGAGTTTGAATCCCAAACAGATAGCAATCATTACAGTAAAGTGTTGCCAAACCATACGAGAACAGTTTCCAGTGGTCATCTCCACAAAACAAATTTTGTGCCAGCGATCCCTGGCATTTTTTAGCCATTGAAGCCTCCTACTGAATGAAATTTCGTGCCTCGAAGAAGTTATGTAGTTATTTCCATTTGTCAAAACGGTGGCACAATGAGTGAGAGAATTGAGTAAAGACGATTTTATGCTATATGACTCTTAGATACAATACTAATGTTTCTAATACTCTCTCAAGTATAATAACCCCATCAAATCCTGCTCCTAACTCCTATCCTCTATCTCACTCTCCCATTAAGCCCACAAAACGGTTCCTATGACGAACCAAACGAAGCATATCAGACGCAAATCCCTTTACCTCTCCCTCTTGCGTTGCAAATGGAGCGTCCTTCTTGATTGACCAATCATCATTGTAGACGAGAAAAGACGCAGCAGCAACTGCCAATCTCCTAAGAGGGTGGCCCTCTGGCGTGGTTGCGTAAATGGTCTCAATATCACGCCCTCTGATATTAATTGGATGGAAGTCGAAATCAATAACCAGTTTGGATAGTTCTTGGTGCTTGTATCTATCACGGCCCATTAGGATGCAAGGCGGCATACCCCAAATTTTGCTCCAAGGTAGACAAAGAAGGTCGCTGCCTATGTTGCCGAGTTCGAATTTATCTGTGTAGATGAGAAAACTTCTGCAAGTATCGACGTAGCTCGATCGATCGAACAGAACCTTTCCATGGCCGTGATGTGGTCTAGATAGGATTCTTGAGATGAGAAGGTCCTTGTTAACCTTTCCGCTGAGCATGTATTCAAATAGAGTTATGAAGAATACATGCGAGTCCTCAGGGAGTGCGAGTGTTTGACTTTGGCCGTATCCATTAAAGTACCGGTCGAGGTACGGAGAGAAATGACACACGACATTTTTTGGGAAGCAATAGCGCTTCTGGTCGTTACCGATACCGACGTCGATGTTTACTTTAGGCCCTCGCATATATCTGAAGATTCTATTAGCCTCTTGTCACGAGAAAGAAGGCGATTATGTTTTACTCTGAATATGTCATAAGAGAGAATCCCTCTGGTGCTTCGTCCTCTGGCTTGACATCTTGTCTGTTTGCATTCATGATGCCTAATTTCGAGTATTATAATCGATAGATTGTTGCTAGAAATGGTCGCTGACGGCACTTTTCGTTGTGACAGTTTGGCGTTGGAGGTTTTACTACCCTTGATCTATGTACAACCCAAACTCTCCCAAGTGGCTGCCAGGTAATAGTTATTGTTGATTTGACTTATTGTCAATGGATCGATGCAGAAGACCTGTATGATGTGGTATGACTAAGTCCTGTGTTGTTGCGTGCCGAAGCAACTGTAGCTAGCTAAGTCCATGCGTACTTATAGCTGCCGTTGTACGCTAGTCCTAATCGAGAGGAGCACGCTAGTCCCGAAGGAGCAGCTACGCTTGGAGCTAGCTAATAATTATTCACTATTATAAAGCGACAGTTATTATAATTGCAAAATGAATGTGAGCTTCGCCAGTAATTCAACAAATATATGGTGAATTGAATTTGGTGTTTCAATTAGCCTAAAGTTCTCCAAGAGAATCGGGCCAATGGTGAATACACTTTAAAGTAGGGGGCTCACTGGCATATAGTTGTAAGTAAGCTCACACGATTACCGTGAATCAATATTTGGAAGCCATATTAGCACTTCTCGCATCAACAGATCTTACTGTAAGATTAATTTACTGGAGGCTGTGAGATTTAGAGTTTTACTATGTTAAGGATCATTCGCTTTACTATTAAGATATTATAGGAGATGTTTTTATATCACGTGAGGACGACCGACCGACATAAGCTAGCGGCGGGGCAAAAATCATCAATAACTTCATATGTCCTGCCCAGGAGCAGGATACGTACGAGCCCTAGGGCTCTCTTTGTCTCAGCACCCTGGGGCTCTCCAAACCCCAGGTGCTGGTCCCATATATGTGCCCACTTCACCCGTGACCAGTACGAACGTGAATATAAAACGTAATTATAGAATACTTAGAGTAAAATTTAGGTACTATAATCTAGTAAGTATATAAGTACGCCCTATAGGAACTAGAAATTACTGTTGTTGCGCAGTATTTGTTTTGGACAGGACGCGGGAAGCCGTCGGCCTTCTTTGCCAGATATCATCGTTTAAAAAGGGGTTTCTTAAAGGTCCTACACGTAACACGCCGGCTAGACTATTCTATGAACTTGCGGGTGGGATCCTAGGCTAACCTTGATCAAAAATACATTGACAGAGGAGGTTGATTTCAACACCATCCACTACAACAGAAGTCTGGGCCTTGACATACAGTACGTAAATGTTCATCTTTTAGAGATCTCAATACTGTTTCTTAGTCAGTAAGTTCTTGGAAGGCGTGGTAAGATTACAAAGATATTGGACTTCAGACCATTTTTGTATTGTTCCTATTGCTACAGTAAAGCCGTAACCGAAAAAAGAGTGTGTCTCCTTCACAATTCCCATTTTATCGTAGTACAAAAAGAAATCCCGACTTCGGCTCCAATACCATCCACTAGAGCCCAGCAGCTTCGTCACGGGACACCTGAACGGTAATTGAGAATTCGTATCTATTCTTCTCGATGATAAAATCCAAAAGATCTCTCGCAAATCCGACAACCTCTTTTTTCTGGTGCTGAAATTTATTATGAAAGGTACCCTCGTGATCGACTGAACACCTGATGACAGCACGTATAACAAGATCTCGAAGGCGGTGGCTAGGTGGTAAAATTCTGTAGATGATCTCGATATCTTCCTCTTGAATGGTGAAATGGTCGCCAGTGGGGTGCGGAGGATACAAGAACCGATGGAAGGTCGGTGGTGACGTGGATGGAGGCATGGTTCGTGATACGCAAACAAAGAGTCCAAGACGTGATGTTGAGAAATCCAGATAAATTACAGGCAGTCGTAAACCATATCAGATGCCATATCGCCAAGATCGTATTTATCGGCGTACTGAAGGAGTTCAAGGCATTCATTCTTCAGGGCTTTGGGGGACTTGGTAGCATCTTTTGGGGCAGACAAAGCATCCATAGCTTTCAAGGCGTCCAAGTACTGGCTTCCGAATCTTGGTGTGGTGTTACCTTGTAATATGACATCCAAGAGAGAGCCTCGAAATATCGCCATTTGTCCTCAGGGAGGTCGAGCTTCTGTTCTTTTGCCTCTCGGAATTCCCCATTGAAGCATGCATCGAAATATTTACTGTAGTGGCAAAGCAAATGTTTCGGAAGTGAAAGGTGCTTTCGTGTCGGTCCAACGAATATGTCGACTTTAGGACCATCTATCATTCTGGTGTATTCAAATCAGAAAAAGTCAGGAATAAGCGAGAGATGAAATGGGACTTACCGGAGGTATTCAGAGAGTGTTGGGCGCTTAATTGAAGATGTGCGCGAAGCCATGGCTGAACGTTGTTATCGCTGTGATGTCGAAATACTCAGTCTTGGTTGTGGTGGAAAGAAGTGCTGCCGTGTGTTATTAGCCTGGAGAGCGGGGCACTTTACTTTGAATCTTTATTACAACGCTTTCACAATAACAAAAATCCTATCGAGTTACTTTTCTAAAGCTTCTAGAATAATTCACTTTGTTTGTTAAGCCCACGCGAAGTGACTAGGTCTTTAAAGTTGTATTCAAGAAGTTATTTGAAGTTTCTAGAGCAACCTCCTTTCTTTATCAAGCTTACGCAAAGTAACTAAATATTCATGGTTCTATGAAACTAGTTATCTAAACTTTCTATTACTAACTCCCTTATTCTTTAATTATACTCGAGATAGTTATATTACAAAAATTAGGATCCTTCTATTCTTATCCACTTCTAAATTCTTGTACTTTCTAAACATAAACTTGCTCGAAGTCTCGCTTAGGATACAAAGACTTCTATGAAAACCTTAATTAGCGACCCCTTTCCCCGTTTTCTGTTGCTAGGAATAGGGAAGGCCAGGGTGCCAGAAGAGTTGTATTTAGATGACTAGGGAGCTAAGTACGTACTGTGGTCAGGAGCCTGACTTATATGGCCCTGGAATATGCCCCTCTTTTGTTGTACACTCCTGTTCCATTATATGCAGGTTCCGTGCGGTGGAAACCACTGGTTAGATTAACTAACAACATTTTTCAATCTAACTCTAAAGTAAACAATGTATATCCATAGTAAGAGTTTCTTATCTTTTATACTTAATACTTAGCTAGCTCTTGAAGATAATATATATCTTCTTATAACCTAACGTAAAGCCCTTATATATTACTTTAGACCATCGAGAGCGTAAGTCCAGTACATAACGTAGTAAATTTATATTAGTAATATTAGATCAAAACATATATGTTAGATCAAGTGCGATATTACTAGAACCTAAAGTACAACTGGCATAAACCAGTATCGCAGGGAGGATACAAACTAGTCACATGACCACTTCCTTCAATAGAAGCCCATTCACCCAACACCCCTCCACAGTAAGACCACAAATAAGAATTTTCCTAGCATGCAAAGTTGAGCAAATCCCGCAGCGCGCCACCCAATGGTGCGTTGGTGAACGTGGTCTCCTTTGCAAGGCAAAACATTAGTCTAGAGTAGTTGTTCCTAGGAACAATGTGGCTAGCTGGTCCTGCCTGCCACTACTTGTAGCAGAGTGGGTGGTGCGGACTTTTTGCAATTTTTTTGGGTCTGGTTTTTATTATATGTTCTAGTTTTAATTTTGTAGTCTTTTTAGTGTGAGGGATGGGTTTTTTATTGTGGGGATAGGGGTGAAGTTAAGCGAGGGGAGTGAGTGGATTGGAAATTGATGGGGAAATAAGGTTAGGCAAATTAAAAGGCTTTAGCTTCTGGGCCTAGGACAAGCCCTCACAAGCCAAGGAGTACTCTGGAGTAAAGGTCATGTTCACGTCTTAGAAAATAAGTGGAATGCAGAGTTATCATGGGGTATGTGATGATCTCATCCTGTCTATGGCTGTTCTATATGACTCGCTTCTTTAGCGGAAAGAACTAAAAGTTTATCGTACAAGTAAAAAGATCTCTTATCGCTGTCCTAGCCAGTTGTCCTAGCCAGTAGACTCGTAGGTCTTGAAAAGTAGTCCTGGAGCTTGCCACTTCACTGGGAGAAATATCTCAAAGCCCCCAGCACATAAAAAGAGAATGAGACTGCCCGCAAAGTTCAGTCAATCAGACTCTCTCATGAGGTTATCTGTATAAAAGGTAACATATCCACTGCTATGAGAAATTATGAAACCCAGTGTCTGGTACGCAAAACCCTCAATTTCAAGCTGCTGTTTTTGAAACCTTCGCTCGGTTGGGCACAACCGCCACATAGAACCGTTACGGCCTGCACAGGCTTCAGACCAAACTGCACATCGCACAACCAAAGCTCTCAGAGGATGACTGAGTGGTGCTGTTGTAAAGAACACCTCAACGTCTTCTCCACTGATACATTCGTGATTGGAATATCTCAATTCTTGGTACCATATTTTGCGTAGAATAGGATACATGATATCTGCGGCAATAAAGCCGAGATCATATTTGTCTGCACATTGCAAGAAATTTCTGCAATACGGATTCACGAGCTCCCAGTCATCGCCCAATTCTGATGCGAAATCCGTTTCAAGCTTCCCTTGAAGCATGATTGCCAGCAAAGCCTTGAAGTACACGCAATCCTCTTCTGGGACTTCCAGTCTTTGGGTCTGGGCTTCTTGGAAGCTGCCGTTGAAGTACCTATCAAAGTACTTGGAATAGTAACAAAGTAGGTTTTTTGGGGCCGAAAAATGTTCCTTTTCATCACCAACGTAGATGTCGACTCGAGGGCCTTGTGTGAGTCTGTTCAAATCTGTGTTAGAGTATAGAAACAGGAGACAGGTTTCGTGATGTAACACATACTCTAGATACTCTTTGGTCGACGGAGCCTTGACGACTGCGGAAGGAGCCATGGTGGGTTTGTGTCTTTGGTACTTGAATAAAAGAAGACGAAGTCGAGATGGGACTTTGGGGGGGAGATCTGAGACCTTCAATAGAGTTGGATAGCGAGTTAATCGTAGTGGTGCAACTCTGGTCGTCGGGATTAGGGTTCGAGAGAGGATAAGGTGAGATATTGAAGGTATCTTCAAAGACGGATTTATCTTGGTGTAGCACGTTGGTATGCGAATATATTGGCCCCCACAGGAATCGGCTTGACCTAGGAAGTGTCGCAAAGCTTGTCCGCCAGGAACTTAGATTTGGATAGGGTGATGGAGAATTCGGTGCGATGTTGACCTTACCTGAAGAGGATAACTCTAGCGTGGCGTGGTCGTGAAGTAGCTACTTCTTTTACACTATGACCGGGATTGATATTTCATGAAGACTGGTCGTCAGTGGTGCTAGTTGCTTAAGGTGCTGGATTTGAGTTTGTTGGATAGGCAAGACATGTGCGAGAACGGCATTCATTATATATATGCACTGATGGTAGAGAAGGACGAATCACGCAAATCGGATTTTACTGGTGATTGGTCAACACATCTATGTACCTGAATAATTTATAACTTCCAGTGACCGTGATGACTCCCTTACCCGCAATAGCTAGCGTATTTTCCACCGGGGTCTTATGTATTACAATCAGAAAGTTCTGCGACTGTTTTCTCAAAGTGAATGACCTTGCTCTCAAGGCATATAACCGAGGATGGCTTGCATTTTGGTTAACAAGATTTTCAATAGCTTTGCTGCAAACACTTGAAATTGTTCTACTGGTATACAGCAGTAATTTCACAGGTGGTCAGAAAATCCGGAAGTAATCAGTGATCTTAGATGTCTAATCGCCCAGAAGAAGCTTGTAGCCATATAAATCGAAGGGGCGAATGCTGCTCCGGCAGTCCAGAAAATGCTCAAAGAAAGGTAGTTAGACAGTCTTCGCAACCTAGCACCTGAATCCTCAATTAAAATTCTAAATAATCTGATCCCGTCCCTGATTCAAGAAATCCAAACGCAGAAGGAGCGAATCAGTGCTCACAAACAATATCACTACTCCACCAAGCCACACCAGAATACCGCTTTCAGACCAAGCATTGGTAATTTAGCGCGATAGACGATCGCAAAGAGTAACATAAGAAATAGATATAGGTGCTGAGTTCTGTTGCCAGTAGCTAAAGTTCTAATCAGCGGTTTCTGTCACAAGGCGTCTGGCTATTTCCACTGTTTAGTAGTTCTATTTAGTACAATTCTAGTAAGAATGAGGAGTGTCAGAGCACGAGCACTCTCGGCTTTACTATCTAGCACTATTATATTATATGGAAGGTGCTAGTCCTATATTCTCAGGACACTTCCAGCCGGCTCCACAGTCTATATATATATTAGAGCCCCAACACTGTGAGAGTTGTGACGGACATTATCCGTCATACAACGGTTACTATAAAAACTATAAATACACTTCTTTTATTTACTTGTCTACGCATTTACTTATTCATCTACCTACATACTAAGAAACATCTACCTACCTAGGCAGAGAGGGAGGGGGAAGGGGCGTATAGCGGTATAACAGAAGTAAAAACTCATATGACGTAACAGTAGGAAGGTACTTAGTCGTTTTAGCCTGTCCCTAAGTACTCACGAGCAGTTTCTAATTAAAGGTAGAGGGAGGGCGAGCGAAGGCTCTATAATACAGATAGATAGCTCGTGGAACGCTTGGGTAGCTAATACTCTTATAGAACTCTTCCAAAAGTTAGCTATTTAGACCTTCCCTACTTTTTTACGCTTACTTAGTCAGGGACGGACAATGTTGGTCCCCAAATTCCTAGAGGGCTACAAGTAGTTTCTCACTATGCTTATTTTGTTCTCACATTGTGCCCTTGTCTTCTGACAAGGAGCTGTTCTAGGCCTATAACTCTAGCTCCTGCCTAAATTAGTTAGCTTAACAGTTATCTATATAATCTTATAACTCTTCCTAGTTATCCAACAGTCTCAACACTCCACAGATATATGATATATCCCCTTTGGCAGTTTGTAATCACCGTTAGTTCATGAACTAAAACCAGATGTTAAGTTAAGCTTCATGGCTCGAGTTTAACTGGTAATGCTAGAATGAAGGCTTTGATCTAGCACCATTAGTTCATAAACAAACGGGGTGCAAATATCTAGGTATGATCCAGGCATGTCGGATGCTACCTCAGGTGTCGAAGTCTGTCAGACCGAGACTCCTTTCATGAGAGATATGGAAAATAGCAGCACAAGACAGACCATCCAATCAACAACTATAAAACAAGAGATAAAAGAACCACCACAAAGAAGGCTTCATATCAGCGAACTACAAAATATAATCTTCTAGGCTCCAGCGTTAGAAAACCCTCCAACAACGAAGGAATAAAGATTAGCAAGAAGCTCAACACATCATAAGAACAGCACAGAATGGCAAAGGTATCTATAGTATCAACTCAGTTCTTCAATTTTCGCTCAGATACATATAGACTTCCCCTCTTTCGATATCTTCCGAAAATCTAATCACTTTCCACGCAAGGTTGCTTGCTTGCTTGCTAATCAGACCGATGGATGTGCTATGATATGATGTGCCATGCAATGCTCGAGCCTAGGAAATACCAAGCACGACCAAGTTTTGTAGGTTCCTAAAATATGGGATTCCCATGGAAAGCGGCTCTTTTGACGGGTTCGAAAATTTTCGGAAGTAGTGTATGGCGTCTAGAATTCCATTCGCTGGTTCTTAGGATTGCTCCTTTGGTTGCGCCTTTTTGTGTGCCATGAAACTTCGACGTCTTTCTTGTGCTGTATCGTAATCTGGAACATTCCACAACAACAATCTACTCATCTCATTCGGTCTTGCCATCCCACACTTTCGCTCGCTTCTTCGCCGCCTCGCTTTCCTCTTCCTCCGCTGATCTCTTTTTCGAAGCTGCTTGGCTCTCTTCTCGCTCCATCATGGAGGAATAGCTAGTCGCCTCTTTTTCTACGGATCCGTCATCGCCACTCAGTCTTTTGTTGGCACTCTCCAACTGCTCGATTCTCGTCTCTTGGACCTTCTTAAGCACCTCATAAGATTGACTGAGGACTTCCAAATACTTTCTCTGACTCCGCTCCTTCTCCACTTCCTCTCTGAGAGCGGTAGTGTCATGCTCACTTTGGCGTTTGAGCTTCTCCTTTTCCAGTTCGAGTCTCAGCTCCTTCATTTCTAGCTCCTTTTCACGCCTAATTCTTTCGCCTTCGTCAGTGATCTTTTGGCGCCAATAGTTCTCAATGTCCTTCAACTCGGTCTTCAAATCTTCGTCACTCTTGAGAGCGGCATGACGGAAACGTGCCATGAATCCTGCACTAGGACTATTTGGCTCAATCAATTTCGGCTCGGCTAGCTTTGGTTCAATTGATTTCTGTAGGGTTGGTATTGAGGTTGGTACCGATGCTGAGGGGGCTTCCAATCGCTCTGGCTTGGCCGTAATAAGCTCCTTATTTCGCGACGTGAATAGGTCATAGGATTCTCTAGTTGGGGGGTACATTTCTTTGGGTGCTCTTGGGGGTGGTTTTGCTCCAGAAGAGGTACTTTCTTTAGGTCTGGGGGCGGAGTAGAGCTCGTAAGGTTGTCGAGTTCTAGTGAGGGGAGTTGTATTAGGATTAGGGGTTGGATTATCTCTGTTCCGTGGTGGAGAGAAAAAGGTGTTGTTGGGCTCTCGGAACGAACCTCTTGGTCTGGTAGGAGGGGTGTCGATGGGTGAAGCAAAGCGTTTTCTGGTAGGCGGCGGAGAGAAGCGGTCATCTTGAGGAGCGTGTTTAAAATGACCGAATTCCTTACAGTGTTTGTAAAGTTCTACTCCGTTTCTGAAAATCTCGCCGCAGCCCCAACATTCACGGGATCCCGGAGGGTGCCCGGCCAGACTTTCTCGGTACGATCCTCCCATGGTGACTGAGGTTTGGCAGTTGTTGATGAACCGCCTCTTAGCTCTGCTCTGCGCAATTACTGAAAGCCGAACAGGATCCTGCACGCGCGTGAGACGAATATGGGAGATTATCGCCGTGTCGACGATGGTTCTCAAGTGAGAAGATGTGCGCGTCGTCAGGACAGCCTGGCTACTGACGCTTATATGTGAGCTGGAGCTGGGTGTGGTGTTCCCTAATGAGGGAACTCAGTTGATATTAAAGTGGGGCGAGTGATGCGCGCCCAAGCTCCGTACGGAGGACAGTACATTGGTTGAACTTGCAGATGAACACCCAGGCCGTGCCTATGGTGATTGTCCAGCTTGTGCGATGTGAATCATAGCCTGAAATCACTGATTATTGTCAGCAGCGGATACTTGTACAACTGGCAACTATGAATTTCTTGTTCTGGATGATTCACTGTCGTCCCCTGAACCTCCACCGGGATGACCTCGCCCGGAAATTATCCACGGCTGTCGCTTATTCTGAATGACCGTCGTGGAACGACGAGAACCATCTGTACCTAATAATATACCTTTTCATTCCTTATGAGACGACTAAATTTACAAGTACGGTACCGGTAAGCTTAAAACTCAAAAAGTTATAACTTTTCACATAAAGTTACAAACGCGTGGTAGGAAACCGTATTTTGCCCTGGGCTGAGGTGGTTAGCGCCTATCGGATCGCTCGGCCGAAGTTACATTAAGGAAGGAAAACCGAGAAAGAAAGCAATCAAGGAAAGTGTAATAATGTATTCCACGATTCAACAGGGCGATGCTTCCCACGAGCGTCTCAAGGGAACCTTCAAACGCCAGACAAATACGAACACAAGATTGCCTCGTATACGGATGGTGTACGCTGAACTAGACAACACACCAACAAGTTCTTACATGTAATGTAACCTACCACAGAGCTTTACGAGCCTGTGTTTTAGCAAAACCATTATCCTTGCCAGAACTTTTGTCCAACAGGGCCAAATCACTTGTATCCCATCCATCGTCCAGAAAGCATGAACGTCATACCAGTATCCCACCCATTCCCAAAGCAAGAAAGAATCTCCCCTCTCGCTTAACCCCTGATGGAATGACAGACTTTTCCTCCAATGGTTTTGTGTCGTGGTTCTCACGCTAACTAAAAACTCCCTAGGTAAAGTAAGTGAGAAAGTTTTTCAGACGATACTAAAGTAATTAATACATGCATAGTGAGAGAACACTAACAGTCCTGACGATACTAATAGCAATGTACATTCTTTCTAAGAATTATATAGCGATATTGCAGCGACGTTAAGCCTTGTCAAAGTCTACAGATAGGAATGTTTTATGGAAAACAATCAGGGGAGCAATAACACTGCCCTGAGTGTAACCACAGCAAGATACCAGAAGAACCAACACGTCAGAACGAGCTGAAGGCATAAAGAAAGTCATTGAGCTACGGGAGCGAAGCATTCAAGTAGAAAAGATAGGAAACTCCCTCACGTCACTTAGCATGCTAGCGAAGAGCAATATCCATATTTCCCATGGTACTGGGAATCTTATCAAGGATTCTCTGCTCTTCTAATTCCAGATACTTTCAATCCCCGATTCGTCTAATTCCATATCCTTCTAATTCCAGATGCGTCTCTAAACTTGCGGTCTTATACATCAACACCAAAATTCCTACAGCTGGAACATCATACAATACACCCTTGCGGTAAAGCATCATCTACCACCTTCTTAACCTTACCATCAATAACCTCCCCAACAGCCCGATACTTCCCATCAGCATAACACAACCCAAGCCAATGATCCCCCTCTTCTTCAGCCCCAACAACCTCCCTAACCTCCGCAAGAACAAGAATATGATCCCCAACCGTCACAAACCCCACATCACCACCTCCCTCCCCCTTCCCCAGAACCCGACATCGCAAAACCCTCCTCACACCACTCCCCACAATCCTAGGTATCACCACCTCCCCATCCNTCGTAAACCGATCCGCCACCCCCCTCCCCTTCTCACTCCCCTCCAACACATGGATATAAAAGTGCCCCGCTTTCCCCAGCGCAGTGAGCGTGATAGAGGGGGTCCGGATATTAAACGTGACGATCGGTTTCGGCGTCAGCGTCAGGGTGGTGAAAGAGGAGATTGTCATTGCGCGGTATTTATTCCTTTGAGGGGCCTGGGGATCGTACGGGAGTCCTGAGTTCTGGGCTGCGAGGATGCCTTCGAGGTCTGGGGAGGGGCGGGGGAGAGAGGTGGTGAGGACTACGACGGAGTGCGGGAGGGTGCGCATTATTTGGCGAAGGGAGGTGGAGAGGGGGGGTTCGGTGGAGGGGAGGGTGGATGTGTAGCGGAGGTGTTTTTGATTTCCAATGGGTATTGGAAGACTGAAGGGTCGGGGTGTGGTTCTTGGAATGTGTTGCGTGGAAAGGAATCGAGGAGGAACTAGGATCTAGTTAGCATAATGCTCAATTATGTCGAGTATGGAATCCCATTTACTTCTACTCGACCCCGAGCACTCAATGGTTGACCATCGATAAAATAACGAGAAGAACCCCGCGGCATTCATGGACGAATTAGAGCAATTGGCAGCCACGCGCGACCTCCCATTTTGAACAAGCATCGAATTGATGTTCAGTTTATCTCCTCGGATCCTGGTCTTCGATAGCAAATGCTAGAAATGATATGCGGAGGAAGAAGTTGTAGTTTATACATCTCCAGCCGTTCAGGACGAGGCTACGGAATTTTTATCTGATCAACCACACACACCCCTGTCCACCCCTCGGCCCAAAAACATTTGCTCAACTCAATACCACCAACCCACCATCCAAACCAATTACCCAACACCACAATCCCCCAAAATGTCACTCCCTTCACGCGCCCTTCCGCGCCCCTCCCTCCTCACAAACCCAAAATCAACCTCCATAACCCACCAAACCCGCCACGCAACACTCCTCCACCGCCCGCAAACACCCTACACCTTCACGCAACTAATAACCCTCTCAGACGGGTCAACCTACCTAACAAGGAGCACCTCCCCAGCACCAATCCACAAGAGCACCAAGGACATCCGGAACCACGCGTTATGGCAGCCCTCCCTCTCTTCGCTGCGGAATGTGGAACAAGACGAGGCCGGTCGACTGCGAGCTTTTAGGACGAGGTTTGGACGAGGCTGGGATCTGGATGCTGCTACGACGGAGGAAGGGAATGAAGCCAAGGCGAGTGCTGATGGGAAGGGGGTTGATGCCGATGCGAAGGCGCAGGAGGAGGAGGATAGTTTGATGGATTTGATTAGTGGGAGTGCGGCGCCGATTATTGAGACGAAGGAGTTTCCCAAGGGGAAGAAGGGGAAGGGGTCGAAGAAGAAGTGAGCATGAACAAGGTGGGATGGTTGCAATGGCGTTGGGTGTACGGATACTGTATTGATACGGAGATGGGAATTTGGAGAATTGGAAGCCCGCAAATACCACTAAAGATTCTATGATGCGATAGAGCCGACGGGCAAGATGTACGATCAAAAATCACAAGCCATGGTTGAGAACCCCATGGAAGGAGCTTTGAAGAATGTGAAGTTTTGTTTATTTACAAGATACTTCTTCTCTAGCCTTACGCCCCGCATCGACATCATTAGAAGAGAACTCGCTTGTCTCAAAATATACCAAGCCTGATACTCCCACGTACACTTTTGCTATCACGCCATGTCCCTTCATCAATCCGAATCATCTCCTGTTACGGTGCCCACGGCTGTTGTACCAGCTATTGAGCCCTCGCCGGATGGTCGAGCAGCGGCCTCAACTGGTGGCTTGTAGAAGGCGCTCTCATCTTCTTCAGCATCCAATTGCATGAGAAACGTTTCCCAAAGCTCAATAAGCTATGTAGAGTTAGCATGTAAATCCATAATAAGAACCTGTGATCCAAATTACCTCTTTTTGTGCTTCAACTGCACTTTCCAAGAACGTCTCCACTGCACTTTTAAAATCCTCAACCTTCTCACGTTCAAATCGTTCAAGTTCAGCTCTCATCAATCGTCCCATATCCTCAAATAACAATCTGGCCTGGTGGACTTTTCGTTCTGCGTCAGCTACATCTGCATGCATCTGATTTAGACGATCTTGTTGTGTCTTTCCTTGACGTAATAGCTTTTCTTGGGTCGCCTTGCGCTTTTGCATTTCTGATTCCGCAGCATGCCAAGAATGATATGCCTTCTGCCGAGAAGCAAATGCCATTTTGATACTGCCAATGAGGCGAATGTATTCATCAATAGTAATACCCAAAGTCAGAACGTCCTGTTGTGCCTGACGGTCATAAAGCTCTTTGATACGAATCTGTAAATCTGACAATCCTTCTAGTGGACCTGACAAGGATGGTGAAAGCTCAACAGAAGAGAGGGCGTGTAAAGAGTTCGAGAAATCTCCCGCTGCTTCAGACAGGCCTTTTCGTTGGATAACTACGGTGTCCATTGCTTTCAAAAGAGATTTCAATTGATTCTCAAGCGCATCAAGGTATATTCGACGATCATGAAACCACTTAAGAGAGTTAGTAGAAATCCCCAATGTCACTAAACAGAAAACTTACATCATCCTGTTCCACAAACTTGCCACCACTACCAACAGAGATCCCAAGTCCGCTGAACATTCCTTTGCTCTCACCAAGACCGGGCTCTTTCCTTTCTTTGTGTTTGACATCTACATTAAATGACTCGCTTTCCAAAAACAGTTTCAAATCCCCGTCGTGTTGTAGCGTTGGGTGAGCAGCCGTTTTGTTGAGCATTCGCTCCAAAGCAGCTCGTCTCGATTCGACAAAGTTCGTATCAAATCGTCCTACAGCTTGCTTCTCTGGAGGCGGTGGCACCACAATACCGGGATTGTTTGCATGTAAACCATTATAAAGCCATAAGAAATCCCGATATCTGCGAGTTACTGCAAATTCCGGCTGCCTATAAGCTTTGGACGTAGTCTATCCTGTATTAGTTATGGTATATAACAAATGCATCACGGATTCGTACCTTTGTTCTAACCAAGTACACAATGTGAGAACTGGTTAGATCTCCCACCTTATGAGGATCTCCCACAGTGATTTCGAATGTTGGTTTGGCTGCCTGTTCAACACTAACACTTGGCTGAGTATCCCTCCTCACTGGGGCACCCTGAGATGGCTGCACTGGAGGCGGTATTCTCGGTCCAGGGGAAATGGGATCGGCCTCGTCGCTGTAGTCCACTGATTCCAACATATTTCTCCCAATAGGATTCTGGGGAAGTATATGTGCCTGTCGAACAGGCAGCGCCTGCTCCTTCTGTGGAGGCGCCGGAGGCTGCTCGGATTGCGGAGTTGTCGCATTATCACCAAGAGGTCCCAATGGTCCCAGGGAATCATCGAGTGGTACAGCGGTTGCTACTGCGCGGCGTGGTGTACGTGCTGCTCGTCCATGTGTGGATGGTGATTTGAGAGCTTGACCAGAGCTAGGTTCGAGGGTTAGAGATTGGGGTGCTTTGGACTTTGATTTTGATTCTGCAGGTCAAGTTAGACTCTTGGATACTTTTATGCTACGCCATACGTGCGACTAACCTGATTCTTCGGCGAAGGGATTTTCGGAAGCTGTCGCAGGCGGGGACGGGGACGAATGGGAGGGAACATCTGCATACAGTTTAGCAGAGCTCTGTGGACAGTCTTTCAACGGTTTGATGGTCTTGAGGAGACTTACCACCCCAAGGCGAATCTCCTCCGACTTCATCCATAATTTCGAGGTGGTACGATGGAAGGTTGCCGGATAGTAGACGGTTTGGGGAGCTGTTGGGGTGATAATACTAGGTTGCGCTGATGATGCCGTAAATGCCAAGCCTTTTGTTGGTCGCAATCGCACCCTCAACCCAGAAAGCCGATCTTGCCCTGGGAGGAGTGGGGATGCTCAGTTACAATACTATAGATACTCGAGTACTCCAAACAAACTTTGCCAAGTAAATAAAAGTACAATACCCTCTGCTTCAATTTTACCACACGTTCACAGGTTTTTGAGCCAACACACGTTTATTGGCACTTATTTGCTGCAGACTTATTTCCATTTACGAGTGCCAGGTGCAGTCTGTAGGTATTTCCCTATGCCCCCGGCTATGAAATAGCTAGAACCTAGGTATTTTGAGGACTTCTCATGACCAGATCAGTTCTAATGGATTCCATGGTGGGCTTTCTTGGAATCTGGATTGCCATCTCAGGTCTCCCGTGCTGAGCACTCTCGCAATAAAATGCGTATGACCCTCTCCCTAGAAATTCTTCTCTTCTGCGTGTGGTGTGGAAATTCTGACACATCGAATCTCAACTCTCCATGGCGAGATCCCCATCACCATCCACCTTGCCCTTTGCTGAACCATTCGTCTCATTGCCTTCGAGGAACCCCCTCGCCTTTGCCCACAACTCTGCCTCCATATCTCTCTCCACTTGCCCACCCCTACTATTCAACCAGCCAATATCTAGCTTGCCCATTCCTCCTTCAATCGGTGGAGGTTCCGCTGATTGTGTAGCCTTATTCCCGCCCATCTGCTTGAAGATTTGTTCCTCCTTTAGCTTCGCCTTTGCCTTTTCTGCGGGTATGATTTCGGCCTCTTCCAAACCCCAGATTTGTCGTTTCAGTCCGACGTCAACCTCCTGGAGATTTTTAAAGTATTCATTGGATGCTTTCATGAATGATTCTTCGCGCGCGGGATCGGTCGTCGCATGACTCAAGACCTGCAGTGCTTGACCAGCTGATTGGAGAAGTTGTGTTATACTCTATCAACCTTTTATTAGCACATGGGAGAGGCGCCGTCATTCTTGACCCCACCTTGTCTATATCGTTGAGTTGCTGAATACGCTCTGCTTTAGTGAATGGCTTGAAAGGAACAGCCGCGTTAGCATTTGGTTGCGACATTGGATTGAAGTAGAGATAACGATCTCACGTTGTTGTCGAAAGTTTAGAAATTAGAGGTAGTCGAGGTGGTGTTAGATTTCTCGAGTACATAATCGCATGCCTGTCTGCGGTGGCACAAGTATGAAGCGAAGTCAAAGTTCCCACCCCCACCAAGAAAAAGTCGGGGTACGGGTAAATTAAGCCGGTGCCGGGACCGGGACCGAGACCGAGATATTCAAGTCGGAGGCTCTGCGGGATGATGGCAGTAGCGCCTGAACTAAACATCGCGTGAACCTAAGTGGCATACTTGTGTCGACTGGACATCTCACGACCCAGTCTTCAAAACTCAATTCATCTCACAGTCCCCTTCATTGGTCAGATACCCCTCATCACAGACTACACTCATCTTGAAGGGAGGGTCCGGGTATGTGGAAGCAACGGTACCGACCGTGATCGAGGTTCGAAAGCCGACGGGAAGCTTATACTGAAGCCGAAGCGCGTCTATACGACGAGGAAGGAAGGGACCACCAACCACTGAATCACCAAAGCAATCATGTCAGCCCATCCACCGCCAGGCAATGGCCCCCCAAGCGCTGGAGCTCCCCCAGGTCAAGCACCACCGCCTCCAGGGCAAAACATGTCGTCACAAAATCTCAATCAAATTGTAAGCCTCACCTTCACCTCTACTACATCCCTCAGATAGGGTCGAATCGGTTGCGATGTGGGAATCTTGTACCATCCAGAGTGAGAGTGAGAGGGTGAGGGAAAAGGTTCGTCACGCTTGAAGGAACTTGACGCGCAATCTGTGTAGTAAACAGTTGCTCTGTCTATGGAATTTGCCCCCTCAAAATCTCATATCACCAGTTTGGTCATGGTTCAAATCTCACTTGACACAATTGCGCCGTTCAAGTTCTCGAATTCCCCAAAACAGTCGTTTGGTGACCTTTGAGTGTTTCTTTTCTCTATATTCTCTCTTGATCAGAAGGAGTATCAGAAAGCTACACTCATAGCAGCCACTCCTCTTTGTCAAATTGCTGCAATGCGCAGCAGAAAAAATGAGGATAAGCGAGCTAGCTCTCCGCTTTCATCTTCACCCCTTTTATGTGGGTCTCAAGACTTTGGCGAGTGAATATACAAAACGTCCTCTTATAATTCCCGCCATCATACCCAAAATCCCCTTTACCTTGAACAACACTCCCAACCCTGCTGATATCTTGCTCTCCAAAAACTCCCAACAAGATGCCGCCTCCACAACCATCTGAAGGTTCCCAGAGAATAAGAGAGTCAACGAGTACTAAAAATGTTCGCCAGGTTATTGAATACCTTCTCAAAAAGGGTTACAACAAGACGGAGCAAACGCTACGACAAGAGTCCATGTTAACCGACCGGGATGGGCGACAGTTGACGGAAAAGGTGGAGGAAGTAGCAGGCGAGCAAAAGTACAGAAAGGGGTTCCAGCTTCTGGTCGGTTGGATTGACACCAACCTTGATATTTACAAGGTATTGTTTCATCTTCACTCATATTGTCTCTTCATACTAAAGCTTTGATGATAGCGCGATCTCCAGAAACTCTTGTGGCCAATGTTTGTCTACTCATACCTAGACATGGTAGTTCATGGATATACTACAGACGCAGAAACATTTTTACGACAGTTTCGTCAGCGTTTTGAGGACCTGCACCATGATGACCTCCAGACTTTTCAAACCATCAAACTAGCAGCCCACGTCAAGGAAAACTCAGTTGCAAAACTCTACCGTGAAACCAAATATCGTCTTCGACTCACTTCTGAGGTTTACTATCTTCTCATCACGTTCCTTGAGACAAACAACAAGTTGGGAGGCGCTGTTATTCTGTACCTTCTTTCTTCATATTGCCAGGTTCTAGAAACTGCCCGAGGACCCTTGGACCAGTACAGTTTCGAGGCTATTGCCAATCGTTCTACAGGTCCGAATGCCGAAGATACAGATCTGCAGGAAGGAATAGAAGGCACTTTTACTGGTGTCACCAATAAAGATATCATGGACAATGCGGCTGCTCTCAAATTAGGCATGGTAGCGATGGAGTCTGATCTTGCGGGAGATGTTCGAGCTGAGTTAGAAGATGAGGATAGACTCAACCCAGCCCCAGAAGGAATGCCATCATATGTTGATGTTTTTGATCAGCGAATCAAGCGGGAGGATAGTCCCGATGGCCCGGCTCGTAACGATATACCTTACCCACCATCACGGGCCCGAGACGTCGCCCTCGAGGTTCAGAAGATTAAGGAATTCCGCGACAGATTTAAGATTGATAGCCGCAGTGGAGGGATCGGTGCAGGAATTAGTATTTGTACCTGGACCTTCCACAACGCTCTGGACTCGTAAGTTGTTCTTTGTTCCGTTTGAAGTCTCTTCCTAATATGACCACTAGTATTATTTGTGTCGAATTCTCAGACGACAATCAGCTTGTTGCCGTGGGTACTCAGGAGTCTTACATCCGTATCTGGACCTTGGGTGGTGAACCTCTTAGGTCTGCCGTCAAGTCTGGCCCAAATGAAGGACCACCAACCAGCTCTCGTCGTCTTATTGGTCATGCTGGCCCAGTCTATGGTATTTCATTTTCTCCAGGTATTGAAAGTGCGGGTCATCAAGACGACAAGCAGGTTTGTACAAAACCGAGATATCTGCTATCATCCTCAGCCGATGCAGCTGTTCGCCTTTGGTGTCTTGAAACGTTTGCCTGTTTGGTAGTTTACAAAGGCCACGATGGACCAGTCTACAATGTTCGATGGGGACCTTTCGGTCATTACTTCCTTACTGGCGGTCGTGACAGAACAGCCAGAATATGGGCACAAGATCAAATATCCTGTCTCCGACTTCTAGTCGGGGCGGATACACCAGTAACCCAGATAGCTTGGCATCCAAACGGCGCCTACGTATTTTCAGCCAGTGATCACGTTGATAAATCGATTCGCATGTGGTCATTTGTGACTGGAGAGTGCGTACGTGTCTTTACTGGTCATACCGAATTCATCTCTACACTTGAGTGCAGCAATGACGGGAAGATACTTGCGTCAGCAGATGGTGATGGAAATATCATTTTATGGGATATTAACAAGGGAGCACAGATCAAACGTTGCAGAGGACATGGTAAAGGTGGTATCTGGTCCCTTTCCTTCAGCGCCGACTCCAACTGTCTCATGTCGGGAGGAGCTGATGGCACTGTTCGTACTTGGGAGGTCGAAGTTCCAGTGGACCCTTATAAAGATGGTGAGATTGTTGGTGCTGGTGGCCAAGTAGATGCCACTCGCATCAATGCCGGTCCTGCCACTGCTTCTCAGCCAACTGCTGCTTCAGGTGCGGGTGGCAAGAAGAAGGGCAAGGAGACAATGATAACATCGGATCAAATCGCCGCCTATCCAACCAAGAAGTCTCCGGTTTTCAAGGTCAAGTTCAATCGGATGAATTGTGGTATCGTAGGCGCAGTTTATCAGCCATAGTGAAAATGGAGTTTCCGATGCGAGGGATGGTGGTATTTATATTCACTTCATCAGCTTGGCGTTGAGGTGCATTGGTAAATGGAACGGAACTATCGTGTAACTTGTAGCCATATAAAACGATCCCCCTTTTGACTTCTTCCGTTACTTCCGATTCATTTATTTTTACACTTTTACTCCTCGAAGTCTGTCACAATTAACAATTATTTTCAAGTGGTGCTTTTTGCAATTACGAACTCGTTTCGACCCCTTTTCGGTTGGGGCGCACTCCACAGTAACTTCGCGACTACTTCGCGCCAGCCACCAACCCCTGCAAAGCACTTTGCGCGTCGCGTGTTGCAACGCGACGGATGTGCCAACCCGAGGCCTTCATATCTTTTGTACATTTTCCTCGACCTATTCCTTCATCTCCTTCTCTCTCCACCACACCACTTCCCCTCCCCAATCCCGACATCTTTTTGTGTTCGCGATATTTCTACGGTTTCTTGTTACCATTACAAATCTTTAATTAATCTGCATCCTCATCACAGCAGAATTTTCCCGGTCATGTCTACAGTTTTAGGGAAAAGAACGAGGAGCGCAGCAAACTCAGGTACGGCTCTTTTGAGATGAATCCTCTTCCACTACTAACATTCATGAAGCTACGAAAGCTCCTCTTCCTCCTACCAAGCGAAAGGTGCGCGCAGATATCTTCAATGACGAGAACGAAAACCCTTTCATCGCCGAGGATGTCCAAATTCCTACGCCTCAAACGCCTCGGCACCGCGACGCGCTGTCCAAAAAAATACCAGTTACACCCCGACACCGCGTCACGGTCGTAGGAAAGGCGCTTACTCCACGAACACCTCGAACTCCAATGACACCCGGAGGATCTGTCGCAACAGTTTATAGCAGAGCTAGACAAATATTTACACGAAGTTCGGATCCTGGAAGACTTGTGGGGAGAGATGCCGAGAGAGGTGAATTGACTAGCTTTGTACAAAATCATATCGCCAATGTTTCTGGAGGATGCATTTACGTTAGTGGTCCCCCTGGAACTGGAAAGAGTGCTATGGTCAACGAAGTTACATCGGATCTCGAGGTCTCGGAGACCCTGCAGAAGGCATATGTCAATTGTATGAGTTTGAAAACTTCGAGTGATTTGTACGGCACATTAATCGAGGCATTTTGCGATGGCATGGAGGTTTTGGAAGGAGAAGAGGTCGACACCCTACAAAATATGTTTGCGCCCAAGAAGAAGAGCAAGAGCAGGAATGTTTACGTGGTAACATTGGATGAAATCGACCATGTCCTCACCTTGGATCTGGAAATATTGTACACACTTTTTGAATGGTCTCTACAGGAATCCTCCCACCTCATCTTACTCGGCATTGCGAACGCTTTGGATCTCACCGACCGATTTCTCCCTCGACTCAAGGCCCGAAATTTGAAGCCCGAGCTTCTCCCATTCCTCCCATACAGCGCACTCCAGATCAAGAACGTTATCATTACTCGACTAAAGAGTCTTGTCAGCGAAGATAGTGCTACACCAGATTACATCCCATTCATGCATCCCGCAGCCATCGAATTATGTTCTAGAAAAGTCTCAAGTCAAACCGGAGATTTGCGCAAAGCATTCGATATTTGCCGACGTGCAATTGACGTTATCGAGGCAGAAGTGAAGCAAAAGCACGAGGCAGCCTTGAAAGAGCAATTATTACTGGCCAGTCCCTCCAAACGACCACTCGAGGAGAACGTCAACCTTGCATCACCTACCGCAACCAAAAACGGAGGTCAACCAAGAACACTAGCCCAATCCCTCGCTTCTCTCACCGTAGAAACCGCACCAAGAGCTTCAATTTCTCACGTCAACAAAATCACCTCCTCCACCTTCGGAAACGGCGCAAACCAAAGACTCAAGACCCTCAACTTGCAACAAAAAGCCGCGCTTTGCGCTCTCGTCGCCCTCGAGAAACGCAAGCGCTCCGCAGCCGCCAATGTCCTCTCCACACCCTCGAAATCCAATAACGTCGCCCCAACGATCAAGGCGCTGTACGCCGTCTACTGTACCCTCTGCACCCGTGACGCCATCCTTCACCCCCTCACTAGCACCGAGTTCCGCGATGTGGTGGGGAGTCTCGAGACGCTGTCCTTGATCAGTGCGGTGGATGGACGGAATGGTTCATTTGCGGCGTTGAATAGCACACCCAGTAAGCGCGCGAGGAAGTTCGGGATGGGCGTTGGGAGTGGAGATGAGAAGAGAGTGGGAAGTTGTGTGGGTGAGAAGGAGGTTGCGGCTGCGGTTGAGGGGTTGGGAGCGGGGATTTTGAAGAGTATTTTGAGTGGGGAGGGGTTGGATTAGTGGTTTGTTTTATTTCTTTTCCATTTCTTTCTTCTTTTCTTTTTCACTTGAGTGTATGATATGAAGTCAGGATCGTGGGGAGGGGCGGAAATGAGATGGGATGGAGGACGTCATTGTATTATGAAGTATGTGTTTTCTTGCATAGCATGTTGTTTTTTGTATTATAGAGATGGGTCTTTGCATTGGGGCGTTTTTTTTCTTCTATTCTTTATTGTTTGTGGAGAGTGCGGCATCTGGGCCTAGCATTGGAAACAGTCCATGCTTTTGTCCCAGTGGAGTTTTGATTGGTTGATTGATTGGTTGGTTGATTGGTAGATAGATAGATAGTAATGGGGTTCGAGAACTTAATGGAAACATATAAAAAACACATTTGCTTTTCCCTGTGCTATGAGATACGAGTAGAGTCTTATTCTTGTTGTCTTCCTTGTACGAGCAAGCATTTGCTAATAATTACTAATAACTAATCTAGTTCGAGTCCCTTGATGTGGATACGAAATTACGAATGTTAGTCTAGTAGTCAACGATTCAGTTGAGGTAGAGGGAATTATTACATTTTTCTGGTTTGATTACTGGGAGTTAGTAGCCAGAACCAGAGCGTTGTTTTGCGAAAGGTAAAATTTGAAAGGGGTAGCGAGAGGAAATTCTGGCGCGGAAGATCTAGGCCAATTCGACAAATTAACCATTCAGGGGTCCACTCTAAATTACTAATCTTTACACCCTTTTCGTCCCTTGGAGTTGAGCCTTGCGTAGCAAGATGAGAAAGTTTTCGGTTAATTTATAATATCCAAGCTTTTGCGAAGGATAAAAGGGCTTCGTTTGGACTTCATTGAAATATAGTGGCCAACATTATGGTTATTTTTCGCAATCGAATCTAGAGAGGCGAGATGTAGAAATAGTTGATGGGTCGGACTTGGAACAAGGATATGGTTATCGTTAGTATAGAGATATCAGAGATATCCAAGGAAAGGAAACAACAACAAAGGTAAAAACAGTGCTTCTAATAATCGTATTGTTCTGTGTGTCTTGTAGAATCCAGGCATATATATAGCCCTAGATTAGTATATAATTAAATACGTAAATACATTATAATAAGTTACTAGTATAACTTGAAAGAAGTTATAAAAAGATAAGTACTAGCTATAAAAGAAGGAATACTATCTTTTTCATCCTGGCTAGCTAACTAATATATAGGATAATTTACTCTTAGAAGTTAAAAAAAGTTAAAATAAAAAGTAGGCCTAAAATTCCCTTATAAAAGAGGGATAAAAGTAGGAATTTAGCTAAAGTAGCTCGCTCTAGGGGTCGCTGAAAACAGCCCCTCTGGCAGGGGCTAATTGGCCTTGATGAAAGTCCCTCGCAAAGGGGACAAAAGTGTCGGAAGGTAGACCCGAAATTGGCTCTGAAAATAAGGCTCTTTTGTAGTGCGAATGCGTGGTTTGTGGCTCTTTCGCAAGTTGTTTTAGGTGTGTACTCGAGAGGTGTCGGCTTGAGTGTGAGAAGGGGGGGGGTACAAGCCCTGGCGAGTATTCGAAAGGGAGGGGTATCGCTGTACCGCCTCCTGAGTCTGGGTATTCGAGGGGGACGGATCTGTTGGTGGTCGTATATATCGTTCCTTATACTATCTAAGCGATAGTATATATCTTCGACTTATCGTTTACGAATATTGTGTACGTCGTTCCGTATACTAATCTAAGCGATAGTATACTTTCTTTGCTACGGGCTTTTATATAACGTCGATATTATATAACTCTTCGCCTTCGCGGTTTCGATCGTAAGATCCTACCACGGTAGTTGCTCCCTGGCTAGAATTCCTAGTAAAAGGGTCTATTTCGTAGGTTGTATAGGAGTATACTCGTCAAGGGCTCGATAAATGGTAATAGACAGCCATAATTGTATACTTAAATAAGTGAATAACTCGTATCTCTAATCTGTACATATACTGATTAGTATTAGTACAGAGATATTAGAGATATGTAAGGAAGGGAAACAATAACAAAGGCAAAAACAGTGCTTCTAATAATCGTATTGTTCTGTCTGTCTTTTGGAATCCAGGCATATATATAGCCCTGAGTTAGCACGTGATCAAACACGTGATCAAACACGTGAATATATCGCAACAGTTATAGATATACTTAGTCGAGTTCTAGAGGTTATTAGGGGCTGTTGATGTATAATATGGCTTAGTGGATAGGACCTATTTCCTGAATCGGCTGCGGATACTGTAACCTATGAAACTCCAATACCACGTAATTTGTCTGTTCATTTGAAGTACCTAATTTGAAACTTTGCGTCTGCGTAAGTAGTCTAGCCAGATATAATACTTGCTCAGGTCACAGCCATGGTGGACAAAGTTACAAGAAAATAAGTAATATTATTATCTAAAATCATCTAGTATCTACAACGCCTTCCAGGCCATATTTTCCTTCATTCTCCCGTTTCACTTATAGATTTCCACTCGCGACATTCAAGGTGGGGAGAACCGTACTTTTGACAGTAAACCTAACTGGATCTTGCCTCCTCGGATGATCGCTGGTTTGTTTGAGGTACATAGACAAGCTGCTCGAATTCGTCCTAGTCACATTTGGCCGTGAAGACAAGCTCATTCTGAGCCTCAGACTCTTCAGGAACTTCTTCACCAAACAATGCAGGAATTCCGTCGTACAAACCCTCCAGATATTGTCCTCTAGGGTTCAGGAAGAAGCCAAAATGTTTCTGAGCTACTATCCGCCTCTGCGAACCATATCTTCGATCAAGTTCCCATCTCTCATCCTCGATCAATAGACGAGGGGTACGCTTTTTATAGGGGGCTTTCGGTCGGAGCGTGTAATACGCAATATCGTCGTTTTTATCGTTCTCCTTTCCACGTGGGATGAGGTAAAGGACTTCGGAGGACCACTAGTTGAGATCGTTTTCCCTAGCTAGCAAGCAGAATCTAGACTTCACAGGCTTCCATTTCTCCTGGGAGATGATTGGGTTATGATTTAAAATCAAAGCAAATCTTAAGGTCGATCTCACTTTCTCCATTGTTTTCCACCATCTCTTCAGGACTCGCTTCGGGGACCCTGAGAAGTCGGATTGGAGTACAGACTCGGAATTTTCCCAAAAGATGTCGCTTCTCTCCAATGATCCGCCGACGTTGATCAATTGGAAATTGTGTTTGGGGCTCTTCGACATTCTACCTCGAAAGCCGAAGTCGCGCAGTGTTTTGACATTTTTGGTGGAGAGAATGTCGTGGTTAAGAATGTGGGTTATAGTCTTGAGAGAGGGAAGGGTCTTTTCTAGATATATGTGAGCGCTAATCGCGGCCATTCCGAATTCCTTGAGGGCCAAGTGTTGAAGTTTTGATAAGTCCATGTGTCCGCCTTGTGCTTCGAATCGTTGGAGAACGTTACAGTCGAGTATCAGCGTATCATAGGCTTTATTGATATAGATGACGGGTGGCTGTAGTTGCAACCATATCTCATGACTGGGTGCGAAGTCTGGTGGATCCTGAAGCCGAAGTGGATGATAGTGCTTGAGAAACACTTCTCGCGCAAGGCGGCAATTTGAAGATGCGCTTGTCTGGAGGCAAGTGTATGTTTATCTGTTGTAAGCACATACGAGCAGAATCCTTGGCCTCTACGCTGTTGGATGTGTAAATCAATAATGCCGGGTCCTGGGAGAGCGTATTCCCAAATTTGTATTTGGAGCTAGTTGGAAAGCAATAGTTAGTTAGCATTCAAATATTAGTCCGACCAAGGATCAGTGTTTGAAGGGTCATGAGCTATGATCTTCGTTTCATAGCTCCCAGGACCAGCTGCTATGGAATTACTCACCTCGCAAGCAAGTTCTGAAAAGCGAGAAAAAGATGGAACCTCTTCCGGCCATTCTACTTTGGAGAATTCTTGGGAGTTGGTGAAATTGCCATGACAAGGTTTGCCAGAAGGGCGAGTTGGCTGTGGCACAATCTCCCAGTCCTCTAGAGTTTCATCAGTATCTACAGCTACTCTTTGAAAGGTCAAAGAAACATACCTGGGCTATATGTATAACGTTTTGTCCCTATGGAAAGGCGGTAGGTTAACTAAACAGTCCAATATGGCAGGAGTCAAACTTACCTCCAGATTTAGAAGATGACGGTCTTGTCCATTCTTCATCAGTTTTAGGTCGTTGATCCCGTTCGCCAAGATTGTCATATAGGTGAGCATTCCACCAATATAACTCATTATTGCCTGCATCTCTATGTTGAAGTGGTACCGGTTCCATGATTAGCTACCAGTAACTCAGCACTATATCAAGAGTTCTGATAGGTTGTGGTCCGCTGAAAATCGTAGGTCTTGTCTTGACTGGTATTTTGGGTGGGCAAGATGAGGCTGGGAAAGCGCAAGGACGTTGGTTATTTGAAATGGTCCTTGGACTTTCTCCATTCCCAGCAATTGTTTATACAATGGCTAGGTACGGACCCCTGGAAAACAGGCAGGTGGATCAAACATTACTTTCCTCCAGTGAAGTTAGACTGAGGGAAAGAAAGAAGGGTGGTATTTCATAGTCGTATTTCACTTGTGAGTAGTGAATGAATGTGTGGGTAGCCCAGAATATATTCACTTGAAATTAACAAGTATTGATAGCTTCACTTATTGGCTATTATAAGTCTGGAACACCATAATACATACATACCCAGATTCTATTATTAGTTGAACAAACGTTAATGATATTAGCATTGTCTGTAAATGATGTAGAGCAATCTTTTGGTTCCAATCAGCATAACTTTCGAAGCTGTAACAATCTCAAAACTTTGCTTAATATACGCCTCTCTGGAAAATTCATTATCAGGGAAAGATAATGTTGTCAGGTGATCCACGTCAAGGTTTCCATTCACTCAGGGGTCATACCCCTACTTAGTGAAGTGGCCAGTGCATTAGTTAGAGCTAGGGTATAAATAGGAGCTGGCAAGGTAGTTAGTCTGTCTTAGTTCTTCACCGCAATTAACACTCATTCTTGGATCTTGTTACTCTAGGCTATTCCATTGAAGCATGTGAGATTAACTGAACAGAAGATGTTGCTGCGCTAGAGCGACATGACCATAGTGAGTGTAGTGAGGTGGCTGGCAACTAAAGGAAACAAAAAGCACTTCACTTAGAACTCGCAATTATCATGAATTCATTTGTTGAACGGAAAATCTTTCGTTTGTATGAAAGTAGCCTGATACAAGCAAAGAAGAATGCTTGAGTGGCTTATCACTTGCCCTAAATTCTCAGGTTTCAGGATCTCAAAAGCCATATATCGCGCACAGAATAGGACCTGGAATATAGTAGAAGCGCTCCACTGAGTAAGGAGTTTTGATTAGGCGAGTAACACTCCCGCTTATACAAGGGCACGTGGTCATTGGCCACATGACTTTATACACCGTGACACCACAGCTATAGAACTATGTTCAGTATAACAGATTTGACACATTCCAAGCTGCGAAGCTCTGCCACAGCTCCAACTTCCAGTGTCCACAGAGAAAAGAGAATGTGTAGGTCAACTTGGTCCCTCATTGATATGTAACGGCGAGCTCCCCCAGACCCCGTTTTCCAGACCGACCCACAAAGTCATCTCAATCGTAGCCTGAAGTGTATATATACATGCAATATAAAAACCCAGCGAAGCTATTTCCTTCCCCCGACTTTGTTTGATTGCTTCACAATAACGAAACTCCCCCAAGCTACTTTTTGTGCTCCCGAATTACGGTATACTGAGTATCGCACTCGATGCATTGAGGCTGATCACATTTGACACATTTCGATTGAGTATTTACTTGCATCCAGTTCCCCTGGCACTTGCACTGTGTTTCAGAACCCGTGTTTAGTGGCAATTTATATTTCGATAGGATGATCTCGCTTACGCATTGCCAGATAACCACCCTCATTGTAGTTTCTTGTCTTGAGAAATGTGTCTGAGAATAAAATATTAGCTTGGGGCTCTTATAGTAGAAGATCGAACCAGGATTTAGGCATTACTCACTCTTGTTATCACGGTGTTACTGAGTTGGGTGCTTTTTGTGTAACACTCAATTGCTTCGCTTAAAGTAGGGGGCGTTCTCCACGGGCAACTCCAACAGGTAGACGTCTGAATGCACTGCGAGAGATTATCACAAGGAAAGCTAGAACACTATATACTCCTACAAGTTATGTAAGACCATCTCACCCGAGGTGGATCGCCTCCGGTACTAAGGTCGTTTAGTCTGCTTACCGCGCATTCTCAGCTTCGTTCTCACGCCAATGATCTGACCTCTATGAGCCGCAAACCGACCCCAATGGCCCCCATCCGACAACTTACAACCATTCAAAAGGCCCGATGGCGTGGAACATCGGGATTTCTTCATCTCACTTGCAGATTTTTCCCGCTGCAATTTATCGGTCGTCTGACGTGCTTTTCGAAATCTGTGCTTCTGGTCCATGAATCGAGAGGACTTGGTCAGATCTATCGAAAGTCGATTGAAGATTGAATGGTGGGGTTCAGTTGGTGATTGTGTAGGGTGTGAGATGTATTGAAATTGATATCGGTGGAGGGGTAGCTAGCTTTCTGGCGGTGAACAGAAGTCATGGTATGATTACAATTTTTTGGGAGGAAATATCATAGGAAAAACTCAGTTTTATCATTATACGAACTTTCCAAGGCAGTGTGTCTTGGCCAGGAACTTTCTGCCAAGCTAGCTTTTCGCAAATAGCACTTTAGCCATTATCACGTGACCCACCCCCTTTCGCTGGCCCACGAGCTGAAATGGAAACGTGGAAACATGAAGAGTTGGAGTCATGAATCAATGCACAAACTGACTATTAGTCTTTTAAAAACTGTTTGATAGAGTATCATTACAATTTAAGAATACGGCGCTTGATAATTCAAGAGCTGCATAGGACTAACGAAACTCAAGCTATTCGACTGTATGGAGAGGCTGGCGTCATATCCACAGACGGCGATAAGAAGTTATCAAATATCATTATTTTTGAATTCCTTTGCTTTGGATCAAATATTGTTTGCAACCCTGTTTCATACACTAGTATCGCAAGCTACGCGATCAAAACTATCTCTTTTGCCATGGAAGGGTTGTGGTTGCCAGACTCTTCAGCAAGTCTCATGGCCGAATGTAAACAACCATTTACTTGGACGCAATGCTTGTTTCCCCCCCATGCCTCTGAGGACCAAGCTATTGCGGCATACCGCATACACGGACTTCCTTTAGACTGTATAACGACCGGTCCAGAACCATGAGCTGCCAGCCTCTTACGGATGACCAGATCTTCGAGGTCACACTCAAGTACAGTACCAAATGGGGAAGAGTCCCGCTGCATAGTTGGCTCTATGAAACTCTTGCAGAACATGATGTCTGCCTTATCAGGGTCAAGCGATCCGACGCGACCACCTTTATATCGGATGCACAAAAGTATCCTTTGTGGATTCCCTTCTCAATCGGTCTGACTGTGACGTGTAAAGCCTTCCTGTGGACTTCAAAGTTGATTATCATTTACTCAAGCTAGAAGATGGCCGTCTCAGAGCAGAAAAGGTCCGGTCCTATCAGTATTGTCCCTTGAGAGCTGTGGGGATGCTTCCCGCGTCTGTGTCAAACAGAACAAACATACCTTTATCTCTAGGCAGTTCACATGATTCTAGTAAGCTATTGACAGAATTTTCTGTTTGCCAACAACCAGCGTTTAAAATCCGAGTAGTTGAGTTGAGTAGTGGCACCTATTGAACTCAACTCGAAGAAGTTACCTACTCATACTCAAATAACTCAACTCGAGTAGAGTTGAGGAGTTGAGCCGTTTTGTTCAAACGCTGCCATCAACTCGAGCGCATGATTCCCGGTCACCAGGTTGTGGATCTCCAATATCTCTATCCCCCTCTTTAGCGGCCACAACATCCACATTGGCAAACACAATGCCCATGAATGAAAACACTTCCACATACCCAGCCGAAGTTTATTAATTGTGCAAGGGGAAAATTACAAAAGAAACAAGGTAGAGGATAAATCTGCTAGTAGAAGAAATCAGCATCGTGCAGTGGATTTCTAGAAGAGCGAAGAACACAAGTTTTGCCGGTAGCATATCATCTCTCATCCTCACTTGGAGAAATAGGAGAGCTGGACCAAGCGTCGAAAAGGTTTACATCACCAGGAGCACCCCAAAAGCTCAATCACTTCTAGTTCATACACCTACAGACTATTTCTATCTGAGCAAACCTTTCAACCAGTCATTTTCGCTGGCCAATCCTGAAGAGTATCATTTCCCTCCAGTGTTTTTCTAATCCTACATTCATACATGGTCGTAAAGTTTTGCCTTCCCATTTTCGCTCGTTCGCAGAAAACGCCCTTAGTATAATGACCCTTCCTTTCAAAACGCCAGATTATAATTTTGATGATAACAGATCCCTGCCATGTAAAAACGCCTTCGCTTAAGACTCCAATATGCACCAAACTCAATGTTTACCATTGCCAGAGAACTTTGTTGTGTATGGCACGGTGGCCATGCCTCTCGTATTCCAATGGACCGATCCAACTCTCGTGCGACTTAAAACGACCAAAGATACTGGCGCCCTTCCAAATAACAACTTGGCCATCCATCTCTCGAGGACTCACACCAACTAGAATCTTTTCGCCAATGTCGGGTCTCTTGGCTCGCAATCTCTTTTCGAGGAATGGTCCAAATCCAGGAGTCTTCGCCCCACCGCCAATGAGCATAATTCCACCAAAAAAGTCCTTTACTTTCTTGTCCTCTCCGGCCTTGACAGCGTTTGTAATACTGGTCATTATGGCGGTATCGAGCGGAGCTATTGGCAGAATCGTATCACGCTCAATAGCAAGGTCCTTCTGAGTGCGTTGATTCTGATCGACAAACATGCCCGCAGGCGGGTTGGGAGTACTAGCATTGCGCTCAGGGGAGCCTACATTTGTGCCATTGGCACCAAAGACAAATGGGGCGGGGGTGTTGGATCCTTCTGGAGCGGGCGATGCGGCGGCAGACGTGACTCGGGAAAAGCCATTTGCCTCACTTTCCACTTTAGATAGAAAGCTTAAGGGGTTTGCTTTTTCCTTGGATGGCGTAGCGAATTCATTAGTTCCATTGCCATTCATGGAGTAGCCGGTGGCGGTAGTAGCGAGCGAAGGTTTGATAGCAGTCAAAATCTCCAGCTGGGCCTTGGAAGTTGGGTCATCAGGAATATCTGTATCGTAGGCGTTGTACGAGCGATCGATAAGCGTATGACGTCCTTTGAGCTTCTCGCTGTTATCAAAGATGGACGGATCCACGAAACCCATAGGTGCCAGCACAATCTCATCGAAAGTCTTGAAACCATATTTGCGAGTTTCTTGACCTGGAGCACGAAGGTGAAACTCATGGGCTTGGGGCGCAACGTCTTGTAAATTGAGCGTACAGAAATTCATCTTAAGCTCTTCGGCCAGCAAAAAGTCATGGCGTCTTGCAAGATTGATATCGGCATAAGGGAAATGATCGTGGAGCATCATCTTGATAAAGGTATGCGTGACGTCGTTTCCACCGTACTTCAAATTGATGCGCGAATCTTCAATACACATGCCATCTTCAACGCAACAAATAGACGTCTTTTGAGCGCCGACATCGACAATACAAGCAGTCGAGTAGCCTGCACCAAATGTGGCGGCCAAACTCTCTTGAATGAAGCACACCTGCTTGAATTCGGCGGTAGTCAAACACCAATCGAGTAGATACTGAACGTAGACCTTGTCGTAGATATCGGGGATGACCATGACACAGTGATATTGTTCCCAACTGCTCATGAGTTCCAAACCAAGCTCCTTCTTTAGAGCACACTCGAAAACTGTCTCAAGATCATCCACCAGATGTTCTCGACTAAGGTAGTCTTTTTCATGAAGCCAACCCTGTTGAATCGGGTAGTAGAGTCGGAAGTTCGGGTTTGAATTTTCCGGGATACGTAAAGCTTCCATACCAGTGAAGCATGAAGCTGAAGAATCCTCTAATGTCTTGACGTCGGTCCAGTCTACCCGAATTGGGTCATTGTGATCCTTGATAATTTCGGGCCCGGACTTTTTATTATAACCGATGGCCAGGTCTTTTGAATTGGGTAGCGCCTTGAGCTTGATTTCCTTCATATGCTCCTTCACATCCTTGGACATCTTTACAAATTTCTTGGAAAACTCCTCGCCAAACATCTGCTCTGGGCTGACATCCTCCGCCCGCTTCGGAACTGGTTTGTACTCTTTCGCAGCACCGTGGCATTTGACTGCTAGGGCCATGGGGATGGTCTGTGGCAGGGGATCGCTGGCAAAGCCAATTCGCAGATTCTGGCTTCCGGGGTGGATTACAATTATCTTTGACGAATCGATTCCATCAATCGCGCCGTCCTCATCCTCCTGGTCGTTCTCTGTGTGGGTTGGGACTGGGACATCAGTGTTTCCAGTCCGCGCGAGCGCGCGATCCTTGTCCTTCGCATTACGGATCATCTTGTCGGTATTTGCTTCTTGTTGAAGTCGAAATGGGAGGATCTGGTCTTCCCTCTTCATGAAATCGCTGTTCGCACAGGCGTGGTTAGCTTCTGGTTAACCATCTGGATCTGTCGGATTGGAGCAGCGGGGAGCTTCGATTCTCGTCGCAGAGCTTTCGCGCAAGCTCAATTGGGAAGAGAACATGCTGCCCTTACGTGTAGTAGTTCTTTTGATTGATCATGGGGATATCTGGCCATGATGTTTGCTTAATGCCATTATCCGTTCGCGCCAATCCTGTATGAATATCATCGTCAGCTTGGATCAACAGGCTCGACCTCGAAGAAAGATGACACACCTTCCTCGCGCAAAAGCGCCTTTCCCGATTTCTTTCCCACCATCTTCGCGGTCTCTGGTGGTGGGGATGAAGGTGGAAGAGAAGGAGGAGGTAGTGGTGGTGGAGGAGATGGTGGAGAGCTCGAGGTCTGGAGTATCAGCCCTGTAAGGGTTCCTTCGGAGTCGCATCCTTGGTGATTGTGCCGGCGGATCTTCGGCTTGGGATTGTGAAAGTGTTTGCGAAGAAACTCCGATTGGCTTGGTGTTTGGTAGGATATACAAAAAGTCTGGAGTAACAGCACGTGATAGAGTTGATGAACCTATAGGTAGGATTGGAAAAGAAATGATCTTCGTCCAATCGACTTCTGGCTAAGTGCTGAGTACGAGCAAGATACCTTGGAAAGCGGCTATAATCGCGCATCGACGTGATCACTACAACATACTGGTACCTAGATTTAGCCGCGGGCAGCGCGGCAAAAGCCTGCCGCTTTTTTGCAGGCAAATTTCTAATAACTCACTGAGTAGGTTTCCACTGCCTGGCTATGAGGATTACGCGATTGATTTAGTGTAATAACACCTCTGAACTTTCAGACACTAACGTGATCGCCTTTTTATTCTTTTCCTCCCGTCTCTGTAAATTATTTCCATTAAATGACCTTGTTCAAAAACTTTAGTATAACACTCTTGATACAATAGTATTTTTTGTAAGTTTTCATAATCACTATAGAATAAAATCCTGTTAAATAGAGTAGAGAATGAGGCGGATACTATATACTTGCGCGAAATAACAAAATAGAAGCTTAAAATTATAATTAGAATATATTCTCTTAAAGTTAAAGCTTTCATAATATCCCTATATCTACTTTGTTCGAAAAATATAAAGAATTCAACTTTCTTACGCGAATGAAATTTACAATTATCTAGTTTAAAAACCGAAATATACTCTTAGTAAGCTTTGCTAAATAATATTCGGAGACTTAGATTAGAAAACCAAATGAAAGGACTTTTTCCCACAGTAAGTTGCCGATTGTGCGGTCATTGAACGACTTGGTGACATGAAGATACAAGTGGATTGCATCACGTAACTACCCAAAGCGAAACAAACGAGCAAGCACTTGCTCTTCCACTCCAATGTTTATCGCGCCATCAAATGAAATAGCAAAGTAGGCAAGGCCTTGGAGATTCAGACCCGTTCCTCCACAATGATTACCGTCATTGAAGACCGGACAGTCGTCTGAAGAACTCGTAAAATGCCCGACAATGAGATTGCGGTCCCCTATCCGAAGCTCGGAGGAGTTTACACCATCTGATATTTCTATGAGTTGACAAATGTCGTATACCAGCAATTGATTTGCTGGGAACTGGGACCAGACGGCAACCTTCTCCGCGCGCAGGACAGTAGTCGCCGCCAAAAGTCGATAAAATTGACGGGTCTTTGGAGCGCCACTATTAAAATAAACATCCGGGTTTATGCTTTTCTTTTACGGACTTTGACTTCTGTATTTCACACAGTGTGAGAAGGAGAACACAACTTCTCCTGTCTCTGCAAACAACCATTTGGTATAAGCTCGGTAGCTTAGAACAACTTCTATGTCTATGTCCACTGATACAGGGAAAACGGAGGAAAAGCAATATATTAAAAGAGTTAAAGTAGGAATAACGCGAAGGTATACCAGTCCAAGGTGTTTGTAACAAAGAATCAGCTGTCTACAGGGAGTGAGAAGAGTTGAGGGCCGACAGTCTAATTGATATAGCGTAAGGCGCTACTACAAATCAACTATTAACTCTCTTCTTTTCAAAATCCACTGATCCGCTCTATTACAAAATTTGTTTTCCTAGAACTACATAAATCGGATATTTTTTTCACCTGCATTTGTTGCACCCTTGCAGTCGTATTCGAATGCGATAAATTGGAGACCTTAGTCCAACCCATGAAAAGAGCTTTCTAATTCTCCGTTTGCTATACTTCTTCATTTGACGCATCTCATATACGTTCGAACCTAATTGTCCGAGGGGCCTAAGTAATTGGCAAAAAGCGACTTCTCCCCGGGTTAGTAAAGAGAAAATTGATCCCTGTCAACCTTGGTAGCTCGATACTCGGAAACCTTAATGAAAGATTACTTAAACTGGATACTGCCTAGCCTGATTAAATTGCTGCTCTTCAGATTCTTTAATACACCACACGAAAGAAAATTTACAGTTTAGTCATATCTCAGAGGTAAATATCGACAAAAGTTAGAATGTCACAAGTCTTTGGAAAAACTGATAAGAGTAGACTATATAGGAGAAGCCAATCCTTACTAAATTTTCGCCCTTCTGTTCGCCCCACTGGCAAGATTCTTTCTCAGTCTAGATTAATGGGGCTGGGAACAGATATTCGCTGGAAAAAAGTGGCTATGAACAAAGTCAGAGAACTGTCAAGATTGATGGGACTGATTCTGATGCATGAAGGTAGAAGTATACGATCCTCTTTTACATAGTAATTGTTCTACATTTTCACCATTTTACCTGCCTACCGGCAACTCAATTCAGTCGCAGAGGACCTCAGAAAAACGGTGGGAGTGGACAATAAACTAGTAAGATAACGGGGCTACGTGCCTTAAAAATAGAGTCTTTCTTTTCGAAGGCTCTAAGACCAGGGATAAGGAGATTTGTCAAGGAGAGAGCGGTTGGTAACTTACCGAGAGTAACTTACAGTAGAGAGAGAGAAATTCGCGTGATGGAGGAAGAGAGAAGATAGTACCTGACTGAAGAGCTCACAAGTGAAGTTGCAAGAACTTCAATAGTGGAAAAAGAAGACAGGAGGAGGGGAGGAAGGGAGAGGACTTACTAGTATATATTAAACCGCACCAAGCATGTCACTCTGCGATCTCCACTCTCCTTCTTCATAAGTATTCTAGTTGTTGCTATTAGTCTATAGATGAGCTTCAAGGGATTCTATTTTAATGGCGCAACTTCTATCAAAATCTTGTACCGAAGTCTACAGTATTAGACCGCTTATGTTTTTTTTTTCATATTAGGAACAATATGACACAGAAGAAGTTCTTATCTTGTTTATTAAAGGACATATGGTAGTTGTAGCGTCGACAGAAAGAGGGGCATTATGGAGTAATCGTTGATTTAAGTAGCCTGAGGTTTTACTCAAAGATCTTTAACAATCACTCTAATAATCAACCTGAACTAGTTAGGATGTCGTGAGATTTAGATTCTACATCACAAAACGATGGAATGACCTATAACAAAAAACGCTATTGTAGTGTCATTTTACCGATATAAGTAGAGCAATGAGCAGGTCTCTGCTCGCTTAGATGGGGTCGATATAATTATATAAGTATTGTTCTATATATAGAATGTCTCTCAACATGGACGATATTCATGCTAGTGTCGATTCGTGTTTATACTTAGGAAGTACTATCTAGGTCCCACGTGTTTCCTAGGGCATACTATTGTAGTTATGCCGCTCTAGTATTTTAAATCAGGGAATTCCGTTACTTATATCTGTCATTCATTCATTTTTCTCTCAAAGATTTCCAAGTTCTCATCTTCCATTCGGTATTTGTGGAGTGATGATAAGAGCAGAAGCTAGCTATAAAAGTTTGCAAAGGGCATGTTTTTATTATTTTAGATTAGAACTAAAAATGAATGACTGGCTAGCAGAAATGTGTTTACCTGACGGAAAAAGATTCCAATGTAATGAGAACGAAAGAGGTGAAGTCTCTACACCCGTTATTTTCCAATCCCTACATCACCCCAAATTGCTATTCTTACGCCCCGACCCATTACTTCCTCACAGTGAACTTGATGTCAACAGTTTCCTTCCGAATAACCATCAAAGTCCCAAAAGCCCCCCAATCTAAATTCCCCCCCTCCCCTCTCACAATTCAAAAACCGCCCTTAAAACACCCTTGTAACCACAATCTCCAACTCCGCTATCGCAAGGGTTTTCCAAGATAATTCAAGTGGTGAACACCAAAAGAAATCCTTGTACGGTATAGTACCTAAATAATATCCATGAAACTCACGGGTCAAAGACCTTGTATAAGCTAACGCTCTAGAATAAAAGATTAGTGCTGCGTAAAATACTTTGATTTGAGGAGCGCGACAAAATAGGGTCACACTGAGATGGGGATTTAAAAAAACTTATTAGTACTTCATCTCTTCGCTAAGAGGGGAGCCATTCACTTTCTTAGGAACAAAAATTGTGAACATAAGTATCCACGACGGGGTAAAGAAAAAGAAGAGGAGTTTCTCGAGAGAAGAGTAGATACATGTGTATACTAAACAAACCATTCCTCAAAAGAAACCGCTATTTGCACCCAGGAATATCAAGCACTAAGTTGGGGATTAGCGATGGAATTCTAAGGAAGAGGCCCCTGATATCCAGGATATCCATTCTACAATCTGTACTCTGTCCTGCTGTCTAAGACTTTCAGGGTTTGTGAAAGATGTGTAACAAGAGATTAGTAGATCGCGTAGAAGAAAGAGTGGTATTTAAGGTTAAAGTGTACATATCCTTTGAATAACGTTCCCGAGGAGCTATCTAAGCGAGGGTTGCTAAATCGTTTGTTTGCGGTAAAGAGGTTCTACGGGGGGTTATTAATATTATCGGGGGACTATAATATAATTCTGTTAATATTTAATACATATCTAATAAAACGGAAAGAGGGATACCGTTGTTCTAAACAAGATCCTTAGTAAGATCTTAGTAACCAAGCCGTTTAACATAAATTTCATACCACGCCTATTTTTATAACAGCCTATTTATCTCAGAATATATTCAGGGCCACTATACTAAATAGCTTTCTACACTCTTTACAAATGCTATAGTAACTTATCATAAATCTACGAAATAATCAGCTCGTACTTGCACCTTGGAGGTAAAGTCAATACCACTATGAATATGGGGGAGTCGTTCGCTTAGCTCTAGATAAGATTTTCGAGAAGCAAGAATGATACGGTTTTCAACAGAAGATTTGGGGGGATGTTTGGAGATAGTGTTGATGAGGATAAGAGGGGAGGATTGCTTGGGACTTAAGTATCGGAGTCGCATTTTGGAAGACTGATTGAGAAGGATACGAGTATCGAGAATGTACTTAACAATTCTGGGCGATAAAACCGATGTCGATTTTTCTTGGCGATACTCTACAGTACTGGATTGACAAGGGAACAACGAAGCTTCATCTCGCGCGAATAGGAGGGTCGAAGGCCTCTCTTATGTGGGTTTATTTTGCACTTGCAGGTGGAATAATGAAACCATTTACGAGTACCTTATGAGCGCTATGCCAATCTTAGGAAAAAGTCGGACAAACTAGAGATATGCCTTACTAGTGCCGAGCCCAGGAACGTTCATCTGTATTTCAAAAACCGTTCTTCATATGAAAAAAAAACCCCCGACCGTTACAAGCAAACAAAACGTGACCTAACAAACCCACCATATACAAATCAGGTCATCTCTAACCGCCGCTAGAAACAAAGTAAGATCGATGGACGGTGTAAACGAAACATCCAACACCCCCATCAAAGTTCAAGAATTCCCCCATCGAAGTGTTGAACCCATCATGTTTTCACTTCGTAAACTTGCGAAAAGCTCCGCTCCCAAGCTCCCCCCGCCATTTTGTTTTCAGTAAAACCTGGGCATTTGTGAGACAAAGTAGCTTGGATGCGGAGATTATACGAATGTATGACGCGGAATACTTGGCTCTTTTTCTGGAATGTTTGAGCAGATACGAAGAATAGCCATCTGTTTTCATGTGTAACCTACTAACCATGAGGGTTTGGCGAATGGGAGGTTTGTCACCGAGTATACCTATATCATGTGTATTTTGCGAAGTTGGATGGACTGGATTTTTGTGTGGAAATTCGGCGAGTCAGTGGTGAAATATCTCTCTTCAATAATAAGTGTCTAGACTCTAGAATCGCCAACTGAATGAGCAAAGGCGTTGGTGGCGTTGAAGGAATTGGGTTTTCGGAGGTGTCCACCTTCGGATCCCGGGTGTGCATAACTTTTGCATAAATCTCGCATTCTCCGTGGGGCCAGCCAATCGTAACAGGATCAATACGATGAACTTGAGGCTTTAGCCCACCGTCTAGAAGTGCGACTACTGGAGTATGACAGGTGGCAAGCGAAACATCGGACTGTCAGATTTGGAGTATGGTTAGGTCAGGTGTCTGGTTTATATTTCAAGGACAGAACTACTCAACGTGATGAGCTTGATCTAATCTGGTTTTCTAAGATTCTGCCATTGGTTCTGGTAGCTCAATGAAGTAAGCCGGGGAAACGTCCAAGCCGTCTTACGGTTGTCGCCTTCTGGAAGGTGATGGGATAGCGTGAAGAAATGCCAACATTCTGTAATACTTCTAATTGTCCGTAATTATGATTCATGATGATTCCCCTATTGGCTTATGGGTTTCATTCGCTTAAAAAGTCTGGCCTAGGCTGAAGATTACCCACACCGTGTTACTCGACTCGGTATCAAATTGATCGCCCAATGGGGCAATGGAACAATCAATATCTTCAACGTCATCCTCTCGGGTTTACCAAACAACCGGTATGCTTATTAGCTCGGACGAAACAAAGGAATCCATGAGGTTCCCGAGTAGATGAAAGAACGAGTTATATCTTAGAATGAGAATCGAGTCATCGACAAGCCCTTTCCATGTCGTGCTGCTATGCTATACCGTACTATGCAGTCAGTCAACTATGACTTCTGACTGTGAGAGAGGAGTCGGACCCTGAATATGGAACTGTTGTATGTGAGTTATATTTTGCGAAAGGAAAACTCGAAACAGCTTAACCCCAGGCTATCCTTCCCAAACTACTCCATAGGTAATAACCAACGGTTGTCAAAGTACAGGACAGTATAGGGGGAAAAAGCATCTTGGCGAGGCAGGTGTTGTCTCGGCTCCGAGACCTGGCGGAAGACCCGAGACGCCGACTTCCGTCTTCCACCTTCCACTTGGGCGGCAGGTGGATAAATAGGTGGTGGTACGAGTCCCGCTGAGTACGCGACATACGGAATTGTACAAATTGCTCGGGAGGGTGGGTGGAGTTGTGCAGGCTAATGCAGACTAGCGCCGCTAGCCGACCGATGAGCTAAGCTCACCAAGCTTTGATTGGTAATTGGTGATTGGTGCCTTCGCCTGAAGAGTCACTTACTGGACAAAGTAAGATGCTCGATGGATGGATATCAAGAGCTTTCTCTCCACCTCCCGCCGTCGGGGAGAAGGTCTTGTTTTAAACCCGTCCCCAGACCGGACAAGCACCCTTACCGTACCTGTACGAGTACCCATACCATACCCTTTACTGGTCTCTCTGGTATACCTGCCCGTCCCTCTCATAAAGTACTCGAGTACTCGAGTAGCTAGCTCTTCCAAAGAGGCTCAGCCCCTTGGACTTTCATAATATCTCGATAATTCCCGTTCCCGTTCCCGAGCCAATTCTGGCACCCCTTCTCTCCTTAAGTCCTCCTTCTCTCTGGCCAAATCGTCCCTCTCGTCGTCCTGTCTTACATGTAAGCGCACGAGAAGTACAAGTGCCGACTAGTCTCATCAACCTTCCACCGATCCCTCAGATTTGGTTGCACGAAACCTACACCTACACCGGCTTCGAACCACTAAAAAAAGATAATCGCGACACCGACACGGCCAATACAGGTGCAGTCTGCAGAGGAACCACCGCAAACGCAACTACCTTTCTGCTGAGCAGCTCCATCGATTCACCCAGTCAACGCAGGGTCGAAAACTCGCCCTCCCGCCGCCACAATGGCTGTAGACCCAGAACCAGAGAAATCGCACACTCAGGGTACAGATTCGCCTCCCGCAGCTTCAAGCCATGGCGATTCCACCGACGATTGGATACGGCAAGAGGAAAAGGGGGCAGCGAAAGAAGCGCGGACACCCGAAGAGGAGAATGCTGCCGTGCGGGCAAAGCTTGATACCCATATCGTGACGGTCGCTCCCAAGGATCAGGATGTTTACGCACACCTCCCACCAGCCGAGGCACGGATATTGAGAAAGCAGGTCGAAATCCCGGTCGTCAAGAGCGGGATAAAAGCGTTGTATCGGTACGCAACGCTCAACGACTATTTGATCATTGCTGTCAGTGCGATATGCGCTATTGCAGCCGGTGCGGCGCTACCCCTCATGACAGTGGTCTTCGGAAACTTAGCGGGCGAGTTCAATGGCTACTTCGCAGGAACCATCACGCGCGCGGCCTTCAGCAACACCATCTCCAATATGGTCCTGTACTTCGTGTACATTGGAATTGCCGAGTTTGTCACCATCTACATCTCAACGGTAGGTTTTATCTATACCGGAGAACACATCAGTGGAAAGATCCGATGGCATTATCTCGAAGCGTGCATGAGGCAAAATATTGGCTTTTTCGACAAACTCGGTTCCGGCGAAATCACCACGAGAATCACCGCAGACACAAACTTGGTCCAGGATGGTATTTCAGAGAAAGTTGGCTTGACCTTGAATGCTCTGGCAACCTTCTTCACAGCCTTTGTGATTGGTTTCATCAAATCATGGAAGTTGACGCTCATTCTGTCTTCTACCGTACTGGCAATCACAGTTGTCATGGGCAGTGGCTCTAGATTCATCGTCAAGTACAGTAAACAATCTCTCGAATCGTACGCTCTTGGTGGCTCAATCGCCGAGGAAGTTATCTCATCAATTAGAAATGCCGTGGCTTTTGGTACCCAGGACAAATTGGCTCGACAATATGATCGCCATTTGGCAACGGCCGAGAAATATGGATATAAGGTGAAGTTTGCACTCGCGATCATGGTGGGTGGAATGTTTATGTTGATCTATCTAAACTATGGCTTGGCGTTCTGGCAGGGAAGCAGATTCCTAGTGGTGAACGAAATTGGCTTAAGCGCGATTCTGACCATTTTGATGTCTATTATGATTGGAGCCTTTGCCCTCGGAAATGTTGCTCCCAATGTCCAGGCTTTCACTACATCTGTTTCAGCAGCCGTCAAGATTTTCAACACCATCGATCGTGTCTCTCCGCTAGATCCCTCATCGGATGCGGGAGAAACCATTGAAAACGTCCAAGGTACGATCGAATTGAAGAACATCAAACACATCTACCCATCTAGACCGGAGGTTGTTGTAATGCAAGATGTCAGTCTTCTCATCCCTGCCGGCAAGAAAACGGCATTGGTTGGTGCATCGGGATCCGGGAAAAGTACGATTGTTGGTCTTGTTGAACGGTTTTATGATCCAGTAGGAGGAAACGTATATTTGGATGGCCGTGATGTCAGCACGTTGAACCTGCGTTGGTTGAGACAGCAAATTTCGTTGGTCAGCCAGGAGCCAACTCTTTTCGGCACAACCATCTACGAAAACATTCGTCACGGCCTTATCGGCACAAAATTTGAACATGAAAAGCCAGAAAAACAACGGGAACTTGTTATAGAGGCTGCTAAGATGGCCAACGCCCATGATTTCATCTCAGGATTACCAGAGGGGTATGAAACCAATGTTGGAGAACGCGGCTTTCTCCTTTCTGGTGGTCAGAAGCAGCGTATCGCGATTGCCAGAGCAATGGTCAGTGATCCCAAAATTCTTCTTCTTGATGAAGCGACATCTGCCCTTGACACCAAATCCGAAGGGGTAGTCCAGGCAGCCTTGGAAGTTGCTGCTGCTGGAAGAACCACCATCACCATCGCCCACCGTCTCTCGACAATCAGAGATGCCGATAATATTGTAGTTATGACCCAAGGACGCATTGTAGAACAGGGAACTCATAATGATCTTTTGGCTTTGCAAGGTTCATACTTCAATTTGATTGAGGCCCAAAAAATCGCCCAGAGTGAGGACTTGAGCTCAGACGAAGCAGGATCGGAAGCTTTGGACGCCAAATACGAAGAGCTAGTTCGACATCAATCCACCAAGAGCGTTCAATATATTGAGGACCCGGATGACAAGAACATTGCCAAAAAGCCAGACCGAACTCAAAGTGCACAATCTAAATCATCTTTGGCTCTCCAGGGAAGAACCACAACAGAAGACAAAGAAGATTCGTTATGGACACTAATCAAACTGATCGCATCTTTCAACCAAACTGAGCTGACCTGGATGTTGGTGGGATTATTTTTCTCAATCATCTGTGGTGGAGGAAACCCTGTTCAAGCCGTCTTCTTCGCTAAGGAAATCATATCTCTTTCGACCCCTCTAGTATCACCAAGAACCGGAGCGCCGATCCCAGGCGCTGTCTCACAAATACGCTCAGATGTCAACTTTTGGTCCTTGATGTATCTTATGTTGGCAATTGTTCAGTTTATCGCCTTCTGTGGACAGGGTATCGCATTTGCATATTGTTCCGAGAAACTTATCCACCGTGTTAGAGACAGAGCTTTTAGGACGATGCTTCGCCAAGATATCGAGTACTTCGATAGAGATGAGAATACTGCTGGTGCTCTCACTTCGTTTTTGAGTACTCAAACAACACATGTCGCTGGACTTTCCGGTGTAACTCTCGGCACGCTCTTGACAGTTATTACAACCCTCGTTGCAGCCATCGCTATAAGTACTGCCATTGCCTGGAAGCTTGCCCTGGTTTGCATTTCCACGATTCCAGTACTACTCGGGTGCGGATTTTTCAGATTCTGGCTTCTAGCTAAATTTCAACAAAATGCAAAGAAAGCGTACGAGAACAGTGCGAGTTTTGCCTGTGAAGCGACGAGTGCTATCCGAACCGTCGCTTCCTTGACGAGGGAGCAGGATGTTCTCAAACAATATGTCGACTCTTTGGATGCTCAAGCGAAGAAGAGTTTGAGATCTGTTCTCCAGTCATCTTTGTTATATGCTGCTTCACAGTCATTGATGTTTGCTTGTGTGGCTCTTGGATTTTGGTAAGTAATTGCGAAATACACATCACAAGCGAGTATACTAATGAGAGATAGGTATGGTGGTAATCGTATCGCCGATTACGAGTACTCCATGTTCCAGTTTTTCGTCTGCTTCTCAGCTGTTATCTTTGGCGCCCAGTCCGCTGGTACCATTTTCTCCTTTGCACGTAAGTTAACTCCGAGTATAAAGTTATATCAGAACGATTTCTAATGATAGATAGCGGACATGGGCAAAGCTAAGCAAGCTGCACAAGAGCTCAAAATTCTCTTTGACCGACAACCGAAAATCGATACTTGGTCCACTGACGGAGACCGTCTGGAGCACGCCGAAGGTCATATTGAATTCCGTGATGTCCACTTCCGATACCCAACACGCCCGGAGCAACCTGTCTTACGTGGTCTTAACCTTTCTGTTGCCCCTGGCCAATATATCGCCCTTGTCGGAGCTTCTGGATGCGGAAAGTCTACAACGATCGCTCTCCTAGAGCGATTCTACGATCCTTTAGTCGGAGGAATTTACCTGGATGGAAAGGAGATCTCAAGCTTGCATATCAACGACTACCGCTCCCATATTGCTCTCGTGTCCCAAGAACCCACATTGTATCAAGGTACAATTCGAGAGAATGTTCTGTTGGGGGCTGATCGCCAAGATGTTCCAGATTCGGAGATTGAGCACGCATGTCGGGAAGCCAATATCTACGATTTCATCATGTCTCTTCCAGATGGATTTGGAACCGTGGTTGGATCAAAGGGATCTATGCTTTCAGGTGGCCAAAAACAACGTGTGGCTATTGCGCGGGCTCTGTTACGTGATCCCAAGGTTCTACTGCTTGACGAAGCCACATCAGCATTGGATTCTGAGTCAGAACACGTTGTTCAAGCTGCGCTCGACAAGGCCGCTAAGGGTCGAACCACAATCGCCGTCGCTCATCGTTTGAGTACCATCCAGAAGGCAGACATTATCTATGTCTTTGACCTGGGAAGAATCGTCGAGCACGGCACACATGCCGAGCTCATGAAGAAGGGAGGAAGATACTCCGAGTTGGTCAACCTACAGAATCTCGGGAAGACCGGATAAGAGACGATGGTCTTATTCAAAAAAGAGTAGATTCTCTTCGACACTTTACATTTCTCTTCTCTTGTTCATTTTTTTTCTTATTCGCTTTACTGTTTTATTGTTTTTTTTAATAGTTTTTTTTATAGAGATGGATGCATGGCGACGGCGTTGGAAGTGTTTCTTGTCTTTCTCTTTCTCTTGAAGGGAAATGACATACCCGCATGCGGGAGAAATCCTCTTACTTTGATACCTACAATACAGTACTTTAAAGTGGTACTTTCTGATGTAGCTTCTTTTTTCTTCTTTTTTATATTTAGATACATTGAGCGGATATTTTGGGAGCTGGATTTGATCGAATTGATCGGATTTCTCTTGTGGTGGACTTTTTTAAAACAAAGGGGAGGCTGGTTGGAAGAGGGATGCGAATGGATACGGATGTGGATTTGAAGGTAGAGGGAAAGGGAGGGAGGGATATACATGGTATTACGAATAGGTGGTAGAAAAGTAATAGAGAGCAATCCTGACTTTTATGAGGTGTTTATTTTGCAACTATTCTTCTTTGTGTGTGTGTGTGTGAGATGATGTTTGTTGTTAGTGGCACTGGGTCTCGGGAATACCTCGGTACTGATGCGATTGCTTTGCGTGGATTGGGTGTGTATGCTTGTTTTTTTGCGGGGGGATACTTTGATTTGTAGATGTCGTGGTAGTGGTAGTGGTGAGTTGAGTTGAGTTGGGGGTTTGTGGACGGATGGGTGTTTTGGGTGGCCAGGGTGGGTTTTGATATTTTGGGAAGGGAGGGAGGTGGGGAAAGGGGATTGTGGTACTTATTGTAAGTCTTTCTGGTATATGTATGTGTATTGGGTCTTGCGTCTTAATAGCGTAGTCGTTTTCTGTGCGGTCGTTGATTGATGTACTCGTAGGGATATCATCTTTGCAATTTTTTGATTCGATATCTAACCGCTTTAAACGTCACTGCTATATAATATACAACCATCGCACATATTCATACACCTCTACACCTCTACCTCTGCATACATTCAACATCACAGCACCTTACTCGTACAGATTCAGCCAATATAAAATGAAATAATACAACTATCGTATAGTAAGTCTTACTTATCTCTTTATTAGTTTATGAATTTTATAGCTCCTAGCCTCCTACTTTCTTTGTGTTCTTACTGTATGTAGTATTGTTTATTGTTTATTGTTTACTCCTTTTTTGAAGGGGGTTGTGGGGGCGGAAGGG